AGCAGTCTTATCCATCCAGGTAGCCGTCTGTCCGTCCATCCAAGGAGCAGTCTTATCCATCCAGGTAGCCTTCTGTCCGTCCATCCAAGCAGCAGTCTTATCCATCCAAGTAGCAGTCTACTCTTCAATCATGCACTGTATCATTATCTTTTACTGCAATTGCACTCTTACATCACGACACGCTCCCCTTGGCCCACCGGTCGGCCATGATGTTGCGTTTGTGGTACACTGTCCGCATCGAGCGGTACTGGCGCACAAACGCGGCGTCGACCTCCTGCCCGTTGCTTGTCCCCGCCGCTGCTCCTGCCCCCGCTCCTGTTCCTGACCCTGCTCCTGCTCCTGATCCAGCTGCTATCCCTGCCACTTCCGCGTGCTGTTCGAGCAAAAGCCAAGGTAAGGAGTCAGATGGGGAAAGAGGGGCGCACTTGGGACAACTCACGCCGGCAGCCACGACGTCGAGCGGGAGGCCCTCGACAAAGGCACTGGCAAAGCTCTCGCTGCGGTCGTGGAGGCGCGCGGCGGACTGGCCAAGCGTCGCGAGCATGGCGGGCGGGTCGAATCGGCGCCGCGCGTCGTCCATCTCGCGCTGTGCCGCGGGCCACGCCTCGTCGCGCAGCTGGCGTGCGCGGTCGTGCAGCGCCTGCGACTCGAGCCGGAGCGCCTCGAGGGCCGGCTGCAGGGCTGCGTTGCGCGCTGCTTTTTCGGTTGACTGCGCCGTGAGCGCGTCGGTGGCGGCTCGCAGCGCACGCACCTCGGCGAGCGAGTCGACGAGCGCCTCGAATGCGTGCTCCTCGGCCGGCGGCGCAGAGGGTCCTGCTCCTGCTCCTGCTCCTGCTCCTGCGCCGGGCGTGGCAGGCGACGCATACCACGGCACCGACGGCCGCGCAGGGTCAAAGGGGCCCACCAGCTGCGCCAGCTCGGGCCGCGAGAGGTGGGCGACGCTGGGAAAGTCGCGCGTGAGCGGCGTGTCGATTGCGCTCATCGTGGCGGGTCCTCTGTCCTTTGCTTGAACGAGGCAGGAAGGCTCGCTCCGACGAGGCAGGAAGGCAAGCAGTCAGAAATCGGCGCTGAGAAAGTGGCGATGGGAGCGACGAGAGGCGGTCTGTGCGGGCCGCGAGGCACGTGGGAAATTGAGATTTTGGATTTGGATGCCCTGGTCTTGTGTTCTTCTCTTTCCCATCGCTCGACTGTTGGTTCGTTGGCCTCGCCTCGCGCTTTGTCGGAGCCGCAGACAATCAAGGACATGGACGAGGCACGGAGCCAGACGTCGGAGGCGTACGAGATGGTGTCGCACGAGGACGCGGCGTCGCCCTCGCCGCAGGCGGCCGTCGCGCGTGCCGACGACGTGTACCGCGCCTTTTTCCAGGACGACGACGAGGATGAAGCGCAGGAGGAGGACGACGAGGAAGGGACGAGGAGACACGCCTTCTTTGACGAGATCCTGGCTGCGTGCGTGGCCGACAAGAAGGAGAGGGCGCGTCTCTATCCGTCCAAGGCCAACCGACGGCTGCTCCTGTCGACGATCTACGGCAGCGCAGCGCTGGACCGCATCCAGTCCGACGCCCTTGTTCTCTACCTCGTCATGCGCCGTGGGCTCGCCCCTGCCCGGCGCTTTGCCCGTGCGGCGCGGCTGCCGAGCCACGTCTTCAGCCTGATCCGCGCCTACTGGCACCTCGACGGCGGCCGCTACCTTGTGAGATTGTCCTTGCTTCCTCTCGGCCGACACAACTGACGCAGGCCATGCATGACAGGCCGCCGTGCCCCTGCTGCCGCGCGAGCTGGACCCGGCGCAGGCAGAAAAGATCCTCGCCGTGCTCAACCCGCTCGACGGTGCGCCGTCGCCCGAGGAGGAGACAGAAAAGGCGCTGGCGATGGACCGCTTCCTCGCCCTCTGCGTGCCCTCTTCCTTGTCCTCGTCATCGTCGCTGCTCCTTCTCGACGAGCAGCTGGCGCCGGCGCGCATCGTCAGCCTGTGCCACGCGCGCGGCATCGTCGAGGCCTGGAACACCGTGCTGCGTAACGACACGCAGCAGCAGACCTCAGCGACGCGAGCCGCATGCATCGTCGCCCTCGTCCGCTTCTGCCTTGTGCCCGTCGCCAGGCGTGCAGCCGTGGATGCGCTCGTGGCCATGTGCCTCTCTCCGCGCGAGGACGCCGAGCTGGCCGATGCGCTTCTGGCTTCTGCGCCTGCACTTTCGAAGGGCAACGGTCAGGAGGCGCCACTGCCCGAGGCGGCCCGCGCCACCGCCCTCGACCTCGTCGTCGTCCGCCGCATCACCGCTGGCCGCTACGTCGATGCGCTGAGGCTCCTCGCCCGCATCGCCGCCGCCTCGACGGTCGTCACAGACAGCAAGCTGCGGCACAAGCGCCAGGCACTCGTCGCAGCCGCCAAGGCTGCCCTGACACACGTCGAGCGCAGCCTGCTCGCCATCGAGGGCGCCGCCGCCGCGCATACACTCGGCGATGGCGATGAAGACACGGGCGCACGTGACGGCGGCAGCGGCGGCGGCGACAACGACGTGCACATGGCCATGTCCTGGGAGGCTGTCCATCAGAACGGCAATGGCGACCGTGGCAACGAGAGCAGCGCCGTGCAGCCGCTGACGGCATCGCCAGCCGTGCGTGCGTCGCCGCTGCGCCAGGGCGGGCGCGGGGCGGCCGAGGCCCAGTCGGCGCTCCTTGCCGCCGTCCTGCGCGCCAGCCCACGGTCGCAATCGCGCTCGCAGTCGCAGTCGCAGTCGCCCACGCCACCGCGACCGGTGCGGACGTCTGCTTCGACGGCGGCTGCCTCTGCATCGCCACTGCGGGCCAAGTCCCGCCTCGCCTTCCGTGCCTCGCCGTCATCCTCGCCCTCTTCCTCGTCCCCTGCCGCGGCGGTGGCCTCTCCTGCGCTGCGCACCGGCCAGCGTCCCTACTCGCTCGACGACAAGAGCGCATCCACTGGAAACAAAAGCGGCATGGTCACTGCCCGCGAAAGCAGTTCATTCACCGAGAACAGCAACGACGGCGCATACATTGGCCACGGCGCCAGCCAGCAAGCCGGAGCGGCCGAGGCGCAGGCTGAGATTGACGGCGAGGCAGAGGCTGCAGCAGCAGAGACGGGGCCGTATGCGCGCCTGGCACGGCAGCTCCAGGCCCACTTCTCGGCCGCAGCGGGCAGCAGCGGGCCGCCGTCGCCATCGGACGTGCTGCAGCCGCTGCTGCGCCGGCGGGGCGCGCGAGAGAGCTCGAGCCAATCGCTGGCTGCGATGGACGTCGATGGCGGTGCGGACTCGAACAGGCAGGGAGAAGAGCCAGCGAGGGACAAGGCATCGCTGATGCAGCGCCCCGCGCGGCGCTACGAGGCCACGTACAAGATCGACAGCTCGGGCAGGCGCAGACAGGCGGAGAAGGACGACGACGGCGAGCACGACGACGGAAAGCAGGAGCAGGAGACGCCGGCCAAGGCGCGCAATACGCGGCGCACGAGAGCAGCGGGCGCGAGGAAGGGCGCGGGGAACAAGAAGAAGGAGCAGAGTGAAGGAGAACAGGCAGAAGAGGAGGAAGGACAGGACCAGCTCATGGAGCTCGCTGAGCCCCCGCGCAAGCCGGCCACAACAAGGCGGGGCAGCCCGACGAAGAAGAAGACGACGAAGAATGCGGCGACAAAGGAGCCAGCCGTGGCGGCACCTCGACGGAGCACGCGCCTCAGCAGCGCCGAGCCAGCCGCACGCACACCGCTGACTGCCTCGGCGACGCTGCCCGAGATGCGCGAGCTGAGCAGCGCGACGGCGACGGCGACGGCGACGAGCACGCGCGCAAAGGCCCGCTCCACGCGCACACGCTCTGCCTCGCCCAGCAAGCGCGCACCCGCGCAGGAGCAAGGAGCAGACGACGACGACAACAACGAAGAAGAAGAAGAGGAAGTGCCGCGGCGACGGACGCGAACGAGGAGCTCGCGCATGGACATGCCCGGCGCCTTCTGATTCTATTCAATCTATTTGTCTGCTTATTTCCCTGACTGTCTGCTTGTCTCCTGACTGTCTCTGTGTTTGTCTTGTCTCCCCTGCCTGTCTGTGTGACTGTGGCCCGTCTCTGTCCGTGTATTCGTCTCCTTGACCGTCCGTCTGACCTGCCTGTCCTCGTGTCTGTCGCTGGTGCGCCTCCCTTGAGCCTCTCTGTCTGCCGGTCTGTGTCGGAGTGGCCCCTCTAGCCTGTGCGACGCTGGAAGGCTGAGTGGCCTGGAGCTGGAGCGACACCCGCCCGCTTCGGCGCGCGCACGGCGACGGGGATCCTCGACGGTGCGCCATTAGCCCTCATCGGTGCGCCGGCGATCTTCGACGGCGGTGAATGCTTGCCTTCGTCGCCGGCGTCGTCGCTCGTGTCGTGCAGCGTGCGGCGCGACTGGCGCCGTGAGATGCGTCCGTCGATCGCCCGTCTCGCGGGCACTTTGCTCGCGATGGTTGCCGCCGCCGCCGCCGTGTAGAGCTCCTTGTACCGCTGTGCCTCGCTGCGCGCCTGCTGGTGCTCTTGTGCGAGGAGAGACGTGAGCTCACCTCAGCGAAGAGTAGCGCACCGACTCACCAGTCTCGAGGCGCTCGATGCGCGGCACGATTGCCTCGCGCAGCAGCACCGACAGCCGCACTGCGCCGCCGCCTGTGTACATGTCGCTGCTCGGCCGAGGGCGCGGCGGTGCCGGCGACGAGGACCGTGGCGACGAGTGGCCCGACGAATAGACGGTCGACGTCGGTGTCGAGCTGTACGTCGTCGAGCGATCCGACTCGGCCCGGGGTGCTGCCTGGCTCGTCCCTGTGATGTGGCCTATCTCCTCTTCGTCGCCGCCGCTCTCGCCGTCCTGGGCGCGCGACGACGAGGGCGAGGAGCAGCGCGGCGTCGACGGAGCAGGCACGGGCACGAGCACAGGCACGGGCACGGCCTCGAAGCCCAGGCTGGGGCCCAGCGCGGGGCGAGGGGGAACGGGGGCAGTCATTGGCTGTACACACACACAAAGGGACAATGGCAATGACAATGGCAATGACGAGGAGGAAGAGGGGGGACAAGGGGCCAGCGCGGCGGTGCGCCTACTCGGGCATGCCACTCTGCCTGCCTGCAGACTGGCCCTCGACGCAGCAGCAGCCGCTTCCTTTTTTTTTCCTAGAAGGAGCGAAGCAGAGTGATGATGCCGTCATGCCACAGAACACGGTAGCGGTGTTAAAATTGGGGTTACAGGGGCAGAAAAAGAGAGAGAGAGGGAGGAAGAGTTACGACGAGTGCGAGAGGGCAGGGGAGCGCGCAATGGGAAAATAGAACAGAGAGGACGAGTGTGGCTCGTGGCTCGCCTTACGCGGACAGCACGACCTTTTCGCCGCTGACCTTGCCCTGCTCGAGGAGGGCAAGGGCGGGGACGAGTGCGTCGAGGCCGCTGCCCTCGCGCCGGAGCCGGTTGCCGCGCACCTGGCCCGTCGCCCAGAGGTGGGCAAAGAGGCCGTCGGCGGTGAAGCGCTCGATGAAGGCCTTGTCGGCCTGCACCTGCGCCTCGCCAAAGGCTGCTTTACCGTAGCTAAAGGCGTGGCCGAGGCAGGTGTAGATGAGCGTGTGCTCGATGGCGACGACGCCCGGGCGCAGCGCCTGCGCGTCGGCCTCGGGCTTGAGCAGGACGACGACCTTGCCGCTGTCGATGGACGCGCCCAGCGAGCGCACCGCCAGGCTCTGGGTGCCGCGCTCCGAGATGCAGTCGAGGGCGAGGCGCAGGTCGGGGTGCTTGGACGCAATCGTCTGCGGCGTCGCTGCGTCGGCGTAGTCGTACACCTCGGCGGCGCCCATGTCGCGCACGAGGTCGTGGTTGCGCGGCGAGGCCGTCGTCACGACGTAGCAGCCCGCCGCACGGGCCAGCTGGATCGCCCACTGGCCCACGGCCGTCGAGCCGGCCCAGACGAGGACCTTTTTCGCACCGTCCACGGCCGGCAGTGACGTCGCCGACGCCGACGGCAGCTCGAGTGCCAGGCGCTGGAAGAGGGCCTGGGCAGCTGTGTAGCCGGCGATGCCCACCGTGGCGCCCGTCAGGCTGTCGACGGCAGGCGGCAGCGACACGACGAGGTCCGCGTCCGTCTTGACGTACTCGGCAAAGCTGCCCCGGTCGGTGTACTTGCCGCCGTGGACCATGCCTGCGACACGGTCGCCGACCTTGACGCTGGATTTCTGGTTGCCCGCGGCGGCAGCGGCCGCGACGACGGTGCCGCTAAAGTCGCAGCCGATGATCTGGCCAGGCGGCGCGACGACCTTGATGTGCTTCCAGTCCGTCGGGTTCAGCGACCACGCCTCGACGCGGACCAGGATCTCGTCGGGCGACGGCTTGGGCACGGGCACGTCGGTGTGCACCGACGCCGTGTGGTCTGCGTCGGAGACGAGTGCCTTCATCGTCGTGGGGATGGCCGTCATTTCAGTGTTGGCTGTTTCGCTTTTGTGAGTGTGACTTTCGTTCGTCAAGGGCTGGAAAGGAAGCAGCGGGACTTGGGCAGCGATTGGAGTCCGGCAGTGGTTGGAGTCGGGCAGCGATTGAGGCGAGCAGCGTTGGGAGTCGAGAAGGAAGTGGGTGGAGCTAAAGATGGAGTTAAGCTAGTTGTGGCTCGACTACGGCCGAAGTGGAGGAATGGTTCGTCGTCGCTCGACCGCGCTCGGGCTGCTGCTTCAAACAGCTGGCCGCTCGCAGGACACTACTGGTTCTGCTGCTGAGGCGGTATGGCGCATTGATCGACACTTGGATCTCATGTTCCGGCGATCAGATAGGAAGTCTGGCGGGGCAAGAAAGAAACTAGGACGTCGCTCGAGCAAGGGAGGCGCGCTCGAGTGAGCGAGCAAGCAAGCAGACAGCGGAGCCGGGACGGGTCTACGAGGCCTCTTCAGCGTCCGTCTCCAACGCGAGACGGTCCTCCTGTCCGTTAAGATAGCCGGAAACCAGGGATATGGACGGGCGCAGCGAGCGGACGACAAAGGCCCCTGCTTCGTCTCACGGGCCTCTCTCCGCCATCCTATCTCCGCTGTTTCCGTCGCTGTGTGCGCATAGTCGAGTGTGCTCTAGCAGCGGTGAGCGCCACTCTCAGAAAGCACATGCGTCCTTCAGTCTTCCGTCAAGCCGCTGGAGATGTGACAAAAGAGAGATGCATTCTCGAAAGCATAATACACTGCGATCACCCGAGTGCCCCGCCTCGAAAAAGGCGGCGGGAGAGGGAGGAGCTTGGAATGAGCGACGAGCTTTAAACTCGCGTGCGTCTCTCACCCCAGCCCGCTCTCCGGCCGCGCTCCGGGCGCCCGGGTCACCTGGAGATTTTTCGGAGGGCGCGCGCGCGCGCGTCCCATCGAAACAAATAGTCAGGAGTGGAGCCGGAACGGAAGTCGAGACGAGCAAGACACAGGAACAGGACAGGCGAGTGGGGGGAGGAGCAGCAGAGGAGAGAGAGGACCGAGGTCAAAAAGAAGCTTTTGGATGTGTCCCCCCGGATCATTCGCCCTATCGCCCATCCCATCTATCTCCCCTGCATTCACTCGGGCGATCTCCCTCTTCTTCGCTTCGCTTTTCCCCTTCTGACAGTGGGCCCCTCTCATAGAACAGCCACCAGGATGAAGGAGCTCAAGTCGATCCTCGTCGGCACCTTCAACACGCCCGAGCTCTTCCACCTCGTCTTTGACCCGCACACCGAGTCGCTCGCCGTGTCTGCCGTCTTTCCCGCACACGGCAACCACTCCTGGCTCGCGCTTGGCCCGCCCAGGGACGGCGGCCATCGGAACCTGTATGCGACGGCGTGGACCGACCCGACGAGTGTGGCCGCCTACCGCGTGGTGGATCAGGGGTTAACACAGGGGCAGGGGCAGGGGCAGGGGCAGGGCGGGCTCGAGCTCACGCTGCAGAACACGGCCCCGACGCGCGCACGGAGCGGGTACGTGGCCGTCGGAAAGCAGCCCGCCGACGTCCTCTACACCGTCGGTGGGCCAACGGGCGAGGTGCTGCGTCTCAACGAGACCGACGGCCGCTTCCGAGAGGGGGGCGATGCCACGCTCCAGTACCTTGACTTTATCCACGGCCACGTCCAGCGGGCCGGCGGGGCGGGCCAGACAAACGGCCACGCAGGCACGAACGGCACCAATGGCCTCGAGAACGGCAAGACGATGGACTTTGGCGGCCTCCGCAACGGCTCCCACTCCATCGACCTCTCGCCCGACGGGACACTGGCCTACGTCGCCGACATTGGCCGCAACGCCTTCTTTGTCTACGAGGTCGATGGCCACGACGGCGCACTTCGGCTCGCCGAGAAAAAGGCCTCGCCGCGCAGCGACGACGGCCCGCGCCACGTCTGGCCCCACCACGGCGGCCGCGTCGTCTATGTGCTGCAGGAGCACAGCTGCGCCGTCGACGTCTTTGAGGTCGTCGCTGGGCCAGCGAAAGCAGCAGTAAACGGGACAGGGGCAGCAGCAGCAGCAGCAGCAGCAGCAGCAAACGGGAAAGCAGAGGAGAGCGGCGCGGTGCATCTGGAGCTGCGGCAGAGCGTGCGCATCATTCCCGACGAGCTCGACCAGAAGCTCTTCTGGGCCGACGAGGTGCGCACCTCGGCCCCGCAGGACGCCCGCTTCCTCCTCGCCTCGACCCGCGGCCTCGAGCCGGGCACGCTCGGCTATGTCGCCCTCTTTGAGCTCGACGAGCAGGGCTACATCCGCAATGTCCCGCTGACGACCTCCAAGTCCACGTCGGGCGCAGGGTCATCATCAGCAGTGCCGCACCGGTCAAAGTGGAGCGACATCCTCCAGACGCCCACCTCGGGCGGCTGGGCAAACGCCGTGGAGCCGTGCTACGAGCTGCTGGGCACAAACGGCCGCAGCGACGTGTATGCGGCCCTGACGGACAGCGAGAAGGGCCTCGTCATGATGCTCAAGGTCGAGCGCGCGAGCGCAGGAGCAGCAGCGGGTAAAGCCTCGCTCAGGGAGGTCGCGCGCGTCAAGCTGGGCATGTACAAGGACCAGGTCAGAGGCGCGGCGACGGCAGTATGGCTGTAGACGGATTCAGTCCCTGTAGACGGTCTCGTGCTTTTTTAATTGCCTTATTTCAGCGAGGTGTGTGTGTGTGTGTGCAGTCCAGCGTGAGCGAACAAGGTGAGCATTGCAAGGGGACCATTGCAAGATCAGAGGCAAGGCGAGAGAAGGAATGCGAGAGGAAAGCCAGTCAAGAGAAGGAATGCGATCATCGTATTAACGAGACGGGAAAAAGAAGTGTTCGGGAAAAGGAAGTGTTCGAAGGGAAAAGGAAGGACTCGAAAGACAATTCAAACACAGCGAAAGGACTGGTGCGATCGGCCATCGCCGCCTTGGAAGATCGCCCGTTTGGGATGGGGACAGAGCTTGCGGGTGAAGCGGACGCCCAGCACGTGGCTCTCGGCAGAAGAGGGGATGGGCCTGCCGATGGACGAGGCCGAGTCGGCCTTGCTGGGCGATGCTGCGTCGTCGGACGAGGACCCCTTGGGTTTCTGGACCTTGTTGTAGGCTGCTGCGACGAGGTCGTCGGGTGCGATGCCCCGCTCGGCCCAGGCGACCATGGCGAGAATCATGTCGTGCTTGGTGTCGAAGCGCAGGGGGCGGTTGCCCGGGTCCTTTTGCGTGACGCCACCAAAGTGCCATGCGCCGGGCCCGTCGCGGCAGTGGTGCATGCCGGGCACTTCGTAGAAGCGGACACCGTTCTGGACAGCAGCGCTGCCCGTGTCCCGCTGGACGGCACGGTAGTAGTCGACCGTCGTCGCCGCACTGATGACGGGGTCGGCGAGACCATGGTAGACGAGGAGCTTAGCGCCGTTGTTGAGAAAGGGCTTGAGATCCGTCTTGGCGCTGTTGACGTTGGCGTGGTCCTCCTGTCTGCCGCGCACGACGTCGGCCCATGTGTAGTCTTTGAACGGGTTGAGGGACCGATTGAGCGACGCGCGCCCCTGCACGCCGAGCTGCAGCCACTGGTCGGCCTTCTTCTGTGCACCCGTGTAGGTGCCGGCGCCCGACTCGACGCCTGGCGGATAGGCGGCATAGACGAACTTGCCATCGATTGTCGTGGGCGAGTAGAAGCGCCGCAAATTGGCCAGCTGTGCGGGCGTGAGGCACGTCTGGCTTGCTGTTGTGGTTGCTGTCGTTGTCTTTTTGTTCGTCCCCTGGCTCGTCTTGAGCTCGTTGGTCTCGTCGAGTGCAGTCTGTCTTCTGGTGAGTTTCTGCTGCTTCGGTGTCGTCTCTGGCTGCGAAGTAGTGTTCAGCTCGATTGGCTGTGTATGCGCTGCTAGTGAAGCAGAAACGCCCGCATCAGTGCAGAGTAGCTTGGAGAAGTCGGGCCGGCAGCGGAACGGGTCGCTGAGGACGCCGTCCTTGACGCCATCGAGTGCGTCGCATGCCCCGAGGATGAGTTCCTGCACCTGGTCGTACAGAAAGTCGCGGGAAAAAAAGCCGTCGCCGGCAAAGGACTTGTTGAAGACGCTCTGCTGGTGCAGCTGGCCCAGGTTCATCTAATGGGGATCTTCTGTCAGCCAATTGCCTCGACGAGAGAGAGAGAGACACTCACGTCGCTGAAGCGCAGCGTGGGTGCTCCGGCGAGGACACCGTCATAGTCGAGCGGCATGTCCTGCACCGCGGCCAGCGCGCGTCCGCCGCCGTTGCTGCACCCCGCATGGTAGCTTCTCAGCCGGCCCGTTCGCTCGTTGCGCACGCCGATGCCTTGCTGCGACTTCTGCATGCCCAGTTGGCCGTAGAAGGCCTCGACGACGTCCTCGGCCAGTGTGCGCGTCACGTGGTGGGCGCGGGTGGACCAGTCGAGGAGCGTGTCGTCGTGCTGGGAGCCATTGACCCAGGTCGAGGAGCCGGCCGTGGCAAAGTGGCCGAGATTGGAGCCGGCGACGGCAAAGCGGTAGCGCGACATCTGCTTGCAACCAGTCAGCTGCTCGTCATAGCAATTCAGTTGAGATAATGCAACCCACCATCTGCTTGAGATCAGCAAGGGGCACGAAGCCGCGCTGCGCACCGTTGCCCATCTCGAGCAGCCGTCCGTTCCAGCCGCCGTGGCGGACGCCAAAGACGTCTTCGCCGGCGATGGCCCCGCTGGCTGCACCGTTGCGTGCACGCCGCTGCTTCCCCGTTGCTGCGTTTGCGTCGGCTGGCTTCACGTCGGCTGGCTTTACGTCGTCTGGCTTCGTCTCTGACGGCTTGTTTTCAGAAGGCTTGCTTTCTGACGGCTTGTTTTCTGGCGGTTTGCTCTCAGGCGGCTTGGTCTTGGTGAGTGTCTTTTCCGAAGGCTTTGTCTCGGTCAGTGTCTTTTCCGCAGGCTTGGTCTCGGTCGATGTCTTCTCTGAAGTTTTGTTCTCGGTCAGCGTCTCGGCTGACGGCTTGGTCTCTGACTGCTTGGTGCCCAGAAGCGTCTCCTCGGTCAACTTGTTCGTCTCCGCTTTGTTCTTATGCTTCTTCTCCTTGTGCCCCGTCATTGACTCAGCGTCGGTCTTGTCGCCCTGTGGGGGCTGCTTGATGACTACGCCTCCCTTGTCAAAGGTAAGCCCCGTCGTTGCAGACGGGTGGTCCGTCTGGTTGATGGCCGCCACGGGCATCGAGCGGTTCTCCGCCAGCGCTGTGCCAGTGTGTATGCGTGAAAGTCAGTATAAGCACGGCGGCCCTCAAAAGCAGCATCGTCACCCACGCATCCAGACCTCAGACAGGACCCTTGTCAAGGCAGATGACTGGGTAAAAGCACCGAAGCGGCAAAAGGCAGGCAGGCCGCCGCTGGGCCCATTGTGGACGATGCGTTTGTTCGTCTGGTAGCCGTAGCCGCCCTCCTGCGTCAGGTCCACGTCGGGCCCCACGCTGGCCAGGATGGCGCCCACGTCGACGTCGGCGGGGATCGTGCCCGCGGGGTAGGTGCTGCTGAGGAGCTCCAGCGACGGGTTGGAACCCTGTGGGTAGTACTGGCTGAAGGCGAGCTGGAGCGTGCGGCCGTCGCGCGGCTTGAATGTCGTCGCGAGGGCAAGACAGCGCTGCGATGCCTCAGGCGAGTCGCGCAGCACGCCCGCCTCCTCCTCCTCGTCTTCCCCTCCTTCTTCTTCGTCGGTCTCTTCTTCGTTGCTGTACTTATCATGGTGATGGTGGTGACGGTGATGACTCACCACCACCTTGGAGAGACGTGTTGGAGAAGCAGATCGGCCACCGTCAGTCTGCGACAAGACCGCATTCGCACCCAGCGCTCCCTCATTCGCGACGCCCAGCGGAGCCTGGAGCTTTGACTTGTGATAGCTCAGCCCCTGTCCCTGTTCTTGTCCCTGGCTCTGGTTCGTGCTGGCCTGCTGATCGGCCAGGAGAGGCTGCGCAAGGGTCAGCGCGGCCGCGCCGACGCAGAGGATGCGTACCAGTCTCATGCGCCTCCGTCTAAAGGCAAAGCCAATGGTGGTGTTTGTTGCCCCAGGCGACAGGACGAAGACACTGGCAAGAATAGCAGCCATCTGAGGAAAAAGGAGGAGGGGGCAAGCCGCCATCTGCTCAGATCTCCGTGCATCGCTGTGCAGACGCCCTGTCGCCGCCTTGACCTTCGATTTTATTTGTACTGCATATGAACAAGTGCGCAAATTTGATGCGATGGGGTGGGCGCGGAGCTCTGATGGGCAGCGGCCCGTCCGAAATACTGCCGTACCACTAGCAAAGGAAGTGGAATGGGAGGGCAGGGGGCCTGTGCGCCGCCAAGGCTCTCCCCGTCGCCAGACGGTCGCCGCCGTCGGCAACTCTCAAGGCCGCTGTCATCACACTATCAGATCTACTACTGTACTGTACGTACACATGATACAGATGTCCATTGCCCGTTGCGTTCTTCACAGGAGATTAGCGAGTGTGTTATAGAGTGGGGTATGGGGGGTATGTCAAATCACGACTGCGCGGGCAGGCCCTCGAGGGGCGCGTTGGAGTTGGACGAGAGGCGGACCCAGCTGGCGAGGGTGCCGCCCCACCCACGGCTGCCGTCGCCGTTGCCCGGGTTCTGGCCCGGGTTCTGGCTCTCGGTCGCAGGCATCGGCGGTGATGTCGGTCCAGTGGTGATTGTCGCCGCCGCCGCCGCCGCCGTCGATGGCGCATTTACTGCTGCTGCCATCGACGGCGCTGCAGGCGACGGTGCCGCGGTGGCCGACGCCGACGACAGCAGGGCGGCATTGAGCTTGCTGAGGGGCGACTGGAGGAACGACGCGGGCGCGGCGGCGTCGAGCTTGTCCTGGCGGTCCTGCTCGTTGAGGCGCTTGAGTGCACCGAGGGCGCCTCGCCGTCGCTCGCCCGTGCTGGCGTCCACGTGGGTGCCTGCTTCGTCGCGTCGCCGCCGAGCAGTGGTCTCATCGTCGTCGTCGTCGTCGTCGTGCGACGTAAAGAGGCCGAGGGCGGCGGCGTCGGAGGCGAGGTAGCTGCCGCTGGCGCCGCGCGGTCGACGGTGGCAGTAGGCGAGCCCGGGCGAGGGGTGGTCGCGCTCAGCGGCACTGCTGCTGCTGTTGGCGCCCGTGCTGGCAAATGACGACTGGCTCCAGCGCTGACGCAGGGCCGACGCGGGGCGGTGCTGCTGCTGCTCCAGCGCGGCGGCGGCGTCTTCACTGGCAAGGCTCTTGGCCGGCGTGGGGGGTGTCGTGACGATCGAGGCTGTCGTCGCCGTCGCCGTCGCTGCTGTGCCTGTCGTCGTGCCACTGTGGCCACCGAGAAGCGCAGACAGGGCGCCCGAGGCCCGGCTGGCGCTGCCCAGCTCAGCGCCGGTCGAGGGCGGCCGCGAGGGCACTGCGCTGCTGCTGTTGCTGTTCAAGTTGCTGTTCACGTTGCTGCTCCCGTCGTCGCTGCTGATGCCGCCGCTGATGCCGCTGCTGCTGCTCATCGCCGTCGTCGGGGCCGTGACGGCGAGCGAGACGGCTGGGCTGGCCAGCTGCGGCCGCTTCGCCGGCGGCCGCGACGGCAGCGGCTGCTCCTCTTCTGCATCGCCCTCGCCCTCGGCCTCCTCGTGGATGACGGCACTCGCCGCACTGGCGTCGCGGCTGTGCACGGGCGCGTGGGCCTGCGACGATGACTGGCGGAGCATGCGCTCGAGGCGCTTGGCTGCGCTCTTGCCAATCGTCGCATTGTCGTCCTTTGCCTCGACGATGCCCCGCGTCGATGCGTCGCTCGAGAGCGCAGCCGTGGGCAGCGTCTGTGCCTGCGTCTGCGTGCTTGTCTGCCCCTGCCCAAGCCCCTGCCCAAGCCCCAGCGACGGCCGGCGCCAGTGCTGCTGCTGCTGCGCGGACTGTGTATGCAGCAGAGATGGCCGCTGGAATGGAGGCGACGACGACGACTGCTGCAGCACCGCCTCGAGGCGCTTGTTGGCCGCCTCGATCCACCGCAGCTTCGTCTGGTGCAGCTCGACGTCGCGGTGGAGCTCGGCCTCGCGGGCCTGGAGCTGCACCTCGAGGCTCGACTGGGCCGCGCGCAGCCGCGCCAGGTCGGCGCGCGAGGCCATCGTCGACAGCAGCAGCGAGTTGGCCGTCGTGAGGGCGAGCATCGTCGTCGACAGCGCCGCATCCAGCGCCGCCTCGGTCCCCGGCGACGGCGGCCGGTCCTCTTCTTCCTCTTCCTCTTCCTCGTCCTCGTCACCATGGCCGAGACCGTGATGATCACCGTGACTGTGACCATCACCGTGACCATGACTCAGCCGGTGGTGCTGGTGGTACGGCGGCGGCATCGCCTTGAGTCCGTCGTCGTCGTTGAAGGAGCAGTCGGACGAGTGCGCCGTCGTGTCGGCCGTCCAGACGGACCATCTCTGTTGTTGGTTTTGCTGCTGTTGCTGTTGTTGTTGTTGTTGTTGCTGCTGTTGCTGCAGCAATAAATGCTGTGATGGCGGCGCCTTCGACGGGGGAGCAAGCGACGGCCGAAGCTGAGCCACGTCGGCGAGCCTCGGCCGCGACCTCCGGTGGCCCATGGCGCCGCGCGTGCCGCTCATCCGGGGCGAGTTGGCAGGCGAAGACGAGGAAAAGGAGGCACTCGACGACGACGGCGACGGGTCCCGGTTGCCGCGCCAGTCGTCGATGTATTCGACGAGCGCACCCGACTGCTGCTGCTGCGATGGCCTCCTCATTCGCCCGTACGGCACATCGTCGTCGTCGTCAAAGACCGTCTTGACCCGCGTCGAGCCTGGCTGCGACGGCGTCTTTCGCTGTGCAGCGTCGAGGCTGGTGCGCCGCGACGAGCGCGACGACCGAATCGTCGCCTGCGGGTCCATGGCTGGCGTGGATGTCGATGTTCTACCACTCTCAGTCTCACTCTCGAGGGGCCATGTTGGCGGTGGCGGGGGATCGTGCCCACTCAGGAGGTCGCGCGCCCGTCAGACGCAATCGAGGGCCGTTGTTGTGTTGCATGCAGCCTCTACCACTTTTCGGCCTATTATTCTCGTCGCTCGCTCCCCCTCGCTCAGTCATGGCATGACACATCCGATGGAACCCCTGAACAGGGCACTGGAAAAGCCACGTGGAGGGACGCGCGCACGCACGCGCATTCGCAATATCCCATCTGATCTTATCAATCAGCGTTGGCTGCATGGCCCGCCTGAACCACTGAGGGAGGCTAACACTACTACCACCACTACACTCAGACGACATGCACCGGCTCACGACTCTGTCCCGCGGCGGCTCCAGCACCGCATGGACCCGGAGCGTCGTCGGCGGGGCTAGCAGCAGTAGCACCCCGGCATCGGCGCCGTACTCGCGATTGGCCGGCGCTGCCTCCACATCGGCGTCGTCGTCGTCGTCGTCGTCATCGCCACATGCCTTATCGCCGTGTATTGGCAGCAGCAGCAGCCGCACAGGCGCACGGCGCGGGTATGCCGTGCCCGTCAACACCAAGACGAGCGTCGACCACCTCCTGGGCGTCGCGCCACCGATGCCGCCGCGGCCGCAGCCGCAGGACGAGGCGGGCGACAGCAGCAGCGCGGTGCCCAATGCCCTCGTCGGCACCGCGCGTTCGCCCAATCCAAACGACCTCTCGGACCTGCTGCGTGGCGGAGACGGCAGTGGCAGTTCATCACGCGGGAATGGGGGCGTCGTCACGCGGAGACCGGGCACGGCGCTGCCGACCGAGGACCTCGACATGCTGTTCGGGCAGCAGCAGCGCGAGAACCGGCAGAGGCAGGAGGAGCGAGGGGAGCAGAAGCAAGGCGAGGAAGAGGCAGCGCAGCAGCAGCAGCAGCAGCAGCAGCAGCCCGTCAATCGGGAGCAGCCGCACGCCATCGATGCGCTCTACGGGCGCAACGACCTCGACGAGCGCATCCTCGCTGCTGCCCGCGCCGTGCACCACGGCTGCCTCTCGCTCGACGTCGGCTCGCTGCTCGAGCTGCATGACGCCCAGGCCGGCTACCAGCTCTCAGTCGAGGTGCCGTACGAGAGCCGGCCAAAGGAGGGCCGCCGTGTGCCCGTGACGAGCGCGGCGTCGAGCGACGACGAGGCGGGTGCCCAGGCAGCCATCGACGACGGCGTTGTTCTGATTGCCTACGTCGCCGGCCTCGAGGGCAAGCGCGGCCAGGAGCGCATTTCCGTCTGCTCCGGTTTCGCCGTCGAGGGCGGCGATCGCCTCGGTGAAGGCGAGGGCAAGGGCAAGGGCGCGCTGATTGTCACGTGCGCGCATACAGTGAGTGTTCCATCTCCACCACGGTAGATCCTCGGTGACGGTGGTAGTAATGCTGACGCATACATGGGCCACAGCTGCGCGCCTCGATGCCTGCAGCCTCGCCAGAAGGCACCGGCAGCGCCTCGGCCGCGCTTGCCATCACGCGCTCCGGCCACATCTACCCCATCGTCTCGCTCCTCTCGAGCATGCCCCATTCGGACCTCGTCCTGCTCCAGCTGAGCGAGACGCCGTCGTCGACTGCCATCGCTGGGCTGCCGTCTGCGGCAACAGGCCCGCACCGCGTGCGCACCCTGCCCTTGAACCCGTATCCGGCCGAGGTCGGCTCCGAGCTCTGCGTCAGCAGCTTCTGGGGCTGGGAGGACGACTCGGGCTCGACGCTGCCGGCCTTTGAGTTTGATGCCTCGGCCGAGTCGTCGTCGTCAGCAGGAGCAGGAGCAGGGGCAGCAGGAGCATCGGCGTCGACTGCACTGCGCATCGCCTCGTCGCCCCTGCCGCCGCCGCCGGGCCGGGATGCGGCGACGGTGCGGCGGGAGCGCGACGACGCCGTGCGCTCGCGCTGGGGCCGCGCCCGCCTCGTCGAGTACCGCGACAGCGCCGGCAAAGAGGCCCGCGCCGGCACCTACGACGAGCTGTCGCAGATGGACTTCAAGCTGCTCCACGACAGCGTCCACAACCCGCCTGCGCTCGCCGACCGCCTGGCCAATTTCCCGCCGCCGGGCAGCAGCGGCGGGCCCATCGTCGATGCGGCCAGCGGCAGCGTCGTCGGCGTCACGCGCGGCAGCAGAATGAGCCAGCTGCAGGGCAAGCGCGGCGACGGCGTCCCTGCCGAGCGCGTCTTTTTCTTCTTTGCCCTCCCAGGCCTGGGCCGGACCCGCTGAGCGAGGTACCGAATCAGAGACAGAGACAGAGACCAGCACCCAGTGTCAAGAGATCTCTTTCATTGTCCAATCTATAGAATGTTTGCCATTGTCTTCTTTCTCTCAATCAGCAGTCAGATCGACTGTCTCTTTGCGTCTGCCTCCTGTCCTCGGTTGCTGCATGTCGTGTGTAGAGTGTTTGCCAAGTGTTGATGCGCCCCCCTCAGCCCTGTTCCTCTCCCGCCAGCGACGCAATCGCAATTTCAAGTCTGGAGAAATGATCAAGACGAAATGTCAATTTTCGGACGGTGGAAAGAGGCTACGAACTCACGCTCGTTTGCAATCTGCGACTCGGTGGAGAGGCTCCTCCGCAGAGTCTGTGGCGTCTTTTGCCGCGATCCGCAGCTCCTTCTTCAGAAATCCGACCAGTTGACCCAGCGTACTCCTGTATTTGCAGCTGCCTAGCTGGAGAGTGGTTTGAAAACAAGTGTGTCAGGACTTAATTACGAGACTGATGAGGGTAAAGGCAAGCACACCGTAGGCGACTTCCACGTCAAGGGGCACCTCGTATAGACAGCCTTGACTTCCTTGGCCTCTTCTTTCGTCATGTCGGCTGTCTTCTCCTTAAAGCGCCTCGCTGCAGCAGCGAGTGTCTCGACGCGGTTGTTCTTGTTGGCTTTCCAAAGCTCCTCTGCCATCAATTTGGCCAGCTCGACGGCCTTGGCATGTCCCTTCAGTCCCTGATTCCTCTTTTCGAGCTCCGCCAGCTGCTTGACCCTGGGATGGGGAAAGGAGAGAATGTCCAAGACGTCGTTCTCGGTACAGAGCCCGCAGCGGAAAGATGTGCGTCTGCAATAAATGTTGAGCTCCTTTTTGTGCAGTTGAAAGACGCCATTGCTGGACACGATGAGGTCTGCTAGGTCGTTGATGTCCCTGCCAAGAAACGGGCTTGATTAAGGATCCTCATCCTCCTGTGACCGAAGTGCTCTTTCTCACCACTGCAGCAAAAAGATGTTAGGCAGTGGAAACAGATGAGGAGAGTAGGGGTTATACGCACTGCTACTCCATGCTCGAGGACAATGAGGTCGTCGATCGGCACTTCGCTGAGCCTTCTTCCACTTCCAGGACTCATTTCATTGCGATACACGCCAAACCTCAGCTCGCTGGCCCTGTCAAACGACCTGTTGTGCTCGCATGTATTCACACAGAGGTATCGGAGCTGGACCATGGCTGCGTCGCTGACAACAAAGAAGTCATTTTCGGTTCTGTTGATTCCCGGTCCGTCGGCCACCTCGCATACGGCCACAATCTGTCACGGGTGTCATCATCTTCGTCGATGCAATATCTTTGCATTACTGCTGTAGTCCCTCTCGCCTCTATATTTACCCTCATCTTCCCTCCGACTGCAGAGGCAGCAGAAGAAAAGTGTGAGTAAAAAAGCCACTCAAGACACATAATGGACCCACATTCTCTGTGCTCGCTGTTTGGATCGCTCGTTGCGTATGCGATAGCTTCGCTCCACTCTTCAGCCAGGTAGATGCCGCTGCCGTGGTGGCAACCGTGGGCCATCATGGTTGTGTGTGAAAGGTTTTTGAGGTTCGTACGAAGGATCGAATGCCAGTTGGACAGCGCCGACCCGTGGAAGGCTGCAGATGGAGAGCTTATAGCTTGAGCAGCAGAGAAAGTAGGAAGACAAGTAAACCTCACCGTAGAAGGAGCCATGCTTGGCCACAAGGGCTGCAAAGGCGGCGTCGTGCTCCCGGGTTGAGTTGTAGACGCGGAAAAAGAGGTGATCATAGGTCAATTCCGCGCCTTTAATGGCGAGACGATCCTTGTCAAGCACTTCTACGATGTGAGCCTTGTTAGTGGCAAGTGTCCAGCGGAGCACGCGCTTCTGTTCGCTTGTCAATGTCTCTGTCAGCGCTGCCTTGCAAAGATCCTTGCTTGCAGGCACCGAGTCAAGCGTGACGGCCACGTCGGAGGCACACATGGGCGTGACCCCATCGCCTGACAGTGGTAGGTTGGGCATCACCCCTGGCTGTTGATCGTAGTGGCGGGCTGCGGCAGCGGTCGTGACGATGAGGAGATCTTCGACCCGTGAGCGGCCAAGCTGCGAGAGCGAGGCACCAATGCCCAGATTCTCGAGCTGATAGCGGCAGAGGGCGCCGTCGCACGCCGTGGGCTTGAGTCCGGGCCAGACGAGCTTCGCGTCGCACTGTATGCAGTAGCAGCCGCTGTTGGCCATGCGGTCGACGAGGATATCGTAGACGTCGGCGAGGAGGGATTCGGTCTTGCACCTCCAGCGCCCTTCGAAGACCTTGTTTGCGACATTGACGAGCTGGGCACCGAGTACGAAGTCATGGTCGGGCGCCGCAGTCGATGTGGTTTGGCAGAGTGGCCTGGAAGTGAGCCTGGCCTCGACGAGGGGCGGTGCTGAGTCGCGCCGGAAGCCCGCTCGGCAGTCGAGCACGACAGACAGAGAGGTGTCTTGAGCGTCCCTAGGCAGCCCGCAGGCGTCGCGCGCAACCGGGTACATGACCTCGACATCGAGGTGGAAGGTGACGCGGCGTGCGACGAGGTCGATGCGCTCCTCGCCGTGCCCGGCCTGGGCGTGCAGCACGGCCTGCTCCAGAATCTCGTCCGAGGCTAGGTCGATGCGAATGCCCTCGTCACTGTCTCCTTCCTCGCCAACACCGACATTGTCTCTTTCGTCGTCATCCGTATCATCTATCTCGATGACGACTGGAGTACTCTTGGAACCATCTCTTGACGACACCGAGCTGGACGTCTGCTTCCGAGGGTCTTCTCTCCTCGCCTTCTTTGTCGAACGTGCGGGTGACGTCGGTCGTAGTGTCTTCTTTGATAGTGAGGATGATGGTGATGAGGGCGATGAGAATGAGGGCGACGGAGATGGAAGAACACGTTCGGCTGGCCTGCTGCGCTTCTGACCTGTCTTGTTGGGCCGCCATTTCATGGCCGGGACCGAAGCTGACCCTTGCTTCCGTTGCACAGTTCTGGTAGGTGGCGGCGAGGCAGGCTGGGCAGGCTGGGCAATTTGACTTAGCTGGACTGACTGAGAAGGCTGATGACGCTTGGCGCTGGATGAGCTTTCTGCTTCGGCCAAGCTCATCGTGCTCACGATGCGCTCGGTGAGGGCAGGGCCACTGGCAGTGCGCTCGGCTGTCATCAGTCTGCTCGACACGGTGCCCATCAGCTGGAGAGCCATGTCCTGCCGCGGACGACTCCGTGGTCTGCTCTGTACTGCACGATATGTAGGTTCAGGCAAAAGTCAAGCCCATCTCTGGTCAATCTGCAGCGGCACTCGCAGCCCTGGCGATGGAGCGTGGCTCGTGCATGGCCGCCCGCGCGGCCGGCCGAGAGCAAGACTACAGCAGCAGTAGTAGTAGTAGTGACGTACTGTAGTGACTCTTCAGAAAGAGGTGAGGGTGAGGGTGAGCCGGTCAGGACACCATGCTGCTTCAAGCTGGCTCCTGCTATTACAGACATCATACGGCTGCTCTTTCCACCGTGGCATGGCTCTGGCGTCTGCCCCATCGCACCGTGACTGCCTCCCAGGGCGCTAGTGTTTGGGCGCCATGCCGAGCCGGCTGGACAGCCTTAATTCTGCGGCCACGTGGGTTTTAAATTGGAAGCTCAGCCGCCCGCCGTCGTCACACGCTCGAGCCGCCCGCCTGGCTGCCTCGTGCTTCTCGATCATTGTCCCCCCCGGTCGTGCACGACGCCGCGCTACGCAACAATGATGGACCCCTTTACGCTGTTCTTTGGCGTGCTCATAGCCGCCGTCGTCCTCGGCATCTCCATCATGCTCAGCATCGCCATCTCGCAGCCCTTTTCGGGCGCCCTCGTCCGGCTGCGCGCCAACTACCTCCCCAAGGCCGTCTCGCTGGACAATGTGCTCGAGGACGGCGAGCAGGGTGCCACGGCCGGCGTCTCGCCCCGGGCCATCTCGGGCTACTTTTTGCGGCAGCGCCAGTCGGCGGCCAAGATCGGGCCCGTCGTGTCGGGCATCGTCGCCATGCTCATCCGCACCAAGCGCCTCGAGGGCTGGGCGGGCCTGTACAAGGGCGCGGGGCCCGAGCTCGCCCAGCTCTTCCTTATCGGCCTCGTCACCTATGTCGGCTTCAGCGTCAGCGTGCTCAGTGTCGGTGGCAGCCCCTACCGTGCCGCACCGAGCGGGCCGGGCCAGTTTGGCTTCTGGAGCAACCTCGTCTTCATGTTCTGGGTCGCCTTTGTCGCCCTTCCCCTCAACGTCATCACATACCGGTGTGTTTTCCTAGCTGCTTCTTTCTTACTTTACATGAGCTGACCGGACCGTGGACACCAGAACAATTGTCCACCCAAAGATGCTCCCACTCACGACGCCGCGCAGCAACCTGCGCCAGCTCCTCTCCCACGCCGAGTACACGCAGCCCTGGCGCCTCTACTTCGTGCCCGGCCTGCTGGCCGCGACGCTGTGCCACGTCGCCTGGATCGGCCTGGCCACGCGCATCGTGCGCCACTTGACCGTGCCCAGCTGGGGCGGCCTCCCGCCCTCGACGCCGGCCTCGCCCGACGACGACGGCTATTCGGGCCCTTCGAGCGAGACGCTGGCCGTGTCGCCGTTTGGCATGGCCGTCTTTCTCACCTGGTGCGTCCTGAGCGTCGTCGTGCTCAGCCCGCTCGAGTGCGTCATGGTCCGCCTCTCGGTGCAGCGGCCCGACCGCCAGCAGCCGCTGCACCTGGCGTATGCGCGCGCGGGCCAGGCCAACGGCAGCAGCCCTGCGCCGTACAACAACCAGGCCCAGGTTGCACAGCAGGCGCCTGCTAGTGGTGCTGCCCCCAATGGCCAGGCCGCATACACTGACGAGGCACCCGCTGACGACAGTGCAGAGCCGGCTCCTCGGCCGAGCTTTGCCATCGAGGATGAAGACGACGACGAGGCCGACGAGGCACAGCAGGGGGCAGCGAAAGCCGCCAAGCCATCTGACGCTGACGGGCAACCTCCCCGTCAGGAGCAGGCCCCGACAGCCCGACCTCCAGCCCAGGACAGCCACCGGGTGCTGGGTTCATCGGCGGCCACACCACCCCCACCGCAGAGGCCAGGCACCTATCTGCCAGACATGTCGGAGCCCTCGGAGCCCGTGATTGCGCTGCGGCCCTGCGACGAGCCGAGAAACGCCGCCGATGCGGCCGAGGTGGAAGCGCAGGGCTTTGGCGCGCCCGTCGTCGAGCGCTACACGGGCCTCGTCGACTGCATCAACAAGCTCGTCGACGAGGAGGGCATCGAGGCCCTCTACCGGGGCGCCTGGGTCACCCTCCTCGGCGTCCTCGCTGCCAACTTTAGCTGATTGTTCTTCTATACATATTCTCCTCCTTCAAGAGCAACAATTCGTATAGCAATTACTACTACTGCTTGTGTGACGGAGAGAGAGAGAGAGAAAAGAAGAAGGAGCCCCAGCTTGTTTCACTTGACTGTGGAGGCCGCGACGGCGGGATCACTCACGTGCCAAAACGCGAGCCCCTGTTTTCATATTTTGGCTTGCTCCTGTCCCCCGCGCGCGGGCCAAAGGGCGAATTTATGCAGGCGCCACTTTCCTCATCGCATCGCATCTCCCTCGCTTTCCCAAGTTCCTTCCTGTTCAAGATACAAACACACAGACAGACAGAGAGAGAAGATGAGCTCACCCTGGGCGATTCCCCAGCATGGCGTCGACATCGGCGGCTATGCAGGCCCGCCCTCGCCCGTCGGCGGGGGCGCGTCGTCGCCGGGCGGCGCAAGCAGCAAGAGCAAGCGGTCGCTCGCCAATTGGTTCTCGCGCAGCCGCAGCACGTCGCCCTCTGCTGGGCCCGGCGCTGGTGGCAGCGATGCAGGCGCAGCGACAGCACGCTCGCGGCAGGCCAGCCCGACGTCGTTTGTCGTCCGCAGCGTCGTCAAGCAGCCCGGCGGCGTCTCGTACGAGTCCTCGGGCCCACCGTCGCCTGGCAGCGGGGTCGACGAGGCCAGCCGAGCCGACTATATGAATATGCAGCACGGCTACAGCCGGCAGCGCTCACAGCCGCTCAACTCGCTCTCGGTCCCTGCTGGTGGGCCTGGCGGCGGCACGGGCTACGGTACGGCGACGAGCAGCAACGACGGCCGGCCCCTCTCGCAGCAGCAGCAGCAGCAGCAGCAGCACGACGAGGCCATGGCGAGGCCATCGTCTTCTGGTAATGGCACGGGTGCCACGCGCGGCCGCTCGATCCATCGCCCGCCGAGCCCCGGCGCCATCTCGGCCGGCGCCTTTCGCGGCCGCAGCGGCAGCAACTCCCGTGGCTCGCCCTTGCCCTCGCCCTCGCCCATCGCCGCCATCTCGCCCGGCCCGCAGAGCTGGCGGCAGGCCGCCGAGGCGCGCGAGGCTGGCCGTGTTTCCGACAGCTTTGCCCGCATCTCGTCGACGAGCCCCGGCGGGCCGCGCCAGAGCCCCTTTCGCCCTCCGACGAGCCCGGCATCGCGGACCGGCGGAGGCGGAGGCGGAGGAGGTGCCTCGGCCGAGGTGCAAGCGGCGCACCGGCACCACCACGACGCCATGCGTGCACGCATCGCCCAGGCCGGCGGTGCCCTGCCCCTGCCCCTGGCTCAAGCACCGCCGTTGGACTCGAACCCACGGTCGATGTCGTCGTCGAGCGTGGGACCCCCGCCGGTGATCCCACTCGAGGGCATCCCCTCGCCCGTCGCAGTGCCCATCGATGTGCCTGTGCGGCCGCACTCGTACGACCCCTCGCCGCTGGGCTCCGTCTCGCCGGGCGGCGGCTTCGGCGTCGGTGGTGCTTTTGCTGGCGGCGGCGACAACGACTACCCCTCCAACGGCGGCTCGCCTGCCTCGGCGACGGCCAGCCCCGCGCGCTGGATCAAGGGCCTCTTCTCCAAGTCGCCTTCGATGGCGCGTGTGGACCAGAGCCAGTATGCGATGCGCGACGGCCTCTCGCCCGCCTCGTCGGCGCCGTACCCGGGGCAGCCCGTTTCTCCTCTGGGACAGCCAAATCACTACCAGCAGCAGTTGCAAGGCCACCAGCAGCAGCGCGCGTATGCGTGGACCGATGGCTCGCCGCTCGCCGGCGCGCGTGCCCGGCCCAACGACGACGAGGCCGAGGCGCTGGAGCGCAAGCGCAACTCGATGCGCCTCGCCGCGCGCATCGAGGACGAGCACCGGAACCGGCTCATCAGTGGTAGTGGCAGCACGCCAAACAAGCCCTGGTCGCCGCGCCAGGCCATCGAGAGCGACGATGATGAAGATGCAGCACCGCCCAAGAGCAGGAGCCCGCCGGGACGCAAGCCGGTGCCCAGGCTTGACGACAACGACGAGCAGCAGCGCCAGCCCACGGCCGACGAGCTGCGGCGCATGTCCCTCGGCCAGCGCGAGCGCGTCGCCCAGGGCGTGGACCCCGACGACCGGCTGAGCAGGGCCGACGTGGCCAGCCTGACGCCCGCGCAGCAGTGGGTTGCGATTCCCTCCCCTCGCTTGACAAGAACAGAAAGCTGACAGTTTCATTCCTTCCAGGATCATTGCAGAGACGCGCTCCAGACACCTCGCCCGTGAGCAGCAAAATGCGCAAAATACACAGCATACACAGCACCCCTCGCGCGCGTCGACGAAGCCGCCCACGCTGCCGTCCAAGTCGCCCCACCCGTCTGTCCGGCGTGCAGGCGGCGAGGGCGAGGGCCCGTCTGAGGGCGACAAGGGCGAGAGTGACAAGGGCAGGGAGCAAAAGAAGAAGGAAGAAGAAGAAGAAGAAGGAGAGACGGCCGTGCGACGGGGCGCCGCCCAGCCGTCTGAGCGCCGCGTCTCGTCGTCGGCCGCCGCAGCTGGCCTCCTGCCCGGCCAGGGCCCCATGCCGGCCGCGATGCCGCTCGGCGCCGCGCTGCAGGAGATGATGGTGCGCTTCTACCGCTTTGAGCGCTACGCCGTCCCGCTCATGCGCGCCATCGAGGGCCGCGTCGTCGACATTGAGCGCGACGCCCAGATGGCTGCCCACCCGGCCGCATCAGACGCCAGCAGCAGCAGGAGCGCGCGCGACGCCGAGATGGACAAGTGGGTTGGCCAGATGACGGGTCTTATCAGGCACGAGATTGGCCAGCTTCGTGCGGCCACGGCCGAGATTCGGGGTGGCCGCGAGCTCCTGGCTGCCGTTGCTGGTGGCAGGGCGGCTGCGCCAGCCTCACCCGCTGCTGCTGCTGCTGCTGCTGCTGCTCCTGTTTCCAGCTCCCCAGCGGCCGTCGAGGCACCCTCGTCAAGGGCAGCGCTTGACTCAGCAAAGGCAGCAGGTGGCGCATACAAGCCAGCGCAGGATAAGGAGCAGGAGAGCCAAGCAAACAAAGACGACGGTGCCAGGCGCCTCAACAACATCTCCTCGGCCTCGTTCACCAGCGCCGTGCCCCGGCGTGGCTCGGTCGGACAGCAGCGGCAGGACTCGCTCAAGCTGCCCCAGGGCGCACGGCCGCAGCTCGACAAGGACGAGGGCAAGAGCAACAGCAGCAGCAACAGCGGCCTTGCACGCCAGCCGTCGCACGACGCAGCCGGCTCGCGGCCCGTGAGCCCCTCTGGCCGGCCGCGGTACACGTCTGCGCTGGGCCAGCCGCTGCAGAACGGCCGGCTGTCGCCTGTCCGTGGGGGCAGCCCGGCAGCAGCAGCAGCAGCAGCAGCAGCCGCCGACGAGGGGGACGACGCCACGTCGGACGTCTCGACAGGCAGCCGCGCTCAGAGCATCGACGAGCGCCTCAAGGCCCTCGTCGACCACAAGCTGCGCTCGCCCAGCACGGCCTCGGACAAGCCCTCGCTGATGTCCGAGGGCGAGATGGTCGAGCACGACGATGCGACGAGCAGCATGGCCCGCTCCTCGTCCAACACGACCGACAACGACTATGCAATGGTGCCCTCTGCCTCGCCCACGCGCATGCGAGGCGCTGATGGCGACGGGGAGGAAGAGGAAGAAGAAGAGCCGCGCACGCCCCTGCGGCGCCAAAAGGACCCCTCGACGGCGTCGGCCAGGTCCGAAGCCACGTATGTCCCCGTCGCCTTTCCCTCGCCCTTGCCCTCACCCTCGGCCTCGGCGTCAGAGATCCGCACGAGCGGCCTCGCGAGCCAGGGCCTGCGTGCGCGCGCCCAGTCCTACCTCCAGAACGCAGAGTCGCGCTCCTCGTCGTCGTCGCTCCTCTCGACGCCCCGCTCCCCCGCCGCGCGCTCCCTGTCGGCCTCGTCCGACTCGGCCGGAAAGCAGCGGCCGCCCAGCGAGTCGGCCTGGCTGGCCTCGTCGCCGAAGAGCTCGGCGAGCCGCACGTCTGCCAGCCACGCGCGCGAGACGAGCGCAGACAGCGCCGGCTCGACGCGGCCCCTGACGATTAAAAAGAGCGTTAACTCGCTCAGCGGTGCCGCCGCCGGCCGCACCACCAGCAGCTCGACGACGACATCGCCGACAAAGGACAGCTTTGGCTCCAGCTTTGGCCGCAAGGTCGCCGGTGGTGGCGCTGGCGGCAATGGCACCGACAATGACGACGAGGAGCAAGGCGCCGAGAATGCGCCGCAGCAGGCGACGATCCGGGCAAAGAAGTCGCCCGTCTCGTCGGTCTTTTTGGACGCTGCGCCTTCGACGACGACAACATTGTCGACGCCCAAGAAGAGGGGCGCACTTTCTGCAGCTATGGCAGGGACGACAACAACGACGACGACGCCCGGTGGCACGTCGTTCAGGGACCGCATCGCCTTTTTCGATGCGGCCGCCCGTTGAGAGAAGACACACCCTCACGCGGCTGGCCGTCTGTAGCAGTGAAGAAAACAAGAACCGTCGCATCGTATTTTGTCTACAGTGTCTCTAGTACAGCGTCTCTAGTATTATTAGCGACCTTTTCTCATTCTCATTCTTGCGTGTTGCCCGTGTGTCCCGCCACCTCAGAAGGCAACGTTGCCCGAAAAGAGGTAGAGGAGCTCCTTGTGGTCGAGCTTGTTTGCGCCCGACTTCTTGGAGAACTTGCTGCCCTCGAGCGCGGCCTTGCTCAGCGCCCGCTTCTTCTCCTGTCGTTCGGGTCTCTCATCAGCTTCACAAAATCAACAGAATGGGCGCACATGGGATGGCACTGACCTGGAGCGCCAGGATGCGTTCCTCGACCGAATTGGCAATCGAGAGCTTGTAGATGACGACGTCCTTCTCCTGCCCCAGCCTGCCATCCCAAGCATACATTCCTATCTGTCAGCTCTTTCTCGTCTTCTCTTGTCGCAGGAGTGAAGACAAGCTACTCACCGATGGGCGCGATCAAAGGCCTGCTCCTCGATCTGCGGGTTCCACCAGAGATCCATGAGGATGACGCGGCTGCAGCACGTCAGGTTCAGGCCCGTGCTGCCGGCCTTGAAGCTGACGAGGATGATGCGCGTCTCGGCGTCGTCGCGGATCCGCTCCAGCGCCCGCTCCCGATCGGCAGGCCGCATGCGGCCGTCGTAGCGGACGTGCGTGTGGCCCGCATCGCGCAGGAATGGCTCGACGAGGTCCATAAAGGAGGTGAACTGCGAAAAGACGATCAGCTTCTCGGAGCGTGGGCACGCATCGATGAGCGAGAGCATCATGCGGATCTTCGTCGAGGCGCGCCCGGGCGAGCGCCAGTCTGCCGTCTTCCCTTGCTCATCCGCCGCCAGCGCTTTCTCCTCCTCAGACTTGGGCTTGGCCTGGACGGTGAGGCCGGACAACAGATCGGCAAGACCGCCGTCGTCGTCGCCCCCCGCCTCGCCGTTTGAGTCGTCTCCATCGTCCTGCTCCTCCTCGCCAGGCCGCTTGTCGGGCACGGGCGCCTTGGCTTCGTCGGCGTCGAGGTCGCGCATCGTCAGCGCCGGGTGGCTGCACGCCTGGCGGAGGCGGAGGAGCATGAGGAGCGTAACCATATGGTTGACCTTGCCCGTCTTGCTGCCCTGCTGCTCCCGCTCCAGCTTCTCGCGCGCACGCTGCTCCAGCTCGCGGTAAAAGTGCCGCTCGTCATCGTCGTCAAAGTCGCGCTCGACAACCTCAATCGTGCGGCGGGGCAGCTCGAGCAGCGGCTTGCCCTCGTCCGTCGTGGCATCCTTTGTGCGGCGCAGCATAATCGTCTGCAGCACGATGCAGAGGCGCTTCATGCCCCAGTTGACGCGGTTCTGGTTCGTCGACTTGAGCGGGTCGCCGATCTTTTCCTTGAAGAGGTCGTAGCTGTCAAACGGCGGGATGCCGAGGAACTGGATCAGACTGAACATCTCAAACGCATCGTTCTGGATCGGCGTGCCCGACAGGCACCATCTGGCGTGGGCGCGCAAACCGAGGGCCACGCAGGCCTGCGCCGCCTTTGTCTTGTGGTTCTTGATGTTCTGTGCCTCGTCTGTCGTCAAACACTTGGTCAGAGATTCATCTTCCCTTTGCTCGCTCGCACAGAACAGGACACTCACCCAGGACGACACGGAGCCAGTGGGCGTCAAAGAGGGGCGCGGCACTCTTCTTGCTCCGGTTCTTTTTGATGGCTTTCTTCTTCTCCTGCTGCCGTTCCCTTGCCCTCTTCGCCTGCGAGTCTGTGTCCGAGTCCGAGTCGTCCGAGTCGAGTTCGTCGCTCGATTCAGAGCTGTCCTTGCCAGCTTCCTCCTGCTCCTCCTCTCTCGAGCCAACGACGTTGCTCCACTCAGACGAGGCAGTGGTGTACGTCGAGATGACGACGTCGTACATGGCAAATGCTGAGGCGTCCTTGGCACGCTGGGGCCCGTGGTGGACGAGGACCTTGAGCCGTGGCTTGACCTTCTCCTTTGCTTCGCGTTCCCACTGCCGGATCACAGCCAGGGGCGCAAGGATGAGCGTCGTCCTGCTCCGCAGCGCAAGCTTCTGACCGCGGTCCTCGGCTGCGTCCTGTGCGTCCGTGGCTGTAGCAGCAGCCTTGTTGGCCTTGTCCGCTTTCTTCTTTGGCGCGGCACCTCTGTATGCGTCGCGGTCGTCCGTCTGGCGCACGTACCCCACCGTCGAGTCAGCCTTCTTTGGCGAGTTGGTCACGAGGAGTGCGAGCATTTGCACGGTCTGCTCCAATAGCAAGGCGTCAGTTCCCCAAAGGAAAGAGAGAGAAAGAGAGAGCGAGCAACCCACCTTGCCAAGGCCCATGTCGTCGGCGAGGATGCCGCCCTTGTACCTGCCAGCCTCGCGTTGCTTCATCCAGACGAGGCCCGCGACCTGATGCGGCATGAGGGTGCACTCAAGCCCGTCGACGTGGGCCGCTTGCTGCATCTCGTCGTCGTCTGCATCGGGCACGAGGACCATGGCGTCCATCATGTCCTGCAATTGCCGATCGCGCTCCGAGGCCGTGAGCGTGCTGCTGTTGATGTTGCCTCCCAGGTCTGGTAGTACGCGCGCATGGCCGTCAATGTACATCATAGCAGCTGCGGCGGCATCATCAGCGGCGCTTCTCGACGGCGGCTTTGACGGACCATCGTCCTGCGATAGATCGACGATGTGCTGCTGTCGCTGCTGCTGCGGTATCGCAACATTGGCCAGCGGGGGTCTTGCGCCAGGCACAAGCGCAGACGGGTGCGGTTGTGCAAACATAGCCGGTGTCGTTGTCGTCGTCGTCGTCATCTTGCTTGGCGAGGCAGCGTCGAGGGGAATCGGTGCGTGCTTGGATCCCACGAGGCCCATGCCCAAGCGACGCGGCTGAGACGCGTGCGCCTGGACCTGGTGCAGTGGCGGCGGCTGCGGCTGCGGCTGCGGCGGACGAGGAACAGGACCAGTGGAGACAGGGAGCGGGGCGGGGTCGTACATGCGCACTTTGGATGGGCCCGCGTGCTTGTCGCGCCCAGGCAGCTGCCAGCTCGTCGCCAGTGTCGGGTACCGCGACGGCGTCGCTGGCGCTATGCTCTGGGCCTGGTTTTCTGTAGACGCAGGAGGAGGTCGTGCTGTTTTCGCCGCCTCCGCCTCGGCTTCCTGCCGGCGAAGAGAGTCTTGCCGCTGCATTGCCTCCATCGCCGTCGTCTCGTGCCGTTCTTCCTGCTTGGTGTTGTTGTTTTTTTTTTAAGTTGGATGTTGAGGTGGAGATCACTTTCAATTTCTGGACGCGCCCTCACATCGCTTTCTTAGTCTCTCTGAGCTCTGGCAAAGTTTAGTCCCTGCGCGAGAATATTGCTCTGCCGCACGGCGCAGTGCTGCCTTTGCCACCAGAATTGGAGCCACACGGTGACGAGTCTACGACCAAAGCTTGCTTTGCTAGTTGTGAATCCATGTGCGAAGTTGGTAAGGTTCCTTTGATCAGATGAGTCAAGTCGATCCGGATCTTATAGCAGCAGCCTCCTCGGCTGTTATGAGCTGTGTCGCAGACCTGTCAGAGCGTTCAATTACTCGCTTGTGCACCCGACTGCGTCCATCAGGCAAGTCACAGACAGGTAAAGGGGACAGCTGGAGCTGGGAAGAAGCCTAGGCTAACAAAGCAAAGGTTGTGAGAGCACACGTGCTGAACAGGACGGAAGATGAAGCCGTCCGTATCAATGACTGCTACATTCAGATTTTAGCACGTCTTGCAGTAGTAAGCACGGACGAAGTACAGTACCACCGGGGGCGATCAGGCTAAAACCGAGCTTCCGAGCGCTGATAAATTGCCTCAGGCTCTCCTTCGTGAGGACTTTCGCTGCAGTTCAGCCATGCGCTTCCATCAATCCGCGCTAGTGATAAAGAAAAGCGAGAGATTGCGAAGCGGGATGCACTGACAGATGAATGATCTCTCCGAACCAACCCACCATCCACGAGCATGGCAAACACGACGTCGACGCCAGACCCCTTGGACACCTTCGGCCTGGTTCCCACCGCAGTCGGTGCTGTTCATGGCGCAGCATTGAATGCCGCTTTCTTCTCCTTCGACGTGTGCCTGGCCACCACATTCGTCCTCTTCTCCACACCCACTGAGCGCCGCTCCGCCATTTTCTGGCTGCATATCTTCTCCTTTGGCTGTGCAGGCGCCTTCTTCTTCATCCAGATAGGCACTCAGCCCTCGCAGATATTTTTGACCGCATCGCAGAAACCAGATGGCGACTATGATCTGGGCATATCCTTGGACCTAGCCAGGTGTGAGTGCACATCCGCCTCCAGAAGCAGCAATGAGATGCTGATTTGCTGCGCAACAGGGAATGCCGCGTCCTTCTTTTTTCTTCTTTTTGCCCCATTGGTGGCTGATTCGAGCCTCTTCTTCAAGTTGAACGCAATCTACCCATCGTGGGCTACGTCACGAGTAAAGCAGTGTCTCGTGCTGGGGCCTTTCATCGTCGCCCTCATCGTTCGTCTCATCCTCTCGTTCTTGACAATCTGGTACAGCGTCGGCCTAATAACACCCAAGATTGAGAGTGGCGGATCGATCAATGATGTGTACGGTGAGACGCACGTCTTCGAAATCCTCCGCGCTTTGGACATTGGGTTGCAGTTCCTTTCCTGTGCATACGTCTCGGGTAAGAATCTCTCTGCGCTCCTCTTCTCTTCTTAGCTTGGGCTGACAAGATTGCCCATAGCTTTGATTCTTCTTCGTGCCCACCGTTTTCGCAAGCAAAGACGTGCAAGAAGCCGGCACCAGGAACTCGTCGGCGGGGACAGACCGTGGCGCAAGTTGAACCATCTCATCGAGTCGATTCTCATGAGTTTCGTACCACCGCTTCTCTGCCAAGTCATGATCGTAGTCAGTCTGGCAAGTATCGATTATTTGGCCGCGACGGCAATCCAGACGTATGCAGGGACTGCAAACGTCTTTCTCTCCGCCCTCTTCGCTGTCCTCGCCACCACATGGTCGACCGTTCGCGATGCTATACCACGTCGTTCCTCCTCAACGCGAGACTCTTCGACATCGTCTCACTACCAAACGAGTCACAACAGAACAGTGGTGGAAAGGTCCATCATCAGCAACTTTCTCGAGCGTAACAGCGGCGTGGACGATGATGACGAGGAGGAAATGGAGTTCGTTGGTACAACGCCGTCAATTACCGACGAAGGGGTATCAACACCGCCCCTGCCCCTAAAGGGCACCTCGCAATGGCGCACGCACCTATTTGGGCCGCTGGGGTCCAAGCAGCCGTCTTCTTCTTCTTCGTAGCTTCTTTCCTCTTCCTCTGTGATCTATACCCTGCGGCAATTCTCCTGTCCAACATCTCTGTATTAATAAAAGCTGACGAGGAGGAATGTCATCAGGTCTCCTCAGTACAGAAGTGATCTGCATGTGCAAGCCCACAAGGCTCGAAGACATCGTGGACTCATGGACGAGATCGAAGAGTGGTTTCCAAATAGTAAGTCAAAATGCGACCTGGCTTTGTCAAAGAAAACGGACGATGGACGATGATACGACGAGCAATTGTTCGATTGGGAGAGTGAAGGTGGCTGCGACGGAAAGCAGGGGCATACAAGGGGATTCAAGTGGCGATGTGTAAGCATGCGGAGGGAATATTGTGTTTCGCAAGTGCCAGCCTGGAAGGAGGGTGTGTCTGCGAAGAGAAGGGGAGACTAAGGAAGCTAAGCAAGTGTCTCTGTGTCATCGGGCTCCTTTGCGGCTCGGCACAGGTCCTCGCTCTCCTTGGGCCACGCCCACGGCTCCCGCAGCTTGTTTGGATGGACGAGGACGGCGGCCAGGAAGCCCTGGGCGAGATGCCAAGTGATGTGGCAGTGCATTGGCCACACGCCAGGCGTGTCGGTGAGGATCCTCAGCACGGCATAGGAGTGCGACGCGATCGAGATCGTGTCTCTGCGCGGCACCGTAGCACTGCTGGTGTCGAGGTTGCGCCACTTTTCCGGCGTCATCACACCGGGCCCGCGCGCGACAATGTTGAAATAGCGTCCGTGGAGATGGTACGGGTGCACGATGGCCGTGTCGTTGTTGTTGATGATGATGTCGCCCACCCAGACATCATCGAGAAACTCGGCAAAGGCGACGTCGCCCGACACGTTTCTTCCCTCGTCTGTAGCAGAGGTCAAACGCCTGTATCAGAAGAGGACCACGGAGCGCTACTTTCTTCACTCACGCAAATCGCGAAGAAAGGGCTTGTACGGATGGTTGCGCGCCGTGACGCCATTGACAAAGAAGCGGCCCAAGGTGGCATTCTCGCCCATGGCCGTCAGCACACCAAAGTTTGTCGCAAACGACCGCACGTTTCGCACCTCGTGGTTCGGCTTTGTCAGACTCTCCACCGGCACCAGCGCATGGTCGTCGAGGTCTCTGCAGGTCGGACCCAGCACGTCCACGATCGGCGTCGTTGTCGGCTCGGGCTTATCAACGCCGTCGGTGACCACGGCGGCTTTGGTGATCGCCTTGCCTTGTGCTGGCGGGTCCGCGTAGTAGACGGCGACGCGCGCCTCTGCGTCGGCGGCCGCGTCATCGTAAGCGAGGCAGATCCTTTGATTACGAACGCGGAACCAGAAGCTACTGGGTTTTGTCTTGCCCTTTCCGCGACCACCCTGGTCTGTATGCACAATGGCGTCGTAGCGCTGGCCGATGTTGATGGGAATGATGCTCTGCGTCGACGGGTGGATGTCGACGCCGTCGGTGGCCACGAGGCGGAATTGGTCACGGTCCATGGTGACGTGATACATGGCATGGCCGCCGCTGTTGACCATGCGAAACCGATAGCGCTTGTTGGGCTCCAGTGTCAGACTAGGCATCAGGCGCGGCGTGACGCAGCTGTACGTCTGGGGCGTCTGTGAGAGAGCCTGTTTGGAGCAGTCAAAGTGGCCGCGGCCATTGACGAGCGACGACTGGGGCGGTGGGGCCGCTAGGAAGTGGTTGTAGCCCTTTGTTGAATTAAGCGCCTGGGCAATGACCTCGGTCCGCTCGTGGTACCAGTCGTAGAGAAAGAGAAGGACCTCGTCGTCGTAGTCGCGCCCGCGCTGGTAGGCCTCACGCCGGCTGTGGATGATAAGCGGCCCATGGAGGCCCTCGATATACTGCACCGACGAGTGCGAGTGGTACCAGTAGGTGCCCCACTGCTCCAGCTTGAAGCGGTAGGTGTACGTCACGCCAGGCGGGATGGGGCACTGGGAGAAGCCGGGCACGCCGTCGGCAAAGATGGTCATGTTCTGGTTCATGCCGTGCCAGTGCACGCTTGCCAGCTCGTCGAGCTGGTTGGTGACGTGCACGACGAGGGTGTCGCCCTCGTTTGCCTCGACGAGCGGGCCCGGGTCTGTCAGTCAGGCAGTCAGTGATCGGTGAAGCTTTTTGTACATGAGACAGACAGACAGACGCACACTGGCCGTTGATGGAAATGACCTGGCGACTGTAGCCGTCGGGCGCCGCATCGGCCCTCGTGATCGTCCACGTCAGCTCGCGGACCTGCGGAGGGGCATGGGCGTCCCAGTGCGGGTCCAGCGTGTAGTCTGCCGTCTTGGCGCGGGTTCCCGTCTCCTTCCACGGCACATTTTGCTCGTACGTCTTTGGCTGCGTCAGGCTGCCCTTCTGCACCGTTTGCGCTAGTAGTGGTGGGCGTGCCACCGTCAGCATCAGCGCGTCCATCCACAAAGTCGACACAACACTGAGCAATCGAACTCACCGATCTTGGGCGTCAGCTTCTGGTTGATGAGCGAGCCCACGAGCTGGCCGCTGAGCTGCACCGGGCCGCTCGTGCTCGCGGGCGCCTGCTGCACCTGGCGCGCCTCGAGCTGGCGGTGCGAAAAGGCGGCGCGGCGGTGCTGTGCCTCGATGGAGTTGCCAGAGCTCGACGAGGGCACGATGCGGGCCTCGGATGGCAGCGTGCAGACGGTGAGCACCGTGATGGCTGCCCAGAAGCCGGCGAGGACGAGGTGCGTGAGTCGCATTGTATGTCTGTATGGTAGTCTTCCTTGATGGAACGGAGTAAAAGTAGATGAGAAGGGGGAAATGAGGAAGGGAGGAGAAGAAGAGGGTAGAGAGAAGAGGGAGCCAAAGGAGTGTGAGATGTGCAAGCCTCCAGGGGGGATGCAGAAGCAGAAGTAGAGACGGGAGTGGTTGATATGGGGGGAAGCGAGCGAGGGAACAAGGTATCGGGGCCAAGAAGAGAAGACGTCGGGGGAGGGAATTTTTCCAGGGGTCAAAGCGAGACTTGAGACGGGCCGTTTGTGCTGTGCTCAGCAGAAGCCGCCCCCTTCACGCCCAGCTGGCCAGCTCCGCGCCTTCTCTCAATCTCGGGTCGCAGTTCGAATGAACGACGGTCCGGCCGAGCGGGTGGGCCTGGCCTTGTTGTCTGTCCTCTCTCTCTCTCTTCTCTCCTGCCTTTCATCCTCCTCGGTATTCATATTCCCCTCACTCTGATTCTGCGGTCTTTGTGCCATGGAAGGCCTTGCCTTGCAATGAGAAAGTTTCGACGGATTGAGCCTTTTTGTCTCTCTTTCAATTCTCCGGCCAACGTCTTCGGCCCTCGAGCGGACTTGTAGCGGCAGACGGACCGGCCCCTACACCCAATAAATTAGAGGTACAGTACATTGCAAAGGGGGGCCCGAGCTCGAGATTGAGATTGAGCGTAGGCATCAGCATGAGCAAGCGCTCGACGGGCACCAATCTGCAAGAGAGATCGGGCCATTGATTTCAGCAATCGCAATCTCGCAGCTGCAACTTCCTATCAGCAGCATCACGGGTGTCTGTGCGTATTGATTGGCGCGTGTGAAAGAGAAAGAGAAAGAGAAAGAGAAAGAAGCACACTGGCTACACGACAATGGGCGGGCACTCTGGCCGGGTAAGGAGGTGGCCAAACTCATTTGCAAAGCTCAGCACCACGCCGTTTGTCCAGCCAAAGCCCGTCACCACCTGGTATTCGCCCCCAGAGCCCGCGGCGTTGATGTTGAGCATCGAGAACTGCGGGGAAGGTTTTTTTTTCAGAGTCAGCGATTGGGAGACGTGCGGCAATGACACAAGCGACGGAAGGAAAAGGCGGGGAGAAAAGGAAAAGACGCACCTTTTCAAACATGAGGCCCGTTGCATTCGTCGGAAGACCCTCCTTTTCGAGGGTGCTGCTCGAGACAGTCGCAAAGCTGCCCGTGGGGTCCTGCTGCTGCGTCAGGTTGAGATTGCCGCCCGTGGCCCTCCACGAGCAGAGAGCCGAGGCCATGTACCGGTTGACGAGCTCGCGGAGTAAGGCGTCGCTCCAGCCCTCGCCCTTGGCCGTTGTCTGAGTTGTTGTCGCATTGCCGACGTTGTGCGGCGGCATGAGCTCGCGCGAGCCGTCGTTGGCTTCCGTCTTTCCCACGCCCGCATACGGAATCGAGTCGTTGGTGCCCGTGATGAGCTGGATGGGCAGCTGCGACTCGGGCAGGCCAAATTGACCCTTGGGCACGAGCGCAAACGACCCCTTGGGCGCAGGACTGGGCCGTGTGCCGCCGAGCGAGCGCGGCACGTTGGCGAGGGCCTCGACGGCAATAAACGTCAGGGGAGCCCAGGCATTGGGCGAGTCCCACTGCTGCATCGTCGGCAGGAGCGTCGTGGCAATGGTGCCGTTGTAGCGGTCGATGAGGTAGCGCAGGCCAGCAAACGTCGCCTCCATCTCGCGCGCCTTTGCCTGTCCATCGAGGTGCGAGGCCTTGTGTACAAATGGAGGCAGGATGTTGGCCCAGAAGGGAAAGAAGCCCGAGGCAGCCCAGGGCCGGACGCGGGCGTGGGCCGTCGTGTTGAAGTCATAGTACCACTTGCGGCTGCTGTCCCAGAAGAGGTCGTGGATCGCCTCGCGTCGTGCACGCGCACGCTTGGCCCACGCCTGGGCCTGCGTGCCGTCGTGGCGCAGCCGGAAGAAGCGCGACAGCGTCACCTCGTTCTTGTACAGGATCGCATTCAGGTCCGTGGGGACGATGGCGTTGGTGTTGAGGTACCGCAGTGCCGACACGGTGTTGGACGTGTTGACCAGCGGTCGTCGGCTCCACCTCGCCGCCGAGTAGTCCATGCCCGACTCGGCACCGCTGGCCAAGTTGGCATACAAACGGTCCCTCTGGCGCTCCGTCAGATTCGCCAGGCCGGGCTCCTGCGCGGCGGCCATCTCGACGGTGGTAAAGTCCTCGAGGTAGCTCTCGGGCCGAGGTCCGTCGGTGTCGACGTTGTACAGGGTGACGCGGTGCTCGCGCTTGCTGTACGGGCTCGTCACCGTCACCGTCCGGTTCACGTCCCAGTAGCCCATCTCGCGGACGAGGAGCGGGAGCAGGCGGTCGAGGACGGATGTGTCGCGCGTGGCCTTGATGTACGTCGACACCATCTGCGTCAGCATCGGCGGCTGCGACCGGTTGAGGTAGTAGATACGGTTGCCGTTGGGCACGAAGCCGTCTGCAGCCGGAGTGCACATACAAGGTCAGTATTTACTTTACATATACACCCAGCCAGCCCACTCACACTTGTCGACGAGATCGGCAAAGTTCATGAGCAGGTCCTTTGCCACAGACGACAGCTCGCTCGCGAGAAGACCATTGATGACAAAGTAGGTGTCCCAGTAGTAGAGCTCACGGAAGCGGCCGCCGGGCACGACGAACGTCCTGGTCTTCTCAAACGGCAGGAAACTCGACACACACCCTTCGCATGCCGTCTTTGCGCCCGTGGATGCCGTCGTGCGCGCGAGCAGGGGCCAGTAGCCGTTGACCTGGGTGAGAAAGGAGCTGAGGGCGGCATCTTTGATCCTCGACAGGAAGCCCGGCCGTGCCTTGAAGTCGGTCAGGTTCGCCGTGATCAGGTCGCCGCCCTCGGCGCCAAAGTTGGACGTGACAAAGTCGAGCATCTGCTGGTAAGTGACGTTGTGGCCCTTGCCGTCGCCGAGCTTGGAAAAGGCCGACAGCACCTCGCTCTCGGCCTTGAGCGTGGGCTTGTCGACAAACGTCTTGCTGTCCTGTCATGATGATTCGAGTGCTTGTCAGTGGATGCAGAAACTGCGGTGGAGGAAGCAGACGGTCTCACATTGAAGAGCTGGGCCAGCTGCACGGCCTGGAGGAGGGGCCCGGGGCAGTAGATGCTGGACACGCAGTGGCGCTGCTTCTTGGGCGCGGGGCCCGTGGGGATCATGTCCGTGGCCTGCTTGCCCGCGGGGATCGCAGGCACGGCCGCTGTCGATGTCGCATCCTGGGCAGCGACGGCAGCCGCCAGAGCAGCGCCGATTGTAAGGAGCGAGAAAGGCAATATCCTCATCGTGCAGAAGTCGAGATTAGAAGTTAGAGGGGTCCAGGGAGAGAGATGGTGGTCCGTCTGCAGGGGGCTGGGCTCGGACTCGCTTCCACCTGTCCCTCTCGTTGGGGCCCTCTCCTTTTGAAGCTCCTCTCTGCGACGTGCTGAGAGGCTGCGTGCGGGCCTTCTTTTTTGAGCAGATGCGTCCGCGCTCCGCCCGCTTGATTACTGCTCCGCGTCTGCTGAACCAAGGTCAGCACCGCTCGTAGTTGTGAGGAGGATGGTCTGCGAGTCCTGCCTTTTAAGGATGAAAAAGGGCGAAACTTCTTCCCCACAAATACAGGCAGTGATCTTCCTCCTCGGAAGAAGTGGACTTTGAGACAATCGGCCTCTTCGGCGACTTAAGTCATGCGACGTCAGAGCAGCCTTGCCCAACAAGGCAGGCGCAGGCAGGCAGGCAGGAGGCCAGGCTAGGGCAGGCGAGCCTAACCCCACGACGAACCTTGGCCACGGCCAAGCCCTCTCTTCCTCTCTTCTCTCTTTTCCCTCTCCACTCCACTACTTTATGTGAAGGTAATCCCCCCCGCGCTAAAAAACTGCCTTTTTGAATCAGGGCAAGGAACCAGCAAGCAGCAGCAGGCTAGCCTAGCGCATTTTCCTGCCCAAGAATCAATTATTCTCGTTCCTCAATCTTCTGGCCCCCTTCAGCTGGGTGGGTCTTGGGACCTCTTGGCTCGCCTCCTCTCGGAGGATCTGGCCTGGTCTCGGCTCCATCTCTGTGGAGTCTCGGTCCGTCTCCCCTGCTCTCTTTCCCATTGGCTCGTCAGAGGGTCTCTTCAACGTGTGCCACCCTCAAGATGGCCTGTGCAAATAAATCCTCGGGCTGAGGTTCACAGATGCGTGACGCTTTTTGTTTGAGTGACAGATACAAATGACAAATTGAAGCGTGACCGAATTAATAGAAAATATGTGCCACGCGAGAAGAAATAGTGGAACCAAACGAAGCCGATCCCATCGCACCCGTCGGCCGTCCACTCCCTACCATTCCACATCAGTCTCGAACCGCCGGGGAAAAGAAAGGAAACAGCATGCCGGTCCCGTTTGAAGCATTCATCCCGATGGGCCTCGTCGTTGTCATGTTTGGCATCACGGGCACGGGCTTCAACATTGCCAAGCGCATGACCAACGACGGAAAGGTGCGTCCTCTTCTCTTCCAGCTTTCTTTGCTTCTGCTCTTCATCTGACATGACCCACTTTCTTCTTTCGATGCTCACAGCCCCAGCGCCACGGACTCGACGACTGGGAGCACATGATGATGAAGCGCGACGAGAGATTGACAGGGAGCTTACGAGGACAGAGCGTGAGTAATCTCACCTGTCGACGAGGAGTGGCTCCCAAACTGACGCAGAGAGTCGCCCCAGGTCGATCCTGTTGCGCCGCCCGGCTTTGCGACGAACAGCATCTGGGAGACAGAGCGTGTCAAGTAGATAGAAGAAAGGCAGGGACGCAGAGATATATTTCATTCAACCCATGGCAGTACTGGCATTACTACAAGTAAGGAAAGAGAGGGAAGGGAGAAGTGAGGAGAACGAAAAGCGAGAGAAAAGGAAAGTGGTGATGGTGGTATATGCAGCATCAATACCGCTCGTCGACGATCGAGGACCTCGACTCCCGCGGCGTTGTGGTGAGGCTGGTCCTCGTCGGCTTCTTGAGCTGCTGCTTGCGGTGCATTTGCAAATCCTGAGGCATGGCGACGATCTGAGCAGAGGGGAGAGAGTGTGAGCTTGGACAAGCCCAAACGAGAGGCTTAGAAGAATACGCACGATGTTGTTGGAGGAGCCAAAGGCAAAGTTGTCCTCGACGACGGTGTCTGCGAGCTTGCGGAGCGTGTAGCCGTCGGTTCTGCCCTTCTTGACGCGCTCGAGGGGCCACGAGACAATGTAGGAGCCCGTGGCCGAGACGATGGATGTCTCGCCGCTGCCTGCGGGCGTGTCGAAGCGGGCCGGGGTGAAGCTGACCTCCTGGTCCATGTAGGCGACGTGGTGTGGCTTGAGCTGCAGTCTTCGAGGGATCGGCTTCGAGTCAGCTGGGAAGGCACGGTCGAAGCCGAGGCTGCCCTTGTAGCGGCCGTCGCCAATGAGCGTGTCGATGAGCAGGAGGTAGGTCTTGCACGTGGCCACCACGTAGCGACCGTCGGCAGTGACATCGACGCCAATGATGGGGTCGCCCAGCGCAGGGAGCGCCGTCTTTGCATTCTTGCCAATCTGGTCAAACAGGCGAATGTCACCCTTGTTGCTCGCCACGGCCAGCCGGCCCCGGTCATCGGTCGTTGCCGCGCTAAAGTCATTCTTGGCCGTGTACTGCTTGAACTGGGCATCGACGAGCTTCTGGCCAGCGAGACGCGGGTCAATGCGGTAGACGGAGTTGTGGCTGTGGCCGATGAGCGTCTGCTGCGGCGTCATCTGGGCGTACTTGCTGTCGGGCACAACGTTGGCCACCTCAACGTCGTCGTGCACCTTCCACTCGTCGACAATCTTGCCATACTCGAGGTCCATCTTGTACAGCGCATGCTGGTTGGACGGGTCCATCATGACCATGGCCGAGTCCTGGTCGTGGAGCATGGCCTTTCGCGGGTTGAAGAGCTTGCCCTTTGGCGTGGCGACGCTGTTGATCGTCGTGGCAAATTCGAGCTGGTCGTCTTCGGTGTGCTTGAAGACGCCGATGCGGTTGCCGCGGATGACAAAGGACCGGTCAAACTTGTAGCCAACGGTGAGCTGCGAGTTGCGCTCCGTCTCGCCCGCCACAACGGGCATGCGCTCGGGTCCATCGCCGAGCTGGGCATCGACGTCGCCCTCTTCCTCTTCCTCCTCTGCGTCGTGCGCCTCGAGTTCGTCGGCGACCTCCTGCTCGTCATCGTCGCGCCTGATGCGTTCCGTCTCGCTCTCGTCGCCCTCGTCCTCCTCCTCCACGCCCTCCATCGGCACATCCTCCTCGTAAGCCTCGCTGATGTAGCGCTGGTCGGCTGCACCCTTATTGGCCCTCTCAAAATTCTCCTCGTTGAGCGTCTGCCACATGAGCCGGGCAAAAGCCGTCTGGTAAGCCTCGTAGTGCGCCTTGTCGCTGAAGCGAAGGAGCCAGGAGTAGCAGCGTCGCTCGGTGTCAAAGTAGTTCCACACCACCGACAGGTTGTCTGCCGCAAAGTTGGTGTTCATCGACGGCTCGAGGCGCTGGGAGAGCCATTGGCGCGTAGGCGAGGTAATGGCGAGCCAGTAGAGGAACCGGCCAGCCTCGAGGACGCGCACGTCGACGGCCTTGTCCTGGGTCATGAACAGGCCCGTGCTCTGGTCGTAGAGGTACAGATCGGCAGTGGCCTCCAGGACGGCGAGGGCCTTTTCCTCGCCCGGCGGCGCGGGCACCTCGTCTGTAAATGCGGCCGGCACCGCAGGCTTCTCTTTCGGCGCCTTCTTCTTCCCGGGCGTCTTCTTTTCCTCCTTGACTGACAGCTGCTCGAGCTCGTCTGCCACATCGCGGCTCTGCTTCCCCGACGCCTCCTCCGCCCCTGCCTCCGCCCCTGCCCCTGCGCCCTTGTACTTGAGTGCCTCCAGGTCCTCGTCCGACGCCTCCTCATGGCTCCTCCCAAACTTTCGCTCATAGGCACACTGGAGGAAGGTGACCTCAAAGATGCTCCTCGTCACTGTGTTGACCTGTGCGCCGTCCATGACGAACTCGAGCAAGTCGTCGACATCGCCGTCGAGATCGCGCCATGCAAACGCAGGCTCGCCCTCGCTCGTCGTCGATGTGCGCAAGTTGAGCGAGGCGTCAATGAGGAAGGACCGCTCGTCGTCGGCTGTGCGTGCTCCTCGTCAGCGCCGGCTCATAGACATACTGAAGCTGCACTCACACTCATCGTCTTCCTCAAGGAGCTGCTCCTCGCCCTCCTCGTACGCGCGCGTGATGACGAGCTGGTAGTTGAACTCGGTCGTCGTCCTCCGGATCGTCGCTACGGCGTCTTTGTATCTGTCGTTATAGCACAGTATGGCACTCTCGTCAGTAAAGCGCCTTGTCTGGCTAGAGAGACAGCACTCACATGCACTCGCGCGCGCCCTTGATGCTGCCCGGACGAACAAGGTATAGGGCGCCGGCTGGCAGCTGGATCAGCTCAGCGTTGTTCTGATCCGACCAGATCTTGCCAAAGACTGGGCAATGCTTCTCGTCAGCTTCTCGTCTGCTCGACTCGACTCAATCCAGAGAGAAAGACGACTCACGGCTCTTGAGCATGAACATGATTGGTGGTGGACCGACGCGCTTTCTCTCTCTTTTTTCGCTTTTGGTGTTGGGGTGGAGCAGCGCAGTAGTCGCGCTTTCTTATCGGCGCAGCGCTTCCAGCCACTTTGCAGCGATCCGATCTGGTCTCGGTCCGACTGTAGAAAGCCGCCAGTGCGATGCAGTGCAAGGACCCGGTGTGCTGGTCCTAGAGCAAGTGACCTGGAGAGTCGGCGACCTGGCGCAGACGAAGGTGGTGGCTGGCTATGAGATGGTGGATGCGACCCAAAAGATGAAAACAGGCTATGAAATTGTTGCTAGAGACTAAAAAGGGCGAGGCAGCTATGGACCTGCCAAAAACACAACCAAAGAAAAAAAAAGTTTGAAAAAATGAAAGGAAATGAAAATGGAAAAAAAGAGACGAAAGATGGCCCTGTGCGCACGACCAACACTGCAGCGCTCCGAGGACGCGTCTGACCGCCTCTTCCCCCCTGGTCACGCTCTCTTCTTGCTTTCCTCTCTTCTCCCTTGCCTACCATTTCCTCGAGCTTAGCTGACCAAGCCTTTCGCTCTCACGTTCCCTCTCTACTAGCTGGCTGCACCGTTCCTTTGGTGATTGAGTTTCATTTTGGCACCACTCCATCTCTTCCAGTCTCATGGGGGTGACGGGTCCCATCTCGGCCGAGCCACGTGGCTTTTCCAAAGGCTCTCCATCCTTGCGCTGCATTCTGGCAGAGATTTTTCCGCAGGGGGGCCGACGGCGGGGGGTGCGCGTGCGATCTTCTCACTTCTTCCTCCTCTTCTCAACTAAAGCAAGAGAGGAAAAGAAACCACAATGGCTTCGTTTTCGCTTCCTCAGATTCAAGAAACGCCCGACCACTGGGGGCCGCCTGCTTCGTCGTCGGCGTCAGCGTCGGCGTCGGCATCGGCATCGGGCAGCAATGGCGTGGCCAGTCCGTTGTCAGGCCTGAACCGGTCGGTGCTGCCCGAGGAGCTGCGCGACATTCCCTTTGCGCCCTTTTCCAAGGCTGACAAGATCGGACGCATCGCCGACTGGAATGCCAACGCGGGCGCATCGGGCGGTGATGGCGGTCGTGGCGGTGGAGGAGGCGCAGGTGCCGGTGGTGCCGGTGGTGCGGGCGGCGATGGACGGGGCGGCGCGGGCGCGGGCGCAGCGGGGGGACGTGGTGCCCAGGGTCGGCGCGACGGTGGGGCCCAGTCGTACGGCGCGGGCGCATCGGCGTTCACCTACTTCCAGGGCAACGACGATGCGACATTCAGCGTCGTCGACAACACCCGTGCCACGTCGTCGAACAAGCGTGGCGGCATCAGCCTCGGCCAGATGACGCGTGGACGCGGTGGCGCCGGCGGTGCACGGGGCGGTGGTGCCACGGGCACGAGGCTCGGTGGTGCTGCCTCGCGCGGCTCCGTCGTCTCGCGGGGCGGCGGCCGGGGCGGCTTCTCCCGTGGCGGCGGCGGTGGCTTCCGTGGCGGACGCCGCGGCGGATGGCGCGACTGGGACCGGCCGCAGCGGACGCGGGAGCCCTCGGTGGCGGTGGGCCAGGAGTGGGAGCAGCTCGAGGAGATTGACTTTTCGCGCCTCGCCAAGCTCCGCCTCGACGTCGGCGAGCCCGAGGACGTGTCGCAGTACGGCACCCTGTACGAGTACGACCGGTCGTACGACCGCATCAGCAGCGTGCGCTTCGAGAAGCCGCTCCAGCCCATGGACCGTGTCCGTTACAACCCCACCACGTCCGACGACCCTGTCCTGCAGGAGCTGGCGGCCCAGCCACCGGCGGCTTCTGTTGCTGCTGCTGCTGGCGACGCGGCCGCAGATGGCCAGGCAGGTCCCGTCACGCGCATCTTCCTCACCGACTCCATCCTCGCCCTGCTCATGTGCACCACGCGGTCCGTCTACCCGTGGGACATTGTCGTCACGCGTGACGCTGCCGGCAACATCTTCATGGACAAGCGCGACGGCGGTGCCTTTGACTATGTCACCGTCAACGAGAATGCCGCCGACCCGCCGGCAGAGCTCGAGACAAAGGACGAGACGGGCCGCGACAAGGCAGCAGCCACTGCGACGCTCAACACCCCGGGAAGCCTCTCGCTCGAGGCCACGTACATCAACCAGAACTTTGCCTTTCAGGTCGTCAATGAGAAGAAGCGCCACGAGCTGGCCAATGGGCCCAACCCCTTCTACGATGCGCGCGCCGAAAAGGACCCCGTGGCCTCGTGCGGCTTCAAGTACCGCAAGTTCGACCTCTCGACGCCCAGCGACGCCGTCGAGCTCTTTGTCCGTACCGAAGTCGATGCCGTGCTGCCGGCGCTCCAGAAGGGCGGTGCGCCCCAGTACGTGACCATCAAGACGCTCAACGAGTTTGACTCGCGCGCCCAGGGCGCTGGTGGCGCTCCCGACTGGCGCACCAAGCTCGACAGCCAGCGCGGTGCCGTCGTGGCCACCGAGATGAAGAACAACGGTGTCAAGCTCGCCCGCTTTGCCGTCCAGGCCATCCTCGCCGGCGCCGACAACATGAAGATGGGCTACATCTCGCGCGCCAACGCCCGCGATGCCTCGCGTCACGTGATCCTCGGCACCCAGTGGTACAAGCCGCGCGAGTTTGCCGCCCAGATCAACGTCAACCTCTCGATGGGCTGGGGTATCGTGCGCACCGTCGCCGACCTGGCGCGCAAGGCCAAGGGCGGCGAGGGTCCCGCCAAGTTTGTGCTCATGAAGGACCCCAACAAGGCCCAGGTCCGCTTCTATGCCGTGCCCCTCGCCTGGCCTGCCGAGGACGACGAGGGCGACGACGAGGAGGCGCTCGCCGAGGTTGCTGCTGCTGCGCCTGCGCTGACCGCCGCGCCCGAGGAGTAGGTTCTCACATTCTCTGCGTGAAAGATTAGACCTGGAGGTCACTTCCATCGTTCACTCTCATGTAGAAAGGCATTTCTGATTGTGGAATGACAAGATGCGACGCGATTGCATTTCTGCTGCATTAGATGAAGCCAGAAGGACAGAGTCTGGATGGATGGATGGATTGATAGAGTACAGGTTTGTGTTCTGAGACTGAGCCGCAGAAGAGAGGTAGCTGTTCGACTCCCTTTACAGAGCAAGGAAGGCGACAACAGCACTGCCGGCAAGGCCGACAATGGTCGTGGCTGCGCCGTGGTAGGCAGCGCCATCCTTTTGGCCACTCGACTGCGACGTCGACGAGGCGGCGCTGCTGCTGCTACTGCTGCTGCTGTTGCTGTTGTTGTTGCTGTTGCTGCTGCTGCCGCCACTGGAGGCGCCCGACGATGAGGTGTTACCGTTGCCCGAGCTCTGGCTCGAGCTGTCGTCGTCGCCGCTGCTGCTGCCGCCGTTGCTCGAGCTGGCCGACTCGGAGTCGCCGCCATCGTTGACAATGATGGACCCCGTCTGGCCCTTTACATCATAGCACTTGCCGTTGATGTAGACGTTGGACAGGCAGCACTTGTCGTTGCCAATCGTCGTGCCCACCGTACCCGTGGGGCAGGGCCCGTTGGTGCTGATGGGCACCGTAGGGTCGTTGCGCGTGATGCTGTCAACTTCGCTCGAGAGCGACGCGCTGCGCGAGGCCTGCGCCGACGACAGCGACTGGTCCAGCCCGTCGAGCGACGACGAGAGCGAGGCCTGGAATGATGACGGGTCAAACTGCCGGTTCTGAAGCGCGTCGACGGGCGCCCGTGCGGCAATGGTGGCGACGGGGGCGGGTGGGGCTGCCAGCGTCTGCGTGGCTGCGCCAGCCAGCGCGATGGCGACGAGGAAGGGCGTGCTGCTGCTGGTAAAGTACATCTTGATGAGGAATGCGCGATGGGTGCGAGCAGATTAGAGTTGCGCGTTTGCTTTGAAGGGATGCGTGCGTTTGCCTTGTGTGTGCGTCTGGGAAGTGTAGGTCTATCACTGAGGTGCGTTGCGTTGTGCTTTGCTTTGGCAAGTGGATGAGGTCGACTGGGGCCTCTTCTTATATACCTTTTCGTCAGACGGTTTTCACATCGCACACACAGGCCTTGGAGGCTCCACTGCCATACGACCATGCGGTGTCCTAGGTACCACGGATGCAGGGGAGACAGCGTCGACCGCGAGGTTCTTGACTCAGGAACCGAGGCCCGAATCACGCACCGGAAGAACACATTTCAAAGTAAATAGTCTCAGATTTCGAAAACGGTACCGTACTGTACAGTACAAAATAAAACCCAATCGACACATGGGCGATCAACGCCCTCGCCTAATTGAAAATAGGTTCGGCTCGGCTTGGCTTCCTCTGCTGTATCTGCCTTTTTAAAATTTCCTGGGCAACGCCATCTGTCCCCGCCTCGGCTGCCGGGTTGGTCTTGGTCTGACCGCGTGTTGGTGGCAAACGGGATCCCCCCTTGCTCGCCCCTGCTTCTCGGGACATGTGTATCACCATAGAGAACTTGTGATGTACGTCATGATGTTTGATGCCCCACGAGGTCGTCACTCTTATTTGTCCGTTTGTCATGCCGTTCGACTGCAACGCCCTTTTAGAGAGAGAGAGACCCACGTTGCGGAGTGGCCCTCGGTCCTCGCTCTTTTCGGCATTGCTGCTCTTTGCTGCGTCGGTACTTCTCGGCGATGGGCGTCCTTTTCCACGAATGAATTAACATCAGCACTTTTGGCCCAAAGAGGAGCTGGCGAGGGAGAGGGGTGCGACGAGGGCCAAGAGGCTGAGGAAGAGAGCGGGGTCGAACGGCCAATTTGCGGCGTCTCAAATCGCCCTCCATCGAGGCTAGATTTGCTGCTTTCCCCCGCGTCTAGGAAGGCACGGGAAAAAAAAAAGTCTGCGCATTTTTAAAGGCAGTCTCAGACTCGAATCGGGCCCTTCTCTCTCTCTTTTGATTCGTGGAAAGGGCAAAGCCATCATGGGTGTGCCGGCGCGGCTGTTCAAGACGTCGCTCCAGTCGTCGCTCGAGGGCCTGCGAGCCTGCACGGCGCGCACGACGCAGCGCGACGCGGTCCCGCTCGCCGCGTCGATTGCGAGCGAGGTGCCCATCTATGAGGGCAGCCAGCTGCGACAGTGGCTTGGCGAGGGTGCTGCCGCTGTGGAAAGGGAGGAGCAGCTGATGGACGAGTGGCACGCGTGCCTAGGCGAAGGGCCAGGCGTCTTTGTCGTGCGCGACATGGTGCCGCGCGAGGCAGTCGATGCGGCCAGCCGCGCCCTAGATGGCATCCTCGAGGCCGAGGCGCGCGGCAGCGGCGGTCGAGCGCGGGGGGACCACTTTGCAAAGGCCGGCGCAAATAGCCGTGTCTGGAACTCGTTTGAGAAGCTGGCCGTGGCTGACGCGGGTGCGTTTGCACGCTACTTTGCCAACCCGCTCCTCGATCTCGCCTGCCAGGCTTGGCTGGGGCCTGGCTACCAGCTGACGTCACAGCTCAACGTCGTGCACCCCGGTGGACAGGCGCAGGACCCCCACCGCGACTACCACCTGGGCTTCCAGAGCGCCGCCGCAGCTGCACGCTATCCGATTGCGACGCAGGTGGCCAGCCAGCGCCTGACGCTCCAGGGCGCCGTGGCCCACTCGGACATGCCCCTCGCCTCGGGCCCCACGCTGCTGCTCCCCTTCAGCCAGCTCCTGCCTGACGGCTACCTCGCCTACCGCCACGCCGAGGTGCGCAGCGCGGCCGAGGCCTCCTTTGTCCAGGTTCCCCTCGCCAAGGGCGACGGCCTCTTCTTCAGCCCGGCCCTCATCCACGCGGCGGGCACCAACACGACGAGCGACGTGTCGCGCGCCGCCAATCTGCTCCAGGTCTCGAGCCCGTTTGGAAAGCCGATGGAGCGTGTCGATACGCAGCGCATCATCCGCGCCGTCTTTGCCTCGGCTCGTGAACTGTATGAGAGTCAAGTAGAGAAGGGAGGAAGAGGGGAAGCAGGGGGAGGGGTAACAGGAGGAGGGGCAAGGGCGACATTGGCAGAGGTGAAGGCGCTGGTCAGGGCCACTGCCAGTGGGTACGCGTTTCCAGCCAATCTGGACACGACAGCGCCCAAGCCAGACGGATCGATGGCCACGACCGAGCAGGACCTCCTCTGGGAGGCACTCGGCGCACGCTGGTCACAGGACCAACTCGAGACCGAGCTAGCGAAGCTGTAAAGGGGTGGAACAGGGCAGTGCAATCAGCGAAATCAACCAATGAGAGTGATGGCCTGAAGCATGAGTGATCGCGTGATCACAGATGGCGTCGCTCGTGCGCTTTTCTGGTGCCTGTCCTCTTGCGTCGACCGATGGGAAAGTGGGACAATGTTTCGTGTCTTTCAAGGGCTGAGATAATGGCCAGACCTGCCTCGGCGTGCGAGAAAAAGGGCAAACACACTTGCATCTCGATTGCAAAACCAGATTGGTGGTCCGCCCGCCCGATTTCACTCCTCGCATCGATGTGTTTACGCCACTGTCGAGTGTGGGAGTGTGGGACACAACGCGAGCTCGAGGGTAAATGTCGGCAAACCCGGACAACTCGGGGCAGCCAGTCCAAGTCGGCCCCACAGCGAAGTAAAGAAAGATAAAAACATTGCCACAGTGAAAAAGGTCAAAACACACGACGAGAGAGCGTGCGCCCCGCGATGAAAGCGAGAGCAGCGAACCCCCCTTTTCGAGCTGGCTGAAGACGTGGTAGAAGGCATAAAAAGGGCCCTTTCTCTCCCTGGTCCCTTCCTTTCTTCTCCCCCCAACTCACTTCTCCTCCATTGTCCTCCTCTTCCCCTCATAAGGCAGGGAACAGACGAGACTCTGACTCTCCGAACTTGCAAGCTGGACTTGACAAGCATTCGCATACACACACCATCGACGAGCCGCGCTTCGCCCCTTTCGAAAGATATTTGAAGATGATGCTTCGTTCGAACGTCACCCTTCGCTTCCTTGGAGTCCTGCTGGCTGTTGCCACGATGACGGTAAGCCTACGTCTCCTTCTCCGTTTCACCTGAAGACGCTGACGATAAGGCTTGCAGGCCGGCAGCCTCGTCCCTCGAGCTGGTCTCAAGGTCCCCAAGCAAGGCGCTGTAAGCAACCTTCCTGCAAGCTTCTGTGTCCTTGTTTGCTGACACTAGCACGATGTGAAACACCACCAGGAGGAGGTGACGCCCAACTATGAGGTGCTGCGCCGCTTCGAGCGCTTCAATGGCCCTCGTTTGGTTAAACGCAACGATCCACCGTGCAGGGTAAGATGACGCTCACTCATGCACCCTGCGTAGCTAACCGTAAAGCTCACCCATACATACCGAAAACCAACAATCAGACCATCGGATGTGACGACGAACAACAAAAGAAATGCCCGGTGAGTTCCTTTGCTGCAGGCTCTGCAAGGCCTCTGCCACTGAACTGAAGAGCATCTCGACTGGTAGGGCCATTGCAACCCAATTTGTCCGCATGACCTGATATGTCGCGACAAATATGACGACGTTGATGTTCTATATGAGTCGCACAAAGCAAAGAAAAAGGAAGAAAGTCAGACAAGGACCGATATCCATGGAGAGTTGAAATGGCCCCCAGTCGCATCTCGACCCAGTTCTCCCCAGCGCGAACCCATCAAAGAAGAGGGTTCTAGCGTCAAGCTCGGATCCGACGAGGAAGAGGGCTCTAGCCTCTGGCTCGAATCCGACGAGGAAAAGGGCTCTAGCCCTTAGCTCTGGGGTCGACCTAGCAATCAACCGCAGCCTCTCCATTGCCATCCGACCACATGCTCCTTCCTGAGCCCAACGAGATAACGAGTATGGCAGAGTCGATGATTTCAGTCGAAGTCCGCACAAGAACGAGAAATAGAAAAATGAAAGCTCGCTCCAACCCCACTTCCCCTCAAAACCCCCAAAAATTATGCATTGCCCTTCCTCCTCTTCCCTTCCTCTTCCCTTCCTCTTCCCTTCCTCTTCCCTTCCTCTTCCCTCTCCTGCCCTCCATTCAAAGTAATGCGATCTTAAGTGAAATTGTGAGTTTCTTCCAAACCTTGTCTGACACTTTGCAGCAATGTTGGAAAGAGGAGCGCTGGGCGGATCCTCTGTCGTTGACAGAATTGAATTAGCCTTTGGGGTGAACGGACGATTTGCAGCAGAGTGGTCGAGCAAGACGAGGACATCAAATTTGGGGATGGTGTAGCTCTTATACGCTGCGTCTAGATCGTCAGATACTCCCTGCGCCCGCTGCTACATTTCCTTCCTCGAGTCAGATGTTACTTTGTTGCAACACTCAGATCGAATACGGTGTGTCACGGAGAGCGCAAAAGCTGCAGAGGTCAGCGAGTTTGTGGGCTCTCACCGAGTCGGCATCGCCCTCGGACAGCGCCCCAGTCGGCATCAGCAAAACGCAGAGAGGGTTTGTCCTAAAACAACAGTGAAAACTCGAGAGGCGCGCCCCGATCGAGCGACTAGCGACCGTTGGGCGCTGATTGATGGGTGCACCCCAACTTCTCCATCTCCTCACTCTTCTCACTGCTCTTGTTCCCTCTCAGAAGTCAAGAGCATCTAAATTTCCGACTGTCCGTCTCGACCTTGGTATACATACAGTAGCCCACGAGCTCCGACATCTCATTGTGGAGAATACAATGCTCCATCAGAAAGTCTTTCTCGGCTTTCTCGGAGCCCTTTTGGCTAGCTTCACGACGACTGTGAGTCCACAATCCGTACGAGACTGCTCCTGACCCTGACATTCGGGCCACAGGCCAGCACTGCCGTCCCTCGGGATAGCCGCAAACTCGCTAGCCAAGCCATTGTGGTATGTCCACTTCAAGCTTGGGAAATCTCATCCCACCCACCAGACTGACATGCTCACCAGCAGAATGCAGAGGCGTCCTCTCATGAGGTGCTGGACCGCTTCGAGCACGGCTTCTGGCCCGGACTGATGAAGCGCGAAACTAATTGCTCGGTGGGAGGAGACATACTGCTGCACATTACCTCACGATCAGGAAGACTGAAACTTGCAGAGGAAATCAGGTGGTTCCATGCGGGAAAGGGAAGCCTCCATGCCCAGTGCGTACTCTGTTTGGTGACACCTCAAAGCAAGTGCCGCTGATGCAAAGTTACGACATCGATAGTCGGAGTGCAGCAAAGTTTGCGTGAACAATGAATGGTGTACCTTCAAAGAGCAGCTTGTCTCGGCGCAACGTCAACCGACGCATCCCCTTCAGCACCAGGCGCCCCATCGTGTGCACGCGGCTCACCGTCAACACGAGCCGTCCCCGCCGCTGCCTGACTATATCCCGCTTCACGACTCCTCCAAGGACTCTTCTTCGGATGATTCATTTGTCGATATCGAGACCCCCGTCGGCGATCGCTATTTCTTGACAGCCCTTCGTACTCTCGGCTCTAACCACGTCCCCAGCGCCGGATCCTCTTCCACCTCTGGCCATGCCTCCATCGCCTACTCTTCTTCCGCCTCTGGCCATGCATTCGGCACTCATAGCTCTTCCAATTCTGAAGACGCCTCCGACGCTGACTCCTCTTCCAACTCTAAAGACGCCTCCGATGTCCATTCCTCTTCAGGCTCCAACTTCTCTTCGAGCTCCGCTTCTTAGCAATTGCCTCTTATTTCCACGTCGCCAGCCCATTTGAAACTTCATTATGAACACAAGGGCTTCTGAGCACAGCACGAAGGACGACGGCTGTCGCGATACGATGTGGTACGGTATGGACGGGAAGAAAGAGAAGCGATCTGGCAAAGGAATAAAATGGAAGGGAGGCAATATGCCATCCCCTCCCACAAAACTCTGGGAGAGAAATAATAGTGCTCTTGTATGTAAAAATGCGATTGTACTTCAAGATATGCTCTTTCCCTTTGCAACAGGTCGGCTGGTGTCTTTGCGTGTGTGAGCTCACGTAAACCTACTCCACGCCGACCCTAGAGCAGGTGAGGCGGAGATGGACGGCGTACCGTGTCTTCTAAGAGTCAAGGTCATCGCCGGACCTGCTTTGACTGGTGAGACCGGGCAAGACGTACGCAGTGCGTTGACAGTGCAAGGGAGTCTACCTTGCTCTTGCTCGACTCAGATCTTAATGTACCCACACACTCAGATGGAGTACAAAGTGACACGAAGAGAGAAAAAGTCAGCTACATCAAGGGCGCTCACTGAAGTGGCAACGCCCTCGGACAGTTTGTCAGTTTCCCTCAGCGTGAAGCAGAGAAAAACAAAACAAGGAAAGACCGAAGGGCGCGCCCCGGACCGTTGAGGTGAGCGCTGATTGCATTGCCCTTGAAAAGGGCGAGCCCATGCCTTGTCTCCTTTCTCCTCCCCACCTCTCTTGCCCATCTTCTCAAACGTCAAAAGCATCTAGACTGTCGATTGTCTGCCTTTGCCTCAGCCTTGACACACCTTCGACGAGCTTCGACAAAACCCTTGAGAAAGACAATGCTTCGTCCAAAAGTCGCTTTCGTCTTTTTCGGCTTTCTGCTGGGTACGATCATGACCGCAGTGAGTCTTTCCATGCTGAGCCTTGTGTCTGATACTGAAGATCAGGCCACAGTCCAGTACTATCGTCCCTCGGGCTGGTCTCGGGGTCGCTAAATCGGTCGCTGTAAGTACATGTGACGTATGCCTTGGCGATCACGCTTCAGCCAAGCGATCTGACGTGCTGTGCCTGCAGCATGTAGTGACGCCTAATTATGGACTGCCAAGCCGTCTTGAGCACCGCTATTGGAACGGTTTGATCAAACGCAACGCAGATTGCGAGGTGGGTTATCCTTTTTTTTTTTTTTTTTTTTTGGTTGGAAAACAGGGGAATGGTAAGACTGACATTTGTGCATACGAGGTTAGAGTTACCCATGCGATGAAAGAAATCCTCAGTGCCCAGTGAGTGCTCTCCCCAGAGACCATTGAAAGTTTTCTTCGCTGACAAGGTGGTTCTTAAATGGTAGGATTATTGCAGCGACGGCTGTGTGGGTGGCACTTGCGCTTATACGGCGGACCCGCTTCCGGCCACGCATCAATCCAGGCGACAATCCGGGGAACAATTCACACATCCCACTCAGCAACAGGGGCAGGGGTATGTGTCCCTGCCCGACCCTTGATTCGAGACCTTACAGGCCGCTCCAAGACTCCTCCGTGGTGACGCCTTATCATTGCCTCGCACTTCCCGTCTTGTGAGCACCCTTATTCCCCATTCTTCTGCCTCCTCAGATTCAGATCACGCTTTCCGAAGTCCGCCCATCTCCCCGCTCCAATTTGCTTCCAACAGCGAATTCTCTCTCCCCACCACGATCCCAATTCACTCCCCCCAGCCGTCTTGCCGTCTTCAGCCTAATCCGTCACAGTACGGTGCAAACATGAAAACGAAAAAGAAAACCTCAACTGCGCTTGTATGTGAAGAATGTGATTCTCAAGAAAAAAAAAAAAAAAGTCCTTTTTGCCCCTTTGCAGGAGGTCGGTTGATGTCTTTATGTACAGCTATGGAAAATAAAGTAAGACCCTCGTCGCGTTTTTTTGCCCCGATGTCGTCAGCCAGCTTCGACAAAAAGCTGTGTAGCTACTCAGGATGATACTCTTTGTGTGGCAAAAGCACGGTTGAATCTCTTCTCCTACATCCAAACCACAATGCCCAAACACTGGAGCACTGCGCAAAAGGAGAGGGTCCTCTTTCTCTATGAAGAAGGAGTGCCTTCCAAAATTATTTCTGAGAGGCTTTCTCTCTCTCACAACACCGTCAAGACAATGCTAAAACGCTTCAGAGCCCGTGGTAGCACAGAGAACCACAAACCGACTGGCCGACCATCCAAGCTATCTGCTGACGAAAAAGAAAGACTGCACAATGAGGCATTGCAGAACAGGAGGGTGCCATTGCAGCAAACAATCAACAACAGCAACCTCGACATTACAAGACCCACTGCACGCCGTGTGTTGAGAGAATATGGAGTAGGAAAGCACAGAGAGACGCCCAAGCCTGATCTCAAGCCACATCATAAAGAAAGACGCCTTCAGTTTGCATTGGAACATCGAGATTGGTCAATCATTCAATGGGGCATGGTCATTTGGTCAGATGAAACAATTGTCCAACGAGAAAAGAAGGGCCGGGACTGGGTTTTCCGCACTGCTGCAGAGAAGTATCACGATGATTGCATCAAGAAGACAACAGCTGGTGGCTGCCTGGGTGTTTCGATGTGGGGCTGCTTCCAGGGAGCGAACAAAGGACCTCTGACAAGGACACCTGGCCCTCATCTCAATTCAAGAGGTTACACCTCCATGCTCGCTGAACACTTCCTTCCATGGTTCGACAATCTGCCAGGGCAGAGCTTGTTCCAGCAGGACAACAGCCCGGTGCATACATCAAAGCATTCACGGCGCTGGTTCAGGCAGCAAGGCATTGAACCCATCCTCTGGCCGCCATACTCTCCAGATCTGAATCCAATTGAAAATGCCTGGGCAATACTCAAGAAAAGGCTTCACGAGAAGCATCCACACATCCGAGAACTTGGAGGAGGACCTGATGCTGTCCGTGATGCACTTGTTCCCTTGATTGAAGAGGTTTGGAGCGAGATAGAGGAGGACTTCTTTGCCAACCTAGTACAGTCCATGCCTTCACAAATGGAGGCTGTTATTGCCAATGGAGGAGGTAACACTCGATACTGAGTTCACAGATCTTTTTATTGTTTACGAACGCTCCGTTGTACAAAGTTTCAGCTCATCAGATCCAGAATTGAGTGTGTGACGGCCTAAGAACTGTGGTGAGGAGCTCTTTCGTTGAGCTCGATTCTGACAAAAAACGCGACGAGGGTCTTACTTTATTTTCCATAGCTGTATATGAGAGTATGTGTGAGCAATACAGTGCGAGAAGCTGGCTATGGGGTGCAGGAAAGATTTCAAGTCGACGCGGCCATCCATTTTCGCCGGAGAAGCCAGGCAGCAATGGCGAGGCCGCAGGCGATGATCATGCCCGTGCCAACAAAAATGATGACGTCGCGGAAGCCGTGGGCGCCATAGAGGGCGAAATTGCCCAGCTCCCCCTCATCGTAAAGCGCGGCACCGACAAGGGGCCCACCGACAGCAGCGGTGCCGCGGACAAAGATGAGGGCAAGGTAGATTGTGCCGAGGTCCTGGCTGTTGAGCTTGGCCAAGTCGGTGCTGAGCGGGGTGAGGAAGGTGGTGAAGCCACCGCCGGCGAGGCCAAAGACGAGCACAAAGGCGACGAGGAGGGGCAGCGAGTGGGAGAAGCCGAGAAGTAAAAAAGCGGCTAGTGAACAGGTGAGGGTGGAGGCGCCCATGACAAAAGGGTAGCTCGTCATGTCGATGAGACGGCCGATGGAGAGGTAGCCGACGGTGGCCGAGGCATTGAAGGCCGAGAGAATACCCGTGGCCGTCGTAGCATTGAAGCCGAGCGAGGAAGTGTAGGTGGAGATATAGAGGGAGATGGTGCACCAGGCGCACGACTGGCAGAAGATGATGGCCTCGCCCACGCCAGCAAAGGGCGTCGACCACATGGCCTTGATGCCCTCGGGCAGCAGCCTGCGCACCACCGTCTGCCGGGGCCAGCTCGGAGCGGTGACAATGGGCAGACGGGGCTGCATGAGCATCGCGGCCAGCGAGGTGGCGATAAAAGAAACGAGGGCGACGATGCGCAGCGTCCAGGCAAAGCCCACGCCGTCGAGGAGCTTGCCCACGAGAAGCGGGAAAACGGTGCCACCAAGGCCGCTGCCCGAGTAGATGATGCCGCTGGCCGTGCCGCGCCGCTCGTCGAACCACTGGGGCAGCCAGAGGATGACGGGCGTAAAGGTGACGCCCGAGAGAATGCCGTAGAGAATGCCCTGGAAGACGAGGAGGGCGGCGACGTGGGCCTCGAGGAAGCTGGCGGCGAGCAGCGAGAGGGAGCTGAGTGCGATGGAGCCAAGTGCGACGCGCTTGATTAGGTGCGGGTATGTGCGAAAGAAGCCGCGCGTGAGCAGGGGCACAAAGTGCTGCCCGGCAATGACGAGGGTTCCGATGGCCGACGTTGCGGCGGGCGACGCCTTGCCGTACAGTGCCGAGCGCACATCGTGGTCATGGTAGTTCTGGTAGGCACCGTAGGCGTATGACTGGCCCCAGATCATAGTCTCAAAGACGAAGCTGGCAAACACAAACGTCCACGCCTTCCGGCCCCCATCAATGGGCGCTAAGTCCGAGACGAGTTGCTCCCGCGAGCCATCGATGGCCGCGACTGCGCCCTGACCATCCTCATCGCCTCCGCCGTGTCCCAGCGACGAAGCAGGGGTCGAAGCGCTCCGAGACGCTGGGTCCAGCCGCTCCAGGCGGATCTCCTCGGTCACTGTCGCGCTCATTCTCGAGAAAGGACCCCGCGATTTTGGAAATCCTGAACCTTCCTTCTTTCGAGCGGGAGTCACTTCGTCCACTAATGCACCGACGGAGGAAATTCCCCGGATCTGCCAAGCCACGTGGAGTGCAACCCAAGGTTGACGTGCGCAGGAGAAACAATGGTGTCAGTTGCCTGCCAAGCTGGCGAGTGGCGCAAGCGTCTTGGGCTCCCACCTTGAGCATGAAAGGAGAGGATGCTCGGCGCTCGTGCCTGGCGACAGAGACGGGTCCTCCGGCGAGAAGGCCGTCCTGCTGCTCAATTAACGATCGTTGAATCTGACAACGTACTGTACCTGAAGAGTCTCATCTCGCGAAGCCTGAGCGGAAATAGAAAAAGAAAAACTGGCGGTGAAAATAGCGCGATCGTGCGATGGCGTGCTCGTTTAAACTTTTTTTCCCTTTTTTTTTTTGCGCCTGTGTGTCTGGTTTGCCAGGGGGAAGATGGTGTATAAGTAGCTGCTTTCCTTCCTTCCTCCTTTCACTCTCATTGTCTAGTCTTTGGTGTGCGTTGTGCGATGGCGAGCACGAGGAGCAGCGGGGAGTACAAGAAGTCGGTTGCCGACGAGCACGTGCAGCAACTGCCCGTCGTCGAGAGCCAGGATGACCTCGTCGATGAGGTGCCTCAGGGCCGCCAGCTCGGTGTCATTTCGGCCACCTTCCTCATCGTGAACCGCATCGTGGGCACGGGCGTCTTCGCTACTTCCAGCACAATCTTGCAGCAGAGCGGCTCTGTCGGTATGAGCCTGATGTACTGGGTCATTGGAGCCGTGGTGGCCGGGTGCGGCTTCGCCGTATACGCCGAATTCGCGACGATGATGCCACGCAACGGCGGTGAGCTCAACTATCTGCAGCACGCCTACCGGAAGCCCAAGTTCCTCGTTTCTTCAATGTATGCTGCCCAGGCTCTTCTGCTGGGTCAAGCCGCGGGCAACGCATACACGGCTGGTCGCTACTTCCTCCGTGCGGGCAACACGACAAGCGAGTGGTCCGCCAGGGGTATTGGCGTCGCTGTCCTCGTCTCGACACTCATTCTCCACGGTTGCTTCCTCAAGTGGGGCCTCCGCCTCCAGAACGCGTTGGGCGTCTTCAAGCTCGTCATCCTCGTTCTTGTCTCCTTTTCTGGCTTCGCCGCCCTGGCCGGTCGCACCAAGATCCAGCCTCCACCGGACAACTTCACCAACGCGTTTGCAGGTACTCGAAACGACATTTTTGGGATCGCCTCCTGCATTTACAATGTGCGTCTCTTGCCTCAGACTTTCACTACCTGCCCCTTACTGACATGACTTGCACCATTGGCATAGGCCGGATGGAGCTACGTGGGCTATTCGAATGTCTTCTACGCCATGGGCGAAGTCAAGCGGCCCGTGCGCACTCTCAAGATCGCAGGCCCATTGGCCCTCATCATCATCACCATCCTCTACGTCCTGGCTCAGGTTGCCTACTTTGCCGCCGTACCACGACAGGATATTCTCGAGTCGGAGCAGGTCATTGCCAGCCTCTACTTCCAAAACATGTTTGGCAAGTCATCGGCTCGGGCTCTATCGTGAGTTGTGGTCACTTCACCTCCCCCCTTCTTTCCTATATTGCCGACTGCTGACCTCAACTCTTTGTTGCTGATACACAGCGTCTTCGTCGCCCTGTCGGCTGTCGCCAACGTCTTTTCCGTCGTGTTCTCCCAGGGCAGGCTCAACCAGGCTCTCGGCCGGGAGGACCTCATTCCCTTTGCCTCGTTCTTCGCCTCGAACCGTCCTTTCAAGGCACCCTTTGTGGGCATCGGCTGGCACATCATCGTCACCCTCGTCATCATGCTCGCGCCTCCCTCGGGCGATGCGTATTCGTTTGTGTTGAACCTTAGCTCTTACCCGCTCAACGTCGTCAACACCGCCGTAGGGTTGGCCCTGTCCTTGGCCTACCTGCCTCGCAGTCTCCGGCCGCAGTGGGCAAAGGAATGGAACCCGCCGTTCCGGGCGAGCTGGATTGTCGCCCTCTTTTTCACGCTTGTCTCGGCCTTTCTCGTCATTGTCCCTTGGATCCCGCCAGAGAGGCCCGAGGATGCCGTGTACGAGCACACGTGGTACGCCCTCGCGCCTGCCGTCTCCATTGGCATCTTCCTCCTCGGCGCCGCCTATTGGCTCGTCCGCTTCCAGGCCTTGCCGAGGCTGGGAGGGTACAAGCTTCAGGAAAAGAGCTCCTCTCTGACCGACGGTACACTCATCAGGGTGTTTGAGAAGGTCCCGAGAGACCTGCCCAAGCAGCGATCCCTGCACACCGAGCAAGGGGATGAAGAAGACGTGTCGATTTAGCGCCCCAATTTCTCGAACCTGTACTTCATCACGACTTTAACGCAAGGCCACGTCTATGTGACATCATTCAATCATCCATCTCTTCACAAGGTTCTCACATTCTGAAGTGTCCATAAGAAAGAAAGTGCTGGGACTCGGGAAGATGGTGAGAAAGAGGCGAACTTACAGTATTGAATGTGGCGCGAAAACCAGCTTAGCACCGTTTTCATTTACTTGCACCCACGCCAATGTCCTCCTTTGTCCTCCTTTGTCTACCGATGTCCTTTCGTTCTTCCCCTTCATCGCCCGTGACCGAGAAAGAAAAATCTGATTCGTTTCGCCAGCCTCAAATAGACATAAAATACCGAGACTCGCCCTCAGAAGTACACTAGACACAAATGCCGCCCTTACCAGCTGGAACCATATGAGACAGAAGGAAAGAGAGAAGAAGAAATGGAGAGGCCTTCTATAGACAGTGATCCGGATTGCCCGCAGGGTTGCCCCACCACGTTGGAAAACTGTGCTTCCTGCCGCTCGCACCAAAGACGGCAAACGAGAGGATGAAGATGAGTGTCTGGGAACCACCGTCCATTGCAGCTCCGACGAGGTAGTTGTACTTTTGGTGATGCAGCTCTGTGGTCAGCGAAGGTGCCACAAAGTACCCTTTACGTAACGCTCACCTTGTTGTACCAGCTCGGGCGGCGGCGACGGAGCCATACCTGAGTGATGACGCCGATTATGATGGAGCTCTGGATGAAGGAGGTATTGCCATAGTAGTATTGGCCCATGTATGCTGCAATTATAGGTGTTGCCTTTGCCGAGATCACGATCAGTCTCTGGACTTGATGGTACAGACAAAGACTATGGACACAACTCACAATGGGATACTTGGCTAAGTGGGGAAACGGCTTGAGGAGAAGCCAGTGAATAACGGGCAGAATCATTCCGATGATGATGCCAAGCGGTACGAGATAGTAGCGTCCCGAGAAGCCATAGACTGCTGAAGACTTAGCATAAGCTCACAGCAATTGTTCTTTCGTAACACTCACCTTGCTTTGCCAAGGCCCAAGTGACGGCAGCCGAATTGAGGCTGGAAACTTGTGCACCCGACCAGACTGCAGAGGTATTAGACGTGAGCGTAGTTTTGAAGAAAGGGCAGGTCTAAACCCACCGTGATCACCGATGGGGTCGAGGAGTATTTCGCGCTGGTTGGTGACGATGGACGTCATGACAAAGTAATTTATGCAAGCGCCCAACAGCGTGCCGTACAGCTGTGTGGCAAACATGGCCCGGTGGCTGATCTTGATGTACTGTCCTACCTTCAGGTACTGAGACAGGTCGACACAGAGAGCAATAACTTGATGCGACCATGCAGCAAAATAGAGATTTGCTAGTGGGCGGCCAGGATGTAAAGCACCTCCGAGCAACTTGCTTAGTTGGTTCGTGGCAACACCGGTTCCGAAGAGGGCATACAGCGTGCAGCTGATGGGCGCAATAATGCAGCCGAGCAGCAAGGCAACTAGAAAGCCCCAGACTGGTAGGGTCGTGGTGTCGTCCTTCGTCACAACGATGATGCCAGCCAAGATTCCGAGGAAGAACAGGAAGAGGTACCACCACCGAGGTACTTCCTTGTACTTCTGCATGGCCTCATAGTGTGGGTCTCGAAGCGTCCCGGCTCTGACGTGCTGGACGACACGGTACATGTCGTGGCTGTAGAAGATGGCGACATGCATGATGAGAGCGCCGATGGCCATATTTGCCGTGAAGAAGCCCCAGGCAGTCGTGGCTGTGATCCTGGGCAGACCGGTTTCTTTAAGCTTGTTCACGTCTAGGATGGGTACGCCCGTGCCAAATACTTTGACCGCCGAAAACTTCTTGCCGTCAGCTCCGAAGAGCGATGTCGACATGAAAGGCAGGTCGCGCGCTCCCCAAACGTTGGCGTAGTACAGGCAGGGCATTGCGATAGCCCACACCACGAGACCAATCCAAGAGTTTGCCTGCTGCTTGAGTGGAAGTGACATAGTACGCGATTGAATATACTGCCAGTCGAATGACAAGTTGAGAAGACCGATACCTTCATTTGAGCTCGCGCCGCCGAAGATGGTTGCGATGACCTTTCTCGACGGTTCTTCGGCGCCCTGCGTCGCGAGACAAACGATCGACACGCCATTCCACCACGGCATAATGTAGGCTGGGATCGTCTCGAAGAGGAGCATGCCGGTAAAGACCTTTGCGAAAGTCACGAGCCTCTGTACACGGTCGGCGACATCATCGAAATGTAAACGCTGGTAGAGGACGACCAGAGGCAGATTCTGCCAGTATACCATCGCCGAGGGGTAGACTGTGATTGGACGGAGCAGACCAGCGAGGCAGAAACCGATGGTGGCAATTGAAAAGGTGCCAAGAACTGCTGTCGTGGCGCTGACGGTGTGGTTGTAGTATAGCCTCTCGATGGCGTATATCTCGATTGCCGACTTGCCGTTGTAAGAGGAGGAAGCAGTCAGGGTTGCGATGACGTGCTCTTTTATGCCAAATGGCTGGCCAGAATTGACAAATCGCAAAATTGCCTGCACTTTGGGGTTCTTGAAGCGAGCAGGTTCAGGCGTACAGCGCGCCCAGGCGATACCGAAGAAATAGATGACAAGGAGGAGAAAAACGTTGGACACCTCTAGCCCGCCTTCGATAGGCTTGAACATGTAAAGCATGTTGATCACGCAGGCGAAAGCGGTGAAGGCTGTACCCAGAACCAGGGCTCGAAAAGTGATTGCAGGATCGGAGTCGTCACGGTCGGAAACAATGAAACGCGAGACGTCCATCCCCGTGCTGATAATGGGGTGGCCATTCGCGACTTCCGTCGACATGTCGCCAGCCAAAACATTGGCCTCTTGCTCATGTCTTTCTTCTTCAACAAGCTGCTCCTCAACTTTGTCCTCGTCTTTGTTCGTTTCGTCATTTGCCTCGGCCAACGGCTTGTGCTCCTTGGATATCTTAGAGAGGTGTATTACCTGGGAGAGGGCATCAGCCCTCTCGTTCGTCTCGTTGCTCATAGGGAAAGAGGGAAGAAAGGAGACAGAAGAAGGTCTAGGGGTATGTTAAGCCCAGGAGAGTCGGCCAATCAGTCAGCTTATATACAGCTGCCTCTGCAACCTCTCTTCTCTCGTTTTAAGTGCTGAGGCTGTCTTCTTGATTGTGAATGTCGTGCTTTGCAGCCCAGTATACCCAACCTGACGGAGTACCGTTCATCGGCTCTGAGAGGGCACGGCACCTGACTCGTTCTTTGGAGATGTTCAATTTTTTGTATTCAGAGCCCGTTTATCAGCAAGGCGAGACAGCAAGCTTTGACACTTGCGCTCACGTCACTGGACCTTATCTGCTAGAAAGGGAGCTCCGGAAACGAATCACTAGGTAAGATAGATCGCCGCTTTGAAAGCCAAAGCAGTTCAGCCAATGAGCTAGGCTCCTGTTGTCTCTCTGCTCTGCGAAAAACAGATTGACACAGCGCAGTGAGAGGCGCGGCGCGGCCCAGATGACCGCTCCTTTCGCCGCTTCCAGGTTCCAGGGAGCGGAGAAGGATTAACGGCATTGCAACCCCCACCCCGGCGATAACGGTAAACATAATTGTCTTGGTGATCTTGCTCCATTCCCTGTTGCTTATTTCTGCTCCCGCACTTATCTTTTCTATCTGGTCAGACCTGAGGACGCCACAAGAATGCCGGCAGCACGTTTGCTCATTTTTGACATCAGTGCCCACTATATCTAAAGGCCTCTCGGCCAGGCTTGCGAGCTTGTGTGGGGAATTCTTTCAATGTGAGTGCCCCAGCACACCGCCAGGATGCCGCGGTGAGAGAGGCCGGAGGCTGCGTCCGAGTAAAGCTAACGCTACAACTACGTCAAACAATTTTTGCGCAATCTCCCATGTAGTCACTTACAAAGCTGGTCACCGCCACCCTCACTCTCGTCACAACCGAGGGCTACGGCATCTTCGCCGTAGCTAAGCCATTCCGGGGTCAGCTCAGCAATCGTCGGTCTTGTTCTTCCTGGAAGCATCACTGCACAATAGAGGCAGCATGTGATTTTGGTTGACATCCTACATTCTCAGGGTGTTGCAATAACGAAAAGCGCCCTCTCGCAGTATTGACATCAGCGCATGCCTTCCAATACCGTTGCAATACCGTGAAGCAGCGAATTTCGTAGAGGGGAACAATGCCAATGAAGAGGTTGTGAGCGAGCAACGAAAAAACACGTGACTTTATAGCGCCTTCCCAACTCCAACACTCTCGCTCCACTCACCGAGTCCAACGTCTCTCTTCAGTCCGTCCAATTTGACCATCGCAGTCCTGAGGCCCCTGCCACCACGTTGTCGTCGACTGTCTTGCAGCTGATCCTTGCGGCACTCGTTGCCGGTCTCATTTCCCTCCTTTTCCTCTCACCCCGCCGAAATTCGAGCGCGCCTCGCAGCAACATGGTAAGTTCACATGCTCCCCCAACCTCCGTCCTTTCCCTTTCGTCTGGTCAGAGTCTTCGCAGAAGCTGACCAATTCGCCGTGCCTAAGTCCTCTTCCACGGCAAAATCGCGCGAGGCGCTCGTCCGCCAGCTGCGCAGCGTCACAAACGCGACGCAGGCCGACGCCCAGCGGCTCCTCAAGACCCACAGCTACAAGCTCGACCGGGCTGTCGATGCCTTTTTCACCGATGAGACGGCCATGACGAACGCGGCCAAGGCGGCGGGCGGGGGTGGGGCCGACAAGAAGCAAGAAAAGGAGAGTCGGGAGAAGCTAGGGAGGATGTTTGATGAATTCAAGGGTGAGCAGCTGAGCGCGTGCCGTGCTGTCTTTTCTCCCTTTGTCTCCTGTAGCTCACTTTGACGAGGATTACAGACGACGATGGGACAGACATCACAATCGAGGGGGCCATGGAGATGTGCGAGGCGCTCTCGATCAGCCCCGAAGACGTCGTCATGCTGCCGCTCTCCTTCTACCTCAAGTCGCCTTCATTGGGCACCTTTCGGCGCGACGACTACATCGCTGGCTGGCGCACCATTGCAGACGGCCAGCCGTGCGAGGACGCCGAGGCACAGAAGCGGCTTCTTCCACGGTTACGCCAGGAGCTCGAGCAGGACGCACCGGTTCGCGGCGAGCGGGCGAGCGAGGCAAAGGGGGGTCTCTTTGCGCGGACGTACGAGTTCACCTACACTTTTGCACGACCAGAGGGGCAAAAGAGTCTTCGTGAGTGGGCCATGAATGTGTCGCTCTCTCAGACACCTGGCGACTAACTATTCCCGGGCATGAAGCTCTCGAGTCTGCCGTTGCATTCTGGGACCTTGTCCTGCCACACAGTCCCACTTTCCAGGGCAACGGGACGCCGGACCGCAAAGGCACATTCACACCGCGCCAGCTCCGGCTCTGGAAGAAGTTTCTCGCGGAAAAGGGCGGCAACCGGGCTATCAGCAAGGACACATGGACCCTGGTGCGTGCTGTGCCATCCTCTCCTACCTTGTTCATGAATGGTGAGAAGCTGACGCGAGGAGGTATGCTCTGCAGTTTCTCGACTTTACAAAGGAGATCGATGAGGAGTTCAAGACACACGATTTTGATGGTGAGCATGCAGTTTCAAGGAAGCCAAGCTATCTGGGGAGGACTAAGCTGATGAGGAAAGAACAACAGCGGCCTGGCCGAGTCAGATTGACGACTTTGTCGAGTGGGCAAAGGAGCAGCCGGCGAGTGCGGGCCAGGAAGAGGAGGACGCCATGGACGAGAGTCAATGAGTGCGAGCGCCGTCGCACGCCATCTTTCTCTCTCTGCTGTACGTCGCCATTGTGGTAGTAGAGACATGCATTGTAGAGTGGAAGATATACAGAAACACGAGGCAGAAAGAGAGAGTGTGTGTGCTGGAGGAAGACTACCGGCTCCGCGTGGTGCCCTTGCCGCGCTTTCCGGAAAAGAGCCACTTTGGCTTCGTCTCCTTGATGGCACGGTCCGACTCGCCGGCCTTTGCGTGCCAGTTGCGCTGGCGAATGCCCAGGTCCTTGAGCTCGCGTGCCTTGGATGCCTGTGCATCGTTCTTGAGGCCCGCGAGCTGCCGGTTGCTCGCGGGGATGCGCACGGGGCCTGCGCGCGATGTGGGCCTGCCTCCGGACTTTTTTCGGTTCGACAGGTTCGACGATGCGCGGCGCGCCGTCGCCAGACGACTCCCCGTGTCGGACCGCCTCGCCTTGCGAGCCCGCGTCGAAGGGCCGTCGCCATCCTCGCCGTCCACGTCCATGCCCTCGTTGTCACCGTCGTCCTCCTCCCATGCATCCTCGTCCTCCGCTCCGTCCATCATCTCCTCATCGTCGTCGCTATCAGCCGCAGCACCGCTGCGCTTTCGCTTGCCACCGGCAACGCTGAGACCCTTTGCCTTTGCCAGTAGCTCTGCGCGTGCGGTGATGCTGCTGGGGTCGATGCCGAGGCTCCTGAGCTTCTCGCTCATTTCGCTAAATGTCCGCGTCTGCAGCTTCCGCGGCACACGCGCACGCGCCTTGAGCTTCTTGCGGTCCTGCGAGAAGCCCTTTGCCTCCTCGCGCCGTCGTCGGATCGCCTCAGCAGCCTCGCGGACATCGCGTGCCTCATCATCCTCGATCTCCTCCTCGCTCTCGTCGTAGAAACCGTCATTTTCCAGCTTCTCCTCCTCGGCCTCGAGTGCCTCGAGCTTGTCGAGAATGTCCGGGTCGATGAAGTCGGCCACGTTCTTGCCGTTGCGGATCTCGGGGATCGTGTCGTACTTCCACGAGTCGTCCTCGAGCATGTACCGCTTCTTCATGTCGAGGTTGTACACGCCAGCACCGCCGTGTGCCTCCTCGTCGTCGCGTTCGATCTGCCTCCGTTCCGGGTCGTCCTTTTCGAACTTTCTACGAGAGCCATTGGCGACCGCTTCGGGGATGAAGGGCTTGCGTTCCACCTCGTCGCGCCGCTTGGGCTGCGAGACGTGGATGCGGTTGAGAATCGTATTGACCTTGCCGCCTTTTTGCTTGGCGTCGAGACGCATGGCCAGCAGCGCCTCGCATGCGGCATTGCGCGCCTCCATGATGCCCTCTTCCGTGAATGTCGAGATCTCCGCCAGCTGCACCTTGCCGTCGGACTCGTCGACGAGGCCGCGGACGAGGGCGGCACGTTCGGCGTCGAGGGTATCGAGGCGCTGGACATCAATCTTGTTGATGATGAGCATCGTCGGCTTGTTGGAAAAGAGGGGCTTGATGCTGTTGAAGAGCTGGACCTGAGCCTCGATCGAGTAGCCACACTGCTCGCTGAGGTCCATAAAGTACAGCACGGCGCTGCGAAGGTGGGCAAGGGCGGTGATGCTCTGCATTTCGATGGTGTTCATCTCCTCGAGCGGGTGGTCGAGGATGCCCGGCGTGTCGATGACCTGCCAGCGCAGGTACTTGTAGTCCATGTGGCCGACAAAGAGCGACTTGGTCGTGAATGCGTACGGCTGCACGTCGACATCGGCCCGGGTGACCTTGTTGATGAACGACGACTTGCCCACGTTTGGGTAGCCGCAGATGAGCAGCGTCCGCGTCGACGGGTCGATGGACGGCAGACGGGAAATGTGCTGGCGGACCTGCTCCAGGTATGCCAATGGGTCCTTTTGTCGCTTCATGATCGTCGCCATGCTGAGACGAGCATCATCTTGTGGGTCAGCCACTGAGACCCGCATACAGACGTATATGACACTCACCGACCAAGCGCAGACCGCTTGAGCTGCTTGCAGCGGTAGAGCGAGTCGCCAAACTTGATGAGACGCACGTAGTCCTTAGCCACCGAGTCGATGAGATGCCGCGCCGTGTTGAGCTGGCCAAGCGCCAGCTTGTAGTGATTCTTGTCATAGAGGACGCTGGAAAGTGTTTCTGTCAGCCTACAGAGATACTTGCACAAATCTTCTGGCTCAAAACACCCACTTCATCAGCGACGAGGTGAAGGGGTGCAGGTTGTCGAGGATGGGAAAGTCCGAGAGGATGGCATCGAGCTTCTCGGTGAAGGCGTCCTTTGTGAACATGACCTTGCGCGAGTAGAACGACCGAATTCTCGTGATCTTCCATCCCGGGTGCACCACCGTCGGCGTCTTTCGCTGCGTCTTGGACAGCACAATGTCGAGAAAGTCGCTGGCCGATGGCACCGGCGCCATGCTAGACTTGAACGTCGCCATGGCTGCTGTTGCTGCTGCTAGTGGTGGTGCTCTCCTGACCAACCGACTCTTCTTTCTGGCTAGAGACCTTCCCTTCGCAACTTTTAACAAAGCTTTTGAAATTTTAAAAATTTTGGTCGGGCGGGCTTTTGCACGTGCGCGGAGGAGCTGGGTCGCATCCGTCTGCTCGCGTGGCTTTACGGCCCTAACCAATTGGGCCAAGACGATTGGCGGTCGACCGGTCGCGCTCACATCTTCCTGGTCGTTGCCGTCGCCGATTGCGCCTCCTCAGCACACCAGGAAAGCACCGCTCCCTCCGTCAAGATGGCCACACACAGAGATGCGCGGTTCCCCTCGACGCCCTACATCGAGCCCTCGCTGGCGCCGTCGGGCCAGCCGCACGTCGACGAGGTGGGGACCACGAGCGCGCCTCTCAAGTCGGCCGCCTTCTTCCTCGGCGAGCACTGCAAGTCGTACAACGAGGACTTTATGCTCTGCAAGAACGAGAGCAGGGATCCGGAACACTGTCTTAAGGAGGGGAGGCGCGTCACACGGTGTGCTCAAGATTTGTGAGTGATCCCTCTTGGCCGCTTCTCTTAGCCTTTACGTCGATAGGGGGGTTCGCGAAGCTTACAACTTGCCATTACACAAACCAGGATCAAGAAGCTTAGCGAAAACTGTGGAAAGGAATGGGAGGATCATTGGCAATGCTTGGAACGACACAACCAGGTGAGTGACGCGGGTACAGGTCAATCTTCCTAATCTGACCTCTGTTTTCTTTCTCTCTTTCTCCCTGCGACCAGGAATTCTACTTGTGCCGGAAGCCAGAGAGTGAGTATGATCATCGGAAGCAGACGTGGACGAACGCTCTAACGCTCGGCAATTCCCAGAAACACTCAACCAATGTGTGTTCGACAAGCTCGTGAGTCTGTCCCTTTCTTTCTGCTCTGGAGCTGGACGTTGACATATGTTGTGTGAATTCCAATAGAAATTGGCAAAGAAGATCCCGGGGTCACCAGAGGGACAGGCGCCCATCCACGAGAAGAAGAACCCGATCTACACGGGAGTGCAGCGTTAAGGAGAACGCTGTAGGGGAGGAAGGGATAGATTGGAAGGAGTCGGGTGTGGGCCAACGCCAAGTAGTATACAGCTGCATCAATCGTGCAATCTTGGAAGTTCCATCCTCGCTTCCTCCTACCTCCCTCTCTGCGTGTGCGATTCGCAATGTGATAATGCAGCAATGTAAAGTCTATAGGCATTGTCCGTCAGCATGGCGTGTAGAGATGGTGGTCGTTTGTAGAAGAGTCGCGTCACGTGCGCGCCAGCTAGTCGACTTTGAAGTCAAGCGTCGACTTCTCAACGACGTGCATCGGCCACCAGAAGAAGCTCTCCAGACGTCGACAGCCCAGCGTCAGCCAGAACGATGCTGCTCGACATCAATCGCAAGCTCTTTGCCCGGTCCGACCGGGTCAAGAGCGTCGACTTCCACCCGACGGAGCCATGGCTGCTCGCCGGCCTGTACTCGGGCAGCGTCAACATCTGGAACTATGAGACTGGGGCGCTCGTCAAGACGTTCGAGGTCACCGAGGTGCCCGTCCGCTGCGTCAAGTTCATCGCGCGCAAGAACTGGTTCGTTGCCGGCAGCGATGACTTCCAGCTGCGGTGCTTCAACTACAATACCCACGAAAAGGTGACGACTTTTGAGGCACATCCCGACTACATTCGTTGCCTCGCCGTCCACCCCACGGGCAGCTACGTCCTGACGGGCAGTGATGACATGACGATCAAGATGTGGGACTGGGACAAGAACTGGCGGCACGTTCAGGTGAGCAGTCTCATCTTTATCCTTCTGACATAGGAAAAGCTTTGAGATGGCTAATGCATGATCTGTGACAGACATTCGAGGGACACACGCACTACATCATGAATCTCTCGTTCAACCCCAAGGACTCCAACTCGTTTGCCTCTGCCTGCCTGGACAGGACTGTCAAAGTGTGGACGCTGGGCTCGAGCATGGCCAACTTTACGCTCGAGGCCCACGACAAGGGTGTCAACTACGTCGAGTACTACCACGGCGGAGAGAAGCCATACCTGGTCACGACGGGCGACGATCGGACAATCAAGATCTGGGACTACATCTCCAAGTCTTGCATTCAGACGCTCGAGGGACACACGTCCAATGTCTCGTTTGCCTGCTTCCACCCGGCACTGCCCCTCATCATCTCGGGCAGCGAAGACGGGACAGTGAAGCTGTGGCACAGCAACACCTACCGCCTCGAATCGACGCTCGACTACGGCCTCGAGAGGGCGTGGTGTGTGGCCTACCGAAAGACGGGCAATGATGTGGCTCTGGGATATGACGAAGGTGCCGTTGTCGTCAAGCTGGGCAAGGAGGAGCCCAGCGTCAGCATGGACGGCAGCGGAAAAGTCGTTTGGGCAAAGGGCGCAGAGGTGCTGAGCGCAAACTTGGGCGCCAATGACAGTGGGTATCTTTGTCGACGGATGACTCTAGGTGGAGAAGAATGCTAACCCTTGAGCATGACCACCAGACGAGAGCCTTGTAGACGGCCAGAGGATTGCGGCAGGCACTCGAGAGATGGGCAGCACGGAGGTGTATGCGCAGCTGCTGCAGCACTCACCCAACGGCCGCTTCGTCACCGTCTGTGGCGACGGCGAGTACATCATCTACACGGCCCTGGCATGGCGGAACAAGGCTTTCGGCGCCGGTCTCGGCTTTGCATGGGCCAGTGACAGCAACACATACGCTGTGCGCGAGGCTGGGTCCGTCGTCAAGGTTTTCAGGAACTTCAGAGAGCGATCCGGTCTCGTCACGATTCCCTACGCCGTAGAGGACATCAAGGGTGGTGCCCTCCTCGGCGTCATTGGCACCGGCTTTGTCTGCTTCTACGACTGGGAGACTGGCGCGCTGATCCGGAGGATAGACGTCGAGGCAAAGAATGTAGGTCATTGGCTGCTGTCCCCTTCTATTGCTTCATCTCGACACTAATCTTTCCTATTCAAACAGATCTACTGGTCTACAACGGGCGAGCTGGTGGCGATTGCAGGCGAAGAGTCGTTCTATGTTCTCCGCTTCGACCGACAGGCATATCAAGACTATCTCGACTCGGGCGCACCGGTCGAGGATGACGGCGTGGAGGATTCTTTTGATGTCGTCACAGAGATTGCCGAGGTGTGAGTGTCGATGGCTTCTCCTCGTGGAAGGTACGCAGGTCCTTTGTGCTGACACTCCTCATACATTCCAGCGTCCGGACTGCAAAGTGGACGGGCGAGTGCCTCATCTACACCAATGCCCAGAACAGAATCCAGTACCTGGTGGGCGAGCAGACGCACACAATCAACCACACGGACAACGAGTTGTACCTGCTGGGCTACCTGCCCTCGCACGGCCGCGTCTACCTCGTCGACAAGGATGTGTCCATCTACAGCTTTGCTCTCTCGCTCGCGGTTGTCGAGTACCAGACTGCGATTCTGAGAAAGGACTATGCCGGCGCAGAGGAGCTCCTCCACACCATTCCCGCCGAGCAGCGCAACAGGGTGGCCCGCTTCCTCGAGTCTCAGGGTGAGTAGCCGGAGCTGCTCGATGGAACTGTCAGGATCATTCAGCTGACTCTGGATGACTTTTTCCTCTCTTGCAGACCTCCGAAAGATGGCGCTTGAGGTATCGACAGACCCGGATCACAAGTTTGACCTCGCTGTGTCGCTGGACGACTTTGACACGGCTCTCTCGATTGCCCAGACGGGCCCCGAGGCCGGCAGCGAACCGCGCTGGCGGACGATTGGCGACAAGGCGCTGGGCCAGTGGAACTTGACGCTGGCGCGCGAGTGCTTTGAAAAGGCAAACGACCTCTCTGCGCTGCTCCTGCTAGCCACCTCGACGGGCAACCGCGACGTGCTGGAGCACGTGGCGACGCAGGCGGCGGCAAAGGGCCAGACGAATGTCGCCTTTGCGGCCCGGTTGCAGCTCGGCGATGCCAAGGGCTGCGTGAAGCTGCTCGAGGAGGCAGGGAGGATCCCAGAGGCGGCGCTGTTTGCGCGGACATATGCGCCGAGCGCCGCCAGCGACGTCGTCAAGGGCTGGAAGGTGGAGCTGCAAGAGACGAAGCGGAGCAAGCAACGCGCGATTGCAGACAGCCTCGCGGACCCGGCCACCGACGGTGGCGCATTCGAGGAAGGGTGGGACGCGGCGCTGAAGCGAGAAGAGGAACTGACGGCCATGGGGCTCGGCAAGCGCGGCAAGATTGCAGAGAGCGACGCGCCCGTCGTCGTGACGGACTCGGCGCCGCCCAAGAGCACCACCAGCGTGCTCGAGGCAGCGGGTCAGCGGGCAGCAGAAGATGCAAACGAGCCGCTCGCGACTGTTGCGAATGGGTCAGCTTAGATCTCTTTCTGTTCTCATTCCCTTTTTGTGTGTTTAAAAACAAATGGCATCTTCTTCTATTGATTAGAGAGAGAATGGGTGTGTGTCTTTTGAGAGAGAGATTGGAGAGTGTCCATCACTGCCTCCTCGCAGCGTTTGGCGTCGCGCCGCTCAGCGTCCGCTGGATCCCAGGCGGCTGCGGTCTTCGACTGTCGACGGGCGACGTGGGCCTGCTCGTCGCCGTCGACGTCGAGCCAGGCGTGGCCGTCGTCGTCGCAGCGGGCGAGGCGCCGCTGCCCACCGACGGGAGCCCAAAGAACGACGACGCCGGCTGCGCAGCCTGGGCCTCTGGCCTGCTCCGCGCGGGGTTCAGCGGACTCTGAAGACTCGCGCGGCCCGTCTGTGCTTGCCCCTGCCCTTGTACTTGTCCCTGCTGGCCCTGTGCACCATTGAGCTTCTTCCGTGCGGCACCTCCACTTGCCGTGTTCGATCCATTGACCAAGCTCGCCGACGGAGCCCTGGACCTCAATGCAGTCGACGAAGAAGCAGCCGCCGACGAGGCCGGAAGACCCTGTATCCGCCCGCCTGCATTTACGCCCTGCCGATAGTTTCCGCCACCAGCGGCTCCTCCGCCGCCGACCGCCGCCGACGTCGTTGCTGAAGAGGGAGACGATGCAGAATGGGCGACGCGCCGGCTTCGCTCGTGTCGTGCCTGCACGGCTCGGAAGTGGGTGAGCAGCTCGGCCCACTTGATGTCGTCCTTGCCCGAGCCGACGCGGCTCTTGGACGCGGCAGTGGCGGCCGCAGAGGATGCCGACGACGACGACGAGACAGAGGCCGACGTGGCGCGCGGCACGACGTTGAGGTAGCCGAGCCCATTGACGGCATTGAGGCGGTTGCGCAGCGTCGCAAAGGCCGACGACTGCGGCAGGAGCATCAGGATGCCGTACAGGCACTTGAACAGAAACGGGTGGCGATCCGGCTCGAGGAGCTGGAGCCGCAGGGCGGTAAAGATGGGAGACTCGAGGAGCTGCACGAGCTTGTCGATCTGGATCAGCAGGCCCACCGTCATTTCGAGCTCGGCAAAGATGGGCAGCAGGTTGGCGGCGTGCTCGTAGGCCTGCGCCAAGAGACACAGGCTGAATGTCGCCACGGCATTATGGCACCAGCTCCTGTAGAGGCTGTTGAAGAGCTGCGAGCCGTCCTTTGAGTCGAGATTCTTGAGCCGCTTGCGGAAGTCGCTCAGCTCTGGCGAGGTGATGAGGATCATCGACAGGTTCGTCACCATGATGGACGCAAACTCGAGATCCTCGTCGCGCTCCAGGATCTCTGCCAGGGTGCGAAAGACGCGCTCCGTGTGCAGCGAGGTGCAGAGCTGCCGGATGATGAGGCTTCCCCGTGCCTCGAGGAGCCGGCGGTCGGTGCTGAACAAGCTCACGAGGTTGGCCAGGTACGAGTTGTACGCCTCGTCTGAGGCGCCCGACATCTGGGCCAGCAGGCGCAGGTCGCACTTGATGACTTCCTCTGACGGGTCCGAGAGCGTCTTGAGGAGCGCAGGAAAGGTACCGTCGTCGATGGACAGGATCCTGCGGGGCGCCTTTTGGTGGAGCATGAGGAGCCACTCCAGCGCAGTGACGCGCGTCTCCTCGTGCTCGTCGATGAGCTGCAGCGTCAGGACATTGACCGTCGTCTGCAAGTCAAAGGGATCATTGGGCGCCACCTCGCCTCCTAGCCCAGCTCCTGCCTCTCCCGTGCCATCGATGGAGATGCCCAGGGCGCCGGTGATTGGCTCCACGTCGTCCGCGTTGGAGGATGACCGAACGCGTGGCGAGGCGACACCCTGGCTCAGTGGCGCTCGCTCCTTTTGTTTCGCCAACGGGATCGGCTCGGCCTCTGGCTGCGACGAGAGCGACGCCGAGGTGGCCCACGAGAGAGACTGCACGACTTGGTACAGATTCGCATTCGTCACATTGGCAGCCGTCTGGATCGCCGGGCTGTGGTGGGCCAGGCTGGGCAGGATGGCGGGAATCAGCCTGGGAACAAAGGGCACCACGACGTCCTTGATGACGACGAGGAGCTCTGCGATCCACTGCAGCGTCGTTGCCTGGATCTCTTCGTCTGTGTGAGGGGGACAGCCAGGGTTGGTGCGTGAGTCAGGTAGCCACAGAAGGCTCTAAAGGGACGTACGAACCTGGGTATGTGATGTGGTTGATGAGGATCTCCATGATGGCGGCATAGTCGATGCGCACCTCTGGCGCGGGCATCCAGTCCTCGTCGCCCTCCTCTAGCGCCTCGTCCTTTTCCTCGTGCTCCTCTGCGCCTTCCTTGGGCCCTTCTTCTCCATCTGCTTCCCTCTTCTCTTCTTCAGCACCCTCGTCCACCGCTGCGACCCGCTCCTGGCTCTGCGCCTGCTTCTCTTTCTCCTTCTGTGCCCGTCTCGCCTCCGCCTCGCCTCGTATCCGCGCCACCTCTGCTGCCTCGCGGATCTCTCGAAGAAAGTCGGCCAGGACATTGGCCGTGGCGACGCGCACGTCGGTGTTGGGGTCGCTGAGGTACTTGAGCAGGCCGTCGAGGAAGCTGGGCAGGAAGCTGACGAGCTCCAGATCGGGAACCGAGTCGAGGACAGTGACCCAGCTCACGAGGTAGTTGCGCGTAAAGGGCGAGAGAACGTACATGCGCTCGGCGAGCAGGGGCACGAATCGCGCGAGGGAAAAGACTTTATCTCCGCCGCCGTCGCCAGCACCGTCTTCGTCGATCTCGTGCCTGCCGTCTCGCACCGCGTCGTGGCGATGTGAGTGGTGGTGCGCCTTTTCCCGTGCCACGTCGAGCTCGGCAGCGCCGCCGAGGTTGCCCTCGGACGAGTCCTGGCGAGCGCGGATCAGGGCCGTGTCCTGGTACTGCGACACGTAGTGGGGTGCTGCCTCGCACACAATGTCCTTGAGCAGCCGGTCCAGCAGCTCTGCGCCGTTCTTGACCGACAGCTCCGAGTCGGCAGCGAGCTGTTTTGCGACTAGGAAGTCAGTCGCTGTGGACGCTCACTTAGTGTAAAGGAGAGACTCACCCGGGAAAGAGCGTCGAAGGTCTCGTTGAAGTACATGAGAATCTCGCCCTTGCAGACCTTTGCGATGTTGTAGAAGCTCTCGCAGGCAAAGTAGCTGTGGGCAGTGTGCCTTGGTCAGCCAGGGGCATGCCACTTGCGGAAGGCGGAGGGCTGCACATACCGTATCTTGCTGTCAGGATCTGCAAAGCACACGAGAATGGGCGGGACAATGGTCTGAAGATATGGGGCGATTTCGATGCCGAGGGCAATGGCCACGCCCGCCAGGCCGATGAGAGCGCCGTTGCGCGCATTGACGCTCTGCGGGCTGTTGGACGAGGAAGACGACGACGAGGGCAGGTTGCTGTTGAGCAGCGAGGTGAGCTGCTCCACAAAGACGTTGATGCGCGCTCGGTCGTTCTTGGCCAGTGCCTCCCGGACCTGCCTGTTGACACGCTCGCACACACGCAAGTCAGCTAAAGCTAAGAGGAGGAAGGAGAGGGAGACGAGGCGCGGAAACGACGCACCTTTCGAGGTCGAGGGTGGCCGCCTTGCGCTTGTCGTACACCCTGTCCAAGAGGGCCTTTTGCAGCGCGGCGTCTATGCTCGGCAGCGCATCAGTCTCCTTGTGACGTCACATGCTTTCGGCCAGCCCACTCACCCATCCTGATCAGTCACGGCCAGTCGTGCGGCAGGCAGGCGGCAGGCAGGGACGCGCCCCTCTTTGTGATGGCGAGAGATGGAGGCGCTACGCACGGACGTCGCCACGCGCAGATTCCTTAGCTAGGCCCCGTCAGCCAGGCCCGTTTAGCCAGGGCCAGTCCGAAGAGAGAGAAAATAAAAAATCCGACTTTGCCTGACAGTCTTCTTTCTCCACGGCTCGGCCCCCCTCCTCCTCCTTCCCTTTCTCTCCCTAAAACCCCTCGCCAGGAGGACACGGCAGGCTGCCTCTTTCTGCCGCTTTCTTTCTCCCCTTCTCTCTCTCTTTCTTCTTCTCTCGTCCCTGCCAACCCAGGGGGCATGGGTCCCTCTAGACGGCTCCTCGTTCTTGCGGGTCACGGCGTCAGTTCCAGCCCCAGCTCCTCCTCCACTCGTCTGGCCGCGTCGTTCGTCTCTGCTCGACGGTCTGTGACGACAAAGGGCGGGAGCGGGAGTACCTCGCAGACGGTTGCCTCCTCGAGCACGGCTTCGAGCAGCGCCGCAGGAGCAGGGACAGGCGCAGGCGCAGGAGGAGCAGCAGGCGTCGGCACCGCAGCGTCGGGCGGCCGAAGACCACCCAACGACCGGCAGCGTGCCCGGCGAGAGTGGTTCTTTGTCGGTGCCTCGGGCAGCGTCGCCGCCATTGGGGCCTACTGGTACTGGCTCCGGCCTGACAAAAAGTCACCGTCATCATCGGCGCAGCGCTACTTCTCCAGCGCGCACCGCACCACCTTTTCGATCCCTGTCCGCCAGATTGACCGGGCGACGGGCACCATGTCGGTCGGCTCCAAGATCATCACCTCGCTCACCGCCGACGAGGTGGACCAGCGGCTGACGGAGCACGAGGTGTCGACGCGCGTCGAGGGCAGCGCCGGGCCATGCATCGTCACGCGCTACGACACCAACAGCGTGGCGTCCAACGAGCCCATCGAGGACAAGCGCGCCGAGGTCATTGTCGAGCGGGACAACCAGCAGGGCCCGCGGGGAAACCTGAGCTTCTTTGCCATCATGGACGGCCATGCAGGCTACCACACCAGCACGCTCCTCTCCCAGAAGGTACGTCATCTCTTTCCTCACACTCCTGCTGCTGCCATCACAGCTGACGGTTGTCGCTCCAGCTCATTGCATTCGTCGCCCTCGAGCTGGAAAAGGTTATTCGTGAGGCGGGCGAGTACGGCCAGATCGCCCGGGCAAAGGCCGCCATGCCCTCGAAGCTCTGGCGCATCCTCTTTGGCGGGCCCGAGTCGTCGTCGTCGTCGTCGTCGTCATCATCAGGAAGCGTCAATGCCGCTGGCTCGGGCCTCGACGGGGACCCCGAGATTGTCAAGCGGGCTATCATCAAGGCCTTCAGGGGCCTGGACAAGGAGATTGTCAACACGCCCGTCGAGCTGCTCAAGGAGTACGAGCTGTCGAGGAGCTCCATCTCGAATAGCAGCAGCAGTGGCAGTGGCAGTGGCAGTGGCGCCGCCCAGCACGGAGGATCGACGCGGAGCCTGTCGTCGCTCGCCCACAGCATCTTTCCCGTCTCGCCCTCGTCGTCGAGCATGGACAGCGTGTCGACGGCGACGAAGCGGAGCGCCTACGAGACGATGCTGCCTGCGCTGAGCGGCAGCTGTGCCCTCCTCACCTACGTCGACAGTGCCCGGGGCGACATCTACGTTGCATGCACTGGCGACAGCCGTGCCGTCGCGGGCTGGTGGGATGCCGATGCCCGGCGCTGGCACGTTGAGGCGCTCTCGAAGGACCAGACGGGCCGCAATGCCGACGAGGCCAAGCGCATGCGGTCCGAGCACCCCGCCTCGGAGGCCGACCACGTCATCATGCGCGGCCGTGTCCTCGGCGGCCTCGAGCCCACGCGCGCGTTTGGCGATGCACGGTACAAGTGGGACAAGTCGCTGCAGGACCGCCTCTACGACGCCTTTTTGCCGCCTGCCGAGCGCGCCTCGATCCGCGGCGCACCCCGCCACCTCCTCACGCCGCCCTACGTCACGGCCGAGCCCGTCGTCTCGTGGAAGCGGGTCGATGCAGGAGCATCCAAGAGCAGCCGGCAGCTCAAGTTCATCGTCATGGCCACCGATGGTCTGTGGGACATGATGTCCAACGAGGAAGTCGTCGGCCTCGTCGCGGCTCATCTCCAGGGCCAGCGCGGCACCCTCTCGGCCTCGGAGCTGCAGCAGCGCTGCTTTTCCTCTGCGCCGGCTGCACCGTCACTACCTGCCTCGTCTGCACCCGCACCGACGACAGCTGCACCTGCACCGACGGCGCCCTCGTCGCAGTCACAGGAGCACCCGCTCACAAAGGCAAAGGAGTCCCTCTACACGTTCCAGGACGACAACCTGTCGACGCACCTGGTCCGCAACGCACTCGGCGGCGGCAATCGCGAGCGCGTCGCGGGTCTCCTCGCCATCCCCGCCCCCGAGAGCAGGCGGTACCGTGACGACATTACCGTCAATGTCATTCTCTTTGACACGGCGCCTGTTAAAGGTGCAGCAGAGGCGGCGGTGGCAGACAGGGACGAGGCACCGCCAAAGGCGAAGCTGTAACTATTGACATTTTCTTTCTGTTCTTTCTGAGCAACGACGATCATCTCCTGGAAGCCATCCTCTTCTCTCGCGCGTTGACTTTCTGTCTGAGCCTGCACCGCCCTTCCCCTCTCGTCGATGGACCGGCCTAAGACACTCGAGGCACGGAAGAGAATCATTATTGACAGCACAACGTGAAGGAGAAGGTAGCGCTACTTTTCAGAAGAAGCTGGCCCAGCAGGACGACGCAGCGGCGGTCGGGGCAGGTAGCCGTTGCTGTCGCGGAGGAGCATCGACTGGAGGCGGGTCGAAGCCTTGTAGGCGAGAATGATGAGAAAGGGGAGCGAAAAGATAAAGAGCTTGCTGCCGAGGAGCCGACAGAGGACAGTATCCTGCGTTTGTTTGTGTGACCCATCGTCAGTGTCATTGTTCGTGGGTTTGGAGAAAGGAACTACTCCCTCACGACGCGAGTTGGGATGGGAAACAAAGTGAGGGAGCGTCTCTTTTTTTTCTTTCAATGACCAACCACATCAAGGTGTTGTGGAATGCCGCTGAAGCATGCCTTTGCTGCGCTCAGCGGCATGCTGGGTGGGAGAAACTCCTTGAGCGTGTGCGCCGAGCCGCTCATGCCGCCGCCCATCGTCAGCTGCTGTGGCTGGCCCTGCGCAGCGGTGGCGCCTGATGCGCTGCTGGCCGCACGATCGGGTGCCTTGTCGATGAAGAGCGGAGACGAGGCCGGGCTGCCTGACTGCGTCGAGACCTGCGCCGATGTGTTGACCGTCTTGCCAACCTGATCATAGTGGCTGTCGAGACATCTCATAAGCCCAGCACAAGCAGAGCACACACAGAAAAAAGAAGGGATTGCGGCTTACAAGGTACCCTGGATCTTGCCAAATTCCGGGTTGGGCTTTACCTTGAAGGGGTGGCCCTCGGTCGTGAGCACTGGGACCTTTTGTCAGCGCTTGAAGAGATGGAGGAGAGGAGGAGACTGGCTCACCGTACTCGTCGAGGGAAAAGGCGTCCGGGTCGTCAAAGATGAGATAGAGGTACTTGAATGTCTCAGCAAAGAGGAACGTCTGCTGCGAGTCGTACAGGCCCGTGCTGTATGAAGAGATATTTAGCCAAGAATTGGGGGAAGGCTGGGAGGTAAGAGAGCACCCACGAGTCGTCATTGACGTTGACAATGCCCGCCCAGCCCGAGCCAGTATCGCAGTACTGCTTCCACTGCTGGAAAAAGGTCCAGGCATAGTCTCTCCAGAACTGCTGGCCCGTGATCCTGTATGCATAAAACACCGACTCGAGAATCTCGGGCCGGTTGACCCAGTCGGTGTTGGTGACAAAGAAGCCCTCCTTGTTGTAGTGCAGCCGGCGCGGCGTGCTGACGTACGTCCACCCTTTGGCCTGCTTGTCGCCGTCGTACCAGCCCCAGGCCGAGGGCGCAATCTTGAGCGACGTGCCGAGCTGTACGCGCGCGCACGACTCGGCAAGCTGCAGGCCCAGCGTCGTCCACTCGTCGCGCTTCAGGAGGCGGCCAGCCATGGCCATGTTGCCGCCCGCGAAGCAAGCCAGGTGCGAAAAGATGTTGATGGTGCCGTTTGCCACCTTTTCGCTGTAGTCGGTCAGGAAGACGATGCTGTCCACCTCTGGATATCAGCTCGAATGGCTCTGCAGCAGCATGTAGAACGAAAGAATAGGAGATCTTGCGCTCACCCGTTGAGACCACTTTTGGAGACGAGATGCTTCTGGACGGAATCCATGCTCTGTTCGTAAAGCTTGTAAAAGTCGCTGTTCGGCCCCTCGCCGATCAGGTAAGGATACTTGACCAGATACTCCTGAAGATTGGAGAGGTCCAGTCAGTCTGTGCGATGGCGACAACCGTGAGAAAGGCAGAATCATACATAGAAGCTGTCGGTACCGCCACCGTAGGTGTGGTAGTCATCCTTGTAGCTCTCGTTGCCCGGCCAGATGTTCTGGGGAAAAAGACCAGGAAAAGCACCCTTGCTCTCCATGATGGCACGCATGCTCTGCATCGCCAGTGCCCCGTAGGTGCTGTTCTGCGAGTACTGCGAGAGCGAGTGCCACTCCAGCAGCAAGCTTCCAGCCTCGGCCAGATTGGCCGTGTCGCTGCTGTCGTCGGGCCGTGGAGGAGTCGCGTTGATCTGGACATAGTTGAACGGGATGCGGTGGCCCTTGTCCCACCCAAAGCTGAGCCCATCGGCGAGCGTCTGCATCTGCTGCACCATGAAACGGTCCTGCGCCCTCTCTCCACCGAGCTGGTAGGCGCTGAGCAGACCTCCAATGTAGCGAATCGTCGTTTCGAAAATCGAGACGACGCCCACCCTGGGCTCTCCCTCCTGGTCTGCGCCCTCGTGCGTCCTCGTGAAATCGATTCGTCGGCTGTGCTCGACGGCGCGATGGTACTGCGGGCTGTCCTGGAGGCCCATGAGGATCATCGTCGAGAGGCTGTCGACGGCCGTGCCGCCCCACCCAGCCAAGATTGAGTTGTTCTCCGCTTTCTGCCATCGCAGCAAGTTTCATCAGCCAGTCACGACAAAGAAAAAGGGCAAGATTGGGACGAACCTTGGTAGCCGGTTTGAGCATGTCGCTTCCAAACGCATACTGCTCGTAGAAACCGTAATTTTCCACAAATGCCCGCTTGACGGCCTCGCGCTTGTCCAAGTCGGCGCCCCTCGTCGGCCGGCTCTTTGCGTCGTACCCCGCGCTCGCTGCAGCTGCTGCGGCCTGGTTCTGCTGCTGTCGTACTACACCACCGGCAGCGGTTTGCGGCCTGGGACTGCCCGATGTCGGTGTTGGCTGTGGCTTGGCAGGTCGGTCCCGCTGTACTTGTTCATTTGCTGGTGCTGGCGCTGGCGCAGGCGCACCGGCCGGCAGAGGCTGGGGCGCGCGCGAATGCAGCTGAGCACCGACGGAGGGTGCGCGCGCATACATGTCTGCGCGCCGGTTGAGGTCCACAAACGAGGGCTGCGGCTGCGGTGGGCCGCGGATGTTGATGGCGCCCTCGGCAGTCGAGTGAAAGGAGGACAAGAGGGCGAGGAGAAGGACGAGGCAGAGGAGCGTATGCGACGACGACGACAAGGACGACAGCGAAGTGGTAGTCATTGTGCACCACCGCTGTAGCAGCAGCAGCATCATCACGACGGCGTATAAAGCGACGGAGGAAGCACTGCAAGTTGGAGACAGAAGAGAGAGAGGGACAGAGGGAACCGTGATGGAAACATGGGCGCCATTTATAGGACCGACACTCTCTCAGACGAACGGGGCGGGGCACGCCCTTCGTGCGCGGTTCTCCCTGTCTAATCCCATGACTTCACCAGCCGCCAAGACGACAAATCCAACGCCGCGCTGGCACACTAGCTCCGAAGCCGAAACCCAGGTGAAGAAGTAGGGAACGGGCGGAGGCGAGGGCGGACGGGGAAAGAGGGACAGGGCGTTTCTCGCTCATTGTGTTATTTTTCTGGATTAGGAGCACAGCGAGCGGAGACTGCGCATCGTCTCCTGAGCCGCGCCTCCCGGACCGACAATCTCCCCCTCTGTCCCTTGTGTCTGTGCACCAATTTGTCTGCCTGTGCGCGGGCGCGATGACGACCAAGGACGCGGCCCAATCGGCAGCGAGACTTGGCCCCTTGTCCGTGTTGCGAGAATTCGAACTGTGCATCGCAAACGCCACGACCGGTGATGACAGCAAGCCAGTAGTCGGGAGCTGAGAGTGGGGAAGAGAGAAGGGTACATTCACGCAGAGCAAAGAGAAAACCACATCATGATGCTGGAATATTGCTACGGAACGTTAACTAAACATCAGTCTGCCTCTGTGTGTGCGCGCCAACAAGAAAAGAAAATTACATGAGAAGGGGATCAAGGTAGGAGAGAGAAGAAGAAGAGAGGCAAGTGGACGCGGGCACCTCAGCTGGCGGCAGTGGCAGACGGCGCATGGCGCGCAGGACTGCCGGAGCTGCGACCCGAGGACGAGTTGTTGGTGGCAGACTCCTTGGCAGCGGCCTCCTTTCGACGCATGAGCAGGTAGCGCTGCCGGCACTGGTGGTAGGAGCGCGTACCGACAACGCGGGCGACGGCCTCCCAGCGCTGGCCGTGGTCAGCAATGGCCTTGCGCAGCTTGCGGTCCTCCTCCTCGGACCAGCGGACATAGGGCAGCCGCTTGTCTGGGCTCGTGTTGCCGCCCTTGGCCTGGGCACTGTGCTTCTGACCCGCCTTGGGTGACTCGGGCATCATCATCATCAGCGTCGGTGCACTGCCACTGCTGGCCAGAGAGGCCTTGCCGGCGGACATGAGGTGGACGTCGCCCGACGAGATGCGTGGTCCATGTCCAAACGTCGAGTAGCGTCCTGATGATGGAGGGCTGGATCCCCGCGGCGCATACACGCCGTTGCGGGGCCCTGCTGGCTGGTGCGAGGTCCATCCGTGGGAGAGCGGCGGGGTGCTGTAGGTGTAGCCGCTCGCCTGTGATGAGGGCTGCTGCTGCTGCTGCTGCTGTGAGCTGGGCTGAGACGACGGTGGCTGCTGCTGCATGTGCCGGTAGCTCTCTTCATGCGCATAGCTATGGCCGTAGGCTCCACGTGGGTAGTAGTGCGAGTGCGCCTCGCCATCGACGGCCATGCCATCGTACGACATGTCGGAGCGGACCTCGAGCTCGTCCTCTTCCTCCTCGGCCGTCGAATGGCTCCGGTCCGAGCTCTGGCTCGGCTGCTGGCTGGCTGCAGCCTGGTCCGCAAGCAGGTCCAGCGCACTGAGGCCCGACGACTGGCTCAAGACGCCCGACGACATGGGCCCGGCCTCTTCTGCCGAGTGGTACAGGGGCTCGGCGCCCTCTGTGCTCGTCCGCAGCCTCCTCATGCCGTCACCGAGCTTGCCATCGACTGTCCCGAATCGAGCGATGCGCTTGCCAGGAGACATGCTCGCCAGATCGACACCGACCGTGGCACTCGTCGACACGCGCCGTCGCTTTGGCGATTCGTTGTTGAGATTGGCACTGCCCTTGGCCATCGACATGACGCCTCCAGTGGCAGCAGCACCACTACCACCAGCGCTAGGGAACGCATGTCGGCGAGACACGGCAGCCTCATCGCCGTCGTCGCCGTCTTCCTCCTCCTGCTCGTCTTCCTCGGCATCAGAGCCTCCCCGTGTCCTGCTGTTGCTCTGCCGGTCCTGGCTGCTGAGCGTGGGCCGCTCGGCGGGGTTGAGAACCGTCTGAGCGGCCTGGAGCAGCTCGTCGATGCCGCCGTTGGAGCGCATGCTGTCCGTGCGCTCGTGCGTGCCCCATCGGCCGAGTGACGCTCCGTTGCGACGGGCCAAGGGACTGCCGCCGCCGTTGTGGTGGGCGACGGGAAGCATCGCTCCGTTGCGCGGCGATCCACCCGCGGTCATCATGACGGTCGCGTCGCCGTCGTGGCCACCCCGCCGAGGCGTGTTGCTCATCTGCGCCGTGCGGGGTGTGCGCGGCGTTCGCGGCGGGGGCGTGCGTGGACGACCGTCGTCGTCGAGCAGCGGCGTCTGCTTGCTCGGCGAGCTCTGCGGTCGGCCTGCCGTCGTCCTGGCATGGCTAACCCGGAGCCGTCGGGCGGCCAGGAGGAGATGCTCGGCCTCTGCATCGCCCATCGTCGCCACGCGCCGCCGTCGGCTGCGGTCCCTCTTTTGGGACCGCCCACTCGGGGTGTTGGGCGCATTGGAGCCAGGCGTGGCAAGTGACGACGAGGAGGGTGCCGAAGCCAGGAGGGTGCTGGCCGCTGCGCTCTTGGAGGGCGCGCCGCGGACGAGGAGGGGCCTCATGCTGCGCAGCTCGGCTTCCAGACGGTCGCGCTGCGCCTCGGCGTCGCGCATCCGGCTCTTGAGGTAGCGCTTGTCCGACAGCAGCTTGTTGCGCTCCTTGATGATCGTCGACAGGGGCGAGGAGCCGGAGCCGGAGCCACTGGCCACCGTCAGGGCCGGGTCTGAGGGAGTGGGCTGGGGACCAGCAGTGGTACTGGGGGCAGAGATGCCCAAGCCAGTGACGGCGCCTTCGCCGTCGGCCTCGGTGGCGGCAAAGGTGGGCGATGTCGGCTCTGCCTTGAGCTCAAAGGGCTCCTCCAGGCCACCATTGCCAGCGCCGACGCCGGGGCTGCCGTTCTGCTTGGCCCGTGCTGTCGCAGTCTGAGCCTGGCCCGGTGTCTGAGTCGTCCGCACCTGTGTCTGTGCCTGTGCTTGTGCCATCTGGGCTGCTCTTGCCCTGGCAGCCTGCTGTTGGGCATAGGCTGAGGCGTGGCCCTTCATCTCCTCCTGCCACATGACCTCTTCCTCGGCACTCATCGCCCGCTGACGGTCCTGCTCTTCGTTGCGTGACTCGCTGCGAGCGAGCATGGCACTGAGCATCTTTGCCTGTGCCTGGGCGCCCTCTAGCTCGGCCTCGAGGCGGCTACGCAACGACAGCTCCTGGGCCAGCTCGTGGGCATACTTTGTCCGCAGCGAGCTCATCATCGAGATGGACGAGATGCGCGTTGTATGCAGCTGCGAGAGAGGGCACTCTGTCAGTCATCTGCATCTGCACGGTGGAATGAGAGAGGCCTTGACTCACGCCTCGCTCGAGACTGTCGATGTAGGCCTCCTGGTCCTGAGCATGCGCAACGACTTTCTTGAGCTGGAGAAGAGCGAGCGAGCGAGCGAGCGAGAGGTTAGTTGGAACAGAGCTCTTTGTATCAAGTGGATGCGAAATGCAGCTCACCATGGCAGCCAGCTCCCTCTCCCGCGGCACATCGGCCTGTCCTGCTCCGGCATCGGCCTCTGCCTCGGCGAGTCCCATGGATGCGAGCTTGTCCATGACGGCCTGCATCTCCTCGCGGGCGACCCGGTTGGGTCTGCTCGCTTCCTCGGTGCCATCCTGGTCCTCGCCGTAGAGGAGCATCTTGACTTCGTCGGGCGAAGGTGCGAGTGCAGAGGGATATGACAGGTGGCCCGTGATGGGCGAAGGTGTCCTTGAGCGGGATGAGCCGGCATCGTCGACGGCGCCATCGCCACCGTTGATGTTGGCGTATCCATCAGCACCGTCGACGGTGGCACTGGCGCCACGCATGCGTCTGCCTCGCCGCTCTCGCTCGTGTTCCTGCTGCTCCTGCAGAACGGCGTCGCGCTCCGTCTTGTGCTTCTTGGGCGTCGACGACGAGGATGTGGCCGCCATGGCCGTTGAGAGGTCCCAGCTGGCCGTGGACGACGACGGCGCCCCACTGCTCCGTTTGGCACGTCGCGCTGTCGCAACGACCGAGGGACTGTCATCGTGGCGGTCAGAGGGCCCGTCGTTGACAAGGCGCTGCGATACGGATGCCTCGTCGACGCCCTCTCGCCGGACCGTGGGAGGCTGCGTGGATGCCGAGAGCTCAATGTGCGACGTCGGCGGCGTCGGCAGGTCATTAAATGCGTTCCGGGGAGGCGTATAGGGGCCGCTTCCTCGTTGGGTCGACGATGGACCAGCTGTCTGGTGCTGCTCTGCCGATGGATGGCGCTCCTGGAGCTGCTGCTCCGAGATTGCAGACGGGGCCATCCCCCCGTCCTCCACCTGCGCACCCGTCATCGTGGCCTTTGTCGTCTATCCTCCCGAGCGCTTTTTAGTCGTCGACGCACAGCAGAGCGGGCAGCACGATGTGAGGGGAAAGAGAGAAAGGAGCGGAAAAAGGAAAGGTTCGCAGGATGGTCCAAGGTAAGAAGAGGAGGGAGGGAGAAAATCCTGGGAGCGACTTTCTCTTTCGCAAGGGGAATGCGACGAATGGGTGTTGGTTGGGTGTGTATGTTCCGGGCACAGGCGCGCGCGAGAGAGAAAAAAAAAATCTGCTACACAGAGAGACAGTAAGGTAATTAGAAAATAGAAAGAACAAGAAAAATTCAGAGGAACCAACACACACGCGCAGATGCAGACACACACGCCCGGCGCCGCATCGAGAGGCCGAGATGAGACTCGACTTTCCGAGACAAAAGACGGAAACCCTTTTGCGCTCCCCATCTCGCTATTTTGATTCATCGATTTTGCTCGAGAGGGTAGGAATGGTAGTTGTGATGTAGCAGTTGTGGCCTCGCTGCACGCTGTGATGACAAGAAGTGCTTGAGGCTTTCTTACCGGCGTAGCTCTTGACACCTTTACTTGGGCTCCACGATTAGATCAGGCGTCAACGACCCAGGATGTGAATCTCGCGATGTGGTCACGTGCAAATACCTTGCACTCACGGACCACCGGCATCCGTGGAGGTTTGCGATCCGTGCGGGAGAACGTTGGCTTGGGCGACCATCGAGGCTCCTATTTCTCTCTCAAGTGTAAAGACTGACAATGGCAGCACAACCACCCACAGTCAACGTGGCCGACCCAGGCACGGCAGAGGAAACAAAGTTCCAGTCGTCGCACGACGGCCTCGAGTTTCGCACCCGAAAGTGGCTGCCCTCGACGATTGCCTCGAAGCCGCCACGGGCCGCCGTCGTCTTTGTGCACGGCTTCATCGAGCACGTCGGGCGCTACAACCACGTCTTTCCCTCATTTGCCCAGGCAAACATCTACGTCGTCGCTTTCGACCAGCGCGGCTTTGGCGAGACGTGGAGCAAGCACAAGGAGGCCAAGAAGCAGCATGGCAACACGACGTGGAAGCAGCAATTCGAGGACCTCGCGGACCTCATCAAGCTGCAGCGCAAGGAGCTCGACGACAAGTTCGGAAAGGACGTCGTTCCTATCTTCCTCATGGGCCACAGCATGGTTCGTGTTCCTCCCCCTCCTTCCTTCTTGCAATCCTATTTCGGCAGGCTAACAGCTGGAGACAGGGAGGCGGCATCTCGTTTGCGTTCATGACCCGCGACGGCACCGCTGACGGCGGACCAGCGCAGGAGACCAAGGACATGATAAAGGGTGTCATCATGTCGAGCCCCTGGATTACCCTCACCCACCCCCCTCCGGGATTCCTGGTGCCACTGTTGAGGGGCGTGCTTAAGATATACCCCAACATGCCCTGGTTTGCTGAGGTGGCGCCCAGGGAGCTGTCCAAGGACCCCGAGGTGGTCAAGTGGACCCAGGAGGACCCGCTCTGCGATGGCCACGTGTACCTCAAGGCCATCCTCGGACCCATCACGGGTGGACCGACGTTCCTCACCGAGGGCTACAAGCGCTGGCCCAAGGATGTGCCCATCCTCGTCAGCCACGGCGACGCGGATCCCGTGACGAACCCAAAGGCGAGCAAGGAGCTCGAGTCGAAGCTCGACGCAACCGACAAGGAGTACAAGTCCTGGCCCGGATACCTCCACGAGGGATGGCACGAGCAGGGCAACGAGAAGGTCGAATACATCAACTATCTCGTCCAGTGCGTTGCCCTCCTTCTCTGACCGTTGATACAGACGCTAATTGACCCTGACTCACTTCACAACAGGTGGATCGTCGCACGCACGTCGGAGAAGCCTCAGGAATCGTGAGCTAAGACAACAGCCCCGAGTCTTTTGTTGCTGCACGAATCCGTGCTCACTTGTGCTTCTGGTTCCCTTCAATGTCGCGACATATACCTAGGAGAGAGCCTTCTCGTCTTTGAGAATAGAGGGATCGCAAGTTCCGTGGGAGTGGAGTCTTTGCAATGTGAAGTGTCCCGATTCATCTTATTTCGCGATGCGGTCGTCGCCCTTGTCTGTGTAAATAATTGCCATGGACAGCCAACCCACTTACCGAGTGGTCGTCAGTCTCTGAGACACCGGTGTTCAGGCCTCGATGCCGGCACAAGCTACGAGACACGGCTCACCGCTCAGTATTTGGCTTTTCTGGCATGGAGCACAGAGGCGATTGGAAGCAGTGTTTTGCGTTGGTCCTTTTCATCGCGCTCGCACCCGATTGGTCTTGCGCTGAAAATTAAGCTTTCTTCTGTTGAACAAGGCAAGGGATCTTCTTTAGGTAGGGCTATTCTTTAGCTAACCGTTTCGTAGCATCAAGTAATCAAGCCTTGCTATCTGTGATAAGGTGGTGATAGTTTCTTCCTATCTCGCCGTGTGCTCCGACCTACGCGCGAACCCACCGAGACAGGGCGGCGCTAACAGTGGGTAAATAGAGTGGGAACTGCGCGTCGGCCACCAAGCCCTTCTACTGCTTGACTAGTTCCAAAACGGCACGGCTAGGTGGCTATCAGCAATCTTCAGCGTGGGGTCGCCGACTCAACGGTGTTCTTCTTTTTTTTCTCCCTCTCCCTCTGCTCTTTCTCTGCCCTGAGAAGGGTCCAATTCATTTCATTTGTTGAGATAGGCTCCAGATTGTGATACAAAAGGGTGGGGTGGCGAATGAGACGACTTGGTCACACCTACCCCCCAACGATGAGCGTCGAAAAGGTCCCCTCTCGCGCCTCCTCTAAGGACGCCGACGCCAGCGCTGGCGTTGGTGCGTCTGAGAAACAGACCGTCTCTGTCTCTGACCAGCTGCAGCAGCAAGGAGTCGACGACAGGGGCATTCCTCAGCTCACTTGCGTGCCATCGAGAAGCTCAGCCGTCGACGAGGCTTATCACGTCGCTGGAGAAGTCGCGCTCGAGTACAGCAAAGAAGAGGCAGACGCGGTCCGTCGCAAGATTGATCGGCGTGTCCCGATCCTTCTCGCTCTCGTATACTTTTCACAGTTCCTGGACAAGACGCTCCTGAACTATGCCGCCGTGACCGGTCTGCCAATCAAGGGCAATCAGTACTCGATCGTCGCCAGCGGGTTTTACTTTGGTTTCCTGGCATGGGTCCTTCCGACCGCCTCGCTAGCCCAGCGTTTTCCCTGGGGAGGACCAACGGTGTACCTCGGCCTTAACGTCATGGCCTGGGGCATCGTGCTTGCCTGCGCAGCCATCAATCCGTCCTTTGCGCCCTTTTTCGCCCTCCGCTTTCTTCTAGGCATGCTCGAGTCGTGCGTGACGCCCGTGCTCATCTCCACCGTCGTGGCCTTTTACCGAACGGAGGAGCAAGCGCTCCGCATTGCATGCTTCTATGCCTGCAATGGTCTTACCCAGATTGTCGGCCCGCTCATTGCCTACGCCGTGACCTTTTACAAGGGCGCCGCCTTTGGCTACCAACCGTGGCGCTTGCTCTATGTCGTCTTCGGTCTCTTCGCCTTTGTCCTGGGTGCCATTGTCGTCATCTGGCTGCCAGCGAGCCCAAGTCGTGCGAGATTCCTCTCCGAACACGAGCGACGCGTTGCTCTCGAGAGGGTCCGTGACAACGCCGCCGGCACAACGCAGCGCAAGATCAAGTTGCATCAGCTCAAGGAGGCTGCCTTTGGCGATATTCGCATTTGGGTCGTCTTTGTTTTTGTCGTCCTCACCTCGATCCCAAATGGCGGTCTCTCAAACTTTTCGAGCCAGATCATCAAGGGCTTTGGCTACAGCTCGCGAGAGACGCTGCTGATTGGCATTCCCCAGGGTGTGCTTGCCACCATCTTTACGCTCCTTTGCGCCTGGCTCTCGGACCGGTACCGCGAACGCATCCTGCCCGTCTTTGTGGCGCTCGTCCCCACCATTGTCGGTGCAGCCATCCTGGTGGGGCTCGGCAAGGGCGGCGAGCACGCCGAGGGCACGCGACGCAACACGCTCGTCTTTGCCGTCTACCTTACTTCGACCTTTGGCTCGAGCCTGTCAGTCGTCTTTGCATGGAACGCGACAAATGTTGCAGGCTACAGCAAGAAGATTTCCTCGAGCGCTCTCATGATGTTCGGATTCGGCGCCGGTAACATTGCTGGCTCATACATCTTCCAGCAAAAGGACGCACCGGATTACATCCCAGGAAAGACTGTCGTCCTCGTCACACTCGCTGCAGCAGCGGGTACCGCGCTCGTGCTGAGGGCTCTCGTTGCGAAGGACAATAGGCGCAAGAAGGCCTTGATTGAGGAGTTCAAGAGAGAGAGGGGCTGGGATGACGAGGAGGTTAAGAAGCAACGGGATGCGATTGCCTTTAGGGATTTCACCGACAAAGAGAACCCCTTTTTTGTCTATACCTCTTGATCAGTGCTTCATCAATGTCTATGTGTCCGTCCCGTGGCCGTGGAGGCTTAAAGATTCTGCTGGCCGGTCGACTCGCAAAGAATTCGTAGATTCGCTGCGCTACCCTGTTCCCTCTTCCATTGCCGTCGTTCAAAAACAAGCTCCGACTATACAGAGAAGAACGTGGGTGTCCGCCTCGGACTGTGTGATAACCCGTAAAGGGGTGATGACCCAAATTTATATGGTGCCTGACTTCTTAGCCTCTTTGCGCGCTAGAGACAACAAATTAATTCTTCTCGCCGGAAGGAAGGGCAGCGGGACCTGGCCGCTGCTTGCCTGCGGTCTGAGGAAGGCGGGACTCGTTGCCCGAGAAGAAAGAAGCCTACGCTAAAAAAGAAGGAGGTTGTGAGATGCGCAAACCTTACCCTGCTGCTGTGGGTTGCTTTTGTAAAGCAAAGTTGCTGATTCGGCCACAGAGCGAACGTGTTATCTATCTACCTCATGGACGCCCGGACGCTGCATGCTAGCTCCGTCGGCAACTCGCCCGTGGCCCTGTCTGTCGATTTATTGCCCCGGATATTCCCTGTATGCAGAAGTTCCCTGCGAGGAGACTGTCGAACGCCAACCATGGAAGGAGAACGAGAGGGGTTTCGATAAGGTATAAGAGTGGGCCTCTTCCATCGATCTCCTCGAACCTCCTTCAAAGATCTCTTTTGGACCTCACTCTCCCTTTCTCCCCCCTCTTTATCTTTCTTCACCGTCTTTTGATTGATCAAGATGCAGTTCATCACCGTCGCTTCTCTCGCCCTGGCCACCGTCTTTGGGTTCGCCGCTGCTCAGTCTGGCGTCCCCAGCGGCACCAGCTGCGGCGGCCACAAATTCTCTTCCGATGACATCACCACCGCCATCAACGCTGCTCTCGACGACTCCGCCTCGGGCAACTACCCTGACAACTACCCTCACAACTACGAGCACCGTGCTTCGGAGGACATCGTGGGTACCTAAAAGCTATTCTCCCTCCCCCAATCGATCGCTAAGTAATTATCCTCATCCCTCTCTTGCTCAACAGCAACTCGTCTGCGGTGACGCTCCCTGGTCCGAGTTCCCTCTCGAGAACGGATACGCATGTGAGTCTCTCTCATCGGCTGCTACGTCATCCGTCCGAACCATTTGCTGACGGCGGGCACTTCACAGACACGAGCAGCAGCAGCCACTACGTGAGCCCAGGCGCCTACAGAGTCATCTACCAGACCAACACGGGCGACTACTGCGCCAGCGTGATGCACGAGAACGGCTCGTCGGACTTCGTCCAGTGCGACGATGAGTAGATGCTGTCTCTCTTCGTCGTCTCTCCATTCCCCTTTTTCTTCTAAAAATATTGGCGCGTCAGTAGTTCCGCCCAATCTCAATATTTTTATTTCTTCTCACTGGCACTCTCCCTGCGTGCTTCTGCGTGTTTGAAAGCTGTGAGGACAAGACGCTTCTGACAAACGAGTGTAGTTCCATATCTGATGAATGTTTCTTCGAGCGGGCAAGAAAGGCACCGATGATACGCTTGCTTCTCCGAAATAGAGGAGAGGAAATTCTTTTAATCCGCTCTTTGGCCTGCTGCACAACAAGCAAAGCCGGCAACGAGGTCCTCTCAACTTTCCTGAGTTCACATTCAAGCCTCAGAGTCTCGGTGGTGGCAGTTCTTTTGTGCATATGACATGGAACGCATTGAGAAAGAGGGGGAGGGAAGCGGTGCTCAGCGGTGAACGCTAGGCGTGAAAGTAAATTTGGCATGTCATGGAATTGCCTCTTTGACAGGCACCCATGCTTCGATAGGTCTAGCCGCTAATCCGACCGCCTTCGCGCACCATGACAGCGCCACACAATCTCGCGCTGGCTCTATTTGTCGGCTGGGAGATCATTGCAGCTCGTGATCTGCTATGACCGCGCAGTCTGCACACAGCCTGAGCGGCGGATAGATTGAGAGTCCAGGCGCGACAAAAATCTAAAGCCGGGGCTGTGTTTGTTCGCCTGAATAGTGTTGGTCTCGAATCGAGTCGGGGCCGTGATACACGTGTTCTTAGCTTTTTTGCCGGACGGCCGCGAGGCGAAACTCCCGGCGGCTCTCGAGGGAAAGAGGGACGATTAGAGCTTCAGCGCCCCGCCGGCCTGCACGAATCGCCAATTTGAAAAGCGAGCGTTTCCCACCTTCCTGGCTAGTACTATTGTGCTCTTCCCCTTTGATGAAACAAACAGACTGCATTTTGACATCACCTCTCCAGTCGCATGTCGCGGCTCCACTCGTTTCCAAGCTAGTCGCAAATTGCGTGCAATGTGCTGAGCTGAGACGTCGATGGAGCAGCGAGGTTGTTTTTGGCTATTCTCCGTCGGATTGGGCTCGAAACGGGAGGAGCCACATGCAAGAGGGCTCGAGCCACCAAAATTGTAGTGTGGTGCGGTGCTTTGATTGCAAAAAGAGGTAGAGCTACGTGGCAGTGTATGTGACACAGCACATGCCCATTGCCGTACAGGACCTAGCCCTCCCCGGTCCTCCCTCGCTTAGCTGTAAAATAGAGCTATCAATAATCTGCAATGTCCCCAAGAAGGCATATATAAGCGCGCGAGAATCCCCAGCGCTCACTTCTCCCTCTCATCATCAATCGCCAACACCAGCACTTGATACACAACACCTACACATCATGGGTTTCTTCAGCCACGAGTCGCACCAGGAGGTCTACGGAGGCCAGCACGAGGGCAAGTTCTCCCACGAGCTGATCGGAGGTGCTGCTGCCTTTGAGGCCATGAAGGCTGTGAGTTTCTAAGTCTTGCTCACACCTAGAGCAATCACTGATAGCTCCCGAGGACAGTACGAGGACCACGAGCGTCGCGAGGGCAAGCCTGCCAACCACTCGATGGCCAAGGAGATCTTCGCCGGACTCGTTGGTGCCGAGGTCGACAAGCTCGCTGAGACCAAGGGCCTCGACTACATCGACAGGGAGAAGGCCAAGAGGCACGCCATCGACGAGGGTTCCCAGCAGCTCGAGGGCCGCTACTAAGTCATTGCTCCTAGCCTCGACAGTCATGTAGCAGACTTGAACGTCCCTCCCAATGTCATACCTGATCACTATTTGATCTGATCTGTGAAATTCGTATGATGGAATCTGCCTCTGAGCTTGATCAGATTACATTGGTATACTGTACAGTGCTGCTCGCTATCCTTGCCCGACAAGGGTAGGCAGGTCGCCTAAAGATACATGTTATGTCTACTTTCATTCGTCCTTGATATCATGCTGTGCCTTGAGCGCCTGCAGCTCAGCCTCTCGTCTTGCTAGATCGGCCTTGGCGGCCATCCTCGACGGCATGTGGTACAGCACTGCTCTCAAACTCAGTCAGCTCGCATTCACTTTCGGGTGTGGACATATGCAAGCTACTCACCGACGATGTAACGCTCCTGCAAGTGGAAGCCGTTCAGATGCTCCAGTGCGCTCTTCGCGTCCGAGATCTCTTCATACACGACAAATGCCGTCCCCTTTGTCTTGGGCCCATCGCCCAGCCTGATCTGACGAATGGCCCCGTATCGCCCAAACAGCTCATACAGGTCCGAGCCTGAACAATGGGCAGGACAGCAGGGTCAGAACCCAGGCCGTACAAGGAGCGAAAGGGGCACACAGAGGAACACTCACCAGACACGGTGTAGTTGAGATTCTTGACAAAGAGCATCCGGCTCTGCTGCCGTGACTCAGCCTGTGCACTCATCCTTGCTCGACCTTGATCTCGACCTTAGCCTCGTGGATTGTCGCTGTGGCGGCGTCGTCGTTCTCGTCGTGATGATCGCTGCTCAGCGCATTGACGAGGCATCGATGAGTTTGGGGAAGGAAAGCCAAAATATTTGCACGTGATGAACTTGTAAAATGACAGACTTTGTGTCACTAAGCTCCACGATCGCTTCGCACCAGCCGCCGGGCAGCTCTTTCGATGGCTTTCTATGGAGACAAGGAGAAGAGCAAAGGCCGATAACAGGCCTGATGAGAAGCAAGAGGAGCCACACAGAAATCTTGCTGCTCTTCCTTTCACGCAAGACTCTTGGGTGTCAATCAGTGTTGTTGCAACACCGCCACTGCAATTGAAGGCGTCTGTTCCATCACCGAGCCAAGCCACCTGCTACGATCTCGACGCACTCGGGCATTGTGAATTGATTTGCGGTGGCAAGAAGATATCATGCCGGATCTCCTTGCGAGGGAGACTGGACGGAGGTTCGGATACCACTCAAATGCCGTGTTGTCCTCTGTGGGACTCGTGACTAGCTACCCTATGGGCGGTGCTTCTCGATGCCCCTTTCCCGGCATGTGAATGTGGCGAAACGGGGACCGTCGTGCACAAACCAGTCCAGACTCTCCTCCTCTATCGTTATCATTCCTGGACTACGTACGCTATTGCAATAATTGTGCGCCAATGTGGCTTGCCATCTTATGACTTCATGTTTGATTACAGTCCAACCTTGATACAATTGAATTCGAGCCCCCCGCTGCGAGAATTTTGTTTAGCGAGAGTGGAGCGGCCAGACTGCCGTGCGTGCCCTCTGGCGTTTGTGCCTCGGGCAGCAACAGCCTTAATATTCATGTCCCTCGCACGGGCATCCTTGAAGCGAGCACATCTTCCTCCCTCGCTTCGGCAGCCATGAGACAGAACAAAGGCTGTGTTGCCACGCAATTGGAATAGAGAAGCTGCGTCGTATGCTGATGCAGTGCTGATAATCGTGATAGTCGAGCTATCCCATTATACCACTTAGGTAAAAAGCACGTTCCTTGTTCGGGAACAAGCGCACGATGACATGGCGGGCACACACTAGCGCCCGTGCATGGGCCAGGCCATGTATGCCATGCCCGTCGCAATACTACCACACTGCACTGCATTGCACATCTTCGCCCTGCCAGCGATGCAGAGTACTTGCTAGACGTGTGTGCTGGGCGCGGAACCAGGACCGGGGTGGAGCAAAAAGACATATAAGCTAGCGCCTGCGCTGTCCTTACCTCTCACCCACACCCCGTTCACGAACACATTTCACGAACACCCCACCCACATCAAATCTTGCCCACCATGGATAACATGATCAACAAGGCTAAGGAGTTCGCCTCGTCGGACCAGGGTCGCGACATGCTGAACAAGTTCGGCGGCGGCGGCAACAACAACAACAATGACAACAACAACAGCGGTAGCGGAGGCGTAAGTGACATGTCGGCCCTCGTCCCACTTTGCTATGATACTGACTTCACTGTGACAGTTCGGCAGCGGAGGCAACTCGGGCAGCGACTCCTACGGCAGCGGAGGCAACTCGGGCAACGACTCCTACGGTAGCGGAGGCAACTCGGGCAACGACTCGTACGGCAGCGGAGGCAACTCTGGCTCCGGCGGCGGCTTCGGCGGCAGCGGTGGCCGCAACAACGATGACTCGTACGGAGGCGGCAACTCTGGCTCCGGCGGTGGCTTCGGCGGCAACGACAGCACCAGCTCGGGTGGCTTCGGCGGCAACAACCAGGGCGACTCGTACTCGAGCGGCAACCAGCGGGGTGGCTCCGGTGGTGGCCAGTTCGGCTCCTCTGACAGCGACAGCTACGGCAGCGGCAACCAGCAGGGTGGCGGCGGTGGCTTCGGTAGCGGAAACCAGGGCGGCAACGACAGCTACGGCAGCGGCAACCAAGGCAGCGGTGGCTACGGCGGTGGCAACCAGGACAACTACTAAATTCTCAGTCCTCGTCACTCTCTCCTCTTGCTGTTGCTGAGCTGAAATGAAATGAAAAGTAAATGCTACTCAAACGGATGTTGCAGCGTGACTGAGAAAATGAACCATTCATCGACCTATAGCTATGAAATTTGGGTACCATGCGACTAATCATTGCTCTTGGCTCTTCGACTCCGTCTGCGATGCGACTTCTGGCCCTTGTTCGCCAGCGCTCTCTCCCTGTGTACCCGAAGCTGCTCCGACGTCCTCGGCGCCCTTGAAGGACATCTTCTTGCCGGTGTTGGCCTCGTAGTTCTTTGCGTTCTGAGCGTACTTGCTGATCCGATAACAAAGCTCAGCGTCTGGACGCCACCCGTTATCGCCATCAACAGATCGAGCTACTCACCCTTTGAGATGCTCGACGTGGCGCGAGACACCCTCGAGATTGACGGTGCCGTCGTCGTTGCGGATGGATGCCATGATGCTAGATGACGCTCACTCTCTGACTGTGATAGCTTTGAAGAGTGAGGTGACGAGCCTGTACGGGGGCCTAAAGAGGCTTGTGGAGGCAAGCTGAGTTTCAGAGCACGTGGCCAGCCTATCTGACGCCCCGAGCTCTTGATCACTCTTTCTTGCCTGGATCACCACAGTCACCTCTGCCTGCCCTTGGAAGAGCAGGACATTGGCAATCTACCTACTAAGGAGAAGACCGCATGGAGAAGGCTGTGTCGCTACCAGAATTAGCGTTAGTTACCAAGGCGGGGCCAGGAGCCTGCGAGCTCTATTGATCAATCCCGTTTTGGCTTTCCTACTGAGCTAAAACAGATGCAGCGACCGCGAGGTCCGAAGATATACATCGCCTTCCTTTGTTAGACTGCTTTTTGATCGAGAGCCAATTCTTGATGAGGGGGGCGACAGACTGACATTGTTTGCCAACAACTACTTCCATCATGTCGTCGACTCAGCAGCAGACGGTAGAAGGCGCCGCCTTTCTGGACAGGCTCTCCTCCCTCATTTTTCCTGACGAAGCCACCATCTGCCCTCGAGACGATGTCGCAGCGGCTCTGCAGCCTTGCCTGGAGGTAAGTAGAAAGACAAGATCTATGTGTGCGTTGCACATGCTCACCATTCGCTCAGCACGATCTCGCTCTGCGAGCTCTGTACGCCAAAGAGCGTAACGCTAAAGCCATCACTGACCCTCACGTCGGCCTGATCAACGTGCACGGCGAGAAGACGCAGAATGGCAGCGTCTTTAAGACGAGATCCAGAAAAGTGGCCGCCGATGCGGAGGAAAAGAACTACGAAGAGGGAAAAAAGAAGCCCGAAGAGCCTGGTGGACCTCGTCAGGACGCAACGACAACGGACGAGAACTACATCCTTCCACTTCCCAATCGTCTCAGACGTCAGCATGGCAGTTGCGCGGTCGTAGACCTTGACACGTTTAAGGCACGATTTAACATCTTCACCGAGATGGCCTTCTCCTGCATGCACCCGGAAGATTGGGACGGTGTCTTCATTGCTGGAGGTGCCGTTTTGACCTGCTTGACACCCTTACTCAACAAGGATCAAGAGCTGGCAAAGACTTGCCGTGGTCTTCGCAAATACTACCACGAGTCGGATCTGCACAGCTCGTCCGACATCGATGTTTTCCTTTATGACGGTGGACGAGGCGACAGCAAGACAGCCGAGGCGAGGATCGAGCGTCTGGCGCAGCGTATTGCAGACGCCATCCCCAAGGACATCCTGTACATCCGCACGAAGAACACGATCTCCATCGTCAGCCAGTACCCCAACCGTACGATACAGATTGTGCTACGGCTATATCGGTCGCCTGCCGAGATCCTCCACGGATTCGACGTCGACTGTGCTTGCGTTGGCTTCGACGGTCAGCGTGTTTGGGCAGCTCCGCGCGCCCTGGTCTCTCTCGTTACTCAGAGCAACGCCATTGATATCACCAGGCGATCGACAACGTACGAGACTCGCCTTGCCAAGTACGCCGACCGGTCCTTCGAAGTGTACTACCCATCGCTCGATCGCAAGCTTATTGATCCAAGCATTTATGAGCGCGCCGTTGGAACCATTCAAGGCCTCGCTCGTCTACTGGTCTTGGAGAAGCTTTCGACGACAGAGGCTCGAGAGAATTACCTGGACAAGAAGCGCAAGCTCAGACAGAGGCCCGACTTGACGTGGCAGGAGCGAAGGAATCGTAGCAAGAAAATCGTCAGGGGTGACATCAAGACCAAGACGCCCAAGCGAGGAGAATGGGCTCACCAGTCCGATTACGACATCATGAGTCTGACGGTGCCATACGGACCCAATTGGGATGCCGGTAGGGTTCGCAAGGAGCTCTTCAGGGATGACGTGCTGCTCAACAGCAAGTTTAATCCCAAAAGTAAAGATTACTTCGGACTTCACCGTCACCCTTGCTTCTTCGCCCTCGAAATCAAGGATGTCATGGAGGACCTCTGTGGGCTCTGCCCCACTCCCAAGACGGACGAGGAACGGGAGCTCTGCGAGACAAAGTTTGTTGACTTTGTCAATGGCCGTATCGCCTTCATGGTCGATGACCCCGGCAAGCAGCTCATGAGCAGCTCCTACCATCCCATTACGGACACCGACTGGACGGAGCTCGCCTATCTCAGCCGAACCGAGGCTCTGATGCGGCTTGTTGTTCAAGGTGACCTCAAGTCTATCTCGGACTTTCTTGATGCCACCGCCTCTGACCCGAATGAGAGGAAGAGGCTGATCGACCCGGTCAAGCAACTTCTGTATCAAAGAGATCACGCCGGCCGCTCGCCCTTGCATATGGCCATAATAACAGGCCAGACCGACTTGGCTCTTCTCTTACTAGACCGTGGCGCTCGTATGACCGCTCGACTCGTCGACGGCCGCAATTGTCTTATGCTTGCATCTCAGAATGCGAATGCGGAGCTCGTCAAGGCCATGCTGGACCGCAGCATGATTAACGCAAAGCAAGCCGAAAACCTTGGCCAGCAAGCCAAGAAGGACGACCGCGACGCCAAAACTGACAAGACCGACGAGGATCTCGATGCTGTCGTGGTTGCAGACCCACAAGAAGAGGGGGCTGTCGACAAGGCAGAAGATGCGCCTCCGGATGTGCTCGAAGTCAACTTTGTCGCATGGGACGCTGAGCTTTCGGCGCTGTTCTTTGCTATCATTGCAGGCTCGACGGAGTGCGTGAAGCTTCTCTTGAACGCTGGAGCAAGCCCGAGGAAGAATTGCAAAAGGATGGCGCCCATCTCTGCAGCCCTACTGATTAGTGACGACAGCACTGCCGTTGAGGTCATCAAAGCACTGCTAACAGCAGGTGCAACGTGCAACCAGATCTTCAAGGCCGATGTCTCTGATCTAGAAGACATTCACACGCCTTTGCACACCTACGTGACCTCTCGTCGGACCCGCTTGATTGTAGCCCTGCTTCAAGGCGACCCTGTCGGGGCAAAGAAGATCGTCAATTTTCCTATCTCAGCTGCGGTAAGTGTTGCTTTGCGTCAGCAATGTACAACCATCGTCCGCTCTGACAGAGAAGAAACGCTGCTCAGGACAGGAGAACGTACTACGGCAGCAAAGGTCTCGCCAGTGCTCTCACGATTGCATGTGCTACCTCTCAATACGGAGTTGCGGCTTTCCTCGTCAAGCTTGGTGCTCATCCTTGCACCACGCTCCAGGATCGAGAGGATTTCTGCGCAATTCCAAAGGTAAGGCCACGATTGTGATCATGCTCGGTACTCGGAAACTGATATTCGCGACGCAAAAGCGTGACTACCGCATGAGTGAGCTGCAGGATGAGCGCGAGCTATGGAGCCCGCGCGCCACCCAGCCTCTGGAAGCATCGATGGCAGCTATGAACAACGTCTGGAAGCTTCTCCTCTACGGCAAGCAGGCTGTTCCACGACTCCTCGGCACCCAACAGTCATTCCACGAAGATTATAGCACATTTCGGCAGAAACTTACATTGCTCGATGCAGCTGAGCGGATTTCTAATAAGGCTTCATTGGCATTGGGCTCGGTGCCGAGCGGCGTCTGCCGTGAAGAGGAGAATGAGGACCTTGAGAAGCAGCAACAGCAGGAGATCGACAAGAAAGCTGCGAAAATGAGCGACTTCGACAATTGGGAAGATTATTGGACCGCAACGCATCGTTACCTAACCCTCAAGGCTGAGTGGCACAAGAGTCGCAATCCGACGCGCGCAGATTCAGGAAGGGAAGAGTATAAAAAGCACCACGCAGAGGTTCTGTCATCGATACAGATTTATTACTCAGACCTTGCAGTAGAGCTGAGACGAAGGGAGGCCAAGACATTCGGCGAGATCGTGAAAGACCTTCCGCCTTCGGATCGGCAACAGCAGAGCGCCGAAACGAAGAAGCGCAAGCTCAGCATCTCGTCTGAAGAGGAATGGGGGAGCGGCAAGGAGTGGATGGATTTTCAGAGCCCAAGGCCCGCTGAGGTCCGCAAACTGCAGAATGACAAGCTATGGACCGAGCTCAAGACCAAGAAACCCACCATCAAATTCACTCGTGACAGTAGCAGATTCAGACCTTCCTTTGAGCCAGTACGACTCAATGGTCTTTACTCGCGTCTAGTTCAAGCCGCTTGGGAAGGCGATTGCAAAACCATTCGTGCGCTCACTCGCCTTGAGGACGCCGCGAGAGGACTTGAAGAGATCCTGGATGCTTCCATTCAAGTTCTAGACTACACGGGTGTTGTCGAAAATGGATACCATCAGTATCCTCAAGAGCTCAATATCCTCACTTTTGCTGTGCAGAGGGGCCAGTACAACGCGGCTTTAGAATTGGCCAAAAGCACAAGGATGCAATACGTTACGCCCGAGGAGAGGAGTAAAGCGGAGGCCGCCATTCAAAAGCCGCACGTCCAGATTGCTGAAGACGATGGTGAGCAAAGTTGCCAATCTTGCTAATAGGTGAGAATAACTGACTCAGAATTTGCTGTCCAGACTCGGACACTGACGACGACTACGATGACGGCGAGGATGATCATGACGCTGTCGACAATGAATATAAGGAAAAGAAGAAAGACAATTCCGACGACGAGAAGGGTTTAGGCGGGAACGGACAAGGCAAGCTTCCGAAGCCTCTGATCGGGTGAGCAAAATGCTTTCGTCTTCTAACATGCATGTCTTCGCTCATTAGAGCTCCGTCACCAGCAAAATAGATATAACCAAATTCCATCAACCATTTTTGTACTTGTTGCGCCGTCTGGAGGAAGAAGGTCGAGAGGATCTTCTCGATGACCTCTGGAGAACGGACCGAGGTGAGTATAGATGGCAGCTTGCAGTGATGGACGATATTTGCTAAGCTCATGGATGCACGCACCAGAATTTCTTGGAGAGCAGTATTGGGTCACTCGCGCGCTTCTAAAGGACAATTGGACAGCGCTACTCGACGTCTTCGAGATCAACAAAGGGGCAGACATCTACCTCGGCCATGCGGCCGAGAAATTTCTGCCTGTCACTGAAGTGGCTAAAAAGGAGACTCCTCTCACATACTCCGACTACCCCGGCTTGCTCTCAGCAATCAACGGAGAACGCGAAACAAAGTGGGCCAAAGATGTCTCGGGCGCCGATGCGGCACCCCCTCCGCAGAGCTCTTCCGCGAAAGACTCGCCCTCGATTCTTGTTGCTGCCCTGAAGCGCGGGGCGAAGAAGGTGAGCCGATGGCGAGGAGCTCTCCGATTTCCATACGCAAGGGGACTCACCGACTATATTAACCTTTCTACTCACAGTGCGTAGGGAAGCTCCTCGAAAATGGTCTTAAAGGTGGCAGGGAAATACTTGCGGCCCTGAAAAGGGGAGAAAAAGGTCGGGGAGGCATCATCACGCGCCTGGAACTCGATGACCAAGAACAAGTAGAAACGATCATTTGTGGCGAAGGGATCGAACAGAATAACCCTGTCAGCTTGGCTGCGCACCGCACGGATGGCGCATTGGAAGCCCTGAAGGAATCGGCACCGCCCCACCTTTGGCAACGATGGATCAACCAGACGGATGGCGAAGGCATGACACCATTGCTCCGGATCGTGGCCAAGGTCCGCTTTTCCAACTATTGTCGCCCCGAGGAGATAAAGTTCCTGACCGACAATGGCGCTGATCTCTTGGCACGAGACGCAAATGGCAAGAACATCTTGCACCACCTTGTTGGAAATAACGACTACTGGGAGAGCGATTTTGTGCAAGGTGAAAAGTATATCGATTTGCGCAAGTGGGCTTTCCACACTTGGCTTGACCGGACCGTCATTCAGCAGCTTGCTGTCCAAGAATGCGAACCAGGCAAGACGGCTTTGCATCTGCTACGTCGCGTGGAACTTACGCACCTCAACGAGATCTTCGATCTCTATGACGAAAACACAGCCCGCAGCATCTTTCGTGCCAGGAATTTGTACGGCCAGACGATTCTGTGGGTGTACAGCTTCGCATTCGAGCTCAAGTGGATGCTTGAGATATGCCAGAGATTGGGCATCTTAAAGGAGATGCTTGGTATGGAAGACGCGCACGGCGAGACATTCATGGACGTAATCAACCGCAAATTCATCGACCAGACACACCGCCCTAATCTCTGGGTACAGACGCGCGACGGACAGAAAGACAACCTCAACTACCTGAGCTGGACTCAGATGCCGGCATGCTTGGACTCTTACCACGCGATTCTCAATCGTCTAGATTTCGATTCAAAGGGTTACAGGGCTGGCTGCCGAACGCAGTTGCCAATCGAGGCGCAGTACACAGAGCTCAAATTTGTCCTCGAGGCGGAATCACAGGTCCTGGATCAATGGCCCCCCAAGCTGCTCGAGACTGCAAACGATCTCCTCTCTTGGCTGAAGGGCCAATCGAAGGAGAAACAAATGACTCTTGAGCAGGCGGTTACGCGGAGCTTTGTCCAAGATCGTTCGGGGGACGTAGGCCTCGCAAAGCAGCTGGTCGATACAAGCATAGCTTCTGTGGGCGGTTTAGGCAAGATCAAGAGGACCCTCGTGCCTTGGTCAATTGGCCAACGCATGACGAAAAAGCTCCTCGACGAGCAAGATACACGTTTCCAACTCCCGAAGGCGAGTCACGACAAGGTCCGATATCATTATTAGCAAGTGCAATGAGGATGCTCGCTTCCCTTTTGTAACGTTTCGCAGATACACTGTTGTCGCTGTCTTTGAGAAAGGCCAAGTCAGGCGAAAGGCTGCTTTTTTTGCAGCCATCCTGATACGTTTTGTACACTTATCCCTCTTCGTACATTGTAGTTCTGGGAGGCCGGCCAAGCAATGCCCTCCTTTCCGCCGAAGATGACACGATACTTCTTTAAGGCGTCGTCCGGTTGGTCTCTCAGTGCTTCTTGCAACCGCTCGAGGTCCCATCGCTCTCGTCGGACGGACACCTTCTTTGCAGCTAGGTAACCCTCAACGACGTCGGCCAGGCGTCCATAAGAGATTGTCTCGCCAGCCACAAAAACGACCCTATCCCTGTTCTCGTCAAAGCCCTGGAGGATTGCCGCCGTCAATGTACCGATATCCTCGACCGTTGTTGTGGTAATTTCTACGTCCCAGTCTCCGAGAGCCCTCACAATTACCACTGCACCGCCCTGCTGGCGCTCGACGACGCCAAAAGCGTCTTCAAAGAGAAAACTAGTGAAGATGCCCGTCGAGACTATCGTCCAGCTGAGGCGGTCGCCGGATGCTGTGGAACGGAGAAGATCTCGGACGGAGCACTGCTCGTCGAAGAGGCCCAGCGACTTGCCATGGGAAAGGATGTCGTAGTCGACGCCGAATTGCCAGGGGACATAGCGAAATTCCTTCTGCCTGCGGTCAGACGCCTCGATGGCGCAGCGCGCTAGCTTCGTTTGCGTGCCTGGCCCGCCCAGGAAGCCGGTGCAGCCCACGACGATGTCGAACTCCGCAAACGTCGAGGCAAGCGAGGTATCGGAGTCTTCTTGAATGTCGCCTGCAATGAATGATTCGATACCGAGGGACTTCAGCTCAGCGAGGCGAGTGTCTCCGTCTGGACCTTTGTTGACTGTGCTGGCTCGAAGGAGGACAGAGACCTTGAAGATGTCCTTATGATTCAAAAGGCCGCGAAGGACAGCCATCCCCAGCTCTCCAGCTCCAAGGACAAGGACGGCTCTTCGTGACATTGTTCGGGACGAAGGAGGCACCGTCCTGGCGGGTACAACGCTCCTATATCTTTGTCTTTCGGCGTTAAGTGATGCGAGGTGATCAACTACTATCGGGCTTGGGGCTCGCCTCTCTCTCGGGCAGGAAAGCGATCCCGTGCCCGTATGTGCACCGACTTAACTTCTTCTGTTGCCTAATGAGCCGACTCGGCGCCTCTCACATAGGCCGTCTGCTTGCTGATGGGAACAGCTGATCAAGTACTTTAATCTCCGTACGGAGAGGCTCGCAGGCGTGGAGGTGAGGAAAGCTAGTGCAAGGCGCGCGTTGGAAAGATCCAGTTCGAAGCCGACTAGTTCTAAAAAAATTCTATCAGTCTTTGGAACGTCCCTCACCCTCTGATGTGCACAGCTGTTTGACCATCAGACCCTCTCCTTCTCGTGACTTAGCCGAGACAAGACTGGCACCCCCTTTCCAATCAGCATCCGTCCTCATGGAGCATTCGCGAGAGCCAAGACGTCTCCCATTCACTTCCGGGCCTTCTGTGCGCGGTGAAATGCTTTATTCATCTCAGCTCTGTGCGAGATAACTGCCATCACCCGAAGCACCTATATCCGAGCAAGAAACTTGTCATTTGTGCTATGAGCCCGCTGGTGAAGGGAAAGTGTGGAGGGCTTGAGCCAACCGACTATAAGAATGAGACCCTTGAATGCGCCACAGATGTGGACTCGCTTGCACTATTCTACAGTAAGAAGAAGGAGAGACGTTGGTTCTTACACAGCATTATTTGCGCATGTCTGATGGAAGAAGCAGCTGTGAGCGCTACTGTCTCACTCAGATGAGAAGACGCAGATGAGGGACTTACGAAGGGGGTCTTGACAGACCCAGTGGCGTAGGACTGGATGATAGCCTCGACACTTGTATATGTCCCCGGGCCGAAGACGAAGAGGCCGCAGAAGAAGATGAAGATGTTGAAGATCGTCTCTGCTTTTCGCAAGATCGATTGGCGTACCCAAAGTTGACCCTTGTAGAGCTCGCGGTAGGCGGCGGCCCTATTGTGAAGTCAGTCAGCTGCATTCTGCGATCTCGAAAGCAACAAACTCGAGACTAACCAAAAGATGAAACCGAACCACCCATCGAAGAGAGCGCTCATGAGACTGAGGAGCACGGAGAAGAAGGGTACCGCTTCTCCAATCACCCAACCAAAGACCCATGTTCCCAGGCAGCAGGCCGTCCACGTGGCCCAGCCAATGACGGTGTGGTTGTTGTAGTGCTTCGTTCCAAAGGTGAAGCGATGGAAAAGGTATTTTGCGACGACAGCGGCGTAGATGACGCCAATGATGATCGTCGTTGGGAGGACAAAGGCGAAAGAGATCTTCTTGAAGACGGGCTTGAGCGTTGCAACTGCTGGCGCCTCGGTGTACTGGCCAAAATAGTAATACACGACGATGCCGACGAGGGTAAAGAGGGTGAACTCCATCACGGTGACGGCGTAAAGGGCCTTTGGGAAGTCGGCTGGCTCCTTCATTTCCGCTATAAAAGTTGGGTAACAGATCTGCCCCACCCACGTGAAGCTGAGAGGAGGTGCTGGTCGTCAGTCGGGGACAGTTTCGAAGGTGGGAGAGGTATACCTGCACTTACACGATGTTGAGGAAGGCATTGAAACCGTCGACGAAAGTCGTCCCCTCGGGCGCCCACGCGGTGATCCTGACAGGCTCGTCAAAGCCTTCTATGACGGGGTTCTTGCCCTGAATGCCCGTGAAGATGAGTAGTGTGAGGAGTGCGATGCCCATCGAGACTGTTCTTCACGTATCAGCCTCTTATTACTGAAGAGCATTTTCGCGAGCAACACTCACTAGCAGAGACGATACCCATGATGGCGACATTCTCCATCTTCCTAGGCAGAGTGAGGAGAAAGCAGGCAATCATAATGACGATGGAGAAGACAAGTGTGCAGGTGCCGTGGTTGGATAGCACGTTGAGAATCTCGGAGCCGGTCAGGGTGTGCAAACCCTGGATGAAGGTGTTGTTGAGCACCAGGGCGGCAGCGGTGAGCTCGTAGGCAAGCCAGTGCTTGCCGAAGAGCTGGTAGCCAAAGTCGGCAATGTTGAGCATATGTGGATGCAGCATGCAGTACTTGTGCACTGAATGTCGTTTTTGTTGTTCATTGATCAGCGCGTCGTCACGTCGGATGAACTCAACATCAGGCTGAACTCACGCGTCAATGAGGTGTACAAAGCAAACAAGCCCAGTCCGAGCGTAGAGAGAATACCACCAGCCATGCCGAGCGTCTTGAATGCCCATGGAAAGCTCATGATGGCCAAGCACACGTACTCGCCAAACAGCACTTTAATAGCGAGTCAGCCTTGTCATTTTTGACGTGGTCAGGGGGCGGCTTTAACTCACGCGCCGCACACTTCTGCCACGACATTGTCCGGTAGGTGATTTCTCCGCCAGTCTGCTGCTCGGCTGCTACGACGTCAACCGATGCCGCATCACCCTTTTCGGCCTTGTCCAGATTCGCAGCGCCCTTCTCCCGTTCTGTTTCCGATCCATTAGCAACCATACCGCCGGACGCCTGCGAAGTCTCATCGCCGCTACTCTCGGCCGTCGGTTCCGCGGCGGGCATTGACCGCCTAAATCGTCCAACGAGTGTCATTTTTTGATGGTCTTGAATGTGTTGAGATGGAGAGGGGAGACGAAAGATTTTGGGCCCTGACGACCACTATCAATCTCGTCCACCAGGTCCCTTCTCTTGTCCGTGTCAGGTACACAGCACCTCGATGGGGAGAGGTACACCCGCATTGGCGCACTTGCAAATTTCTGCTGCAACAATAATTGTTGTATCAACCGGCTGGTTCTCCCGCCATCCCGCTGCTCGATTCCAAGCCCGCGAGAACCGCCTGCTTTCATCAATATATCTATTGATGCCCGGGCCAAGAATGCCTCATCACAGCCCCGCCGGCGTCCCAAGCACTGTGCTCCACTGCCGCGGAGTGCCACTGGAAGAGAGGCACCGAGATCCCTTTGGCAAGTTTTTCAATACAAAGCCCTAACTGCTGTTTCTGTACCTATCCTCGTCAGCGCGCTTTAGCCTCCCCTAAGCGGGGTTTCCCAAGGTTGCCGTCAAGGCGCATCAGAGTTATTAGGTAAGCACGTCAATCTTGCGTGATTTGGGCGAGCCTGATGAGCCATGCGCTCGCAAGGTAGAAGCAACGAACGCCCTGAGGAAAGGCAACAACGTGGGACGAAGTGTCGACGACCAAGACGGTAATCTTACACAGACCCTCTTCGCACACATTATGCAGACATGGTATTGACGGCAATTCTCTGACTCTTCATTGAGCCCCTTCACCACTCACATCTGCTTCTGGTGCAACACGAAGTTGCAGGCTCAATCTGGTGATTACGTAATGCTGCTGCACGTGTCCATAGCGGGCTTGGAATTTTTTTGATGTGGACGCTGGAGCCATCCGTTCTTCTCACCAGCCCACGTACGCATCCGCACACTACCATCCAACCACGCAGCTCACCGCCATCCACACTCTCACTACCATGGCTGACACCAAGGAAATCGAGCAGGAGCTGCCCGAGTCGATCTTCAACGAGTTCGACGAGGAGACGTCCAAGAAGGTCGGAGCCCTGACCGAGGCTTTTGACCAGGCCGAGGCAGACATCATCAAGTACTCGACGGAGCTCTACACGCCCCTCTACGCCCAGCGCGATGAGCTCGCTGCGACGATTCCCAAGTTCTGGTCGACGGCGCTGATCAACTGCTTCACCATGTTCCGCTACGTCGACGAGGAGGACCAGGCCGTGCTCGAGCACCTCCAGACGATCAAGCTGCACCGCGACGCCAAGGATCCCCGCGCCGTCGGTATCGAGTTTGTTTTTGCCCCCAACGAGTTCTTCACCAACACGACGCTCCGCAAGGACTTTGAGCTGACAAAGGACTCGGACAAGCTGCCCCACTTTGAGCTCTCGAGCGACACGACGACAAAGAAGGTCGCGATCGACTGGAAGAGCGACGAGGTGAACCAGTGCAAGAAGCGGCCCACCAAGGGCTCCATCGAGGACGACTTTGAGCCCGGGAGCTTCTTTAGCAGCTTCTTTGACTCGGACGACGTCGAGATTGCCGGTGGCATTGCCGACCAGCTCGTCAACGACCTCTACCCCAGGGCCCTCGAGTTCTACACTGGCGAGGCCTGCGTTCTGTGAGTCCTACCCTCTTTTGAACCTATCTTGGGAAGCAGGCAGCTGACAATCTTCATACAGCGGGGACGACTTTGACGACGACGAGCTTGAGATCGACGACGACGAAGACGAGGACGAGGACGAGGAGGAAGAGGCAGAGGAGGCAGAGGAGAAGGCCGACGGCGCCGCAAACGGCAGGCCGGCCAAGAAGGCCAAGAACTAAGGGAGATGTTCACCCGCCGCTGTATCTATAACCAAGGGAAAACAAAATGAGAATTGCTTCTTCGTCGTCTAAGGCGTATTGGATGGGAGAATGTGCAGTGTTTGCATAGCTGTGATGATAATAGTTGGTGCTTTTTTTTTTGATAATTGTCTACGTCTATAGAGCAAGTGCTAGATTCTCAAGTGCTTCTTCACATGGCAAAGCCATACACGATCTGGCCTTCTTCCTCTTCTCCTCTGTAGTAGACGGGAGGAGGAGGCACGCCGTCGAGGCCCAAGGCGTTACCGGTGCTGTTCACGGTGCTGTGGAAGGAATTTTTGGTCCCGAGGGGAGCTGCGTCCCAGTCGAGAGCCTTGGAAAGAGCGGCGACGATCGACCCATTCGCATTAGCGCTGAAGGGGTTAGAAATCGACGACGCCTTCTGCGCCTGTCGACGCTTGCTACCGCTGCTGCCCCGACGGCGGTGCAAGGCAGCGCCATCGAGGGGCGTGAAGGGGGAGGAGACCGACGTGGGCGATGAGAAGCTGCTCTCGGCGCTCGTGTGGTGGCCGTCACAGCCGCCACTGCTGCTTCCATATGCCTCCTCGAATTCTTCACCTCCGTATGCGATGTCTTCGCCATCGACCTCAACGTCGTCGTCGTTGTCATCGTCGTCGCCATCGTCATCATCGTCGTCTGTGGAGGGGGCCGTGGTCTCATCGTGTCGGAAGATTAGGGGCTGGTACTGAGGCGCCTCTCTTGACTTGCTGATAGAGGCCGACCGTAACCGCTCTGGCAGATGGACCGAGGATACAGACGTCTTGCGAGGAGGCCACTTCGATAATGTTGACGCCGACTCTGGCGCCGGTGTAGGAGGAAGGTCCGGCAGCGGCGTCGTTGGCGGCGGGCAAGGCGGAGGCGAGTGAACGCCTCCAGGAGACTTGAGCCCTTGCTTGCGCCCTGTCGATATGGGCAAGAGGACATTGCCGTGCGTGGGCCGAAGGCTCAACGGCGGTTTCGCTCGACGCTCTCGCAAGGGCGACCGTGTCGGAAGCACCATGGCCGCCTTGCCGTCCTCGGCACCTGCTGCCCTCCGTCCTCCAAACAGATCGTCGTTTTCGTCGTGCTGGCTTTGCCGTCGCCCTCGCAGCGCTTGGTGTGCGCTGCGGAGGTTGCCCGTCGACCGGACCTCCCGAAGCGCCTGTCTCTTTGGGGCCACCTGCAACGGTCTCGTTGAGGGGGGCGCAGGAAAGCCTGCACCAAGGCCGTGGTCAAGCATGTCGACGGGAGCGAAACAGTCGAGCACAAGGCTGTCGGAGGATGTGCGGCCAGACAGTGACGTCAACTCGAGGTCGTCGAAGCTCGTCTCGACGTCGTGGAGGTGCGACTTGAATGTATCGTCATCCAACGACGTCTTTCCTGTCCCTGTCTCTCTCTTTTTCTCGATGCGTTTGCCCCGGCTGCTCAACGTGAAAGCAGCAGGGAGGCGTGCGGCAGCGAAGCGCGCCATCTGCAAGTCAGAGCGCATCGACAGGGGGTGTGCCGATGAGGACGAGGCAGAGGCAGAACCACCGTGACGGCCCGGTGCGTGGGACGCCATCTTTGCGCGAACCTCCTTGCTCGGCGAAATCTGCTCCGAGTTGGACCGGCCCTTGTGCGACTGCTGTGGCGATCTGTTCTTCGTGGGACTCGTCCAGGGCGCTATCGCAGCCGCCGCCGAATACGGCTGGCCCGACTGGGGTGCAAGCGCGCTCACTTCATCGCCAGTCTCATAATGCCGTCGGGGGTCCTCTTGGCGAGGCCGGCTCAAGGTCCTGGGCTGGCGCCCTAGTCCTCCTTCTCCGGCCAGTGGACGACTGTAGTGGCGCGGTGGAAGAGGCGCCAGCCGATAGGAAGCCGACGATGCAGAAGAGGAAGCGCCCGAAGACGAGGCGGCCGTAGAGCGTGGCAGGTCCATGCTCCTGCTTGGGTACCGCTGTGGATGCGACTGCTGCTCGAGCATAAGTGCCCTTTCCAGCCTGGAGCAGAGATTGGACTGATCCGACGTCGATGTCGGTATCCCGGGGGTGGCTTGAAATGAAGGAGGAAGCTTTGGCCTCTTAAAACGATCAAACAGGTGCTGCCTTCTTGCGCCAAACTTGCTTGACGCTCTGTCCAGTAGCGGGGGCTTTGACGGTGAGGTGGGGGGAAACCGAAGCGACGAGAAGCGGTCTTTGAGGACGAGATCCGCCTCGGATGGCGTCGGTGAGGGCGTAGAGAAGCGTGAAGAGGCTCCTTCTTCTTCGTCTTCCTCCTCTATCTCTTCTTCCGTCGTTGTGGACGCAGGGAAGAACTCGTCGAGCGAGACGGGCGGCGGCGGTCGTAACGCGTCCAAATACGGCTTGCGGCGAAAGGCGACAGGGATGGGCCTGCGCGATGGTTTCCGCTTGTGGATCGAGCCGTGGTGATCTTGAGCCATCGAAAGAAGTCGTGATCAGCAAGGGGGGATGGAGCGAAGAGAGGGAAGAGCCAAAGGAAGGACGTCAAGAACTCACCTATTAGTCGTCTCAATCACGTCGCGACCGCACTGTCCTTCCAGTGCTTGATCGATCTCTCGTTCCACCCCGTGTTCGTCGCCCAGGCCTCGCAAACAAAAACAGGTGCGGTTCGATAACCGTGGACAAGGCACAATAGGAGCACACTGCACGAGGTTTCTGTCGCTGGCCTCTGATCTCGCTAAAGGGGGAAAGCAGAACAGGGCCGAGACACAAAAGCGTCTTGTTCTTCACTGCTTGGCTTCTCCTTTCGGGCGCCCTTCCAAGAAAAAAAGCGAGGCCAGGCGAAAGAGGAACAACAGCAGTCTGGGGCTGTTCGACAGCGACGGCGACGGCGACGAGCGACGACGACGTCGACGGATGCGGTTGGGCGGCAAAGTCTAAAAGCCAAAAAGGGACGGTTTTTGCGTTTCGTTGCCTTTATGGTGAGACTTTCAAGATGTAAAATGGCCCCTGCTTTACCCAGCGAGCGACAAGCGGACACATATCATGCATCGCATCCAAGATCTTGCGCTGTTGGCCTCCCGAGCCACTTTAGCAGCAGGCATCCCGCAAAGCGATCTCACCAGTAGTCCTGCACTGCCTCTCTCTCCCTTTCCAATCCCTCCCTCCCTCCCTCCAGCCTGGCCACACATACATACACAAAGAGACTGGACACAGGAGGCAGCAGGCAGCGCTGCGCTGAATCTGACTCGTCACTTTTCTGCGCACTCTCCACCTCGCGACTAATTTCCTCTGTCATCGTCGCTGCATGTCCTTTCCTTCATTACTGCTTGCATTCGCCGCACATGCGCCACGGGTCCGAGCGTACGTGCATGAGCCGCCTGCTTCCGTCGTCGCTCTCTCTCTTCATTCTGCCGCGACCGAACGTTCCTGTTTGCCACTCGGTGCCCGAGGCGCGCGCGCGCATGAGGAAAGAGATCAGAGGGCAACACGACAACAGAGAAAAAGTGACGAGTCGGGAATGTCTCTCTGACAACGCAAATTAAAGTAGAACCGGCATGCGCGAATGAAATTGGCCTGACTACACTAGCTACAGAGGACTTCCTAGCTAGTAGTACGTGTGTTGTAGCCAAAAGAAGGCTAGGCAGAAGATGAGAGATAGTGAGATAGAGGCGGGCCATTTTTACTTTTATTTTTTTACGTGATTCTGGCTCGCGCATCGCATGCCACAAACCTTAAAATTCTCCACCGTTGGATCGCACCATCCAGTCGAGCAGAAGAGAAGGGGCCCCGTGAGATTCGCTTGGAATTCCCAAGACCGTTCAAGACACCGGTGGGCGGGAAGACGGGATTTGAGATGCTGCGATTACGCGGGAAAGGAAAACAGCGAGAGAAAAGACTAGAGATACAGCAGGAGAGAGAGACAAAGAGAACGTGGTAGTAGTACTGTTGTGAGGCTATAGTGTCCGGAGTCTTATCTCAACAGAAGAAAGAGAGTGTGTGTTCTTCAGAAAAGAGAGAGAGCGAGTGTTGTCTTTTAGAAGGCGTGCGGAGGTGCAGCCTGGTTGGGCCCCGCAAAGACGAGCCTGGCCTTGGCGCACACGCTGACCTCGTCCTCGTTGACGACAGTCGCGTTGCTGTCCGTGCTCGTCCGTCTCGCGTGGCCCGCCTGGCTGCTGCTACCACCAGCGGCGGTGGTGCTTGTCCGTCTGGCGCGGCTCGAGACCAAGGCAATGACAATGTGGCCCATGTTTGCAAAGTCGTGGGGCACCCAGCCGCTTGCTTCGAATGTAGACGGGTCAAATGTGAGCCAGTCGGCCATCATGTCGGGCCACTGGAGCGAGAGGTGGGGCAGCTGGGGGTCGTCGACCACGAGGCCGTACCGGACGACCTCGCCTGATCGCTTGCCCGGCGAGCCAGGTGGGCCTGCCATGGGTGGAGGCTGCGCAGGGTAGATGTGGAATCGGAGGTGCTGGCCCGGCACGGCCTCGTGGTCGGGGCACGGAAGGTGTCTTGAAGAAGCGCTCGACGACGACGAGCCACCGGCCGAGGGCTTGCCGCGCTGGTGCTGCTGCTGCCTTCTCCCCGATGAAGAAGAGGCACCAGCAGCAGCAGCGGCAGGCGCGGGCGGCGTCTTTGGCCTGCCGACGGGCTTCATCGAGTCGCGTGGATCAAAGCCAGAGACAGAGGCGCCGTCCATAAAGGACGGGTTGGGGCTCTCTTGCGGGTAGATGACGTGGGGCTGCATGGCGCGAAGCTGCGACTGGTTGCTCATGGTGCTGCTCCGGTTGTTGTTTGCCTGCTGAGCCGACGTGCCAACGATCTCGTCGTCGGCGTCGTCGAATGCGCCATTGACATTCATCGGGTCCGCTGTCCGGCTGGTGGTGCGCGTGAGGTTGCTTGCGTCGTTGGCGTGCATCTGCATCGGCGAGTGGCGGCGGACCTGCATGACGCGCGCCTCGAGGATCTGGGCGTCCTCGTGGCCGGCATTGCTGAGGCCCGTCCGGCTGTCGTGGAAGTCCTCGCTGGCATCGGCGTCGTCCTCGGCTCCGTGGCCGGCATGGCTGCCATTGGTGTCCGTCGCAGGCGTAAAGACGCCCGGCGCATGGAAGGCAGGGCTCTCGTTGATATGCGTGTTGCGGTGGCGGAACTGGAGAATCGACGGCTGGCCACCCCGTGGCCGTCTCCGTGGCACCTCCTCCACCTCTGCCTGCCCCTGGTCATGGCCCGTCACCGTGAGAAAGCCGCCGCCGCCGCCGCCGCCAGCGCCGGTGCCGTTGCGAGTGCTCTTGAAGCTCTGGGAGCTGGCCACGCTGTTGCGCTCGTCGCGCTGCTGCTGCTGCTGCTGCTGCTCGTCCTCTGCGTCATCGTAGAAGAGGCTCTGCTCCCAGCTGCTCCGCACCGACTGGCGGCTGCGCGAGTGCCGCACGCGGCCGGCCGACTGGGCGTAGGGGTCGTCGCTGGGGTCGAGGCCCAAGCCCAGGCCTGCGGTCGCTGCTGCTCCTACTGCTGCTCCTGCTCCTGCGGCTCCTGCAGCTCGTGCTGCTGCTGCGCCTTGCTTCTTGTTGCCACCGCCAAAGAGGCCGGCCACGAGCCTGTTCTGCGTCGGCTGGTCCGCCACCTCCTGCGCCGCCGGCTGATGGCCCTCGCTGAGCTTCTCGTCGTGCATCATGTACGGGCTCGCGTCGGCAAGCGTCGTCGGCGTCGCCTCGACGTCCTTCTTCTTGGCCGAGACGACAATCGCGCGCTTCCACCTGGCCGACCCGCGGTCGGTGAGCGTGCGCTCGTCGTCGTCATCGCCGCCGCCGCCGCTGCGCCGCCCGCCCACGGTCCGCTCGCCCGCATAGGGGAGGATGTTGCCCTGGGTGTCGTGGTCCTCCTTGGCCACGTGTCTGCGGCAGCACATGAGGAGAAGAACGAGCGCGCAGAGGCCGCCAAAGGCACTCAGGCTCGCCGTGAGGGCGATGCGAGCGCGCGGGCTCATACCACCATTGCCGTCACCAGCATCAGACGCGTTGGAGGACTTGGTCGTGGGTGGGTTGTCGCCCTTCTGGGCGAGGTAGAAGGACGCGGCCGAGGACTGGCCCTGCGACGATGTCGACTGGAGGTTGACCTTGACGCGCTCGACGTCCTTGGGCAGCGAGCCCGTGAGCAGCAGCGTCTTGGGGTCGAACTGGAGCGACGACGAGGCGCTCGCTGGATCGAAGCTCACGCTCAGCGCTGGTGCTGCCCCACCAGCCACGGCGAGGATCCTGAGGGACGACGACGACTGCTGGATGTCAGGACGGACATAGGCAGCCAGCGACTGGTTGATGGCCTTGCCCGGGTCGACAAAGATGTTGGGCAGCTGCTGGGCCACAAAGGGAAACGGCGCCACATTGACGGTGATGTTGGCCGGGAGCGACTGGCTGCCGTTCTGGCCCGAAAAGACGAGGGGCACGACGATGGCCTGCGTCGAGTTGGCATCCTTGTACTGGTCGTACGGCGGCGTGCCCTCGAGGGTGTGCGAGTTACCGTCGAAGCGCAGCCAGGCGACGTCGCTGACGTTGGCCGACACGGTGATGGCATCGCTGCCGTCCTGGGGTGCCTGCTGGCCGCTGACGTTGAGGCCCGTCGTGGGGATCGTGTAGCTGACGGGCTCGCCCACCGAGGCATTCACGCTCTGCAGCGGCTGAGCCAGCGTCAGCGTCTGCGATTGCGCCTGCGTTTGGTTGGTGGCGACGACGATGGTGAGCGCCGTCGTGGGGCCGCCAAAGCCAGCGCGGTTGGAGCCAGTGAGGACAAAGTCAAACTCGGAGCCCTCGGGGCCGACCTGGTCGGGTGCGACGCCATACATCGTGTACGAGTCGCTGCTCCAGATGAGCCAGTCCGGCAGCGGCTGCCCGCCGGCGAGCGAGGCAGACAGGTAGACGTTGCTGCCGTCGGGCAGGGTGAAGGTGTCGCCCTGGAAGCCGACGCTAAAGGACCAGCCGAGGGGGATGAAGAGCTTGTCGCCGGGCAGCATGTGGCTGCCGCCCAGCGAGCTGGCCTGGGGCAGCTGTGATGTGAGCGGCTTGTTGACCGTGGGCACGGGCGCATCGATGACAAGAAGGGTGAATGCGTCCGATGCGCCCCGCTGCCCGTCCTGCGTCGCCCTCACGGTGATCCTGTCTCCACCGTCATTGTCGGCCGTGGGGTTGCCCGAGAAGGTGCGCTGGCTCGCGTCAAACGTGGCCCAGTCCGGCAGGCCGTCTGCCGACAGGTTGACGACGGCCTGGCCCGTGGAGTGAAACGTGTCGGGCGAAAAAGTCCAGGTGTATGGAACACCTACATGCGCGATGTCGGGCAGCTGGGACCGCAGCGAGAGTCCCTTGGACACGGTGGCCAGCGAGGAGCCAACGAGGACGCAGAGGGTGGCTGCACCGGCCTGCGCGAGCCTCCGACGAAGGCCGACCATCGCGAGAGAGGGGTGAGAAACGAGAAAACCGTAGAAGAAAACGAGTGTTGTTCGATCCGGGGTGAGAAAGGAGTGTGAGTTGAGTCGGTCAGCTGGCCAAGCCTGTGGGAGATGAGGGCCGGGGAAGGATCAGGGGGCGGAGAGAGGGGGGGGGAGAGAAAGAGAAAAGGGCCGAGACGGAGCAGGAAGGGAGCGTGGTGATGGTGGTGGTGGAAGTAGTAGTAGTGGCAGCTGGTGATGGTGACAGGCCCATCCATCTTCGCGCCTGCCTTGCCGTTGCCGTCTCGTCTCTGCCGAATGCAGGCTGAAGCTCGGCGACGCGTCCAGCATTGCTATTATTTCGGGTCATCAACAACATGCTGCGCGCCGTTATTTGCTTCCCTGCAGGGGTTCGCCTCGCTCCATGATCCAACACGTACCGTACAACCGGCAAGCGTACGTACGCGCGCGCTGGAGCAACAGCGCACGCAAGGAGTCCGTCACGCGCTAGCTAGAGCGTTTGTGCATCCACGAGCCTCTCGCTGGTGCGGCGTCGTCTCCCTCGGAGCAACGCCGTCGAATAAAAATCCTAAATCGATGCATACTCATTCCGCAAGACCAACAAGGCAGGTCGTGCCTAGCTTGGTCCCCTGGTCCGAAATCGCGAACAACAGATCGACAACGACGAGACGGCCACTTCCCTCATGCAGGGAGGGAATGCTCGCGCCGCGTCACGTGGAAAAAGTCTAAAAGCCACCAGGGAAAAATAATATAAAACTGCCAACCCCGCGTGGCGATTATGTCGACCCAAAGGGCTGGTCGTGACATCATCGATCAAACGGACTGCCTGGCAGGACCACCGGCCTCGGCCAGACTCCCGGCCCACATCGCCCCATGTCTTCTAAGTAGAAAGGGGGCTAGCAAATAATCAAGACTTGACTACAACCTCTGCTCGATCGCACCCTGCCTCGTTAAGGCCTGGACCCTGACTGGGCGCTGGTTCGCTCATCGCACATCTGGGGGGGGGGGGGGGGGGCTGCTGGAGAGAGAAGAGAACATTATGACGACGCTCCGTCGCATGGATTGGGCGGGCAAGCGCACGGACGCATGGCTCGCTCATGGTACCGCATCGTGGCGCACGTACGCTCAGGCGCACGTCTCATTGTGGGAAGCGCATCCGCCCTCGACTATGACGACACTGTTTCGACGGCGATGCACCGGACAATAGGACAAATCGAGACACACAGCCACGAGACGTACTGTACGTTAATGAGCAGATGTTGTGTATGTGTGTGATGCTCGGACACGTAGTCGACCCTTGGACTCCGCTCAGCATCGATCCGATTTCCTTGCTCCTGTGTGGGTATATAAAGCACAACTTATTCGCCGGTCCGTCTTCTCTTCCCTCACCCACTACCAAACAAAGCTTCTTCCACCCAAACAAAACCCACCCCAACACCTTAACTCGCAACAATGCAGACCGTCAAGGACGCCGCCAACTACGTCTCGGAGTCTGTCCAGCAGGCTACCTCCACTGCCTCCAAGGTTAGCACATCCTCTTGACTGCTTGTCGAAGCCATCCACTGACATCCTTCTTACTACCAACCAACAGGAGGGCAACAAGGAGATTGCCAAGGGCAACACCGACGCTTCGCTCGGAACACGCGCCGAGGCTGCCAAGGACGCCGTCGGAGACAAGATTGACGAGTCCAAGCACGACTCCAAGGCCGAGCTCCACAAGCAGAAGGCCCAGAACTAAGCGGCATCGCCCACTTCCCCTCATTATTTACCCCCTCTGTTTACACATATGATGGTGAAGACGATGAAATCGCAATGATTACTTCTTGATCCACACTGGTTTGCTCGACTTTGTTTGCGTTGTGTGTGTGTGATGCGTTTCTGATAAATTTGATCGGACGGCAGATCTGGTGGAGAGCAGCAAATGTGGCTTTCCTCGGCCTGCGCGTTGAAAACTAGTCGCGAGCAGGCTGTGCGCGAATCGCGGCAAGACGACGGCGACGACAACGACGACAACGACAACGACGACAACGACAACGACGACAACGACAACGACGACAACGACAACGACGATAACGACAACGACGACATGATGGCAAGCATGGGAGACGGACAGACGCGCGCGCTCGTCCTTGGCGGCGGCGGACCCGTCGGGCGGGGCTGGGAGATTGGCCTCGTCACCGGTCTGCGATCCCTGGGCGTCGAGCTGGCCGAGGCGGACCTTGTCGTGGGCACCTCTGCGGGCGCCATTGTGGGCGCACAGCTCAAGCTGGGCCGCGACCTCTACATGCTCTTGGGCCCCGCACCTGCGGCCACGGCGAGCAGCTCCACTGTGGCCACCGTGGCACCTGCGCCCTCACCGCCAGATCTCATCGCCCAGCTCACGGAGGCGCGTCGGCGGGCAGTCACGTCGGCAGACCCCGAGGCCGAGTACAGAAGCATTGGGCAGCTGTCCGTGTCCACACCGACAATATCGGAGCACGAGTACGTGTCGGGCCCTCGTTTTGCCAGCTTTGCTCAATGCGACGCATGGCCGCCCGGGGTCCTGATCACCTCGACAGACGTCGAGACGGGCCAGGCACAGGTCTGGACGGCTGCGTCGGGCGTGTCGCTACAGAAGGCCATTGCGTCGAGTACCGCGCTCCCTGGCGCCTTTCCACCCGTGACAGTGGGCGCGGGAAAGGAGCGATACATGGACGGCGGGGTGCGGAGCATGCTTCACGCGCCCCTCGCCGCAGGCCACCGTCGCATCCTCGTCGTCTCGTGCTTTCCCATCTTCAGCCACGCCGACGACGACGACGACGACCCCATCGCAGCCAAGCTCATCGACGAGCTCGACGAGCTCAAGTCCTCGTCGGACGGCACACACATCGAAGTCATTGAGCCCAATGACGAGTTCCAAGCGTCATTTGCGCACAGATTACTCGACTTCAGCTTGGTGCACGATGCCTACCAGTTGGGTCTCCGGCAAGCGAAGCACGAGGCTGAGCGCGCAGCCCGCCTCTGGAACACTGGCAACACCGCCACCGTGACAGCGGCGCAGGCTTTGCAATAGGTTACATCGGACTGCACTTACTTACTTACGGCAGTAGTAGAGTTGCAGTAATAGCAGGGTTGTAGTTGCAGTAGAGTAGTAGTAGCAGCGGGAAGACTTTGGCAAGGAGTTCCACGCGCACGCATGGCTCGAGCGCGCCCAGGCGACTGCGACTCAGCGCAGGACAGGAACAGGGGAAAAAAAGTAAAATAAAATAAGAGAGGTGGGACGGAAAAGCTGAGCTCTGACTGCCCTCCCGATTACGGTTCCGTCGTGCCAGCTGTCTTGTCGTGCTGCTACCCCTTCACTTTTTGGGCTCTCGTTTCGTGCGATTTGGTCTCGGCGGCGGGGTTAACTGAGCTTCATATACATACACACTCTTTTTGGAGACGCTGACGCGGCCACAGAAGAGAACGAGGACGAAAGGCGAGAAGAAGGGAGCAGTATAAGAAATGATCCTCTCCGAGCCCTTTGGCGTCGAGGACCCCAATCTGCCCTCGCCGCCCTACCCACCCTCACCTACCCTTTCTTCCTCGACTTCGTCCTCGAGCTCCAAGGGCAAGAAGAAGTCTGACAAGATGACTTTGTCGGACTGCGACAAGAAGGAAAGCAACAGCAGCAGCGACGACAAGCCGACCGTGCCGTCTGCTCCGACCAATGCTCCATGCTGCCAGTGCCAGTGCCATCACCATGGACACCGCTTTGGGCCACGCTCCTTTGGCCGCCATTCATGGCACGGTCACCGTCACTATCGTCGCATGAGCGATGGCGACCACGATGACGCGGAGGAAGCCTTCCAGCTCCGTCGCTGCCGTAGGCGCCGTCGCTCTCGCCCGCACCGCATCATCTTCAGCATCCTGCTCCTCGCTTTCTTCCTCGTCACAATGAAGCCGCTCCAACGCTTCGTCCTTGGCACCGTACACGACATCGGCGACCACACGCCGCAGGCCATCGTCGAAGTGTTCAACGCCATCATCGGCGCCGTCGTCGGCCTCTTTGGCTCCAACCCCATCCTGGCCGCCTGGTTCTTTGTCTCGCTCCTGCTGCTCGTCATATGGGCCATCGCTCGGTGCTCCCACAAAGCCAGGAGGAGGAGGAAGTGGAGGAAGGCGGCGAGTTGCGGCATGATGAGACGCTGGTGCCGGTCCAGGGCCGGCCTCGACGTTGGCACAGCCTCCGAGACCGAGAACAGCAAGACCGAGACGGACAAGGAGATCGAAACCGAGAGCGAGTGCGGCGAAAAGGCAGCGAGGGGCTTTAGCAACCACCGTGGCCTTCGCCGAGGCCAGTGGCTCAGCAAGGCCGTCGAGTCGGTCCGCTGGCAGTACGCCAACTTCCCTGCCGGCGTGAACCGCTACCGCATCGTGCTCACCGACGACGTCGAGCAGCAGCGCAGTGACTCCGTGCCTGCTACTACGCCAGCGCCACATTCGTCGACCGAGGAGCGTGTCGTGGTGGACTACCAGGTCGACGATGGCGACGTCGACGATGACACCACTCTCTACACATCGTCAGGCACCAGCGACGCCTCCCACTCGTCTGCCTCGTGGTCTCAACTGGACTCGACGTCCACCGAAAGTGCCCGCCCTCTTCTCTGATTGCAGTTCTCTTCTCTGAGCGCAAGCCCTCTACTCTGAGTGCCAATTAAAGATGTCTTGTTCAATCTCTTTGCTTGTCTATCAATACATGTGCTTGCGTTCCCAGCCGCTAGATCCTCCTGGCCACTCTGCTCTGTTCCCTCTGCACTTCCTCGCCAACGTCGTCGCTCTTGTGTGCTCCCCTCTTCTGCCGCTCTTCGTGCGACAAGAGCCACCGTACTGTGATGCTGAGCCGCTTGCCCCGCCGGATCCTCTCCACCTCACCCGCCTCGCCCTCGACGAGGTCCTCGTCTCTCGCCTCGATGCCGTGCTTCCACGCCCACCGCGACTCGCCGCTGAGCAGGACGAGACTGCGGTCCTCGAGGTAGACGTGCTCCACCTGCTCCCGCTCTTCATTCTGCCCCTTCTCTTGCCATTGCTCCCCCCCAGCGCTGCTCTCTCGGCTGAAGCGCATCGTGCAGCCCGAGCCAAAGCTGCAGACGAGAATGCCGTCGTCGAATTGGTGCGGCAGGTCGATGTGCGACGCGAGCCCCTGACCCGCTTCGTACAGGTTCAGAATCACCTGCCGGCTCCGCCCGTCCCAGCCTCGCCCTTCTGCCCCTCCTTGTCCATCGTCGTCGTCTGGCGACTGCGGAAAGACGAGGGCATAGCCCGGCACGCGCGCATCGAGGTTCGTCCGGGTGTAGTCGAGGAGCGTGCTGAGCCAGGCAGGCGCCGATGACGACGATGACGACGGCGACGAAGACGGCAGTGCAGGCCGGCCGAGAAACAGCACTGCCTGGTCCCGCCCAGCGCGCGCATCAAAGTAGTTACAGGCGGCGATGCCGTCGAGGAGCGCCGCCACAAGGGCGTCCGACGCGAAAAAGTGGCGCTCGTAGGTGAGGCCCGGGATCGCTAACGGCGGCGGGCATCGCCGCGCGATGGGCAGAGGCACAGGCGCGACTTCACCCTCGACTTCCTCGCCGGCGTCGTAAACGCCTGGGCTGCCGCCTGGGGAAGCAGGCGAGGGTGGAAAGAGGGGCGACGAGGGAGGCGAGCTCATATGTCGCTGGTCGTTGCCAGAAGAAAGGACGTGCAGCAGTGGAGGCAGGCACCAGTCGGCCGAAGCTAGAGGAAGACTTGTCGCTCATGGACATCGTCAGGCCAGGCTTCAGACTGGGGACACACTCTTCTTCAATGAGATGAGATGAGATGATGAATTGTGGGAGATACAAATGAAGGAGAAAGAGAGGGTGGTCCTCATCCAGGAAGAAGCTAGCATACAAGGAGAGACGAAGGTTAAGACCGATTAACAGCGAAAGAAGTAGAGATGAAGAAGAATGATGAGAGCCTTGATTGAAGTGTGTATGTGAGTGTGTGATGATTGAGACGATTCTTGTGAGTGAGATGTGACGGAACAGGACGATGATTGCAGAGATGTAGAGGACGGAGAGCGTGCGTAGTGAAGGAGATTGAGCGACAACGACGGTGGGTCATTCAGGGTCGCGGGTCGACCGGTGTTGCACCCTTGGAGGACCGACGGAGAACGTGAATGGCCCTGGACGCCCGCTGGGGATGGCTGCAGGTGTGCCTTCGGAGGATCGAAGGCTCTTGCCATTCGACCGTCGTCGTCGCTTTGGCAGGGCGGCTTGGCGAAGGCGTCAGGCCGCTCGGTCTGGCTGGCGGCGACGGGATGGGAGACGGTTCGCGTGCGTTGGACTGAGCCTGAGCCGGCTGGCGAGGACGGTGCTGGCGCTGGCCCACGATCAAGTCCGACTTGGCCCGGATCATGGGGGGAGTCGTGGAGGACGAGGCATAGGCAGGCGGACCGGTGGAGCTGCGCTTGCGACCAGCGATGAGCTCAGCTGCGGTAAAGGCCACCGTCGCCGGGTTGGCAAGTGCTGCTTTGGCTTTGCCGTCGTGCCTCGTCTTGGGCAGCGTGGGACTGCGATGGAGCTTGCCTGCATCTTTGAGTGTCTCACGGCTGCTGTTCGTCGTCACTGTTGCTGCTCCCGCTGTCGTCGTAGTTGTCGCAACCGCCGTGGCAGGCCCGTCCTCGGTGATGCTGCGAGGGGTGGGAGGCGTCGAACGAGCGCTGCGAGGGCTGACGGAGCGACCGGTATTGCCTCCACTGATGGCGCTGCTGTTGCTCGACGCCGTCGACAGAGATCCACCGGCATGGAGTGAGAGCGCAGAGTGAATGCTGATGTCACGGCGAAGTGCCGCCTGCGTCTGCCTGGGCGAGAGAGGCGGGACGATCCGGGTGCTAGTCGTGGGTGCGGTCGCCGTCGTAGTCGCCGCAGAGGCCGGCTGGCCAGACCTCCTGAGCTGGGCGTTGGGGGGCGAGCCAACGCAGTTGGACGGGCGACGCGCAAAGGCAAGCGTTGGCGACATAGTCGAGGTAGACACGCTCGTGGCCGCAGTCGAGGCAGAGCAGTTGGACGTGCGACGAGATGTGTGCGCCGACGGTCGCTCCCTCACGGCGTCTCCCTCTGATGATGCTCGCTCGTCGTCGTCGTCGTCGTCTTCGGCCTCTTCATCGTCGTATTCCTCGTCGTAGTCGCGGTGGTCGTCGTCCCTGTCCTCCTCGTCCCAGATCATGGCCAAGTCGGCCGTGCTGAGCCTCTTCTGCGACGAGCGAGCCTCGCTCGCGGTGGCGTCGTCGTGCTCAAACAGCTCATTGCCGCTGAGGAAGCCCGATTCGAGGCTGGGCGGCGCCTGCTGTGAGCCTCTACGCGCAAAGGTGGGAAAGTAGACGGTGGCCTCGTCCCAATCTTCATCAAAGTCTTGCATCCTGGGCGACGAAGCGTTCGAGTAGCGTTGGTGCTTCTGGCGGTAGTGCGTCGCAGCCAGGCTGATGGGGCCTGGCGAGGTTGCCGTAGAGAGGGAGGGGGAGGCAGAAGAAGCGAAGATGTCCATCGTGCTTATCAGCGCCCAACGCCGCGTTGTTTTGATGAAGTAGGGCTGGAAGGGGCAGGGAGTGGCAGGGAGTGGCAGGGATGCGAAGGAGCGAAGAAAGAGAAGAAGAAGAAAAGAGGGAGGGAGAAGAAATTTGGGAAGAAAGGAATATACGCCGAGGAGGTCCGTGAGCGGGCTCAGCTTGCCTTGCCAAGGCGCCTGCCCAATTCAGAAGACGTCGGGGGCGCTGCTGTCGGTGCTGGTGCTGACGCTGCGGCTGCGGCTGCGGTTGCTAGCTGCGATCGACTCAACTCCTAACGCCGGAGGAGCACAAGTCGGAGGGGAGCAAGCTACGATAGGCGGCGTAGGCTAGGCGTGGTCCAGCCCCTCTTGTTCCTACTATGTCTCTTTTTCGCCTTTTAATTCCTCGTCTGTCCTACTCCCTACCGACTCGAGTGAAGACGTTCGTTTATCGTTGTGAAGAACGAGGAGAGGAGCCAGCGAGCAGGCAGGCCCTCGTGATTATATGCGGGGCTCAAGAGGCGGACCTCGACCCGTCGTCGCCTTGACAAATTTGTTGCACGCCTCAGCAGCAGCTGTTGCCCGCCCGCCCGCAGCCTGGCTTGAGCGCGTCCTTGCGTAGGTGTGCGTCTCTATCGCTGGTGCACGGCACAAGGCTGGCGATAGGGCAGATGACGCGAGGTAAGTCGCGGCAGCACGCCTTTTTTGCTACTCCGTCCGAATTAAAAGAAGATAGAGGATGAGGAAGGGCGGGTGGGGGTGCTGCTAAAGATAGAAAGGGCAATAGACTCAGATGTGTGTGGTTGCTGATTGCTGGGTGCGAGGCGCTGGCTCTGGCGTGATGTATGGGACAAACGAGTCCGTTGTTTGCGCGCGCGCGCGCGCTCGAGTCACGCAAATGCGCCCCCCGCTGCTGAAACTAGCTAGTAGTGGCGATTTGTACGCGGGCGGCTGCGTCGGGCCAGATCAGAAAGGCTGGACCAAAAGAAGTAGTAGGTCGCCGTGGCGCGGTTCTCGTTGGTGTTGATGGGGAGGAAGTGGTGCAAGTGATGGCTCTCTATTGCACCTTTTCTTTCAGATAGCCAGCCGCCTTCGCTCCCACTCCCTACCAGCCGAGAGAAGGCAGGATGGCTGACCGCACGGCACGGCCCGCCCGCACACACTTCAGCACCCTGAGCCCGCGCTCTAATTTTATTAATTCGAGATAGAAAGGGATTAAGGAAAAAAGAAAAAAGAGGGTGGTGCATGCATGGTGCATGGCGCCAACCGCTCTGACATCTGTATCCTCAGATAACCCCCCACCGACCCTGTATATGCTATCTCCCGAACTGTGTCTAGCACCTACGCTGCTCTCACAAGGGCAATCAATCGCATCATCGAAACAGCCTTATCACACCATCCATCGCTCCACGCACCCTACCAGTCTAGTCCCGCGATTACAGTGTGTCTTTCAGTGGCGCAGCCGTCATCGGAAGGATCGTTCCTTGCCGAACAGGCTCACTGTTCTGACACAACGACTCTGATCTACACTAGTAGCTGGTACTAGCTGGCTGTTCCGACACAAGGGTCTCGCAAGATTTGAAACGGACCAGCAAATCGATACGACCCACGAGACGCGAGCGAGATCCCACGTTCTGGGCACCTTGGCAGTCTTCAGTCTGCGTCTGCGCCTGGCCGGTGCCGTGCACCGCTCGAGCATTGTCTGAATGACGCGCGCCTCGCTAGTTAAGTATTAATGTTATTTTTGCAGGATGGCTTAGATCAATTTTCATTTTATTATTCACAATTTTATTTTTCGGCAAGCCTCTCCTCTAGCCAGCCGTCCCCTCACCCTGGCAAGACTTTCGCTTGGCCTAGCCTCTATGACGAAAGTCGAGGTGGACAGCCAAAGAGGAAGAAGAGCCACAAGAAAAAGCGGGGTGCATCCATCGATTCTTCGATCCACCCCGCGCCGCACGGAAAGGTGGGGATGGCTTGCTCGCTCCTTTTGGATGTCTAGGCCATCGAGTGGGTGGCGAGTGGCTTTATCAATCGTCATGGCTGCCACTTTCGATCTTGTATTACGTCTCGCCGCGGAGCTCTTGCCTGCCCAAGGCGAGGAGAAGAAGCGCGCGTCCCGCACTGCACGAAGAGGGGCCACTACTTTTGCACTACTAGCAACAACTCTGGCTGCCACCTAAGACGTCCTGTGCGACTACTAGCGTCGCACTGCCTCTCATTTGTGACCAGACACGGCAGTTGGGTCGGATCAGATTGACGGGTCACGTTGCCTTGATGGCCAATCCAGGCTAATCTAACCTTACCAAGTAGCGCATAAGCCAACGCTTCGATAAAGCTTAACTCTACGCAGACCGTTATCGCCAGCCACAGACTTGGAGTAGCAGGGCCCTTGACTCGAAGCAGGCTCCTATCTAGCCTATCTCTCTTTCTCTCTCTCTCTCGACCCCTCTCCTTTTTTCGGTACGGTCGAGACGAGGCTAAGCGGCAATTAGACGAGGCTAGAGCGGCTTCGCCATTGAATAAGGTTTTCCTTTTCTTGTCCGGGGAGATCGAACGTAGACTATCGGCCAAAAGATGTCAAGAGCATTGTCCAATTTCTCCGTTTCTCTCACCGGGTCCCTCGATAAGGGAAAAGAGAGGACCAGAGGTAGGAGGGACCCTGTTCCGTATGCATCGGCCTTAGTTTCTCCGCGTTGGGCTGCTAGAAGCGCAGTAATCCATGGTTTCGAGCCTCACGTCGCAACCCTCCCTCACACCATGGCATGACAAAGAGCACTCTCTACCTTCTGACGACGACCTCACAAAGCGACGCGCTTACAGGAGAGCAGACCCAATACTCGCAGAATTGAACGGCTCCGGTTCACACAAAAGACAATGACAAAGTTGAGGCTCCAAAGATGTAGTTGAAAAAAAAAGAGGATATGAAGACCAAAAGGGGCGCTCTGCAAGTCTAGTGGTCGACAAGGATCAACGAACCCGAGCAGAGCTTGTTCTCGAGGATGGAGCCGTCGGGAATGTTGATGCTCGACCCCTCAACGGCAATGATGATGACGGTGCCCCGCAGCGTCACATTCCTGCCAATGGTCACGTTGCCCGAGATGGTCAGGTGGTCGAGCTCCTTCATGTTGGGCACCGTCTTGAACCGTGCCTGGAACTGGGCCACCTTGCTGAAGTGGGGGCCCAGCTTGATGACGGGCGTGGTGTTGAACTCGATCGACTTGTCCTTGCACAGCTTGCCGTGCTCGAGCGAGTAGAGGTCCGAGGTGATGAGTAGCAGATCGCTGCAGCTCTTAACGGGAAGGAAGCGCGACCGCGGAACGTTGACGCCCTTTGCGCCCTTGAAGTGCTTGATGGCCGCGCCCACAGCCGTCTCGAGCTGGATGACAGCCTCGCCAGAGCCGAGGGACTTGTTGTTGACGATGATCTCGAGGTCCAGCTCGTCGTTTTCCAGGACGCGCTTGATCGCGTGGAGGTTCAGCCAGAGGTTGTTGGTGTTGAAGATCTTGAACTTCTTGACGCTCTTGAAGTCCTCGACGTGCTCGCTCGGCACCTGGGCAATCTCGAGGAGCCGGATCGTGCCCTCGTAGTCAATAAGGGTGCCGCCCTTGACGTCGGCCTTTGTCTTGTCCGTCACCTCCGAGATGAACTCGGCCTGGGTGTCAATCATGTGCTGGTAGATGTTCAGGTCGACGTCTGCGCCGAGGTTGTCAACGTTGGAGACGAAGACGTACTCCTTTCCTGCGTTGATGAGTCGGTCGAGGAGGCCCGAGTTGTACATGGCGTCGAACAGGTCGCCGTGTCCCGGCGGGTACCAGAGGGACTTGTCGCTGGTGGCGCTGCGTGGGCAGGGCAGGAGCGACTCCTTGTTGACACGAGGGTAGCGCGACTGGTTGAACGTCAGGATCTCGACGTTGTGGTTGGCGTACTTTTGGATGACACGCGCCGTGTCGTCGTCGGTGTTGAACGAGTTCATGAGGATGAATGGCACATTGACGTTGTACGTCGAGTTAAGGTGCTCGATCTGACGCACAGAGAGGTCGAGGAAAGTCATGCCCTCACGGACCTCGATGACTGACTTGGGGCCCGTGCAGCCCATCGTCGTGCCCAGGCCACCATTGAGCTTGAGAACGGCAAGCTTGTTGAGCAGCGAAGTGTTCGACGCTGGCTTGAGCTGGTCGTAGGGCGTGATCTGTTCTGGCGCAGGCGCCTTGACCTTGTCCCAGACACTGTCGTGACAAGGAAATCAGCTATCTCCCAAATGTATGCGCTCAAATGAATCAGGAACAACGCACAGCTTCTCGCCCTTTGCCCGCTCGCTCAGATACCGGTTGAAGAGCGTGAAGAAGGACGACATCTCGGCGTCAAAGGCCTGGACCAGTCTCTTGTCAGGATCGTGCTCTGCTGGTAGAGAGGCAGGAGGCAGAGGAGCTCACCTTGCGTGCGACAGGGTCCTCGATCTCAGCCACCATCTTGTTGAGCTCGTTGCGCATCGCCTTGGCAGCGACGCCCGTCGTGGCCGATTTGAAGTCCTGTGCCGATCAAAGGTTGCCGGAGGGCGAGCCAGGTCAGCAAGGTGGTGCTTGTGCGAACACTGAGAAGGACACTCACAATGTGCGAGGCACCGCGGGTGCGCGACGCCTTGACGCCTGCGCCATTCTGAGGGGTGGAGAGATGCGACATGATGCTTGTGTGCGCCGAGGTGCTAATCAGGCAGACGACGTAAGAGAGGGCAAAGAGGAGGAGGAGGAGGGAAGGGGAGAAGAGAAGATCGGCAAAAGCGTCCTTGGAAGATAGAGGTGGGGAAAACGAAGGGAAAAATTTGGGCCACTTCTAGGCCTGCCCAACGAGCAAATCTTTAGAGTCGGTGGCAAGACGGAAATAGAGGCGGCGCGTGCACGAGCCCTCCCCGTCCACTCCGATGTTTAGCTCGTCGGCCCTGAGGCTCGGCTAATGAAATCACAGGGCGGGCAGGACAGACGGCAGAATGGCAAACGAGCGAACAGTCTATGAGGAGCGCCGACCAGTCTCGCAACGAGGCTAGACTCACCTTGTTGTCAGCTCGAGCTCGGGAAGGTCGGTGAGGGTGGTGGGCGCGGGAGATAGGGAAGGAATAGGAGAGACACGGGAAGGCGAAGAACGGTACTTTTTTAACTTTCCTAGATTGCCAGCAGCGCACGCCCACGGCGATCTTCTTGCTAGTTCCTTTTTATCCTCTCTTCCCCTTTCTAGCTGTATCTACCTGTTCTATCGCTCGAGATATTGAAATCTTGTCTCGTCGTCCTCAACAAGTGCCGGCAGAAACGCCTTCCAGACCCCCTCCAGATAGACCTACAGCTTATTTGTTTGGTTCGGACTGTCAGCAAAGAAATTTTAGGCACGACGGCGAATGGGTTTTATATGCAGAGGCATCTTTCCAATCCTTCGTTCGAACCAAAGCGGACAGCAACCGTGCGTGTCTCCACGGCCCCCAGCTCCCGTCCGAGGAGCGCCACGTTTCCTCCTGTCCCTCATTAAGACTTCCTCACCCTCTCACTGTGATGAATCTATCCCGGTGCAGAATTGGGCGGCTGCCTCGTCAGAGAGTCGAGTCCCGACAAGGGACAAATGGCCCAATCGGGGATTGGAAGGCCGCGAGCACCAGCTTCGTGCTGCAATGCACGCCCAGCCACAAAGCTTTTGGTTGTTTTGATTCACGAATTGACTCTACAATGACTCTTGGCTTCCTTCGCACATTCACCTCTAGACGATGCGGATCTCCCGTCAAAGATGAAGAAAGGCACATCGTGATGAGGTCGCAGAGAAAGATGTGAGATTGAAAAGAGACAGAAGAAAGCACTCTACGGAATTGCGCCTCTCAAGGAAAAGCAAAAGACAGAAAGAGGCGAGAGAGGAGAAGTCTACATTACTACGTTCTGGCCTTTTGAGCGGTAGATTGGGAGTGTAGGGATATTTGGTGGATTGGCCTCTTCTTTTCATGCGGTAGCCCCCTGCCATCCTCGGGATTTGCCTTGCTTTCCTTGATTTACAGTCGGTGTGTGTCCCGTTAGATCTTCTGCTCCTTGACACCGTCCTTCCAGAAGATGAGGTAGGGCGTGACACCGTCCTCGCGGTAGTTGAGCAGCGCAACCATTCTGTTCGCAGTAAGGAATCCTCGTCAGCTCAGGAAGCCTTTCAATCAAGCTTGGGCAGGGTAGAAACTCACCCCTCCGGGTCGCCCGACTCGCCAGTGTAGAAGTCGTAGTCCTTGAAGTTTCCGACGATCTTCTTTGCGAACTCGGCGGCCTTCTTCTCGAACACCTCGACCCGCTCTGGGTTCTCGGCCTGGAGCTTAGCCTTGATGGCCTTCATGTAGCCCTGAACATTCCAACGCCCAGTCAGTCTTTGGCCCCACACAGACCCCGAGAGAACGACGCAGAACACACACCTTGAGGTAGGTGAGGTAAGACTTCTTGTCAAACGTCGTCGACTGGAGGCGGAACGAGTGGACGATGTTGATGACCTGCTGACCGCCATTCTCGAGGGCCTCCTGCTGCTCCTCGGCACTCGGGTTGGCTCCAATGTCGACGTCGCCCTCCTGGACGACAATGTTGGCGGCATCGACCTCGTAGACGACATCGTCAATGTCCTTGCTGTGTACCAATGCCCATCAGCTGCTTCTGAGGGCGGGCAGAGGAGCAGAAAGAGCAGGAGCAACAGGACTCACAAGTCAAAGCCGTCCGAGAACATCTCGTCGCCAGAAACCTTGTCGGTGTAGAGCTGTGTTCGGTGATCCCAGATCAGCTGACGTGCTTCGTGACTGGCTCTTCGGACCAGTTCGGGCTCACCTTCATGCTGTGTAGAGGGGTGGAAGAAGGGCCGTGCTAAGATGGTGTAGGTAGGTTTTCGTAGATGGAAGAAGAAGAAGCTACGTGGGCTGTCTCGCTCTCCCCAGGCAAGGGGCCAGAAAAAAAAAAAAAAAAAAAAAAAAAAAAAGAGCAAAAAAATTTAAGACGGGCGGCGGGCGAGACCAGCCTGCAGGCGCGCTCCGAGGGCCACGTGTCATTTCTTCTCGCTCGGGTCCCAGGCTTCACTGCATTCAGAAATGGTCCTTTCAAGAGACGGCACTGGCTACATTCAGATACAGATGAGGGCTTAGGTACTAGAAGCGACAGTGGGTGATGCCCCAGGCGAGGTCGCCGCTGCGTCCTCCGCTGACCCACTTGTCCAGCCCTGCGCTCATAGTGTCGATGTACTTGTCGCTGATCTTTCCCTTCATCTAAACGTTCCCGCCCTCATCAGCACGAGAGTTACTGGCCAAGAAGTAGTGCAGCGAGCCAAGACTCACCAGGTGCCTTCGTTCCTGAAGGACCTCGCCAACTCGACGGTAGTGGTTCGTGAGCATGTCGGTGTGGTCCGTGTACTGGACCTTGCCGCCAAGCTTCTCGAGCTCGGACTTGTACCAGCCTGGGCAGCCGAGCGTCGTCAGGTGCAGCCGCGCGAGGATTGGCTGCATGACGGCTGGGTTGGGGTTGTCCGATGCCATCAGATCCTACGTCGCCGTTCTTCCATCAGCTTTGTGGTTCAAGCATGGGCCTGAAAGCATGGTCGTCCACTTACCGTGAAGATGAACTGGCCACCTGGCTTGAGGACACGCTTGATCTCCTTGAGGGCCTATGGACACAGACATTGTCAGTCGTGTGTCCCACTGCATCGCATTTTTCTGCTCAGGCTCACCTTGAGGCGATCACCGGAGTGGAGGAAGGCGTCCATGCCTGTTGTGACACTTGTCAGCATCATTCACAATGTCAACCAGCCCTGTAGATGCTAGCTACTCACTCCAGACGGCATCGAAGCTGTCGTCCTCGAACGGAATCTCTTCGTAGCTGCCGTCGACGACATCAACGAGCTTGTCGAGGCCGCGCTCCCGGCAGAGACGAACATTCCTCGCATTCTCAACGTCGCTCAGGTTGAGGCAGGTGACGCGGCAGCCGTACGTCTTTGCAAGCTCGCGCGCGCTGCCGCCGTAGCCCGCTCCAGCGTCGAGGACCCGCATGGACGAGTTGAGGCCAAGTGCAGAGGCCATCGTCGTCACCGTTCGGTGCGCCGCGACAGGAATCGACTCTTGGGGCTCTGCGTACAGGCCGACATGCTGCGAGAGTGGCGCCAAAAATGGTAAGAATTTTCTCCCTTTCATTGGTCAGAAAGAGCCGGTACTCACGATGTGGTCGCCGTTCCCGTCGCCCCAGCAGAGGTGGTAGAACTGCAAGCAAGCGTCAGTGGCCTGTCTGTTGATGCGAAACAAGGTAGAAACCTTACCGTGTCGGCGTCATCGGAGTTGTAGTAGTCGCGGGCCGTGTTGACCTCCTTGGAGTATTTGGCGGCGTCGACGGCGGTGCCGTTGCCGTTGGCGTGTGCAGTCTGAGCACTGACGGTCATTTTGACGGTATGAACACAAGAGGTGGTGGTTAATATGCTGCGAGTGAGTGCAATAAAGAGGGTGGGCGGGTGGGAGGAATTAGGTACGCCATACTGGGGCGATGATTTTTATATAGGCGCAGGGTCAAGGCGCCAGGAGCGGGAAAGTGGGAGAGGGAGGAAGAAGGAGACTGTCTTCCTTCTGATCACCGGACGAAAGGGCAGAGGCCGACTGGGAGAAGGAAGTGCTACAAAAGAGGAAGAAAAAAATAACACATTGCTATTGAAACGCAAAAGGGCCCAGCACGAGCCACCCTGCACAGAGGCTGTGGTGAAAGTGCCGTATGACGGTAGCGCAATAAGCCTTTGCCACGATCGGGAGAAGTAAGTGCCTCACATGTAACACACATGCGAAGGTATGCCCTATAGCCTATGCGGGCGGGAAGTGCGGTCTGTGCTCAGTGCTGTGCCACATTGCTCTTGTTTTGAAACTCTTCTCCTAGGTGGTCCCCGTCTTTGGGCCAATGCAAAGCCTACATACTGTGCCCCGGCAGGAGCTCTAAACCTTGTAAACCTTGTCACGGACGACTTCAGCCTGGCCGAAGCGAGAAAAGCTCAAGATGCGGGGCCCGCCGCTCTTCTGGCCCTTTCTGCGAAGAAACTAAAGCCATAAAAATACCCAAAAGAAAACAAGAAATAAAAAGAAATAGAAAGGGGGGAGTCCCAATTGAATTGCGTTAACGTGCGACACAGGAAACCAACCGCACGATTCCGCCTCAATTGGGAGAAGTAAGTGCCAAGCGACAGGCCCAGTGCAGGCGCTCGTTGCGCTCGCGTGGCGGATTGCCCGGGCATCCGGGCTCGGGGAGGGTCAACGCACTGATCGATCAAGGTCGATCAAGCACCGCTGGGTGGAGGGTGTGCGAGCTTCCCAAATCAGGGTCACAGGATGAGCGCACGGACGAGCAAATTGACCCCACGTGTCTGTGAGATGCTGGGAACATGCTCTCCCCGCTTGGGCAAACGTTCTCCAAAATGGACGTTTCCAAACGCATCATCGATTGTTTGTCGACGGCAGGAAGAATGAGAGACTAGAGGGATACAGAGAGAGCGTGTGGAAGGAAAAAAATGGAGCAGAGAAAGAAATTGTCCGGAGCTGTTGATTGGTAGTGATTGTCCTTTGTATGCTAGTAGTAGTAGTGATGCTGCTGCGAGGCCGATGTTTGAAATTAGGCGACAAGGAGAAGAGTCGATGCGAGGACAAAAGACAGCGAAACGGCAGCCATGGAGAGGACGACGGACGCGGGCGCCGCGCTCGACCCAGAGCGGCCCGAGTTGCCCGTGCCGACGGTTTGCGAATACTGTGCGGCTGACGAGCTGCTGGAAGCAGATGCCGATGCCGAGGCAGAGGCAGAGGCAGCCGCCCTCTGCTGCTGCGTGGGCGTACCAGCATACTGCTGGTTGGCGCGAGCGGCCTTGATGATGTCTGCGCCAATCTCTGCCAAGCCATACGTGGCCGTCATGAGATGGGCGCTGACGGCCGTGGGGGGCACGCTGGCGTCGATGACGCGGAGGTTGGTGGTGCCATAGACAAGCAGGTTCTTGTCAACGACACCGCCATCGGCTCGGGGCAGCATCGAGCAGGAAGACGACGGGTGGTACTCTGTCCCGGCGTTGTTCTTGATGAATTGGTCCCAGTCGTCGTCGGTCGACACGCTGTTGCCAGGGACCTGCTCTCCGCTGAGGACGTCGTTCATGGAGTTGCCCACCGTGCGCGCCAGCTTGAAGCCCTCGCGAAGGAGTTGCAGGTCAATGTCCTGGGTCAGGTACCCCGGGTCGATCTTGGGACCTGTAAAGGGGTCGGTGCTGGTGATGAGGATGCTGCCTCGCGAGAGCGGGTGCTGAAGGGCGACCTGGACCTGGACCGTGTTGCCAATGGCGGCCAGGAGGAGCTCAATCGGGCCGACGGGCGAGTTGAAGACATCATTGACCTGCGCAGTGTAGGTGAGGTTGTAGGCCTTTTTGACGTCGTCGGACACCTTGGCGCTTGCAATGACATTGGTCAGGTTGCCGCGCAGATCGCCGATGAGCTGCTGCGCATAGTCGCCAAAGAGGGTAGTGAAGTTGACATAGGCAATGGCCGAGTTGACAAACGAGTCCGTCTCCGCATTGCCCGTGACGGACCCAGGAGGCTGCTTGGCCGAGCCTTGGAAGCCAAAGACGACGGCGCTACTCAGGTGATCCTGCACGTTGTGGCCCACGCCCGGCAGATTGACGACAGGCTTAATATTGAGGCTGTTGAGCTGGTTCGCATCACCGATGCCGCTGAGCTGGAGCAGCGCAGGCGTGTTGATGGAGCCGCCAGAGACAATGACCTCACGAGCGGCATTGACAGTGTACACCTGGGCACCCGAGCCCGAGGCGTACTGGACGCCTGTGGCCTTGACATTGTTGGGGTCCGAGGCATCGGTGAGAATCTTGGTGGCCTGGTTGCCCGTGAGGACGTGAATGTTGCCGCGCTGGTCGGTGCCGTCCAAGTAGCCGTTGCGGGCGTTTGAGCGGACCCACGACTTTTGGTTGATGGCCGACGTGGCCAGGAAGGCGCCCCAGGACTGGCCCCCATCGGGGTCCTTCGAGATCGGTGTCCCCTGGTTCTGCACCGACTGGAGGAACGACTCGACAAAGTCGTACTCGACGGCGGGGAAGCCGGTCCAGATGGGACCATTGGTGCCGTGGCTCGACTGGTTCCAGCTGAGGCTGGACACGGCGCCGGTCACGTCGGAGCCGGGCGCCTGGAAGTTTTCCGACTTCTTCATCGCCTTGAACATGTTGTCCCACGCCCAGATCTCGGGTGCGCCGATGAGGTTGCCCCAGGCGTCGTGCTCGATCTGCGAGGCGCGGACCATGTACAGGCCATTGATCGAGGAGCTGCCGCCGAGGACCTTGCCTCTGGGCCATGGCACGCTGCGCCCGTTGAGGCCCGGCTGGTTGGCCGTGACCCACTGCCAGTCGTACTGTGTGCCGACGGCCGTGTTGTAGAGATTGGCCGAGGGCGTGAGGAACTTTTGCTGGTCGGCGCCATAGATGTCTGCGCCCGCTTCGATGACGGCGACGGTCACGTCGGAGTCCTCGGACAGCCGCGAGGCGACAGTCAGGCCAGCGAGCCCGCCACCGATGACAATGTAGTCGTACGTCTTGCCATTGAACGTCGAGCCATCGCCCGAGACGTCTCTCCGGTCGATGTGCTGGAAGGTATCCCGCTCGCCGAACCGCAGCGACCTTCCTGCGGCCGACGTCGCCAAGGCCGCGGCGGCCACGAGGCTGACGAGCGCCGTTTTGGCCATCTTGCTCCCTCTCGCCATCTCTCGGCTATGGGTGCTGAGGGCAGTGGTAGTATTGGTGGTGATAGAGTAAGAAAGAAAGGAAGAGGGGGCCGACTCGGAGTGAGGCGGAAGAGGTCCGAGGCCAAAAAAAAAGAGCTTCGGTCAGACCGATCTCCCCTTCCGATGCACATCACACCACACTCTACCACACATCCTTGCTTCGAATTTTTCTTCTACGGCCTCTCCTGTTCCTCCCCTCCGAAGCCAGTTTCTTGAAAAACTGCAGGTTTGGTAAACTGCTCCTGCCGCCCAGGCCCGCTTGGCCCCCTCGCCTCCCTCCATCGAGACCGCGCGCGCGCCCTGCGCCAAGGGTACAAATTTTTCTGCAGCCGTGTTGGACCCCTGCCCTGCGCTAGCATGTGCCGTGCAATATCAGCAGGGAGATTTTTTTGGGTTGTTTTTTTTTAAGATTTTTTATCATGTCATCGGACCTGCAACGTCACCTCACCACATGCTATCAATTTCTAGGTCTAGCTTGTATGTATTAGCTCGCTATGGTACCAGGGAAAAAAAGAGTACTACAGCAGCATGCACGACGCCAATCAACTCCTCATGCCGCTGCTTGTTGATGTCTTTGCTTCGCGTCGATCTATATTTGTACTGTTGTACAGAGACGGCCGTGCGATCGGAGACGATGCTCAGATAGAATAATCCTCTGCCTATTTTACGTCGATTCGACGCGCATATTGACTTCTCCTTCTTTTTTTTTTCGCTTGTCTCGCCCGTGTGGCTGGCTGTTGCGGTTATATCAAGGGTAGGGTAGGGTTAAAAATAAGAGCTGGGAAAAAATAAACCCAGAGAGCGCGGCAGAACCGAGGCAGCGGAGATTGGGCGACGCGTGGCCGGACTCAATAAAAACGGAGAATTACGGTCCTTGCATCTGCGCTCGCCAAGCACAAAGGGCGGGGCATAGCCAAGCCAAAGGCAGGCCAACACGACTCCCGAGCGCTTCTTCTCCGTCGTCGTTCGTCGTCGTCGCTTGTCGTCGCAGATCCTTGGCTGTGAGCCTACCCGACTCTCGGCGCGCCACACGATGCGCCTTGGCCTTGGCCTCCATGCGGCTTCTTCCGATGCCAGTGACAGATCAGAAACGAAGAAAAATAACACACTAAATTGGGCGGAATAGATTGATCCATCACCCATGAATGACATCATCTCCCCGCACTGGAGGAACCTTCTTTGAATCGACGATACACGGACCATGATATGGCGTGGGGTAGCTGCCACCATGTACAAAACAAGCTCGGGCTGCTGCTACGGAATGCTCAATAGCTGTACTTGAAGCCTGGGTGACGGTGCCCCAGGAGCTGCTGGTCTGCGACCTGGAGCCCCTGGATGCGGCCGTCGAGTTCGCCCTTGGTCTTGCGGTGGTTCTGGTGGCGTAGGTAGGTGAGGAGGAGAAGCGTTGAAGCTATGATGCCGATCATCGTCGAGAGATTGATCGCATGGCCAATGCGATAGTTGGGCGCGTCTGCTCTGGCAGTCAGTGTCACTTTGTGAGAGAGAGGGGAAAAGAAAGGGTGAGGGGATATAGGCTCACCTTTGGGGATGTAGGTCCAAGCGGAGATGAGGCAGCCGCTGTTTGCGTTCAGCAGGCAGAGGTGAGCAGATGGTAGACGATGGACACAGAGAAGCAGACAAGCAAAACGCACACATTGCCAATGACGCCGACGGCGCTGATGCTGCCGGCTCGAGCAGTGTCCGAGGGGCAGTTTGCGCTTGTCCATCCCAGGCAGAGAGCGCCCAGGACAAAGGAGCCGAAGCCGACGAGAAAGGCGGCGCCGTAGCGCAGATGCGCCTGGTGGTGGTCCGTTGCAACCCAGATGGCAAAGCCGGTAGCTGAAGTGAAGGCAGCGACGAGGACAAAGACGCCGCGTTGGCCCGTCTTTCGGGCCAGGTAGCACAGCATGAGGGTGCTGATGGCGGCGAGAAAGACCGGGGGCGCCGAGAGCAGCTGGAGGACGACGACGCTGCGGTGTGGGAACATGGTGCGGACAATCGAGGGCAGAAAGACGGCCATGCCCTGAACGGTGACCTGGGTAAAGAGGAGGATGAGGCCGTTGAAGAGGACGGGGACATTGAAGATGGCGCCCAGCAGCGTCGTGAGCCGCATCGATTCGACGACTTCGGTGCTGACAACATTTTCAGCCTTGATCCTCGCCTCGGCCAGCGCTTTTTCTTCTTTCGTCAGCCACGGGGCACTCTGGATGCTGTCGGTGACGAGAAAGTAGGCGGCGATGCCGACGCCCACCGTGACGAGGCCCTCGACGAGAAAGATCATGCGCCAGCCCTTGAGGGTGCCGATGCTGTCCATTGTCAAGATTGCCGAGGCCAAGAGCGAGCCCAGGGCCGACGAGAGGGCCGCGCCGGCGAGATAGATGGACAGGCGCGCCATGAGCTCGTCGCTGTTTCAAACAAAGGGTCTACATCAGGTGCCAATGCGCGGGCTCAAAAGTCACTGACGCGCGCGCACTCACCGGCGGTAGAAGCGGGACTGCAAAGCAAGAAAACATAAGCGGCGGTCAGCTGGCACGACTGAGCGTAAAGTTGACCAAAGAAGAAGAAACAAAACGCACGAGATAGTAGGCCGTGCAGGGAAACTGCGCCGCCTCAGCCACACCCAGAAGGGCACGCACGAGGATGGCGGCCGAAAAGGACTGGACAAAGGCAAAAGAGACAGTGAGGAGACCAAAGGCCACTGCGCAGCAGGGCAGATATTTGCCAGGGCCGACACGCTTGCAGAGGAGCGACGACGGCATCTCAAAGAGGAGATAGGTCACGTAGAATGCGGTCGCGAGAACTGCGGCGAGGAGAGAAGAGATCAGGCTCTACTTGGGCATTGTCAATGATGGCCGAACCATCCACTCACTATTGAAATCGTAGCCCTTGAGGCCGAGGGACTGCTCGAGATGTGCCAGACGGGCATTGCCGAGGGAGGCACGATCGATGAAGCACCAAAAGTAGACGAGCGAGATGGGCGGCACCACGTACCAGTCGATCTTGCGACGAAGGCGGGCCTCCTGGGCCGCGTCGAGCTGCACGAGCGCATGGCCGCGCTCATCGGTGGCGACGTGGCCCTTTTCGGCCGCCCGCACAATCTCGATGGGGAGGCCCATCGCGTCTCCTTGCTCCTTGAAATCGTCGCTAAGTGTGTGAGAAGACATCGTGGCAGTAGCAGTTGCAGAGTGTCACAACAGGCTGAGATAGAGAAGATGAGAGGCCAAAGTGCCCACTTCAGAGTAGGCCTTTTTATGTATCAAGAAAAAGGGCAGCGCCTCCCGCCTGTCGCGGCAAGAGGATAAAAAGTGGCCCCTCCTCCGCCCAGCGTGTGTAGGGTTTCCCACTCAGGCTGTAAAATGCCGGAGCCATGGAGCGGGGATTTGGCCGGACAAACCACCCAGCCAGCCAGGAAGGTCCAGCTAGGGTGATGACAACAACGTTCAAAAAGGGGCGACGGACCGCGCTTAATTCAACGCCCGCGCGCATGCCTCAAGATGCGCCGCCCGATAACATCGGCCCAGCCAGGGCCTCGGCTTTGGTGACGCAAATTGTACAGCTGCTAGCTAGAGCTGTTGTTGGCTACAATAGTGTAGCAGATCATACAGTGCCCTATATCACATCCGTCAAGCCGAGCTCCTGTCTCAGCCTTATTTTCTGACTTGGCTTGGCTACTGACCTTGGATGATCGCTGCCGAAATGTGAGACCAAACTGTCGCTTCCGACAAGCCCCTCTACAGCATACGATCACGACCTGGTGCGGATAACGAGGATGGCCTCGGGGCTCTGGACGCGGCGGAGAATGAGTCGCAGCGGCGGTGGCCTCCTGCCAACGAGCGTGCCGACGATTGACGTGGACTTTTGCGCCTCGACGAGCCCAGGCACTAGCCCTGGCTCTCCTGCTGGCGCGATGACGGGCACAGTCTATTCGAGCGCAGCAATGGCGGAAACAGCGATGCCCTTGTCCACTTTTACGCAGACGGAGCTTGCGTCTGTCCTGCTCGGGGAAGGTGGCCGCCGTTGTCGTGGACGTCGCGAGCCACCGATTGGGCTGTCGCTGTCCATGCCTGCAACACCCGCGAGCGAGATGCCGCACCTGGCGCTGGACGATGCCGAGAGTGGACAGATGGCCAGCTACCTCCTCCGTTCGTTGCTGCCGGAAGCAGCGACTATACAGATCCAGAACGACCTCGGCGTCGAAATTGACATTGCGACGCTCGCGACCGAGGTCGCTCTCTATGCGGTCCACTCGGAGCCCAGCTCCGAGGAGAACGAGGAGGCGGCGAACAAAACAGCCATGACCAAGCATCGTCTCCTGCCTTTTCATGGCCGCGTTGGCGACAGTGACCACGAGGGCCTTGGCGGGCTGTCGATGCTGGACCCGGCCAAGCCGGTGCGCAAGGGACGGGCGCGGATGAGCCAGGAGAAGCGTAAGCGACTTGCACGCCGAAAGGAGCGCGAGGCCCTCTTGGCTGCGCTGCTGCAACAAAAGCCATCGTCTGCGCCGCCACATACGACGTCTTTCCATCCGGCTCTCCATCCAGATTCTGCACCTGCGTCAGCCCAGGTTGCTTTTTCGGCGCATTCAGCCGGCCCAGACACGGGCTTCATCTCTCAGGCGCCGCTTGCGCCATTGCGGCTGACTTCCAAGCCCACTTCCAGTCTCTTTCAGCAACACCACCAGTCAGAGGGCGAGCACAAGCTGCATAGATCTCCCTCGCTCTCGCCCAGCATCGTGTCGAGTGCTAGCAGCTCGCTGTCGCTATCTGCCTCGGCATCGCAGGCGAGCTTGGAGACCCAGAGCGAAGCGACGGCGTCCAGCATGCACGAGTCACCGCAGCGGACAAACGACGCTGCCTGCTCGACCACTGCCACGACCAGCAGCAGCAGGAAGACACTGGCCTGGTGGACTGCTTCGAGCACCGAGCGGGGCACTGTGGCTCCCTTTATTCCCCGGCCCATCGTCGTCCGTCCCCCCTTGCCCTGTCCTACCTCGTCGATGTCCACGCCAGAACCGAGCGTAGGTATGGGTATGGGACGGCCTTACAGTGTCCACCACTTTCAGCAGCAGCAACAGCAGCAGCATCAACACCACTACCCTCAACACCACCACCAGCACGGCATGCCACGTCGCTCCGTGTCGCTGCTGCCCGCTGCGCCCGCATCGATGCACAGGCCAGCCTCCATCTATGCGTCCCACGCCCGCCAGATGGCTGCTCCGTCTTCTTCCTCCATTGGCTTGCGTAATCCGACGGGCGCATCCATCCCTGCCCGGCCCTGGAACACAGCCCCTGCGAGCTGGACACCCCAATGCGCTTCCCTTGGCTCCTTTGCCGATTGGTGGACCGGCCGTGGCGATGCGTCGCCCCAGCACGGCGCCTCAGGGCTGCACACCGTACTCTTACGGCACAAGCATCGCCCACGACGACTACTCAAGGGACGATTCAGGCGAACCACCAACTAGTCACGCTCAAGGACCCATCCACGGCAGCATTCACAGTGGAGCGGCCAGTCGAAATCTGCCAGGCTAAGCTCTCTTCCTGTGATGCCGATCCCTCAACTTCTCTATTCCCATCTCCCCCTCGCCATAACAAGCTCAGCACTCCGACCGAGGATCGGTCGGCAGTCGGTCCGTCGGTCCGTCGGCGTTGCGCTATGCTGCAGTGCGGTTGAGTGGGCAGCAGCAGGTTCAAAATTAGCAGCAATCTCCGTCATTATCAGCAGCGACACAGCGACACATCCACAGCGGACACCTAGACTACCGAATGGCATGCATTCATTCCTTACTCCACCCCTCTTTCTGTCCATTCCGTGTGAATGGGAGCATGACTGTGTGTGTTTCACACTCTGCGTGTGAGAGTGCGAGAGAGTGCGAGAAAGTGCGAGAAAGTGCGAGCGAGAGGGCGAGTGGGTGAGTGACTGACTGGCGGCGCTCGATGCCCCGGGCCGCTGGCCCACGCCCCTCCTGCCAGGTGCGCGGGCGACGAGTTCGAAGGTGTTTTCCCTCGACGTGATTCACTTCACAGAAGAAGAGATGGGAGTGGATGAGTGACGCCCTGCCGCTGCTGCTCATCGCCTTGCTTTGCTTCGCGTCGCTTCTTCGCGGTCTGCGCGCGGGGCGATTGAGGTGGAAACAGACAAGAGAACAACACAACAACAACAATAATAATAACACGAGCGACGGGCGGCGACACGGCAGCAAAAGCAGCGGCAGCGGCAGCAGCGGACATTCAGCGACGACGAATGGGAAAAAGCACAGGGAGAAACTCAGACAAAGGGGACTCGGCCTCTCTTCTTCTTCTTCTTCCCTCTTCGTTGTTCTCTTGTCTCTGTCTCTTTGTCTTTGTCTTTGTCTCTCTCTCTTTCTCCCTCTCTTTTTGTCTTTGACTGCCTGTCTCTTTCTTTCCCTCTATAAAGCGAGGGGAGAGGGAGGGTGATGGCTGATCTGCGCCTGCTGTTGTCCCCTCCACAGCCTGCGCCGCCGCCGCCGCCAAACGATCGAGTGGTGCGCTTTGCCCGCAGCACAGAGGCCCGACGTGCAGCCTCGGACGAGGCGCAGCATTCTCGCCAACAGCCACGGCGGCGCGCCTCGCTGTTTGCGCCGTCCGTCGTCACTCGCCCTCCTCCTTCTGCTGCTGGAACTGCTCCAGCTGCACCCCCTCCCCATCACCGTCGTCGCGTTCTGTCGACGAGCAGCAGCAGCTCGCGCGCCGCCGTGGCGAGTCCCCAGCAGTGGCATCTCTCGGCACCGACGAGCGACTTGCAGGGCGCAGCACAGCAGCAGAGGCAGGATCATCAAACGCAAGAACAGCAGCAGGAGCGACTGCGCCATCCACAGAGCATCCTCAAGGGGACAAACAAGGTTCAGCAATCCTCCGCGACGGCGACGCCGCTGATCGACGGTGCAGCCCAGCCGCGCTTGCGTCCCAGAAAGAGCGACGTCCGACGCGAGGAGGAGGAGCAGAAGCAGGAGCAGGAGCATTATTCACAGCAGTCAAAGCAGCCACCTCAGTCACAACAACAGCAGCAGCAGCAGCAGCGTCGATTGGCGCCCAGAAGAATGACGCCCGCCGATGCGCTCCGGCGGCTGTTCAAAGAGCCCGGTCCTCCGAGGCGACCACGGTACGGCGGCGTCAACACGAGCACTGCGGCGATGGCGCAGACGACGGCGGCGGCGGCGTGCGACGGCCAGTGGTACCCACGCCCACCCGCGCACTGGTACCAGGACGACTTTGAGCAGATTGGCCACGGCGAGGCGCAGCAGCTGCCACTGCCACTGCCGCTGCCTTTGCCTATGCCACTGCCTCCGCCGTGGATGGCGCCACCATCATCGTCGTCAACTGTCGAGGTCCAGCAGCAGCACGAGACGGCATCGTCGATGCAGACGGGCCCCGCAAGACGGCCCTCGAGGTTTTGGGCGCGACCACGGACGGCTCCGGACCAGCAGCAGCATCAGCACCAGCAGCAACGGGCAGCCTCGATGCCGAGTGGCGACTCAGCAGCAGCAGCAGCGGCAGCAACAACAAAAACAACCGCCGCAGCAGACACGAGCTTTGTCGCAGGTGGGAGCGTGTTCCAGCGCGCACTCGATGCCGTCAAGCCACGGCGGAGCCCCAGTGGGCGACGGGCGACGACGGCCTCACCCACACCCCCGCCACCGCCACCGCCACCGTCAAGACTGCATCACCGCCAGCACCAGGACGAGCAGGCGCAGCAGCATGCTCTGGACCTGGCTGCGCAGAGGATGGCCATCGACAGAAGTATGTCAGGGAACACTCGACCTGCGCCAAGATCAGAGCAGCAGCAGGCAAGCCCCATCCAGGACTTGACATCGTCGTCGACCGAGGACGCATACGGCACACACAGCAGCCTGCCTTCGTCGGCGCCGTACAATGTGCCGATGCCCGAGACGAGCGCGCAGGGCTCACCACTCAAGCTCGACGACGGACGATCGATGGCGCGCCTGCCCATTCCCCTCTTTCCGCCGCCCGTCGTCACGGCGTGGCCCGAGGAGGAGGAGCGACCGGCGCCGGTTCCTCGCGTGAGTTGGATTGAGTCACCTTTCACCGTGAAAATTCACCCTGCTTACATGCTATGCTACTCAGCAGCAGCAGCAGCAGCAGGCCACGACAGATGTTCCCTGGTTCGAAGAAGAAGAGCGAGGGCCGTGGGACCCACTGGCAGTAACACCGGCGTCGGCGTCAACAGCATGGGAGGACGGCCGCCAAGCGCGGCCAAAGCTGATGGATCTCTTTGGCACGCGGCCCATGAGCAGCATCCAGGAGCACGAGAGCCAGAGCCAGGGCCGCGAGAGCGACGAGCCACTGGCCAGTGCCTCGCTCGATCTCTCGCCCACTTCGACTCCGCTGGCCCAGCAGCAACAGCACCAACTGCAGCAGAAGCCACTGCCGCCGAGGCCTGACCAGCAACCGTCAATGTCACCGTCTCCAGAGATGCGCAGGCGGCCGTCGTCGCTGAGGAGGCAGGGCAACTTTGTCCTTCGCAAGCAGCAGCACGAGACAGCGAGCAGCAACACGGGCATCGATGCAGAGAAGCTCAGCGAGGCGCTTGCGCTCCTTACGCGCCGTGTCGGCAAGCAGGCGAGGCAGGCAGGCGCGAGCAGCGAGCGCAGGGCCAGCTCGTATGAGCACGAGCCCGCGAGTGCAAAGACAGCGACGAGGAGAGGAGGTGGGGGAGAAGGAAGAAGAGGAGGAGGAGGAGGGAGAGAAAGAGAAAAGAGACGGGCGAGAGAAGAAGACGGGGAAGGAGACGGACGATATCAGGGCGCAGCTGAGCCCATGCACCGTACCGTGAGTGTTCTTTTCTTTCGTGCACTGCGTTGAGTCGTTGACATTCGCGCCAAGGCAGACGAGAACAGGGCTGCAAGATGCGACGCAAGCGAATCGACTCGTGCCAGGAGTGCAAGAAGAAGGAGAGGAGAAAGAGGAGCAGGGAGGGGAAGGGGACGAGGTCGAAGGCCAGGACGACTCGTGCGGTTTTATTGACGACGAGACGGTCCACCGCATCGACGACTGGCGCTCCGCCGTGTGGAACCTGCCGAGCAAGGTGCCCTATGCGCCGAGTGCAACGACCACAGCGCCCTCGAGCTGCCTTGGCTTTGGGTCCCCGATGGCGCGCATGCAGAGCAGCTGGCAGCACGCTGCCAACATGAGCTTTGCCGAGACACCCACGAGCAGAGCGGCCAAGCGGTCTACGATGGGCTCCTCGGTGCTGACCAGCATCAGCCGCCGCCCTATCAAGGCCGCCGAGGCGGTGGTCGCAGCGACGGAGCTGGCGCACCACGTCGAGAGCGCACTCGCGTCATCGGCCCTGCTCGACATTGCGCCCAGTCCAGAAAAGCAGAAGTCAAAGCAGTCGCAGCCAAAGCAGCACACACATCACCATCACAGGCGAAGCCGGCCCTATCACCTGGCACCGAGACCCCAGGAGGCGCTGACGAGGGTCAGCGAGAAGCCGTCGCTGCTTTCGCAGGACTCGCCGAGCCACCAACGACCGAGCATACCCTTTGACCTCTTTGCTGCGGCTGCTGCTGCTGCCGAGGGTGCGTCTGCGCCTGCACCTGCACCTCCCTCGCTGTCGGACTCGCCGTTCAAGGATGCCTCTGGCGCTCGGCAGGTCTGGACAGTGGACACGGCCAACGAGGAGAAGTGGGGGGACTTTGCGCCGAGGCAGCAGGGCGTGCCCCACCTGCTTCCACCGACCGACACGGCTGCAGCTAGGAATCACGTTCAGGAGTGCTTAGGAGACGAGGGTCATCGACAAGAAAGCATCGACAGTGGACAGGGACTGAGAAAGGGGAAAGGAAAAGAAAAGGAACGGACATCGGCCGACATGCAGAGCAGCCCGTCCAGCCATGCGCAGGCAGAAGCTTCACCATCGATGAGCCCCAACCCCAGCCCTAGTCCACGGCCAGCGGCAGCAGCCGTAGCGCCAGGCACCGCGCCTCGATGGATGACGGCGGGGACGAGGCACCTGCACACGATGAGCGATGCCCAGGCCCACATCCTCTTTGGCGATCTTTTCTTTGGAACTGCACCGCCGTTTTTGCGAGAGGTTGTCGCTGCTTCGCCGCCGCTCATTCACCAGCTTGGAGCAAGCGAGAGCGGCAGCGGCGGCCGTGATGAACAAGAAGGGGGAGATGAGCAGGAGGGCGATGACACGGCGCCTTCGCCTCCGCTTTCGCCTAGCTCTCAAGCCCAGGTGCAGTTGTCGTCGACCCCTTCCAATGCGTTTCGACGAGAGGGGTCACCGCTGCACCTCTCTTCGGCGAGCGAAGGAGCAAGGAGAAAGAGCATCGACTGGAGCCAGCTCATCGAGCTTGCTGCTCTCGTCGATGTGGTCAAGCCCGCCGCCAGGAGCAATTCGGACTGGGCACCAGAGCCCCCAGCGCAGGGTAACGCTAGCGGTGGCCATTCACTGCGTCCTCCGATCATCACGGTCGGTCTGGGGCCACTGAACGATATGTGGCCTGAGTCGGCGGAAGCGACGAGAAGCCTGCCAGATGAGTTGGCCTCCTCGCCTCGAACGCCGACGATCAGTGCCACTCCTCCTTCTCCTCGGCCACCAACTGCCCTGTCGGGCCGTCCGGGATCGCACGAGACGAGCCAAGAAGAGGGCAGCCCGCTGCGCACGATTGAGCGCGCACTTGCGCAGCTGTCGGAGCAGGTCATGGCCCAGGGCGACCAGACACATGCACTCGAGACGCGCGTCCGACTGGTGAGTTGTCGCCTCCTGCCGCTGGGGCAGCACCGACTAAGAGAGACCGCGAGCGAGACAGATGAAGAAGAAGCGCTCATCTAGCTAAGTTTTCTCACCCCCCTTCTTCGTCGCTGCAGCTCGAGGAGACGGTCTTTGTTGCAGAGAGGTAGCTTCCACACACTCCTTTCTTTCACACTGTTATGCACCATCGCACAGCACATCACATCACCGCTCGCTTTGTACTCTCACCACACAACTAGTCTCATGAGATCTTGAGTCCAATGTCAAAGCGACGACCCCATCGCTAGACCCTGCGCGTGTCTTGTGAGCCTAAAATTGCCCTCTGGCCCCGTTCGGAGCGCTCGGACCGGGGCTTCCTTCCTTCGTCTACAATTCCAACTTTTGGCCCACTCACTCAGCATCGACGGCCGGGCTCCTCTCTCCAGCTTTCGGAGTCGTCGCAGACGCGGAGTGCCAGTCAAAGGGTAGTCTCCACTTCGCTCACGCCGCAGTGTCACGTCGCCCACGGGTCCTCGGACGAGCCTCCGTCCGTCCGTCCGTCCTCATCAAGAAAGCTAAGCACCTCCCCTCTCTCTCTCTCTCTCCTTCATCTCGGCGGTGTGCACTTTCTCTCTTGCTTTGCCGAGCTCGACAGAGTAGACGAGCGCTGCGAAGAACACCGTCCCTCCCCCACTTTACGTCCTTTTTTTCACCGTTTACGGCGAAAGAGGGAGGCCGAAGAAGGACCAAAGTGGGGTGTTTTGAGTTGCTCGGTCGCCTCTTATCCTGCGCTCTGAGCTGAGCTGTGCTGAGCTGAGCTGTGCCGTGCCGTGCATTTGCATTTGCTGTGCGCGGCGCCGAGTCGCAGTCGCGCGACAGACACGCAGGCGGCTTGCTCGGGGCGGGCGTCCGTGCAGGCGGCAGTGGCAGCACTAGCAGCACTACCAGCGGGCGGCGGCGGCGGCGGCGGCGAAGAGCCTACTACGTTTGTGCGTGGGTCCCCCCTTTGTTCTTGTTTGCCCGTCGAGGCAATATAAACAGGCGAGAAAGGAGAAAGGAAGGAGACCTCTCCCTGCGCGATCCGAGAAGCGGTCGATACAGGGGAAAGAGAGGGAGAGAGGCAAGGATGAATGGGCATGCGGGCGCAGGCCGGCGCGCGAGCAGGGTGTCGCCCGTGTCGACGAAGCTGTACGAGGGCGATGGCGCCGACGGGGATGCGTTTGGCCGCTATGGCCATGGCCATGGCCATGGCCAGGCCTTTGCGGCAGGCCATGCGGGCGCCGGGACGAGCACGAGCGGCAGCAGCACAAGCAGCACCCGTGCAGGCCACAATACCGATGAGCATCGCGGGCACGGGCACAGGGCAGGAGCAGGGGCAGCGGCGGGGATAGGAATGGGAGCGGGTGGTACGAGCGGCAGCCGGAGCAGCAGCAGCAGCAACCACGGCAACGGCAATGGACACGCCATGATGGCCGAGGCGAATGCGACAGGGCAGGAGCAGTCGGGGCCGCCGCTGCGAAAGGGGCTCAAGGTCAGCTCGAGGGTGCATCGCGCATGCAACGCCTGTCGCCGGCAAAAGGTGGGTTGTGCCCAACGATATATGCCCGTATATTAGGCTAATGAGAGGGAGTGAACAAACCAGATGCGATGCGAGGGCCCGATGGACGGGCCGTGCAACCGGTGCCGTGCCTCACAGGCCGAGTGCGTCTTTGAGAAGCCGGCGAAGGAGGCCCAGAATGGCGGACAGACGGGCACCGAGGCCTACCGCGCCCTCGTCGATGACGTGGCGAGCATCAAGGAGGACATGGGCAGCCTCAAGGCGATGGTCGAGCTTCTGTGCCGCCAGCAGCAGCAGCAGCAGTCATCCTCGACGGCAGCGGCAGCGGCAACGCACGGACGGGCGACAAGCAGCATGCAGAACGGCTGGTCGCACCACGAGCGGACGCTACCTGCTCCCATGATGCAGATGCAGCAGCAGCAGCAGCAAGAACAGACGCAAATGCAGCAGCAGCAAGGACAGTCGCAGATGCAGCAGCAGCACGAGCCGCCGCAGAGGGACGCTCATCAGAGTCGCTACCCCGGACCAAACATGAAGCATCCACCGGCGTGGCCTGGCGACGGTCGCAACGTGCCCCTGCAACCGCAGCCCGCTGCTCGCTCGTCGACAGCAGGCTGGTCCCCTGCGAGTGCTGCCGATTCGCACGGCTCACTTGCATCGCCATCTCCTCCTCCTCCTCCCCACCATCGTCGCCGCCGTCCTTCTTCCCCGTCTTCATCGCAGCCTCGCCACACGGCCAAGAGGCGCAAGGGTGAGGCAGACGATGCTGGCGATGCAGGCGAGGCGGGCGAGGGAGACGACGCCGACGACGCCCATCTCTCGACGAGCGACCGCCACGACCGGCCGATGGAGCGGCTCAGAGACCTGGCAGAGGCCGCCGTCGAAGAGGCAGAGCTGGAGCAGCAGCTGCAGAAGCACCAGCAAGAGCAAGAGCAAGAGCAAGAGCAAGAGCAAGAGCAAGAGCAATCGCATTCACATCAGCACGAACACGAACACGAACGCAAACAGCAGCAGCACCAGGAGCAGCAGAAGCGACACCAGCACGAGCGCCAGCAGCAGCATTCACCGCCAGCCGATGAGCGCATGTCTCTGTCTGGGGTGGACGAGCTTCGAGAGGAGGACGAGGGTCAGGAAGAACGGCCGAGCACAAGCAGCAGCAGCAGCAGCAGCAGTGGCGGCGAAGAAAGGCGGGAGGAACAGGAGGAAGAGCAGGCCGAGACGCAGGTGTGCGACTCGTTCGTCGAGATCAAGCGCGACGAGATGAGCATGGGGCCGCCAGTGACGAGGCCGAGGAGCATCTCGACCATCAGTGCCCCTCCCCTCCTCGCCCCGCCGCCTCACCTCGCCGCTTCGTCGACGCCGTTGCAGCAGCAGCAGCAGCAGCAGCAGCTTCAGCATCAGTCGGTCCGAAGCAGCTCTTCGCGGCCAACCAGGCGTCGCTGGAGCACGGCAGAGAGCCAGCACCCACGGCAGCAGCAGCAGCAGCAGCATTTACAACAGCACCAGCAGCAGCAGTCGCTGCCGGAGCTGCAGACCGACGTCGTGAGCCAGGGCCTGGTCCCGGAGCACGAGGCCAAGCGTCTCTGGGACCTCTTCTACCAGGGCTGCCCCCAGTTTGTCGGCATCTTCAAGCTCGACGACGACCAGCACGACGTCGTCGGCGATCCACGAGCCGACACGTTTGACGCCATCCGGACCCGCTCCCCCTTTCTCTTTGCCACGATTCTCTCCGTCGGCGGCCGCGTCGACTGCGGTGGCGGACAGGCCAAGGGTGCCTTTCTGACCTGCAGGGAGCGCGCCAAGCTGCATGTGGAAAAGATTCTGAACCGGCAGCGTGGGCAGCTCATCAAGGAGGACGTCATGGCCCTCCTCCTCGTCTCGAGCTACTCGGACTCGGACACGGCCTGGCGACACTGCCGCACCGCCGTCACGGTGGCCCATGAGCTGGAGCTGGACAAGGCTTTTGCGCGGCTGAAACTCGCCGTCAAGCGCACCCAATTCCCCGCCGAGGCCAACGCTGGTGCCACTGCCACTGCCAGCGCCAATGGCAATGCTGCAGCCAACGTCCATGCGACCGCCGCCGGCAGCAACTCGGCCTCGCCCGAAGCGATGCGCTCTGATGAGTCGACAACAACGAGCAGCAGCAGCCGGGCACCGGCCAGCAAGAAACGCAGGCGGTATGAGAAGCCATACGGGGCGCAGACACCCCCAGAGGGAAGCCTGGACCAGCAGCGAGAGCTGGCGCGCAGCGCAAGGATCTGGTTCTTCTGCTACCTCTTTGAGCACCAGATCAGCTACTGCTCTGGCCATCCCGCCATGGTCGACGAGACGTGCGTCGCTGGCGGACGCGAGTTCCTCGACCTGCCCGACTACCTGCGCAGCTCCATCGACGCCCGCTTCCTCTCGACCGTCGAGCTGATGGTGCTCCGCGAGCGCCACCTCAACCTCCTCGAGCCAAAGGAGTCGGCCATCGACGACCGCATGCTCGCCGACTTTGCCCAGATGGAGTCCACGCTCAGCAACTGGCTCCTCTACTGGTCCCGTCACTTTCAGGCAAAGGGCTACCAGGCCGAGAGCTTCTTCCAGGGCTCCCTTTACCTCCAGGCCGCCTCGGTCAAGCTCTACCTCTGCAACTCGTCTGTCCGTCACGTCCGGCCAGGCACCTCGCTCTTCGAGCACGTCGATCCTCGCCAGCGCGACCTCGTCTGCAAGTCCATCCAGGCTGCTTCTGATGTCCTCGAGACGGCCGTGTGCCACGAGAGCTACAAGAAGCTGCTCCGGTGGGCGCCCCACTACACCGTCGTCACGGCCGTCTTTGCGCTGAGCCACCTGCTGGACTGTGTCGAGCTCTTTACCGAGCCCAAGCTCCTCGACCTCGCCAAGCTCTTTTCCCACGCCGAGCAGCTCGGCGCACGGCTGAGAGAGCTTCCCTTTTTCAAGTACAGCGTCTGGATCGAGCTCCGCAGGAGAAAAGTAGCTCAGATTGTCGCTGAGCGCGCCGCATCAGCTCCCGCTGCAAACACACAACACCAGCCTTCTGCTCCGCCCACGCCTCCCTCTCGCCACCTCCAGGGCCACTTTGGGCGATACGATTCCAGCTCGCTTGTCCAGCAGCAGCACAATCCTGGCGCACCCCTGTCGTCTCTGCTCGATGCCACTCCGCCTCCTCTGACGGCCTCGCAGATCCTCGATGCCCACTCGATTGTATTTGCAGACGACTTTGCCAACACGCCCTCGTCGGCGATGCTCTCCTCGTCGGCCACGACGGCGGGCGCCGCGGGCGACTATGCCTTTGGGCTCATGTCCTCGGCCCTGCACCTCGATGCATACGCCAACGACAATGACTTCTTCGACGGCAGCTTCCGCTTCGAAGTCGGCGCCCACCCCAACCTCTGACGCTGCCCTCTTTTCTAAAATTCACCGAGATCGATTGAACCCTTGTGACTGGACCGCCAAACCAAAATCCTGTATTTAGCAATCACTGTGTAGTATCCCATGGACGGCTCCTCCCCCTATCCCCCAGACTTGTGTCATAATGGTCAAAAGCACGCCCGCGCGGCTCGCATGTGTATTTACTCCTTCTCTTTTCTCAATCACGGACAGCCGTCTGACGTCTGATTGATTGAACCGCTTCGGTGGGCGATGTCACCATTGCACGCAGACACCCACACTCCTGGATTTTCTCTACGACGGGCCAGTCAATGGAGATGTTCTGTACAGTACATAGCAGCAGTTCAATCGACCAATGTGATTGCGAAACAAAGGATATAAAGTGACTACAACGAATGAACGAAAGACGCTCTACTGGAGTCTCAAAAGGCCATTCTGCCGCCCCTGGGCATGCCCTCGATGTGCGACGACGACGATGTCGAGGCGGTGCCCGCGCGCGCCGTCGCGGAAGTGGTCGAGGAAGCCGTGGGCGAGACGGCGGGGTTGGAGCTAGATGAGGTTGACCTTAGCGATGGAAGACCAAAGGTGGCGCCGGTGCCTGCTGCCGAGAGGAAGCTCAGCGCCTTGGGAAACATCGATGACGACGACGACGACGACGACGAGGTGGACGAGGACGGCGCGGCAGCAGAGGCCGGCGGTGCGGCCTGCTGTCTCTGCGACTGGAGCGTGCCGGAAGGAGCGGTGCTGTTGACCTGAAGCGCCAGTGTCGAGGGCGTAATGATTCTCGAAATGGGCGACGGACCTTGCCCCTCCCCGCGCGATGCAGCTCCCGACGCCGCCTTGGCTTTATTCTTGGCCGGCGACGTCGTGTTGGGGTCATCGTCCAAGAAGGAGCTCCGGATGCTCGAGTCGCTCAGACCCCTCGGTCTCAGTGTTCTCTCCGGCACGAAGCCGTCGCGAATGCTGATCTCATCGTCGTCGACGATGCGCGACAGACGGTAGTTGGTCGTGTCATTGCCCGTGTTCGCAGCGCGCGCCGCCGACGAGGGAGGAGGCCCAGGTGCAAATGTCGACTGAGTCGGAATTGACCCAGCAAAGAGACCAGAAAGGTTCCTCGACTGGGTCCTCGATAGACTGTGCGGGTGCGTCCGCTTTCCCTCTGGACGCGGCCCTGCCTGGAGGCCGCCGCTGCCGCCTGAGATGGGGGGCGTGGAGGACGAAGCTTCGGAAACGGCATCGTCAATAGGGGTCCCCATCGGCTCCGAGGCAGCAGAGGCATGCGTTGTGCCCTTGATCTCGACGGCGACGGTCGACGAGACAACAGCAGCGGAGGCACGGGGCGCGGCAAGGTGAGATCCCGACGGGCCTCGACTGGGCGGCCTTCGCAGGTTGCTGGGCCGCGCCGGTGCTGCGTTGGTCGTCGATGAGCTGAGGCTTGCTGTCGATGGAGTAGGTTGTGAGGGGACAGGCGCCGAGGAGGCGACCGTCGCAGAGGACCCGGTAGACGGGTTGGTCGGACCGCTAAAGAGCCTGCCGAGCCAGGCACCCATGACGCCCTTGTCTTCCTGCCCGCCATTCAGGCCGAGCTGCTCGCCAAGGATGCGACTGGCCTGGCTCGGGTTGAGATGCACCTCGTTGACTGCATTTCGCAGCCGGGCCATCTCAAAGAAGAGATCCTTGAACACCTTGACGAGCGCAAAGAACTCCTTTCTCGCAACGAGGCTCTCGGACTCGCGATCGGTGCTGCTGCCCTTACTCGAGGAGCCCAACGACGAAGCATCGGCGTCGCGAGATCGCGATTCGGCATCGATGAGGCGCTTGAAGTGGTCGCGGAGGCCGTCGGCGTCGCGCAGGATGCCGTTGACCGTGGTCCGCGCCAGGTGACCGACATCACCGGCGAGGTGCTGGCGCTGCAGGCGGCGGGCGAGCGTGTCGACATCGGCCTGCGCCAGGCGGGTAAAGAGCCGCTGGACGTGGTCTGTCAAGTTGACGAGCTGCGCCGTTCGCAGCTCCCGCTTTGCAGTCGCTGTGTACGAGGGTGCAGCCAGCAGCGACGGCTTCTCCTCTGTGCTACTCTGCAACGGCCTCGTGCTGGTTGCAGTGGTTGCAGTGGTTGCAGTGGTGGCAGTCGTCGTCGCCGTCGTCGTGCTTCCGTCGACATCGGCATCGGCATCGGCGCCAGAGACGGAGCCAGCCGACGAGCCGACGGACCTGGGCAGATTGGGCCTGTATGCGCTAATCTTGCTCTTGACGGGCGTCGCCTCGATGATTTCCTCGGACAGCGCGGCCACTTGTCCCTCTTCCTCGCCCGTCTCTTCATCGTGCAGCGAGCCATCCCCGAAGCGCTTGGAGGTGGGGCCTACCGAGGAGCTCCTGAGTGTCATGGTCTCGTCGCGCTGCGCCAGCTCCTCGCGCAGACGCGCAATCTCGTCGTTGCAGCCATCGAGGAGCTGCTTCAGCTGCTCGTTGTCTCGCTGCATCGTCTCGTTGTCGGCCACGACGTGATCGAGGAGCGCTACACTGTCCTCGTCTCCCTCTGCGCCGTCACCAACGCCGCCAGTCGAGGCGGCCACCCGCTCCCGCGCAATCCTCGCCATCTCTTCTCGTCTCTTCAGCCGCGCCTCGTCACTCTCGCCCTGTCCTGCCCGGAGCCCATCGAGCTTGGCGAGGCGGAGAGATGCGCTCAGCTCCTCGCTGCGCTTCTCCATCGACTTGGCCCTGCTCTCGGCCCGGTCAGCCCTCCTTTTCTCGGCGACGAGCTCCTGCTCGGCATCCTCGACATCGAGGCGCGCCCGCTCGAGCTTCTCCTGCAGGCCAGCCGACTTAACACCAGTCTGCTTGAGCCTTGCCAGCTCGCGCCGGCAGTCGTCGAGCTCGCGGACGAGGGCCCTGTTGGAGGCATCGGCCGCCTCGAGGTTGAGGTCGGCCTGCTCGAGGCGCTTCTCGAGGCGCGAGGCCTCGCGGATCGACGAGGTGAGCTTCTTCATCAGCGAGTCGATGCGGCTTGAGTGCTCCGACTGCGACTGCGAGAGGGCCGACTGGAGGGCATCGCTCCTCCGCAGCAGCGCCTGGCCGATTTCTGTATCGTTCACACTCGCAGCTGGTCAGCAGAGAGGTACGGTGTGGATCTCGCAAAGAGGCTGCAGCACTCACCGGCAGCTAGTCGCAGGTCGCCCTCCATCTCGGCCCACTCTCTCGTCGCGCGCCTCGCGCGTCGACAGCGCCGGGTGCCTCGCCCACAGCAGCACGTACACCGGACCTTTGCGCCCGCCTCGAGTTGGGCAGCCGATGACGACGCCAACGACGACGAGGGACCGCCGCCGCCTGCTGCTGCGAGCGCAGCTGCCGACGGCGGCCTGCTCGAGCCTGCGCCTGCGCCTGCGCCTGCACCAGCGCCGCCGAGCGAGCCCCGCTGGCCGACACCCCTGGCCAGGAGCGTCAGGGGCGAGGCAGACGGCGAGGCCGACGACTGCGTCTGGTGCTCGTCCTGGTAGCTCCCCACGCTGCTCGCGCCGTCGTCGTAGTACTCGTCGCCGACGTCGAGGCTCCTCCTCGCCCCGCCGCCAGCTTCGGTCCCGTGGCTGGCCAGGCTGCTCGCGCTGCCCTTTCGCCGCAGGCTCAGCGTGTCCACATCGAGGTGCCCACTCCGGATGCTCGGTGCGCCTCCCCCCTGGCCACCGGGACCACGCTGCTTGTGTGGAGTGCCCCGCTCGCTGCGCCACTCGGAAATGATGCGTGCAAAATCGTCGATGGTGTGCGACTCGCGCAGGAGATTGTCGTGCAGCGACGAGATGCCCTCCTCGTCTTCCTCTGCGTACTCTACGTCGTCGTGGTCTTGTCTGTTTTCTTCGTCCACGTCGGGGCCGCCGTGCCGTCCAGCGTGGAGCGCAGCCGCAGAAGACGACGACGACGACGCGTCGTTGTCGACCGGCAGCGCCGCGGGGCCCAGGTCCATCGCTTCCACCTCGTCCCTCGCAGCTTTCCCTGCCGCTCCTGCCGTTCCGCCCGCCGATGAAGCAGAAGATGGCGACATCTATCTATCTGTGCTTTTGCCCCCCAGAGTTCCCCTTCCTCCGACTACAACAAAGACGATGGGCGGAGAAGAAAGGAGGGAGCTGGAATCGTGTTGTATGTGTGTTGGATATCGTTCAGTGTCGGTTAAAAAATGTAAAAAAGTCAAGTCAAGGAATGAAGCGTGCGCATTCTGTTGTTTGGACATTTTGCACTTTTTAGCTCGCTCGCTCCGCCTGGATGTCTGGGCGTCTCTGCCCCGGTCCGGGAAAGGAAAAGGGGGGGAGGGAAGGGGGAAAAGGAGCTTTAAATTTTGTGGAAGAGAAGAGATCAACGGTCGTGTGTGGGTGCAGCGAGATCTGAATCAACACCTTCTTCCTTCCGCTCAAAGGCATCTTAGTCTTACGGGAAGCAGACATACAGTCGAAGCACTCCACGGACTTGACTTCACCACAGCTCACAGCTCAAAATGAATAATGACTTGAATTGAGATGAATTGGATGAATGCTTGGGGGGAAAGAGAATAGAATAGACCTATGCGAGCCCATGCTGCTCGAGGAGCGCCTTGTACACATCTGCCTGCGCCCGCTCCAGCGCCAGGTCCCTCTGCAGCGCTTTATTTTCAATGTTGGCCTCGTTTCGCTGCGCCTTGCTCGTCTTGACCTCCTGGCGCAGCCGCCTGATCTCCTCTGCGCCGTCGCCGTCGCCGTCGCCCGAGACGTGCTGCGCGTCCTCGTACAGCCGATCGAGCTCCTCGTTAAAGGCGCGGTGCAGCTCCGTGTTCTCCATCCGGCCGTCCTTTTCCAACGCAGTGAGCAGCTCGCACCGCCGAGTCAGCCCAGCGAGCTCGGTCCGGGCGCAGTCGCCCGCCTTGACGCGCGCCTTGAGCTTCTCGAGCTCCTCAGCCATCTCGGCCATCTCCCTTTTGGATGATGCGGCAGTGGCTTGCGCCTCGTCGCGCTCCAGCAGCGCATCCAGCTCCAGCCTCAGCTTCTCGAGGCTGCTCGTGGCCTCGTCGCCTTGCTCAGCGACCAGCCGGACGCTCGCATGGATCGTCTCGAGCCGCCTCGCCAGCGAATCGTCGTCGAGATCCAGCAGCTCGTCCCTCAGCGCCGTCAGATTCTCGTCGAGGCGGGCCATGACCTCGACATTAGTGCGCCTGTGCCGCTGGACGACGTCGAGATGCTTCTTGAGCCGGGCAGATGTGGCCTCCTTGCTCGTTGGACCCGTGGTCGATCCCACCTTGGCTTGCCCGCCGTCCTTTCGCACGCTCAGCGGCCGCGTCGGCATGACCTCGGCCCCGTCGACGCCGTTCGCTGCAGCTGTAGGCGTCGCCGGCGCTCTTGGTGCGAACGGGCTCACCGGCCTCGGTCCGCCAGGGCTCCTCACGCCGCTTCTTCGCCTCGTGGGTGACGGCGACGGCGACATATCCTCGTTCGTCATTGCAGCCCGTTTAGCCGAGCCGGTCCGAGGGGTCGCATCGAGCGGCAGGGCGCGCTTGGACGCCGACGCGGCCGAAGGCTCCCGCTGCAGCTCCTCCATCCGCAGGGGCGGCGAATCACTTCTACTCGCAAGGGGAGAATCGTCATTCTCGTCGCCATCAGGATGTACCGGGACGGGCTTGCGGCGGACGACGGAAGATCGTCCCTCGATGGCGCCCGGCGATGGCTCGGCTCGGCAGGGCGTGCTCTGCGTCCGCTGTCTCGGCGTCTGGCTGTTGCCCCTCGGTGTTCTTTCAGTCACTCTCTCCTCTGCGCCGCCACCGTCGCCGCCGTCGATCGACAGCGCTCGCTTCCTGTACGCCTCGATGGCCTTTGACGTGGACGGATCTGATGGGTCGGGCGAGTGGTAGGCTCCATTGATGAGCATGTCTCGGCTGCCCACGCTCGTGTTGGCCGTCGAATACGTCCTTGCGCCCGACGAGGCGGCCCTGCTGGGCGTGCTGCTGCTCGTCGTCGTCGCTGTCGCCGCGCTCGCCTTGCTCGCCGTCGACTTGGTCCTCCGGTGGGGCGACGCAAGCCCAAAGACGTCGCCGCCATTGTGGTTGCTCCGGATGCTGCCGGCGTTTGCTGCCGAGAAGAGGCTTCTCCCAAATTGCTCCAGGCCAGACACAACCCTTCCGCGGTGGCTCGAGGGCGTCGAGGGGCTTCCCCCAGGCCGACGAGCCAGCGGCGGATCAAAGTCGCTCATGGCCCGTCTCGCCTCTCCGCTCAGCTTGCGCAGCTGGCTGCTGATGTCGCTCAGCGGCAGCGTCAGTTCCTCGCCGTCAATATCATCCTCGGCTAGACTCTTGATCGATGTCGTGTACAAAAGAGTCCCAGCATCGCGGTCGATGTCCGTGACGCGCATACAGACCAGTGGTGGCAGATTCTCGGCGCCCAGCGGGACACGATCAGCCTCTCTGCCTGGATCGACTTGGAGCACGGCGAGGTTCTTGCATGGCTCCGCCAGATAGGCGCGCCGCTGGTACACGTTCCAGTAGACGATCCGCCTTGCTCGCTCCTCTGACTCGCCATCGGCCGACGGCGGCAGCACCATGCACCGCACGTGGCTCCTGGCGTCCTTTGTCTTGAGCAGCGCCTGTGCCCGCCAGAGATTCTCGAGGAAGCGGTACTTTTCGAGGCGCGCCTGGCTGGGGTCCGTCTGGTTCGACGAGTCAATCGTGGCGTACTGCCGCACCAGTCGGTTGGCCCACTTGTCCCCCGACACGTTCGATGGTCCCTTTGCCATGGTGAGCTGAAAGTCAGGCCCGCCCAGGTCCAGCGCTTGCACGTTGGCCACATCGATGCAGCCTCGGAAGCCAAGCTCGATCTTGGACGGCCGTCCAGCATCCCTCGACGAAGGGACGGGCCCGCTGCGCTCGGTGAATGTCTTCATCTGGTCGGCGAGCTTGTTGAGGTCGTCGAGGCCCACGGCGCTGCGCCCGCTGCTGCTGCTGCCTGCCCGCTTGGCAATGGCAATGACGTCGTCGAACAAGAAGAGGGTGCAGTGGATCGTCCGATACGTCTGCTGTCCACTCGGCGACAGGAGCGCTGGCGAGGGCGACGAGGCGCCTGCTGCCATGGCCATGGGGCCCAGCACATCGATGGGAAAGTCGTCGACATCGATGCAGTCGATGAACTGGCGGTGGACGCTGATGAGGCTGGGCGGGAACCCTTCGACGTTTCTCTTGAAGCTCCACAGCACCGCCGCTCGCTTCGTCTTGTCGTCGACCTCGCAGCTGGCGATGCGGCCGGCGAGCACGGCCGCCTCCTCCAGTCGCGGCCGGTTGCTGTCCGACTTGGGCAGGTTGCGCACCAGGCCGTCGAGGAGGAGCGTGTACCTGGGGATGCGCTGGACGGGCTCCATGATGAGCTCTCGAATACCAATGTTGCCCATGTCGGGCGTGCTGTACTTGATTCTCTGTGTAGGCGCGGCAGGGCAGGGCAAGGCGCAACAGATTAGTTTCCATCATATCCACTGCAAGAGGAGAGATAGAGCCACCCACATCGACAAAGTCTCGAAAGGCCTTGTTGGAGCGGTTCATCGTCTGCTCGATGTGCTTGGCCTTTTCAAAATTGCCAAAGTACTCGCTGTAGCACGAGAAGCAGGCCATCTGTTGTGCTGCCATGTCAGCTTGTCTTGCTGCGCGAAAGTCGCCGCCCAATCCTCGCGCACACACTCACATTCCGGTAGACTATCTCGCCCAAGTTGCCCGTGGAGATGCGGCCCGAGCCACGGCGCTCGCGCTCCCTGCTCTCGGCGTACGACTCGAGATCGCGCAGAAAGGCCGTGTTGGCGCCGACGATTTCGCCAATGTTTCCAAACAGGCGCTGCGCCTCGTACAGCGGCATGATGGCCGTGTCCTTGTCCTTGGCTAGTTGTCGAAGTGGCACGGCGTATTTCTGAACACATGCGTCAGCAGGGTCATGGGAGCAAACTGAGAGACGCAAGGACGCACCCGGTACAGCGCCTCGACTCGCTTCACGTAGCTCTTTTCGGTGTACAGGAGCTCTTGGAGCATCGCCTCAAACTTTTCCTCCGATGGTCCAGAGCCCAGAACGGGCGAGTAGGCGGCCTCCATCTCAATCGACTGTTGTTGCTCTCTCCAAGTCAGTCCGAGCCTAATGCATAAAGCTTACCGATGTCACTCACACGAATGGCATTGATGCTGGACCCGCTGCCGGAGCGAGGCACGTCCGAGTAGCTGTCGAAGCTCGACCGATGCGGGTCGGCCTCGTCGATGGTGCCCGTCTGATCGAGGACGAGGAAGCCGAGGTGGGGCAGTATCGCCGAGGCTGGCGAAGGAGGAAGAAGAGCCCAGAGTCAGTCAGCCAGCGACAAGAGCCATGAGCACGAGTACAACACACTCACCATCGCCAGCCCCGCCGGCTCCGTTGTCTGCGTCCGTGGGGCCCTCGAGCACCACGTCGTAGTGCTCGGCCCTGCTTAGCCCCCCTGCATAGGCAGGGACAGCCGGGGTAGTCCCTTGTGCTCGAGATGTCGTCGCTCTAGCCCACGAAGACGAGGAGCCCTCCTGCCGATCATCTGACGCAACCGATATCCCTCCTACTCCTCCTCCTCCTCCTGCCCCGACTCCTGCTCCATTCCCTGCCCCTGGGACTCCAAGCCTGGAACTCCGCCAGGCCGAGCGTGACGGCGATGGATCACGCGAATGGGAGCTCCTCGAGGACGGCCTCGAGAGCCTCTTGAATGGCGACTGCGGCCTCGATGACGACGACGACGACATCTCCGGACGCCGACAACAGCAATCAATGTCTGCCGGACTGGACTGGACTGGGAGGGGTGAATCGAGCAATGGAGGGGCCCACAAAAAGACGCGCGCGTACTCAAGTCTTAGCCTTATTTGGAAAGCACAGTACACACTGGAGGGCGCCTGGGAAGCGCGACGAGTCACGTGAGCTGGCCCAGCTGCCCGTCCACTCGATCCTCGCGCGAAGCCTGGCTCGAACAGCGAATACCATATGGACACTTTGTATTCTGACGCCGAGCGCCGAGTGCTAGGCCATGTCTGACGACGCATTCGGGATATGGGACGAGCCGAGCGAGCAGGTAGCGGCGGAGGCGGGGCCCTCGTCGAATGGGAGCGTCGCGACGCCCGGTGCGGTGAGCAGCAAGGGCGCCTCCCACGCCGGCGTCTTTGGGAGCCGCCTCGATGATGAGCCCGGCTGGGGCGCCGCAGACGAGGCTGCCGTGGCGGCCAATGCTGCTGCCAGTGCCGCGCCAGAAGAGTTGAAGGAGGAACCAGGGTTACGAGAAACAGAAGCGAAACGAGACTCGACCGCGGTGGCCACGTCGGCAGCAGCAGGGGCAGCAGCAGCAGAAGAAGCAGCACCGGACGGGTACGACGATGCGTTTGGCGACGACGACGACGATGGCGATGGCGATGGCGATGGCGATGGCGGTGGGAAGGGCTTCAAGGAGGCTGTCGAGGAGCAGGACGACGACTTTGGCGATTTCGGCGACTTTGACGAGAGCCAGGCCCAGGACGCCAGCTTTGGCTTTGACGATGACGACGAGGAGGAGGCGGCGACGGCGGCGGAAGGGCAGAGACAAGCGGAAGCAGCAGGCGCATCAGGGTCAGGGTCAGGATTGGAATCGGGTCAGGGGCCATCGGAGCCAGACTGGCGCCCGCTCGAGCTCTCGCGCGACTCGACAAGTCTGACAGCGGCCGCACTCGCAGGCCCGATCCGGCAGCTGCTCTCGGAGCCCCTCGAAGGTGGTAGCAGCAGCAGCAGGGAGCCCTTCCCGTTCCACGATGGCCCTGCCGCGCACCTCGGCGACGACCAGGTGCGCCAGGTGCCGGGCCTGGCGCAGGTGCTCGTGCGCGAAGAGTCGCGCACGCTCTGGACCAGCCTCACGGCCGAGCCGTCGCTGAAGCCGCTCGACTGGATGCGCTCACGCACGCGCAGGCAGCACCTCATCTCGCTCGGCGTGCCCATCAACCTCGACGAGGTGCGGCCGAGCGAGTTTGGCGCGTCCAAGGCGCTGCCGCCGCTGTCGCTCTCGATGGATGCGCCCATGTCCAAGGCAGGCCTGGGTGCAGCAGCAGGAGCAGGAGCAGGGACAGGAGCAGGCACGGGGACAGGGACAGGGACAGGGACAGGAGCATCAGCAGCAGCAGCAGCACGCGCCGGCAATGGAAGCGCAGGCGCGACACCCGACGTGCGCAGCCCCACGGCGCGCAACGCAGCGCAGCGCCGCAAAGAGGACAAGCTCGGCCTGGGCCCGGCGCCCGAGGTGGACATGGCCCGCGCAAAGGCGCTCATCGCCCTGACTGAGGACCAGCTCACGCTCCAGCCGCTTCCCTCGCTGCGGACTATGGCGCGGGAGCTGGAGCAGCTGACGCGCAGCACCTCGGCCCTCCTCACCCACCACCTCGCCCTGCGCGAGGCCCACGGCGCAGACGCAGAGATGTACAACGGCCTGATCAAGGATCTCGTCACGGGGGCGGCCAACCGCATCAGCGGCTCCTCGGGCGGCGCATCAGCGGCCGCGGCGGCAGGCGGCATTCAGAGGCGGGCCACACCGTCGCAGCAGCTCAGGCGAGGCGCATCAGGGCCAGGCCCGCGCTCGTCGATGGCGTCCGGCAGCGGCAGGAGCTCGCCAGCGCCAGGCCGGTCTGGGAGTCCGAGGATAGGCTAGAGAATTGATAGCATGCTGGGGCGAAACTAGAAATATACACATTGTCATTTCGCAGTCTTTTTCTCCTTTTGGCATGATCTATATTCGGTGAGGTGGAGACGGATAGAGAAAAGGCGCCTGTATGCTACGATGCAGTGATGGTACAAGAAAGAGAGAAGAGAGTGAGACAAGTCCTAGATCCACTTGGCAACGTCGGCTGCGTCTGGGCCCACGGGGTCTGTCGAGGCGGCCAGGTTGCACTGGTGGAAGATGCGGACCTCGTCGGGCTTGAATGCGCCCACGACGGAGTGGAGGACGCCCTGGTTGTGGAAAAGGCAGAGGTCGCCCTCCTTCCAGTCGTGCGCATAGACGAGCTCGGGCGCAACCGCGGGCCGCTGCAGCTCGTAGACGATCCGGCGCACCTCTTTGAGATCGGTAATGTGCGCGCCCTCGGGGTAGAGGCTGTCTGCCGTCCGCTTTTCTTCGGCGGGGATGGCGTCGATGAGGAGCTCCTTGATCGCCGAGGGGTGCACCTGCAGGTGCAGCGCGCCCGTCGCCTCGCACTTCCAGAGCTGTGGCGAGAGATCAGACGGATCAGTTGCTGACTTTGAGGAAGTGTGGCTTGTTCGACCTGGCTCACCATGGGGTACGTCTTGATCTTGGACTCCTCGAATGCGGGCAGCTCGTCGGCTGCGAGCTCCTTGCCCTCGCTCTCGAGGCCGAGGCCGACGGAGTTGGACCGCGCGCTGCTCATCCAGACGTAGGGGTGGGGCGAGTAGACGATCTTGGTCTGCAAGAGGATTCATCTGTCGTCAGCGCTGGTGCCGCACATGCTGCAATGCAAGGAATAGGAGGGAACGGTCAAGGGAAATGAACAACTCACGCGGACTGCCAGTGACTTTTCGGCGGGCGAGAGGCGGTCAAACATGGTCCTGCCCGAGACAAAGGCGGTGGTGCCGAGCGGCACCTGCAGCTCGTCGTGGGAGCCGTCGTCGTAGCGCAGCGTCTGGGTCCTGCCCTTGGGCACCTGCACGGCCTGCAGCGTCGTCACGCGCGGCGGCGCCAGGTCGTAGAGGGCGGCGTCAATGTGCCAGCGGTAGAAGCGCGTCACGTCCTTGTCCTCGGCGTCGGGCACCTTTGTTGAGTGGAAGGTGGCGTGGTGCGGGTGCTTGAGCTGGACGTCGACGAGGCCCTCGTGCGACGCCACGGGCCCGTTGCCAATCACTTGCACCTGGGGCAGCCGCGGGATCGTCTTGAGGTCCGGGTGGAGAATCGACTTGCTCTGCCGGCCCTTGTTGCCGTGGCCGTAGCTGTCCGAGGCGGGCTGTCGATTGGCCGGTCAGCTTCTGCATCTCCCTTCGCTCTGGCTTTCTCTTTCGAGAGCAACTCACATCAAAGGCCTTGGTGAGCGCGAGCTGCGCCTCGGGCGTGACGTTGGCGTTGGGAAACACGAGGACAGAGTGCTGGAAGAGGGCGGCCTTGATCGCCTCGACGTCGGCCTCGGTCAGCTGGGCAGCATCGACGCCCGTGACGACGCGGCCAAAGGCGGGGTCCAGCGCCCGCTTGACGCCGGGCAGCGGCGCAGGCAGCGGTTCGAGGGCGAGCAACGAGGCCGTCATTCTTTCTTGCTTCTTGCGAGTGAAAATGAGGGGAGGGTGCGGTGCGTCTTGGGGTAGTGGGAGCCGTCAGGAACAGGAACGAACTGTCGAGCCGGTGAAGTGGGCCTTTATATGCTGCTGCTGCTTCTTCTTCTTCGACAACGCTGCGTTGGACGGGAGCAGGAGTCCATTAATAGATGGCCTCGACCGACAACGATCCCCGCCTTATCGCAATCTTTTTTTTCTTCTTCTTTGCGCAGGGCAGGGAGAAATTTAAAGGCCTGGCAGGCAGGAACGCCTGCTGCTAGCTGATAAGCGCAACGCGACGGCCGAGTCTCCAGCCAGGGTCTCTCCTCTTTCTTACGTCCGAGATTCCGCGCCAATGTCCGACCCGACATCCGACAAAGGGAGGGTCTCAGCCAGCCAGCCAGCCACCTCCACTACGAGCCATTGCGAAGAAGCTATTTGCGAAGCACGTCAGATGAGCCAAAGGGCTCCCCGCACCCACAACCACTGCTGCTGCTATCGACCACCACCACCACGACCACCACACCGACAGAGTAACACACCGACATGCCTGTGCCAGACGAAGAGATCCACCCCGTCGCCACCGGCGCCGCCGCCTCGCTCGTCGCGGCCCGCAAGACACCCGTGGGCAAAGACGGCGTCAAGTTCTACTCGGGCTGGTTCTGCCCCTTTAACCAGCGCACCTGGATGGCCCTCGAGGAAAAAGCCATCCCGTACGAGTACGTGGAGATCAACCCGTACAAAAAGGAGCCTTCGTTCCTCAAGCTCAACCCAAAGGGCCTCGTCCCCTGCCTCGAGTCCAACGGCATCCCCCTGGCCGAGTCCTCGATCCTTGTGTGAGAGTCACACACACACACCCCTAGTCTGCGCATTTGTATTCCTGATGCTGATCCACTTTCATCCAGCGAGTTCCTCGAGGATGCCTATCCCTCTACGCGCAAGCTACTGCCGGACTCGGCCGAGCAAAAGGCCCTCGCACGCATGCGCATCGACCTCGTCGCCAAAAAGTGCGTGCCGGCCTACATGCGCCTGCTCCAGGCCCAGACGCACGACGCGCAGCGCGAGGCGCGGGCCGAGTACGCGGCTGCGCTCAAGGAGTTTGCCTCGTACCTTGACGGCAACAAGGGCCCCCTGCATGGCGGAAAGGACATTGATGCCGTCGACATTGCGCTCGCGCCCTGGGCTGGCAGGCAGTACAGTTGAGTGATTCAATTTAGAGAGTTGATCGCAAGCTGACCCATGGACATCCTGACACACACACACAGTCATCGAGAACAACAGGGGCGGCAAGCTGACGGCCCAGGAGACGGGCGAAAAGTACCAGGAGTGGTACAAGGCGATCCTGTCGCACCCCACGCTGCTCAAGACGATGAGCGACGCAGAGCACTACGAGCCCATCTACGGTCGCTACCTGCGCGACGAGGCACAGTCCGAGGCGGCCAAGGCCCTGCGCGCGGGCCGGGTGATTCCTTAGTTTTAAGATGTGTGTGTCAGCAACAGCATCGTTGGCGTGTACGAGAGAGAGTGTATCTAAGGAATGCTACAGCGATAGTAATGTATATTTTTGGATCAGGCGCCCCATCATTGGCCCTGCTTGACCTGCAGAGTCGTGCTCCTCCGCACCCTCTTTGTGCCCCCCTTGTCGCCCGGGAAGGACTCGGTGATTGTCCGTTCCTCCTTCTTGACCCGCTTCGTGCGGCCATTCTGAACGACGACTGTATGCGTCGCCGTGCCATTGACATTGACGTGCGCTTCCACCTTGGTCTCTGCCCGTGTCTCCTCCTTGATCGCTGCTGCCTCGCCAAGCTGCTGCTGCTGCTGTTGCGGCCGCTCCTCTTTCACCTCGGTCTTGACCACGCCGTACTCCTTGAATGCACGGAGATCGGCCGTGAAGAGGACGCTGTGTGCCCACCCAGCGTACTCGCCCCAGAGCGCACGGAATCGGTCGGCAATCATCTCGTAGGCCTTGTGCCCTGTGGCGCCCTTTGCGGTCCGGATGCCGTACCAGCGCTCGGCAAACTGGAACACGTGCCGGTCGACGGGAATCGACGAGGGCTGATCCATCGACATGAGCAGGATGCAGTCGGCCACTTTGGGACCGACGCCGGGCAGCCGCAGCAGCTCCTGGCGCGCTTCGGCATACGGCAGCGTGCGCAAGCTCGCCAGGTAGGCTTGCACAGAGGGGTGTTTCGGTCGCTTCTCTTCTTCTTCTTCTTCTTCCTCCTCCTCCTCCTCCTCCTGCGCTCTCGCCAGGCCGGGATCAGAGCTGTGCGCCTGGCAGAGCATCTGTGCCGTGAGGGCAATGTATCGTGCGCGATAGCCAAACGAGAGCCTGCGCAGCGTCTCTTCGACGTCGGGCTGCGCGAGGCGCTCGGGCGACGGAAAGGGGTGGTAGTGGACGACGACGTCGCCCGTTTCCACACCTGCGTCTCCCTTCTTCTCATCCTCCTCCTCCTCCGTCGTCGTCGATGCCAGTGCGCCGGGTGGGGGCCGCGGGTAGGTATGGCTGAGGAGCGGCTCGGAAAAGTGGGTGCAGAGGTTCTGCACCATCTGGCCGATGCGGGCAATGTTGTTGTTGGACGAGCAGATGAATGCGCACAGGCACTCCCAGGGATCCTGCCGGAGCATGCGCACGCCCGAGAAGCGCGTGGCAAAGCGCGCAAAGACGGCATCCTTGGCTGCCCACTCGACGTAGAGATCCTCGAGGGGCACGTCGACGTTGAGGTAGTCGCGCAGCCACACGCCCGTCTCGGCGTCGACCTCTTCGGCGGTCCTGCCACTCGGCTGCGTACTGGGCGGCACGAGGGTGCGATAGTATAGCATCTGCCGCGCAACGTCCTGACGAAGCAGCACGACGCGGTCCGAAAGACACACGGACCATTCCGTCCACTTTGTCCACCTCGTCGTCATCGTCGTCGTCGTCGTCTTCGTCATCTTCTCCTCTTCCTCGTCATCTCCTTCCTCCTTCTTGACGACGGGCTCCGTCTTTACGACGACGCCGTCCGCCTCGGGCTCCCACACGTCGATGCCTCGCCAGCGAAAGGCCTGGCCGCACTTGTTTGACACTGTCAGCGGCAGCAGGATCTGGCCGGGCGAGACGGGCAGGACGTGGTAGCCGGCCGGCGGGCGCGCATCAGCCGCCATCGAGGAGGATGCGACGCTCGTCATGGTGCGGTCGCCAGCGAGGTAGGCCGACCGGCAGCGTACCCGGGCAGAGACGAGTCCAGCGAGATGAATATAACGAGGCGACACCGTGGATATCGACAGAGGGATTCCAAGTCGGCAGCGTCTTGAGCGTCGTCCAAGGGAGAAGAAATCGAATGGCTTGGCTTGACAGAAGATTCAAGTCTAATTTCTCGGCCGTGGCTTGAGCGTCGCGCGGACTTGATTGCTTCCTGGATTGGATGACCTTTTTTTATTTTGGAAGTGAGACGCTCTTTCGACCACCTGCCCTCGACCGCTACAGTGCGAGAGACGATGCGCTTCGCCGTCGATCCCTCGTCGTCTTCCTCGTCCTCTGCAGAGGAGGAAGAGTACGAGTATGGACTGGCGACAGTCGGGTCACTCACGGCAGCAAAGAAGAAGAAGACGACGCAGCTGGAGCGCATCGATGCTGCGCGCCGCCTCGCCTCTCCGCCTCGCCTCGGACCGGCCCTGCACAGGCCACGGGTCCCGCCGTGGATGCAGCAGCGACAACGCTCCGGTGGCTCTTCCTCTGTACTGAGGGGTCTCAAGTCGCCCAGTGAGGTGCCCTTCGACGAGGACGAGGGCGAGGGCGTGCAGAGGGGCGCCCTCGACAGCGACGAGGATGGCAGCACCGACGAGCAAGACGACGACGACGACGACGACGACGACGACGACAGCGAGGAGGAGCAGTGGCCCGTACGACCCGGGAGAATAGGGCGGGGACAAGGGCTGAGCAGCCGGATCCGGCACGTCAGCAAGGACGACGAGTGGGACGAGTGGGAGCGCAGGACGCGCGACCGCGCCTGGTCGATGCAGGCGCGCCGCCAGCGGAGCGTGAGCCTCAAGCCCGACGACACGCTTGGCGATCCAGACAGGAGGAGCGCACCATCATCATCCGCTGCGACGCGAGGGGGAGCCAGGCGGGACCTGGACGACGTCGAGAGCCTGCTCAGCTCCCTGAGGCTGCAGCAGGACGAGGAGGAGAAGCGGGACAGAGAGGCGTTCGAACAGCGGAACCGCAAGCTGTGGGACAACATCGAGGCTGGTATTCGGGCCGCAGAGCAGGTGCGAGAGAAGGAGGCACAGGAAGAGGCGGCGAGGCTGCGGGCCGCGCGAGCTGCACAGGAGGAGGCTGAGCGAAGAGCACGAGAACAACGCGAGGAGGAGGAGCGCAAGATCCGCGAGGAAAACGAGGCGAAAGAGGCAGCGAGACGCAAAGCCGAGGAGGAGGCCAGGCAGGAGGAGGAGAGGCTCAAGGCGGCCGAGCGGGAGCGGAGCCTGGGCGGCGCCACGCTGCGCCTCGAGGCCAAGCAGGAGTACGAGCGATGGTGGGCCAAGATGAGCCACATCAAGACAGACGTCCTGCCACTCGTCTCGGCCAACAACGAGTGGCGGAAGCAGTGCTTCCAGGCCAAGCGGCAGATTACCCGTGGTGTCAGCCAGCTCACCAATTCTCGGCAAGAGATTGTCAGAGTCGTGCGTAATTCTCCTTTGCCTTGTATGCGCCAACAACCCCTTTGCTGACTCACTCACCCCTTGCACAGACTGAGTCGATTGGCAATGTGCTGACGCTCGCCAAGGGTGCCTCGCCCAACGGCGAGATCTACACCTGGATCCTCAATCACCTGAGCAAGTGCCTCATCCGGCAGGCCGAGCAGGAGGTGGCCGCCAAGCAGGACACGGCCTTTCCCCTCGCCCGCATCGTCTCCTTTCTCCTCCTCCAGGGCCATGCCGAGCTCGGCGACGTGCTCATGGCTCGCCTGACAAAAAAGTGCCCCTGGGTGCTGGGCTACTGCCCCGTGAAGCGAGGCGACATGGACGACGCTGCCTATGCCAAGCTCGTCGGCCGAGCCGGGCTCGACGAGGCCTCGCTGCAGTTCACCTCGCGCATGTGCGGCATCCTCGCCTTTTACGCCGCCGTCGCACAGACGGACCCCGACAGCGGCTCTCCTGCGGGCCAGGGCCAGGGATACGACAAAATCCCACCGGCCTTTCGACCCGCTGCGCTGTGGACGTGGATGGCCCGCAGCGTGACGCCGCCCATGACGGACCACGCCCTCATCCCGGCGCTGTGGTCGACGATCATCGAGGTGGCCGGGCCCAAGCTGCTGGCCATCTACGGCAAGCAGTGCGCAAAGGTCTGGACCCTGCTGCTTGACGTGGGCATCCGGCAGAAGAAGGCCGGCTTTGCCGACGACGAGACGGCCAATGCCGCTCGGACCCGCCTGCTCCTCCTCCTCGAGGACTGGAAAAAGAAGGGGGGCACGACGGTGAGCGGTGCCACGGGCGGCCGCGAGATGGCGCTGCCGTGACGACGTGACGGTACCATGACACGAGAGCTTCTGTGCAAATGTAACACTACCACCCCAACCGCACGACTCATGCTCAAAGATTGCAACATCTCTTCATTATATAAGAGTCCGTGTATGATGTTTTTTTTTTTTCCAAGAAGGTGCGCATTACTGCGTGATTGAAATTCTCGAGCGCTCGCCCGATCAAGGCGCCGTGAGGGTGAATCCACCATCGACGGTGAGCACGTTTCCGTGCATGAACTCGTTTGCCGCCAGGTACTGCACCGACATTGCCTGCGAGGACGAGAGATGTTAGTGAGCGAGAAACAAAAAGGGTGAGGTAGGGACGTACCATGTCCTCGGTCTTGCCGGGCCGCTGGGCGGGCACGTTCATCGTGGGCATCTGGTCGCTGATGTCACTCCGGTTCTTTTCGTCGCGGCCGCCGCCGGTCATTTCGGAGGGAAAGACGCCCGGGGCGATGCAGTTGACGCGCACCTTTGCCGTCGTGCTCTGCGTAAACTCAAAGGCGATTGTCTCGGTCAGGTGGTTGGCCGCGGCCTTTTTTTAATCATTAACAGCAACGTCAGCTCAGCCCCTCAAAAAAAAATAAAAATTGCTGAAGAGGGAGGACTGGACTGACCTTGGATGCATTGTAGGCGTAGTGCATCTGGCCCTGCTTGACCGTGCCCGAGATGCTGCCCGTCGTGATGAATGTCGCCGTGTACTTTTTCCCCTCGGGCAGGCCCAGGCCGCGCTTGCTGCCGAGATCGAGGAGGGGTAAAAAAGACACGGCAAGGAACATGTGCTGGCTGACATTGAGCCGGAACAGGTCGTCCCAGTCCTTGAAGTCCTGGTCCTTGAGTACCTCGGTCTTGTAGTCCTGCGCGCTCTTGGGCTTCAGGCCCTTGCCCGGCTCCATCGAGTGGTCGGGGAACGACGTGTCGGCGCCAAAGTGCGTCGGCCCGGGTCCGCCGGCGTTGGCGACGAGAATGTCGACGCGGCCTTCCTTTTTCTCAAAGTCTTGCACCAGCTGTTCGATCTCGGCCTTGCTGGTGATGTCGGCGGTGAGGTAGCCGGCGAAACCCCAGGACTTGACGGCATTGTCCAGCACTTCGCCGCGGCGAGAGACGAGGTAGACGCGGGCGCCCGCCGCGTGCAGACCGCGGGCTTGCATCAGGCCGATGCCCGTGCCACCGCCCGTGACGACGGCGACGCGGTCCGTCAGATCAAACAGAGTCGAGGGCTTTAGTTGCTCGTTGGATTCAGCCATGGTTGTTGGTAGCCGACCCTCTTATGTCTCTGTCCCTGCCTATGTCTCTGCCTCTGTCTCTCTCCACTTCCAAAAGTGGAGGGCCGATTGGCAAGATCATTCATTTCACGTGTGCTGCAGGAGTGTCACTTTTTTTTTTTGGAGCTTTCTTCCTGCTCTAAGAGGGCTCTCTCTCTTCAGCTTCTGTCAAGATGGCAGACTCCAGCAGCGATGATCTTCCACCGGATCGACTCGCACGGAATCTCTCGCTGCACCGTGCCTGCGAGGTGGGCGACTACGGCGAGTGCGAGCGGCTTCTTAAGAGCGAGGAGGGCGCCGATGCCTGGTGGCAGGACCCAGACATGCTCGGATGGAGCGCGCTGCACTATGCGGCTGAACGGGGCCACACCAAGCTGGTCAAGCTCTTGCTGAGGAGGGGCGCCATCTGGAATGCGTGTGAGTCTTGTTGTGCACGAATTGAAGCGCGCGTCTGACCAAGAACTCCACCCCTCGAAGCTGACTTGCTTGGCAAGACGGCGGCGGAGGTTGCCTGGTCGAACAACGACGAGGGGACCTACCGGGCGATCTTTGACGGTGAGTTCCGATCTTTTGACTTTTCTCTCCCATCTCCTTGCTGAAAGCTCGAGGTGCTGTTCTCTGCAGAGGGCGTTCGGCAAACACTGCTCCTGAACCTCCTCGAGCGGCGCGCAGAAGACGCATCGCACGCGCCCTCGACCTCGCGAGGAGGCACAAGCGTGCTGCAGGACGGCCACCTGACGCTCTCCTCCAACGTCGACTCCTCGCACGAGGTTTCTGCCTCCAACGATGCCTTTCTCGAGAGCAGGCTTTCCTTCGTCGATGATCCCAGCACGGGCACAAAGCGCTGCCTCGACGTGGACGGCGGTCTCGTCATGGCGCCGTGGGAGACGGACATCATGGCCCTCTCGGCCTCGCTCCTCTGCGACGGCGCCAAGCCCGACTGCGCGGTGCTGAACGTCGGCTTCGGCCTTGGAATCATCGACGAGCTCTTCCAGGCCCGGAATCCCCCACCGGCGCGGCATGTCATCATCGAAGCGCACCCCGACGCAATCGCCCACGCCAAGCAGCTCGGCTGGGACAAGCGCCCGGGCGTCGAACTGATCCATGCCAAGTGGGAGGACGCCCTCGAGAGTCTAGAGGGAGACTTTGACGCAGTGTACTGGGACACATACGCGCAGGGCTACGGCGAGCTGAGGAACTTCCTTGAGCACCTGCCCAACCTCCTCTCGGGCCCCGAGGCAAAGTTTTCCTTTTGTGAGTCCGACAGCTGCGAATTCCTTCTTTTCGGCAAACATCAGGCTCAAAGTACGCTCTACCCATGCACCACAGTCCACGGGTTGGCAGGCACCAACCCGTTCTTGTACGACGTCTACACCCGTGTCGCCGAGCTGGACCTCAAAGACATTGGCCTCGTGACTGACTGGCACACCCTGCGCCCCACGACGACGCAAGAGACGTGGCAGGGCGTCGTGCGCAAATACTGGCAGCTCGACACCATCAACGTCCCCGTCTCCAAGATGGACCAGTCGCTGTTCCAATGAACTGTTTGGGTGGATCAACAGATGTGTTTCATTCATGTGCAAGTGTGTATGTACTGTGTATGTCGTTTTTGGCCATGGGTCCCGTCGTCGTAGTAATGGTAGTAGTAAAGAAAAATGTGTGAGATATCGTACAGTACAAGGTAGTAACAACAACAACAACAACAACAATCCTCTCTTTCCCCTTTCTCTTTTCCTTGCCTCTTCCTCTTTCCTCTTTTACCCTATCGAAATTTCGTTGAATGAGAAATCCGGATCCGCTACCCAGTGACGCTGTCGATGAGGGCGACGAGCATCTTGTTGCTGAGCTCGCCCAAGTGCATCCTCCGGAGGTTGCCCAGCGGGACAAAGCTTCCGCAATCGAGCAGCGCCGCATAGCCCGTCTCCTCGAGGTACACGGCTGGCCCGCCGCGTCTGGCCGTCTCTCGGGCCTGGGCCGCAAAGACGGGCTTGCTGGCGGCGATGCGTGCAATGACGTGGATCGAGTCGAGGAGCGAGCCGACCTGGCTGTTTTCAAACACGTCGCGCATCCCGACATCGAGACTCTCGATGAGAATCGAGACACCGACGGGAAACTCGCGCGCCGAGTCGGCCAGGAACCCGTAGAGGATGTGCTTCTCGGCGTTGGACTCGGCATGGCTCAGCAGAGAAGCCAGAAGCGTGACGGTAAGCAGCGCCACCTTGTTCTCGAGGTTCTGATCCAGATGAGCAAAGAGCCCTCGAGGCTCCTCGGGGGAAGCTGCGGCAGCCCCCTGGTCATCGTCCCCACCAAGCAGGTCTCCGTCCGAAAAGGCGCCCCGGGCCTCGTCCCTACGACGGCGCTCGACGACTTTGGTGCACACCGCCTCGTCCACGCCCGCGGTTGCGAGCAGCGCGCCAAACTCCTCTGGCCGCGTCGCCGTGGGGAGAAGGGCGATAAAGAAGCCAGACTGCACCGTGGACACGCGCCCGTCCAGCGATCTGGAGTTTCCATCGACATCGAATGCACTAAATCGGAGCATCGACGTCAAGAGCTCCGTCGTGATCTCCTTTGTGCTCGGATGGCGCAGGCCTTTGACGAGCAGCGCGGCCATGGCAAAGCTAAAGTTGGACTCAAAGTCGACGCCAGTGGCCTCGTCTAGCGCCGTGGTCTCCTCCCGAAAGTCGTAGCGGCCCTCGAGCAAGAATCCAAAGAGATCCAAGCCCATTTCCGCGGGCAGATCTCGACTGCAGACACTCGTCACTGTTGCAAGGAGCAGCTCTACTCCGGCCTTGAAGATCGAGACATGACCGTATTGGATCATCGAGACGCCGATCCAGAACATCCGAGGAAGGTACTTTGACCCGTCGGGCAGGATCTTGACCACCTTGCTGAGACACCTAATGATACTGATCATCGGCGCCTCGTTGCCGGCGTTGCTCCACTCGTTGATGCTGGCATGCAGCGAGACGAGAATCTGGTACAGGAGATCGTCGTCGACCTCGAACAGGGCCACATCCTCGTGCTTGGCGCCGACCAACATGGAGCCGGTCAAGTCGGCCAAACAACCCAGGAGCAAAAAGGCCCTCGATTGGATGATGGGGTTGTACTGAAACGCTGTGCTCGTTACGAGGCTCGTTAGCCGGGCGCGCCATGCATTTGCCGTGTCGATCGTGGGGGCCGCAATCTCGGCAATCTCATACATGATCGAAGCCAGCTTCTCGATGGACGCATTGTTGGGAGACTCCCGCACGATCGACGGAGAAGCGTCAAACGCATTGCAGTTGCCAGCTGGCAGTCCAAACAGCGTGAGAAAGTCGTCGTCGGAGAACTTCTCGAGCAGCAGACGGAGCCGCTGCAGACCTTCGGTGTTGTCAAGGACCGAGGGCGTCGACGGCTTCGTCACTGACTCAAGTTCGTTTGCTGCGATACCTCCATTTCGCTGGAGATGGTGCCTCGAGTCCTTGGCGTCTTCGGTGCAGAGAGAATGCATCAGATTGACGGCCGTTCCATGGATCGAATGACGTGTCGCATCGACGCCGTTTCCAGCCAAGAGCAGAATGACGTGGAGCAGCTCAGCCAAGTAGAGCTGCGACTCGAGCCGGCTGGTGAACGAGAGGACCATGTTCATGCGCACCAGCGTCGCAATCTCCTTCCAAGCCGCGTTTTCGTGTAGCTGGCTCACCGTCGGATTCTGCGCCGTCTTGGCAATCACCCTCCTCAGCTTGGTCAAGAGCTTTCCTCGGAGATTGATGGACGAAAAGGACACCATCGTGTCGAGCACGCTCTCGAAGCGGGGCGTGTGCAAACCCGAATCCATGGCTGCCTCGGTAAAGACGTCGAGGATGAGAGGAATGAGGTCATCGAGCTTGCTGATCTGCATCCAGACACACCGCTGCATCGTCGCATACATATCCGGCTGCTTGACGGTGATGTCGATGAGGTGCGAGAGAATCTCCCGGATGCGCTTCTGGTACTCCGGCTGCTGGTCCCGCGCTGTGTGGGTGAACATGACGAGATTGGATAGCCAAGGCGCCATGTACTGCAGGCACATGGTCTTTTGACTTGTCGCCGCTGAATCGAAGCCTTCAAAGAACGAGAGCAAAAACTCGAGCGTGACACCAGGTGCTGCGACGGCAAAGTCCTTGCTGAGCTCCGAGACGAAGCTCATCGTGTTGGCCGACAGAGCGAGGCCTGTCAAGAATGAACGTCAGCAGGGCCGTCAAGTATTCAGGCGGAAGCGCACACACCTTTGGTGCTCAAGAGCCTTTTTCGTGCATTGCTCGCTCCAAAGCTGAATGACGTCGACAGAGCACACAAGAGGTCGTATGCGCTGAGTCGCAGGCCATTGTCCCTGCTCGTGCTGTTGAGCATGGCCATGTTGAGGAGCGTTCCTGGCACGTCGCTCGGCAGCAACATCCTTTCCATGGCCTTCGTCGGTGCCCTGAATTTGGAGACCCGCGCCTTGGCCTGCCGGAGCCCCTGGACGATGTCGGAGCGGTCGCGGCTGATGAAGAGAAACGACATGCTGCCTCCCCGGCAGGTGATGAAGAACGTGTTGTCGTCTCCCCGAATCGAAATGGCGCGGACATCGTCAATGTCGGCCAGGTGCAGTACGTCGTTGGTGAGGACCTTGTTGCCAAGCACAAAGTTCTGCGACTTGAGCGCCGCAATCTGCAGGTACTCGCCCGTGATCCGAAAAGTGACAGGGATGAGTGCGCGGTAGTACCACACCATCGTGATCTGGTGGAACCGGACTTCGGGCGGAGTGTTGGCAATCTCCGTCGTCAGTGGGTCCAGCGCAATGTGACGCTTGTCTATGAGCATCTCCAGGTCGTGGATGGCGTTGCAGGAGGTGATGGTGAGGTTGGCCTGGAGGAAGCTCCTGATCGAAGCGGAGGAGGCCGAGGGAACGGGACGTGGGCCACGCTGGCCTCCGCTGGCCCCACCCTGCGCGTCGCTCGAGATCCACGGCCTGGCATAGTGCCTCGACGTTGTGTTGAGATTGAAGACAATGACAGTCCTCAGGTTCGTCGCAACCTCCAAGGGCAGAAGCGATGTAAAGTAGGTGATCCACTGGTGCGGCGTCATGTTGTTAGGTGCCGACGCAGTGCAGTCCACGACGAGGTCAAAGAGCCTGCTCTTGCACTTGTCCAACAGTCGCAATACATAGAGGATGAAGCCCTCATAGTCGAGCGTCTGTGCGTCTTGGTGGAAGAGTGTGTAGTAAAAGACGATACGGTTCGCTTTCGACAGACCGCCCTCTCGAAAGATGGCCGCATAGTTGGCATCATCGACGTTGCGATCCCGGTGGCGGCGCAGGAACTCCTCGTGGGTGGCCTTGCTCTCTTCGGCACTCTGCTGTGCCAGAGCAGAGAGACCGTTCTGGTCCTCTGTCCGCGGATCCTCAAGCTCCGAAAGGGTGACGCACAGCTGTTCATAGACACGCTTGCCGTCACCAGGTCCCTCGCCGTTACTGGCGGTCGTCGAGGGGCCACTGACAACAGAGCCAGCATCAGCAGCATTGCTCGTCGGACCCTGCGACTGGGACATCGGAGTCGAGTTCCGAGTCAGCAGCCATTTGCCAATGTCGTCAACGTGGTCCAAGAGGTATTTCTGCAAGTAGTCCTGATCTCGCTGGTCGATGCCGTAGCCGAACGGATGAATCCCGTAGCCTAGGGGCTGGTCTGCGGCCAGGAGCCTCTCAGGGTCGGTCCGTGTATCCGAGACGTCGTCAAGGAAGCGCGCGACACGGTAGATGTTGCGCCTGAGAAAGTCGTTGAGGTTCGTCAGGTGCGGGTCCTTGTGGCTGGCAAAGAGCTGGTTGCAGTACAGCGTGAGGAGAATCTTGCTGACGAGGACCAGGCCCTTTCGGAGCTCGGGACCAGGCGCAGTGAGGTTGATGTCGATGTTCTCGGGCGAGACAATGGCAGGCGTGATGAAGCGGAGAATCATGAAACCGCCAACGCCCTGGTAGCGAGCCTTGGGGAAGCGACGGTCCATGAGCGTGCGAATATGCCGGCAGAGCTCGCGCAGCACAGCAGGCACCCTGTGGGCCGAGTCGCAGATCGTGTCGATGAAGGACTGGGCGGTCTCCTCGAGGTGCTTCTGGTTCGTGGCCACGCTCTCGCCAGGCGCAAGACGCGATGGGTCCATCTCAAATGAGTATCCCCGTGGCTTTTGTGCCATCTTCTGGAGCAAGGGCGCAAGAATGTGTCGCAAGTACTCGTACCCGTGTGTCCGTCCAAAGCGGGAGAGGAGCTGGATGTGAAACGAGTTGCCACGGAGGATGATATCTGCGCTGCCTGCCGACTCAATCTCCTCGGTGATCGAGGCCTTGAGAAACTTGATGATGCCGCCCCGCGAGTCAAAGATACTGAGCATGATCTGCTCCATCGTCTCCATGTCTCTCGATCCAATCTGGCAGATGGCCAGGGCGAGCTGCATGTCTGGCTTGCAGATGAGGTCGATGAGCTTGTTCTGCTTTCGCGAAATCGAGTTGAGGCGCTCGAGGTCGTCAAAGTCGGTTCCCTGGTTCAAGACGTTTGTCATAATCTGCATAAACGCCTTGCGCAGCTGCGGGTCTTCCTCATAGGCGAGCTGCAGCGACTGCTTGAGACCAGTGTTGATGTTCGACGCGAGCAGGTTCGACAAAGCCAGGATGGCCGACTTCTTCAGAGGCTGTGGATCCGGAAGCACCTGACCGCGGCCTACAGTCGTGATGCCGGTGTTCATCGTCGTCAAGGACGTGGATGATGCCAGGGCTGTGGAGGCCTTTGTCGAGGCCGAGTCGAGCTGCTGTTGGTGGTGCTGCTGCTGCTTTTTCTTTTCACCCGCCGCTGCCTCCTCGATAGCGCGGGCCCGATTGAGGTGCTTGATAAAGTATCCAAAGTAGTAGGCATACTGGCGAGACTTTGCCCATTCGAGCTTGTCGTCGAGGAGCATGGCATCCTCGGCCAGGAGCAGGGGCAGCTTATCGAGCAAGATCGACATGGTCTCGAGACACACGACATCGAGGTCCCGCTGGAGCTTGTCGAGCTTATCGGTGGACAGCGTCTCGTCTGCCGAGTCCGTCGTCCAGCCGCCAAGGACCTGGAAGATGCGGTTGCGGACCTTGAGCTCGTTCAAAAAGGCAAAGTAGGACTTCTTCTCCATGATGCCTTGGCACAGCTGGCAGAGTGATGTCTTGATGCGGAGCCCCTGGACGTCGCGCTTGTTGAGCGAGTTGAGGTATTCTACGCAGAGGACGAGGACTGCGCCAATGTCGACAGCAAGGCTGCCCTCGGTGGGCTCCTTCATGCGGTCCAGCGTCACCTGCATGACCGAGACGGAGTGGTCGACAAAGATGGTGAACATGTCCGACTGTCGAGGTGTGCCGGTGGCCTGGTCGAAAAGGTCGCTCAGGAGGCCGTGGATCATGCGAAAGAGGATGCCGTACAGCTTGGGACTCAGGTCGTTGCCCAGCGTCTCCTTGACCTTTTCGCGCACCCAGATGGAGTCGGACACGAGGAGATCAACGAGCTCCTGAACAAAACCCTCGACGGTCTGCATGGGCGATCGGGGAGCGCTTTCGACAGGGGCGCCGCTGCCATCGACCTCGACTTGCCAGCCGTGGGCTACAGCATCCACAGAAGCCGTGGTACAGACACCGCCAAGGGCGCAGAGGAAGCCCGTGTAGTTGTGCCACTGCGCCGCCTTTTCCTGTGCAGCGTCGGGCGACTCCTCGGCCAGGGGCCTTGCGACGACGAGGGTGAGCTGCTCCCACCGCTTGAAGGCCTCCTTCCACGCCGTGAGGCCAGACAGCGACATGTTGTCGGCGTCTCTGAGCAAGGCACGGATCTTTTTCTGCTGCGCGATGCGTCCAGTCGCCTGCAGGTCTGCGGCCCCGAGGTTCTTGTACAGGACGACATACTCCCGCGTGGGAGGGTAGAAGTGAAGCGAGATCTGGCTCAAGCGACTCATGAGCTTGCAAGCATGCAGCGCTTCGCTGCAGACGTCAATGTCTGAGCTGCACGCAGTGAGCAGCACGGCCTTTTCGACGCGCGAGATTTCGTCAACGACGTCCTCGCTCGTTGGCAAGAAGCTCTTGACTTGGTCCTTGGCCAGGCCTGAGCGCTTAATCCGGTCGAGGGAGATGATGCGCTGGTGAAAGGCTCTCTGCAGGACCTTGAGCCAGTGCCGCTGTGCTTCCGTCTCCTCCTGGGCTGCGAGCGTGTCGGCAGCCTGGGCGGTGTAGCGAGGTAGGCAGGATTCGAGAGCCATGCCAGCCTGGGAGAAAAACTGCCTCGATGTCTCTGACTTTGCTTCGCCCCGGCAGCACAGCTCGAGGACATCGATGGCCTTTTCGTGGACCTGCCAGTGGTCCCACGACGAGACGGACCGGCAGACGGTGTAGACGAGGGCAACGACGCTGTCGACCTGCAGTGCGTTGCGAAGGAGCGCGTCGACGTCATGCACCGTCTTGGAGCCCGCCAAGTCGGCAAGCGAAACCGAATGGGTATAGGTCATGCCGTGGTGGATCGACAGAGGGTCGATGAGCCAGAGCTGGAGAATAGACTGGAGCAGGTCGAGGCGGCCGGCGGCTTCGTCGGCGGCGGCAGTGGAGGCCGCAGCAGCAGCAGACGAGGCCTTGGTGGGCACGACGCTCCTCGCAAACGCCCGCCTCGTCTCCGACTTTTGCTGTGTACCCGCAGCGGCATCGGATGGCCTTGACCAGCGGTAGACGATGTCCTTGAACCAGGTTCGGACAAGGGCGCTGACCTTTGGGTACAGCATCGACACGTCTGGGTTCCACGGCAGCCTGCCTCGCTCGCTGGCAAGCTGGATGCATGCCTTGACGAGGACGACGCGAAAGGCAATGGGGCTCTTGCTACTCGTGCACACGGCGACGAGGTCGAGCATCGTCTTTTGCGGGTCGAGCCGGAAGAAGGCAACAAAGGCCTCGACCATGGTGGCCACCTCGACGGCCTTTGCGGAGTTGAGCAGCGGATGAGCCGGGTCAAAGAGCTTGTCTTTGAGTTCACTCTCGACGTCGTGCGCCAGCAGTCTCAGGCCGGACTCGGCCTTTGTCGTGCACGTCGCCGCCTTGCATACATCGACGAGACAGAGGGCAGCAATGTCGGAGAGCTTGCTCTGCTTGAGGGCCTTGCGAATTGTCTCGAGGAAGTTGATCTTCTTGGCCAGGCTGCCACTCTTCCGGCCCTCGGGTCCCACGGCGGCCTTGCCAATGATGTCGGGACAGAGGAGGAGGAGCGAGGTGAGCATGGGCCAGTAGATCTGCTTCCTGCGAGTCGACTCGGCCAGGTTGAGCACGTGGTCAAACAGGACATCCGGTCCGCCCTCGAGACGCTTGCCGATGGCAAAGAGGGTGGCAAACTCCGACGGGTGGTACTGGATCCAGGCCCAGACGGTGCGTCGAAAGACAAGGGCCAGTGACTGCTGCGCATTGCGCTTGAGCTGGAGAAACGTCGAGCAGAGCTCCTGGCAGATGGTGGCCAGGCGAGCACGCTGCAAGTTGCTGCATTCGAGCAGCCTCAGCTCGGCCGGATTGGGCAGCTCCTCAGCCGTCTGTCGTAGGTAGCTGAGTCGATTGCGAATGCGAGCGTAGACGACGGGCCAGTTGCTCGAGCTGAGGTAGAAGATGACCTGACTGGCGAGGCGGTAGATGGCCTTTGCCAGAGGCGCGACGATGATCTGACTCTTTGAAAAGGAGGGCGAGATGATGCTCTCGACCGAGTCTGACTTGAATCGAGGAAGGGCCGAGTCCCACCGTGCTGTGCTGTTCTTGCTCTTTGTTTGGTCCTGTTGCTGCTGCTTCTGCTGAGGTGTGACAAGGACAAAGGGAGAACGCGAGGGTGGGAAGCTGGGATGGAGGACAAAGAGGCCCGTTCCGTTTGCCAGGGCCAGCGCAGACAGGGGCATGCCCTCTGAGAGCGAGGCCTCTCCGTCGCCATCGTCCCAAGACGTCTTGGAGCCTCCAAATGCGCCGCCCTTGCCCTGCTGTTTGTCTGCCTCTTTCTGCTGCCGGTCCGACCGTTCTGACACTCTGGCGTCTTGGCCCCTTGCTCTGGACCCATCAAGCCCCGATCCATAGCCTTGATCGAGCAGGGCTGCGTCCAGGACGACGTCTTCGCGCGCCACCGACTGTCGGAGGAAGACGGTCATGACGCTGAGTATCTGCTTTGCCAGCGTATCGTCGAGCGGAGGCGGATCTCCCCATCCTTTGGCAGCACCTTCGGCGTCTGCAGACACACCCGAGCCAGTGCTCTGCCTGCGTCGTGGCTCTGTCCTCGATGCCGCAGGTGCTGCTGCTGATGCTGCTGCTCCTTCTGCTTCTGCATCGACAGTCTTATTCCCGTCCTCTGGTGGCATCGCCGACTGACTCTCTTGGCACTGCCAGGAATGGATCATGCACGAAGCGAGGACCTGGAGCATAAACAGCTGCGACTGCATCACCTCTGCGCTTGGTTTCTCATCGTGGTAGTTCTTGATGGGACAGACGGCCGTCAGCTGACAAGCAGGCAGGCTGGAGGAAATCTCTCTTCTCACCTTGTTGAGGCTCTCGAGGCTGACGAGCAGCTCCTTGACGACGCTCGAGAGCTCAAACTCGGCCAGATCGACGAGAAAGGCGACGCTCGATCGCACGAGCGACTCTTCCTCCATCGACGAGAGCCTAGTGCCCGAAATGTGTGGCAGCTTATTCCATGCGACGTTGGTGTGAGCAAGCAGAGATAGCAACACTCTTGATTTCTCTCACCTTTTTCCCGAGCCGCGAGACAATGCTGGAGATGAGCCGTTGCGTGTTGGATGGGCCCGAAGATTGGCCGAGGGCTGTCGAAGAGGAGCCATTGAACGAGGAAGAGTCGTGCGACAAGCTGCCCTTTGTCGTGGAGCTGTCGGGAGGTAGCTGCTGCAGCTGTTGTTGCGACCCAATATTGTATCCCTGGACCGGCACGCCCGAGAAGGAAGCATGTGGGGTGTGCGAATGCGAGAAGCTGAAGCTGTGCGAGTGGTTGCTGCTGGAGCTCGCCCCGCCGCTGTACGGATGCTCTCCATGGGGGTACGACATGCTTGCACCGGGCCCCTTTGCCCTGCACGCCCTTGCCGGTGAGGCGCTTCACTAAGGGCGAAGAGGAGGGGTGAGCTGCGCGTACCGCTGTGTCGATGGGTAGCAGTAGGAGCAGGACTAGCGCTGCCGTTGCGATGCCAGTCAGTCGACCGACGGCTGGGCGACGGTATCAACTTTAATTGGGCGTAGTCCACGTGTCGCGCGCCCGGGCCCCCGAATAGCAAAGGAATGCCGGCCCCCAACCATCATCTTCTTTCACCTCCTCTGCTCGACCAAAGAGGGGCGCTCCCTGTCTCTCTCTTTTCAAATGGCGACGGCACCGCGAGGCTCAGTTTCACCGCAGAGGAGAACAGGCACAAATTCGGGAGCGACCGACAAGGCTGCCAAACGTCGGGCAAACGACCTTCTGCGAAACTACTACGGCCTCTCCTCTTCAACCTCCTCTGCCTCTGCAGCAGCCAATGCCGATGGCGCCGCAGGTCTGTCGTCACTGGCGACTGTCCGACCCGTCGGCCCACCCGACACGGGCGATGCACGCGACCCTGACAGCTCCAAATTTGACAGCGCGCTCGCATTCAAGCTCCTCCTGCGCGAAAAGGGACTCTCGCAGCTCCTTGCCGACGAATCGGACCTTCTGACCGAGATCAGGGAGCTCGATGGGGAGAGACAGAGCCTGGTGTACAACCACCACCACGAGCTCGTGGCCGCCAGCGAGACGATTCGAAAGGTGAGCTTCTTTTCACGTCGTCTCTGAACCCAGCACAATTGAAGAGTTGATTTTCTTTTCTTCATTCCCTCAGATGAAAGACCGGGCAGATGCCTTAACTCCCAGCCTTTCATCACTTCAGCAGTCGCTGCGAGACACTTCTACTACGTCAAAAGCGCTTGCGATTCCCCCTGACCTCGTCGGTACCAGATCTGAGTCGCATTCAAAGGAGAAAAAACTCAACGCAGAGGAGGCACAGCGCCTCCTGGCGCCCGTCGTGGAGCTGCCACATCAACTGAGGGATCTCATCCTGCTTGGAGAGCCGACCAACGGGGCTAAGCAGAGTGCCGACGAGGAAGCGGGCGTGATTGTCATCAATCGCGATGGCCTCGCAGCGGCAGAGAGGCTGTGGGGACGCATGGAAGCCGTGCTGTCCGCTTGGGTCGATGCCGGTGTGCCGGGCGCAAAGGACATCTCTGCAGAATGCCGTGCGGTCCTCAGAGAGGCAAGAGCCACCGCCGCTGCCGATGGCACACAGTGATGGTAGATACAGAGGCTGGAACATATTCACATTGTACAATTACATCAGATAGAACGCATACCTCTCAAGCCGTCATCCTCTTTGCAAAGGCCACGAGAGCCACCTTTCGTGCATCGCGAGGATGCTCCACTGCCACATTGGCCCGCAGCAGGAAGTGGACGACAGCGGGCGTGTAGTCTGCAACATCGACGTACGGGTTGTTTGGCTCTGACCAGGCCGTGTTCATCAGCGCCTTTTTTGGGTTGCGTAGAGACCAGTCAGCCCAACTTGCCCTAGTTCCTCCACTGCTCTCTCACTTACATCGACAAGCAGACGGAAGTCCATCGAGGTCCGTGACCCCGAGTCGCCGAGGATAGCGTAGTCTGACGAGGCCGTCACGGCTCGCAGAAGCTGCTTGAGGGCCGCGTTGGCGTCCTTGACCTTTTTCTCCAGGTTGCTAGATTTTGAGTTGGGTCGTTTAGCAACAGACATTCGAAAGAATGCTCTCAACACTCACCTGATTATCACATTGATGTCCATCTCTTTGCTCTTGGTCTCGATCTTGGCCCGCCGTTGTTGAAGGCCGACTGCGACCTCTTTGAGATCATCGAGCATCCTCCGCTGCCGGTCCCGTGCGTGCTTCTCCTCTTCGACTTGTGTCCTCAGCACATGCAAGGCCTCCTCGAGCTGGGAGACGGCATCTGCCAGTACTGCCCGAATGCGCACCTCGTGCATCAGCGTCGTCTGTGCCGGCGGCAGCTCCTCGAGGTCGTCCTCCATGGTCTGAATGTCGAAATCAAGCTTGGCAAGCTGCAGCGCCTTTGCCTCTCTCGAGCCCATCTTTGCGTCGCCCTCCGGCGGCCGCAGCCGAGCCAACTCTTCTCTGACGACCTTCCACTCATGGTCGTTTCTTGTCCGCTCCTCCTCCAATACCCTGACGAGCCCGTCCTTGTCCTCCGCATTGCTCGTGTCCACCTGCTCTCCTGGCCGGCTGCTGCCCTCTGCACCATTCGACCGCCTGCTGGCCTCTTGGATGGCAAGACGCCTCAGCAAAGCCTTGCGTTCTCCCGACATCGCAGTCGAGCCTTCTCCGCGGGCAGTCGTCGAGGCCATTATCATCGCCGCCGCGGCCGTCGTCGTCCGTCTGTCTCCCTGGTTGCTCCTTGTCGCGTCTTGCTAGAATTGAGCTTGCGCGCGCGCGCGTTTAGATTTGTCCCAAGAACAACAGATGCAAGAGAGAAAAGCACAAAAGCCATGTGGACTATTTTGAATTTTATTTTAGAGCGGCCGGGCCCCACGTCGCAGGAAGAAAGCGCTCGTCTGTCTGCATTGGCCCATCGTCTGACCGCGATCGTAGATCCCATCGCACGACCTATCGATGCAGGCAAAGGTCCGGCTGCCCTCGCCAGGCGAAGAGGTGGGTCTCGCACTGTCCTATGCACGTCAAAAGTAAGAGTCAAGCCTCACTCACGCGCCACTATCGCCAGGCCACGCCGTTCCTGCTTCGGTGCTACGTCCAGCGGGCGCCCTTCCGGCCCATCGCCGACTTTGACCCGATCCGGCGCACGACGGACGAATACAAGGTCTATGTCTGGTGAGCAGTCACAAATTCTCTCGTTTGTTCGTAAAAGCAGACAAGATTGATCGTTCTTACCCCTTTCCTTCCTCAGGAGATCGGCGACCCTGCGCGACATTGCCATACTGCTGCACCATCATGACCCGCGTCTGTCGGGTCCCACGTCGCTGCATGCCTTTCGTATTGTCTCCTTTGATCCCAGACGGCACGGTTGGGTCGCGCGTGAGGCGGGTGCTGACGTTGCGCGCGTAGGACGCGAGACTGTCGAGGGCCTTCTGCTTGATCACGATGGTGCCGACGATGCCGGGCACGAAAACGGGCAGCAGAAAGAGCGCAGCTGTTACGCAGACGTGCTTGCTTCAGCCCTTGGCGAGGTCGACGAAGCGGCCTGTCGCAGGACGCTCGACGAGATTGGGCTTGTCGATGGCGAGGTGCTCGACTGTGTCGTCCGAGAGCCAAGGGCGGGCAAAGCAGGGATGGGCATCGCGGGATCTGCCTCACGGGGGAGAGGCTCTGGCGCGGCGCGAAGGCCGCCGGATCGCTATGCTCCCCCGCCCAGTTCATTGATCTCGCCGGATGCTCATCCATGGGGGCCAGGGGGAAACGACCGCGCAGAGTCCTTGCGCGAGAGAGATAGGAGGCCCAGAGGACGACCGCCGCTGCCGCCGCCGCCGAGAAGTCCACCGCGCGCTGGGGACGGATTCGACAGGACAATGCACATGGATAGGGATGGATATGATCGGGCAGCTTTGAAGGAAAGAGACAGGCACGGCAGGGCGCCGCCAGTAGACAGGGACGGGCACGGACCTGCGCAGTGGGGGAGGCGCCGCCAAGACTCGAGCTCGGACAGAGCACACAGGATGCGCGAGGACGAAGAGCCGAGGCGAAGGAGGTCAAGGAGCCCGAGGAGATGAGATAGCTTCCCTTGTATGTTTGTGTCAATTGTATTATGGTCATTCCCCTCTCTCTGGTAATCAGACAAGTTTGGCAGAGAGCTCAGGAAGCTTGTCGCCAGGGACAAAGTGTCTCTCGACGCCATCTTCAGTGATGTCGACCATCCGAATGGTGCCTCCCGATGATCCGTCACGGCTCATTGCCAAGCTCAGCGCTGCAAAAGGTTATCAGCCATGCGCTCAAAAAAAAGTTGATGAGAGGCATTGCAGCTTCACTCACCGTTTCTGACAAAGTCGACCGTCTGCTCACGACCCCAGCCCTCCTTCCATGTTGAATCGCAGAAACCGTAGATGTATGCTGATCCAGACCCTGCAATCCCACACTCTCACGTCAGCAACCAATGAAGAGCGAGGGTCCGCTCGCGCATAAGACCGTGTCACCCACCTCCGATGGCCCATGGCTGCTGGAAGACGCCTCCACCGAGCGGGACATTGTAGACGGTCCCGCCCTTGTGCTTGTCCCACCCTGCGACAATGATACCCGCACTCAACCGGTCCTTGTTCTGGTACACAAGCTCGCTAAAGAGGTGTGCAGCCGTGTCGACATTGGGCTGCTCGCCGTGCTGGACGGAGAACATCGAGAGGTGGTAGGTGACAATGTCGGCGACTGCTTGCGTGTCGGCCGCTGAGCCCGATCGGCAGCAGTAGATGCGGTCGGTGACATGTGTCAATTTGTCGGTCACTCTGTTTGCCTGTTCACAAGTTGGTCAGCTCCATGAACGAGTGGGGCACAACAAGAGTGTAGGGGCCGACTCACAATGTATGATCCCATCGTCGTCCTTGAATCGGCTCCCAGGATGACACCCTTGTCATATGCCACGGCCATGATCGAGGTCTTTCTCGACAAGTTAGCTATAGAGCAGCATGAACAAGCTCACGTTTGCAACTCACACCGAGGTCGACCTCGCCCTTCTTGAGTCGGTCCACATCGAGAGCCTGCATCTTTCGTCTCTGGTTACGTCGTCGTGGCTAGCTGAACGTAAAAGAAGATCTGTGCGTCGACGTCGTCGTCGACCAAGTCCAAAAGACGCGCGTTCGGTCTCCCACGTGTTTCACAACCCACCTTCTGTGCGCGCGCTTTTTTAGAGCTCAACACCCGCTTAATCGCTCTTCCCACGAGAAGCCGTCCGATCAGTCTCACTAGGAAGGTGCTTCTACTGCTCTCAAGGTCTCTCTAAACAGGCGGCAAGGAGTTCAGTGAGTCTCGACAGTTGACAGGACGGATCGACATTGGACGCATCTACGATAGAGGAGTAACGCCAAAATGGGGCAGCAAGGCTCGCAACTCCTCTCGGAGATTGAGCAGAACTCAAATTGTGAGTCTGGGCTTCTCCCGGTCGACAGTTCGGGGAACTCATGAGGGCGAGAGCTGACTGACAAGGCGGTGGTGCCAATCAGTCTCGGGACCGGAGATTCAGCGACTAAAGAAGAGGTTTATGAAGCTCGATCGAGATGGGAGTGGATCGATTTCAAAGGACGAATTTCTCCAGATCCCGGCCATTGCCAACAACCCACTGGCGCTGAGAATGATTGCCATTTTCGACGAGGAGTGAGTCGTGGCAGAAGATTGCTGATGTCGCACTCGTTGGAAGGCATGTGCTGAATCACAGCCTCAACAGCGGAGGTGGTACGGTCGACTTTCAGGAATTTGTAGCTGGTCTGAGTGCATTCAGCAACCAAGGAAGCAGAGAGGAGAAGCTCAAGTGTGCGTGTCTCCTTACACCGAAGAAGAAAAGGGTGATAGCTGACGCACTTCCGCATGGATATAGTCGCTTTCAAGGTCTACGACATGGACCGCGACGGCATGATCTCAAATGGAGAGCTCTTTCTCGTTCTCAAGATGATGGTGGGAAATAACCTCAAGGATCAGCAGCTGCAGCAGATTGTGGACAAGACTATCATGGAGGCCGACAAGGATGGGTAGGTTTCTCGAATCTCAGGGCTTGAAGTATGTTGAGAAGCTGATCTGTGCTGGCTTCAGTGATGGCAAGCTCGACTTCGAAGAGTTCAAGGAGATGATCGGCAACACCGACATCGCAAGGCAGCTGACACTTGAGGTGCGTGTCTCTATTCCTTCTACGTGGCTGGATAATCTCTCACACTGTCCTGCAACTCCCTCCCAGGACCTCTTTTGATGACGAATGTAGCTCTACTCTCACGACCAGACCACCAAGAAGAATGAAAAAGCAACGAACTGGACATGTCTATTACTACTACTACAATGTTGGTCTTTTGCCGCTGCTAAAGCGCAACGCTGCAAGCGGCTTCACAAGAGCTCCGACGCTGACTGGGCCACTCGCGCTGCTGCTAGATGCTGCCGTGGAGATACCTCTTCTCTCCACTCGATTGAGTCGCTTGGCTGTCCGTGCATTTGTCTGAGTTCTCTGACCTCGGACCGGGAGGCCTTGGACATGCCTGCGTCCTCTGTACGTTCCAATTGTTCGGTGATGGGCAATATTGGCCAGCATCTGGCGCTTGAGATCGCTCTCGACAACGATAGATCTCAGCGGGTCTTCCTTTGGCGACGCTAGCTGCGAAGAGGGCGTCTTGCTAAATAGCTCGGTCGAAAGGTCCTTTCCGCGCTCCGCCGATGACTCTTTTGACGAGGAGGCCAAGGGCGGGTGCGGCAGCGTCGGACTCGGTTTCCGCGCAGCGATCGAGCCGGGAGAGGACAGGTAGGCAGACAGCTCGGTGACTTGGGAGTCGTTGAGCGACGAGACGGTTGCTGCTTCGTGCAATTGCAGACGGGCGCATAGTCTCCTGGCCGTTTGGTGGGAGATGCCGTAGAAGCTCGTCAGGGCAATCTGCATGGATGTCAGCTTGCGCATCTCTCATCACGGCGAAAGGCACTCACCCTGACCAGTTTGTGGTCGGGCAGGTGCGCCCCCAAGAGATACATGTCTTGTCGCCGTCGTCCTCTTGAGTGCTTTTCGGGTCTGAGCGACGAGCGAGAAAGTCAAAGTCAAAATCGAAGTCAACGATGAGACTGTCACGTGCGTCTTCTTTCGATTCTTACATAATCACTGCTCCACCTTGATGTAGGGTCCCGGCGCCTGCGAAGACCAAGTAAGCGCGCGGCTGCCCGTGGCTCCACTTCTTCGTCTCCGCACAGCAGGCGCTCTTCGATGCTACGATTCGTCGCACCAAGAAACACCTCAAGAACCGCTAGCTCCCTTCTCCGTCTGACAGCCAGCTGTTCTGCAACGACCCCTTTCGCCCACGTCCGATCTCCATCTCACACCCGTTGCCTTTCCAGTACTTCCGTCGCCAAGATGCCGCAGATGCCAAAGAATGTCATCAAGGGAGGCAAGGAGGACCTCACGGTGAGTGTCAGAGTCACTTCCTGGACCGCCAGCCCCGCAGAATTCTAATTATGAAGCCAATCTGCACAGCAAGTGCTCAAGGACCCCAAGCTCTTCAGGACCGATGCATACATCGACGGCAAATGGACGCAGTCGTCGGATGGCAACACCTTCAAGGTCTTCAACAAGGCCACCCAGGCCGAGCTCGGCACGGTGCCCGACATGTCGGCCGCCGATACGCGCAAGGCCATCGACGCCGCCGCTGCGGCCCTTCCTGCCTGGCGCGAGCAGTCGGCCAAGAGCCGTCAGGACCTTCTGACGAAGCTCTTCATCTCGCTGCAGGACAATGCAGAGGACCTGGCCAAGATCATCGTTGCTGAGAACGGCAAGAGCCTCACCGAGGCCAAGGGCGAGATCGCCTACTCCAACGGCTTCATCGAGTGGTTTGCGGCCGAGGCCACCAGGACCTACGGTCACACCGTCCCAGCACCTCTGCCGGGTGTACGGAACGTCGTCATCAAGCAGCCCATCGGTGTCTGCGGCTTGATCACCCCGTGAGATCCTGTCCCCCTTTGCACAAAGAAGATAAACCATGCTTGCTGATACCAGGGCTCCTCCAGATGGAACTTCCCCGCTGCCATGATCACCCGCAAGCTGGGCCCTGCTCTTGCTGCGGGCTGCACTGTCGTCATCAAGGCGCCTGCCGAGACCCCGTACTCTGCCCTGGCCATTATCGAGCTTGCTGAGCGAGTCGGTGTGCCCAAGGGTGTCATCAATGTCGGTGAGTCTTCTGCACCGCTTCACCCTCTGAGCTCGACGGTAAGCTAAAGGGTCCCTTCCCAATTCCTAGTCACCTGCAACAAGGGAGAACGAGAGGCGGCCGTGGGCAAGGAGCTGTGCGAGAATTCGACCGTGCGCAAGATCAGCTTCACGGGCAGCACCCGCGTCGGCAAGATTCTCATGAGCCAGTGCGCAGGCAGCCTCAAGAAGCTCAGCTTCGAACTGTGAGTGACGCACAGACAGCCGGAGTACTTGGCTCATTCTGATCGCCTTTTCGGAATTCTTCCTACAGCGGCGGCAATGCCCCTTTCATCGTCTTTGGAGATGCCGACTTGGACAAGGCCGTCGACGGTGCCATTGCCGGCAAGTTCCGTGGCTCGGGCCAGACTTGCATCTGCGCCAATCGCATCTACGTCCACGAGTCCGTCTATGCCGAGTTTGCCTCGAAGTTGGCAGCCAAGGTCGACAAGTTCAAGGTCGGCTACGGTATGGACGAGGGCGTCACCCATGGCCCTCTGGTCAACCAGGCCGGCGTCGACAAGGTCAGCCAGCACGTGGAGCAGTCCGTCAAGGGCGGTGCCCAGGTCCTCGTCGGCGGCAAGAGGGGCGAGGGTCTCTTCTACGAGCCCACGGTGCTCTCCGACCTGCCCGACAAGGTGGTGAGTAAAAACTTCTGTGTCTTCTTCTCTGCAAATTCTCATGTCTCGTCGCATCTCTACAGCCCATGGACGACGAGGAGACCTTTGGACCCCTCGCAGCCATCTACAAGTTCTCGTCTGAGGAAGAGGTGCTCAAGAAGGTCAACGATGTTCCCGTCGGCCTCGCAGGCTACTTTTACAGCAAAGACGTCGCCCGATGCTGGCGCTTCGCCGAGAAGCTCGAGGTCGGCATGGTCGGTGTCAACGCAGCCATCATCAGCCAGGCCGTGGTGCCCTTTGGCGGGATCAAAGAGAGCGGTTTCGGGAGAGAGGGAGGCAGGGACGGTATCCTGGAGTACCTTGTTGACAAGCTCATGGTCTTTGGTGTTTAAGATTTCTCACGCCGAGACGCTATCGTTATGCTACGGAATCCATGAATTCTTCTGCTCTATTACAGCCACTCCTGCGGGAAATCCTTGATAGAGGGTGCGGCTCTTCGCTCGAATCCCTTGCGTTTCGCTTCCCGGACCAGCGTCGGCCGGAAGTCGATTGCGACATCCTTGAACTCTGCCGAATTGCTCTGTGTTTTGCTCAAAGCGTCAGTTTCTCTCTCTCTAGATTCTTAGACTGGCACTGAGGGAGGAGACACGCACCGAAGCCTCTTCGATCATGCGATCAAGCGCATCGCTGCACCACTTGACATTCTGCGCCTGTACCTGGAATCTCTCTGAGCTGATCTTGATCTCGCCCACGCCCTTTTGCAACGCCTCTTTTTCAGCCTCCTCGACGCCGTGCTTGACGTGTCCCGCATCCCACCGCGGACCAGCGAGGAGCAGGAACTTGCGCCTGGCGTCGGCGTCGCGCAGCTTGCCCTGGCCTGCAAGGTGCTCAAAGAGATCCGCGACCGAGACAGTCATGACGGCCTTTGCTGTCATGGGGTGCGCCTCGCCCTGTAAGTGGACGAGACGGAAGCGGAGCAGCTCGCGCTTTGGCTCGTACGGCCGCCTCAGCTCTGCAATATTGCGAAATCAGCAAGAGCAGCAGCAAGAGCAGTGAGGACAAAAGGGAGAAAATGTCGCAGTACGTACCGAGCAGCTTGGGCATCTCGTGGTGCGCCACGCGCGCATAGCCCAGCAGCTCGCGCTGGCGGTCCAGCACGAGGTGGCCGAGGGTGGGGATATCGTCGTAGTTAAACTTGCCCATGTTGCGCAGCGCAAACGGGTCGTTCATCTGCCGTGCCCGTCGTGGCTTTGCGCGCAGCGGCGCCGTCGTGCTCAGCATCCGCGACGACGATGCCGACGATGACGAAGCCGACGACGAAGGGGACGCCGAGGACGATGCCGAGGCGCATGCCCGGGCGACAGCCGCACGTGTCGAGGTGCTCGCGAGCGTCGTACTCATCTTGGGTGCGCTGGTCGACGAGGCGAGAAAACGTCAAAAGACGAAAGAGACAAGGCGCAGGAAGATCCACCCTCTCTCAAAATTGCACGTGGAAATATAAAGAAAAAAAAAAGAAAAAAAAGCTCACCCATCTGACACTAACACGACTGCGAGAGATCCAGGCGTCGGAGAACTTTTAAAAGCAGATTCATATGAGACGAGCGTTGGGAACGCAGAGGAGCGACAAAGTGACAGGAGATGAGGGGAACGAGGGGTAAGAGGAGAATATGAGAGATTCATCTTAGAGTTACACCAGAGGGAAAGAACCAATAAATCAGAGAAAAAAAAACAGAGGAGGGAGGGAGAGAGAATATGAAGAGTAAAACTGCTGCTGCGATGGTAAAAAGGACTAGGAAATCATGGGGGGTTCCCTCCTCATTTTTTTAAGTCCAATGTCGAGGTGTCGGAATGCAAAGCGCGCACCATGAAGAGGAGCATCGACAGTGTCGAGCTATCAGCTGAGCCCGTCACCGCCAAAGAGATTGTTCATGATGCTGCTGTCCCAACCGTCGCCAAAGTTGCCAAAGGTATTGTTGCTGTCCGACGACGTGAAGCCGTTGGGCCCTCCGAAATCGACATCGTTGAACAGCTGCGACATGTCGCCAGCGTTGAACATCTGCGAGATGTCCTCGGAAGAGGTGCCGTTGTTGGCGCCAGAGGAAGGGTTGTTCGAATCACCGGCATTGTTTCCATGCTCCGAGGACATGGCAAACGAGTCGAGATTGAAGCTCGAAGACTGGTCTGGCGGCGCCTCTTGCCCAGAAGGAGCGGCAGCATTCGATGCGACAGCCTGTTGTTGCTGCTGCTGTTGTTGTTGTTGTTGCTGCTGCTGCTGCTGGTCAGCACTGGCTCCGGGCGGCTTGCCAGCGTTGTTCGCCGGCGTCTGGCCCGGACCGTCGCGGCCGGGAGTGGGCACGCTGCTGCTGGCCGGTGTGGGAGCCTGGGCCGGGGTGCTAGCCGTGGCACCAACATTGTTGTTGTTGTTGTTGCCGCTGCTGCTGCTCGGTGGCATACTGCTCTGTGTCATGACGGGCGTCTTGCTGGTGTTGGACGGCTTCGAATTCTTCCTTGCTCTCGGCTCCTTTTTCTTCTTCTCGCCCCCGGCCTGACTCTTTGGCGTGCTGGGCACCACGGCCGTCGTTGCGGGCGAAGCGCCAGTCGATCCATCTTGGTGCTGCTGCTGGCCGAGATTGCCAACGGGAATCCGCGGACTGGGGCTCGACACGTTGGGCGGGGGTCCCATGCCAGACGAGGGCATGCGTGTGGGGCCTGCAGGTCTCTGTGGCGTCTGGTTGGCGCTAAAGTGCTGGAAGCCCTGCTGCATGTGCGCGTGCTGCTGCTGCAGGTGCTCGTCGGGCGCATTGCTCGGGCGCCGGTTCCCTGCGCCGGCTGCAAAGGGATTGGCAAAGGAGAACTGCGAGCGCTGGGCGGCGTCCTGTCCATTGCCTCCTCCAAAGTCGTTGCCATTCATACCCGGCTGGTGTTGTTGTTGATGCTGCTGCTGCGGGCCCTGGTGCTGCTGGTCATATCCGCCTTGGAAGGGGGGATGTTGCTGCTGCTGAGGCTGACCTTGCTGTGGCTGCTGGTGCTGCTGCTGCTGCTGCTGTTGGTGCTGTGGCTGGGGACCGCCCTGGCCACCCATCATACCAGGATGTGGTCGTGCGACGCCATTGGGCATGGGGTTGCCAGCATTGGCGCCACCGGGACCCATCATGCTCATCATGAGACCGGGGTCGTTGGTCGCCATGGCGGGCGTGATGCGGTTGGGAGGCACCTGTCCGCCGCCCGGCACACCCGGACGCTGCTGCGCCATTCCAGGCGGGAAGCCGGCAGGTCCAACCCCCATGGGAGCTGGCCCACCTCCGCCGTTGGCGGCCGCTCCTGCACCAGACATGCCCATCGCACGCTGCTGATTCTGGGCCTGGAGCATGGCTTGCTGCTGCAGCCCCGGTTGGGCCTTGAGGAGTGAGCCGAGCTGCTGGATCTTTTGCTGAATGAGCCGTGCATTGTTGAACGACCGCTCGGCCACGGCAGCATTCGGTGCGTGCTGGGCCTGGTGCATCTCGGTTCGGAGCTGCTGGTGCAGGTGGGCGTGCTGCATCATCAGCGTCGTCTGCTGCTCGTGCGTCAGGATGGGGTGACGCTGGCCATCGGGCCCGAGGATCTGAGGCCCTCCAGGCCCGCCCGAGGCTGGGACCATGCCGCCGGGCATCCCAGGCTGCGGTTGTGGCTGCGGCGGTTGTTGTGGTGGTTGCGCTTGCGCTTGCTGAGGACCGCCGCTGGGCATCTGGCCCGGACCAACCGACCTGCGGCCATCGGGCTGACCGGGGCCTGAGGGTGTCCCTGGCCCTGCCCCTCCAGGTGAGGCAACGTGTGGAAAGGGCGTCTGTTGGGCCATCATGCCCGGGCGGCCCTGCGACGGCGGTGCGCCCGGTGGCACGGGCCCGCCTGGCGGACCAGCCTGCCGCTGCGACTGGATGAGCCGGTGCAGAGACTGCTGCTGTTGGACCCTCGACTGCATGTTGTGGTCCATGGGCCCTTGGCCCCCCTGACCCGGCCCCGCTGGCTGGCCCTGCTGAGCCGCCTGCGCCGGTCCCTGTCCTCCTTGAACCATCATCGTCGGGGGCATGCCCGGCCGGATGCCCATGCCCTGCTGTGCGCCCGCGCCTGGGACTGCAACGCTCTGGATGAGGGCGTTGCGCATCGACGGGTTCATGTTCTTGAGCTCTTCGATGGGTATATTTTGCCTCTGGGCGGCGAGCAGAAGCATCTGCGTGTGCGCCTGTTGCTGGTTGGCGGGCCACCCTTGCTGTGGCTGCGGCGGCTGTGGTCCCTGCTGAGGTGCCTGTTGCTGTTGTTGTTGTTGTTGTTGTTGTTGTTGTTGTTGTTGTTGTTGTTGCTGCTGCTGCTGTTGCTGTTGCTGTTGCTGTTGCGGCTGTGGCTGCTGCGACTGTGGCTGTGGCTGTGGTTGCGGCGGCTGTGGCTGACCCTGCTGAACACCTGGCGTAGGCTGTTGGGATGGGTTGCCTTGCTGCGGCTGCTGCTGCTGCTGTAGCAGTGGTGGCTGCTGCAGCTGCTGTTGGCCCTGGAGCGGAGCCGGTGATGTCGAGTGCGTCATTGAGGACGCTCTCTCATTACCTTGACCAACGACGACGGGAGGGAAGCGTCCCTGGTGGGCTGCATCGCTGACATTGAAGCCACCATCCATCATCTCGGCCCTCCGAGTCGATTCGGTGAGCCTCTGAATCTGCCGCGACTCCTGGAAGTCAAAGTAGACGGATGCATCGACGCTTCCTCGCCCCGTCCTGGCAGCAAAGACGTCCCAGAAGATGGACCAGTACCTGTGGGGGAGAGAATGGTAGTCGGGCGCACCGCGTGAGACAACGATGATGATCAGGACAGGCAGAAAAAAAGGAGAAACTGACTCAAAGAGAAGACCCTGGGGCGTTTTGAGGGGAACGTCGGGCGCCTCAGTCATGCCGGCCTCGCTGATGAGCGACTTCGCCGCCCTCGCAAACCCTCTCCGGGTCAGGTAGTCCCACACATAGACGTCGAGCCTGGGACGTGAGCGTTTGTCAGCAATCGGCACGCGCTCCAGAGGCTACACACACGGGGGGCCCGAGCTCACTTTGTGGCTTCCTCGCCCCATGTTCGTCCGTCGACGGCCTGGCCATTGCTCGTCACCAGGGCTGCCCCGGCGGCAGCGTTGTTTGCCGTCGTACTGCCTGTGGCATTGACGCCGCTGTTGTTGTTATTGTTGGTACGACTGCTGCCGGGACTGCTCTTGGACGTGCTTGGCCCCGCCTCGTCGGCAGCTTCACCCCGTTGCTTCTTGTCCTTGATGGTGTCGGCATTGGGACTGTTGCTCGCCGATCGCTTGCGTGTGGCGCCGGCCTGGTAGTCTTTTGCTTTGACGCCATTGTCGGAGAGCAGAGGCGGCTGTGGCGCATATGGTTGCGGGGGGTATACCGTCGTCGGATTGCTGTTGTTGGTGGTGGCGGTATTGTTGTTGTTGCTGCTGCTGCTGCCGCCGCTGCTGCTGCCAGCGAGGGACGCGCCCCCGTTGGCATTGAACATGGTATTCAGCGGGGGCGCCGAAGTGCTCGGCCCGGCGACGTGACTGGCCATCCCCTGTAAGAGCAGCGATGGGATCCCCAAGAAGGGGGGACAACGTAAGCATTCGGTCATATCATCGGGAGGACTTGGGAGGAAGGAAGGAAGGGCACCGCGCGCGCGGCTCTGGTCCACGTCATCTCGCGCCCACTGGGAAAGGCGCGGGCGACGGAGATGGATGGGGTTCATTTAGACTCACCTGCTCGGCTTGGTGTGAATTCCAAGGGGAGCCAAAGGCGATGGTCACACTCTCTGGAGCAGCGCCTGCTTTCCCCTCCTGCTGCGCTTGCCGGGGCGAGGATGCGATCGAGGGTGCGGGCGCAATCGAGGATGCGTCGGCGTCTCGCACAAAGTCCGGTCCAAAGTTGCGAAAGAGTGGGCGATGATGGTGGGTGCCTGCGGGCGATCTATCGCTGGTACTGCTGGGCCGATTGGCGTCCTCTCTGCTGCTACTGTTGGTGGTGCCCTGAATGGCGGGGAATGGATGCTGCTTCGGTGGTGCAACGATGCTATGGCTCATAACCAGCCCGCCGGCCTCGGCGTCTTGTTGATGTCAAAATCGACCTTGTCGCGCCGCGGCTCGCTGCTGGGCATGCGCGTACCTTGCAGTCGTATCACCAGGCGCTCCGAGCCGATCGGAGCTCCACTCAGCTCAGAGCTGATGATGGCGTGATGCCGAGATTGCCTAAACGGGCAAAAGAGAGAGAGAGAGAGAGAAAGAGATGCGCGCAAAGGCACAAGCTTATTCAAGCGTGGCCTAAGTTGCAGGCGTCACTGGTCCGGACACGCTCTTTAGCCCCAGGTGGGGGGACGCCGTCAACGGCCCGCTTCGTTGGTGTCGCCGTCGCCGTCGTCGTTGATGCAGGCGCCAAGCACACGGAGATGGGTAACGTGACGGGTCGTGTGGCGCTCAGAGAGGATAAGATAGATGCAGCAAGTCGACAGGCAGGCGCCGTCGCGTCACAGTGCTTCGTCGGTTTTAAAAACCCTCGTGGGTGTGTGCACCTCACACGCCGTCCACGGAGAGAGAGCGCGCGCTGGCTGGCTGCACGCGAGGTCGACGGCAGAGGAGTGCGAAGAGAAAGACGAGGGAGCCGTACCCTGTAGCAATCGTCGGGCGGATGGGCGACGGAGGATGGGACTAGTCGACGGAGATTTTGAGGGCGTCGACTCGCTCGCTCGAGGTGGGAGGTGCGTCGAGCTCCTTCTCCAAATCAGCGATGGGGCAGGCAGGCAGGCAGCAGCAGCGATGGGGAATTAGCAAAAAAGATTAGAGTTGCGAAATTGATTTTGGATGAAAGATTGGAATCAAAGGTTCCAGAATAAAAGAAATCCTCGCCTCTCCCCGATTACCACAGCGCTCTCTCGCCTCGTCTTTCTCTGTATAGACTTGTACACTGCCGTGCCCTGTCAGCAAGCCTTGGCTAGCTTTCTCTTTGCAGAGCAAGATCCCAACGGAGCCAGACGTGCATCGAAAAGCAAGCGACATGAAATGCTACGGAGCCACTGATGGAGATACAGCTGTGACGTCTTCAGATCTAAAAGCTGGACTGGATGTGTCGACATTGAGCTCGCGGGCGCCCGCACAAATCGGCGGCCCTGCTGCCAGACGGTATAACATTATTATATAACATCTTTATTTTTATTGTGTTTGCCCTCCATTTAAAGTAGACGGACATTCTTAAGAATTTAGAACTTACGCACGTGCCGAGAACGGGTCACTCGCCCGAATCGGCCCCATCGGTGGCCGGCGCCGTATAGCTGCTTCCTCTGGCCTATGTCGTCGCTCTTTGTTGGCTCGAGCGTCGCAAGGGCGTATCTTGCGCCTCTTAAGCGGCACTCGCGACTGCTTCCCAGCGCCTGCGCACATCGCTACCTATCATCCAGGGCGACCGTCCTGCTGCTCGATGACGTAGAGCTGGCCAAGGCCGAATTGGAGAAGCTCCGAGCAAAGGCCAATGTAGTCCGGTCCCAATCGCAGAGCCGCGAGGAATTCGTCGAGGAGCTCAAGGCGCTGGACGGTCTCAAGGCAATCTATAGACACTTTGGTGGAGCGCGAAGCATCAAGGTCAGTCAGCTGGTTCATTTGGGCCGCTTGGTCGGGTAGTGAACTGACCTTCCTTTCCCCAGGTCACGGGTAGATTCGACCAAGATCTCGTCTCTAAGCTACCCAAATCGCTGCAGTTCCTGTGTCACAATGGAGCGGGCTATGATCAGCGTGGGTTCACAGAGCTCTAGTTGTGGCCGATCCAATGCGCGCATGCTGAGCCTCTCTCTCTCCCGCAGTCGACATAACTTCGTTGACACAAGCCGGCATCCAGGTATCCAACGTGCCAAAGGCCGTCGATGATTCAACCTCGACGACGGCCCTCTGGCTCGTGATCGGAGCCCTACGCAATTACTCCCTTGCTCAGTCGCAGCTCGCCTCGGGCCACTTCAACTCCAGATTTCCCTTCAAGGCAGCTCACGACCCAGGCTCCGCCGGTGCCAAGGTGCTGGGCATCGTCGGGGCCGGCGGCATCGGGCGGGCGCTAGCGAAGAAGGCGTCGGCAGCACTAGGCATGACTGTAATCTACCATAATCGACGGCGGCTCGATGCCGACATCGAAGCAGCCATGGTTCCCCTCGGCCAGCCTGCAGAATACGTCGACACCCTTGACGAACTCCTCGCCCGGTCTGATGTCGTCAGCCTGCATTGCCCTCTGACGCCCGAGACCAAAGGTCTGATTGGCAAGAGTCAGCTTGACAAAATGAAGAAGACTGCCGTCCTGGTCAATACTGCGCGCGGGCCCGTTGTCGATGAGGAAGCACTGTCAACAGCACTGGAGAGCAGTGCGATCGGGGGTGCAGGGCTGGACGTGTTTGAAAAGGAGCCTTCAATTCACCCCAGCCTCCTCGCCCAGTCTCAAGACGGGGCAGGCAAGGCGCTGCTCTTGCCGCGTGAGTTGCGGTGAACAACATAGATGCTTGATGTATGCTGAACTCGAGGTTACACCCATAGATGTCGGCACCCTCAGCCTGGAGACACAGACAGAGATGGAAGCGGTGTGTCTCCGCAATATACAGCACGGCCTGGAGACGGGCAGGCTCGGATTCACAGTGGCCGAGCAAGCCGGCAAGTTCTGACCGAGGATTAGCTACACACTTTCTATTTAGAGGTCAGCCCTCCAGCGATGTGCAATCTCATCCTCTGATCGTCTCACTTCCTTCCGACATCGAGATTGATGCTAAGACATCTTGCCATCAACGCCCCGTAGCTAGCCGAAAGCTACTTGCCTTGCAAGGAGCCTAAAGGCGCCACAAATGGCCGTGCGAATCAGGCACGATTTTATTATTTTTTGTTTTTCCCCGTCCACGTGGATTGCTCATATCTGACACCGCCACCCCACCGGAGAGGCTTGTGCACGCTCGTGCACGAGGCGCGCGATAGTCTGGACGCAAGTTAAGATTGTCGCATGCTTTCACCGCCCCCCTCGTCTTCTCCGAAAGCAAGTTGCCTCGTTCGCGCTCATCGATATGGGTCTCGCCCGCGCCGTGACATAGCGGCCAGGAGCAACAGCATGATTCAAAAGGAGACAAGCCAGTGAACGAGATTCATCTTGTAGCGTGACGCACGCCATGGCGCCGATCCAACAGCAGCAGCAGCAGCAGCAGCAGCAACAGTCGTCGTATCCTTCCTATTCGGATGCGCCGATCAACCGTGTCGCCTTTCCCGTCCCACAGCAGCAAAACACTCAGTACCAGCCTGGCAGTCGCGGGGGCAGCAGCTCACCGAATGCGTCGCGGCCGGAAGTGGGGCGCGGCGATGCGGCACTGCCCTCGGGGCCGATGAGGAGAACGTCGGATGAGGCAAACACCAGCATCAGCAGAGGATGGTTCGGAAGCGGACGACATCGCACCTCGAGCTCCATATCTGTGCCCCTCGGCAGCAATATCACACAGGCTCAATTGCAGCAGCAGCAACAGCACCAGCATCAACAGCACCAACAACATCAGCGGCCTACTGATGGATCTGGTAGGCCAGCGCCTTCGGGGACGCAGCGGCCGCCATCGCAAGCCTTTGTGAATCCGTATGCTTCCCCGACGATCGGCACCGGGCCTGCCAACCCTTTGTACCAGGGCAATGGACCACCATCGCCTCACCAGACCAGGCCTCCGCCGCTGCAGCACCACTACTCTGCCCCTAGTCCTACTCTTGCTCAGCTTCAGCACCAGCAGCAATACCCACCGCATTCAGTCGCTTATTCTCAAAGACCATTGCAACAGCAGCAGCATCAGCACCCTCAACAGTACCAGCAGCACCAGCAGCATCAACATCCTCAGCAGCACCAGCAGCACCAGCAGCCATATATGCAAGCACCCCAGCTCCACCAGTTGCCGTCGCCTTCGGCAGGACCTTCCGGATTCCCAAATCCACATCAGAGCGGGCATCAACCGGGGCCTCGACCCGAGCACGGAGCGGGGACGAGTACCGAGGCGCACGACGCAGCGACCTGCTCGGGATGCCAGGCCGAGCTCGAGGCGGCACTCAAGGCTTCCCAGGCTAGCGCGCAAGAGGAGGATGAGCGACGGAGACGGCAACGCGAGGAAGATGAGGCGCACCTCAAGGCAGTCCAGGAGTCCGAGGAGGAGGAGAACTCACGCAGGGAAGCAGAAGAAGAGGAAATCTTGCGCCAAGTGATGGAGGCTAGTCGGAGGGACGAAGAGGCAGCGCAGGTCAAGCGCCTGGAGCAGGAGCGGTACGAAGAAGAGCAGCGCAGGCTCATGCTCGAGGAAAGCCGGCTGGAGGCAATTCGAAAGGAGCAGGCCGAGCGGCAGCAGGAGGAGCAGCTCATGGCGGCGAGCCGAAGAGAGGCTGAAGCCAGCCAGCAGAGGCGCGAGCAAGAAGAACGTCGGGCTCGGGAGGAAGAAGAGGCCGTCCTGGCCGAGAGCAGGCGACAGATGGAGGAAGAGTGGCGGAGAAGAGACGAGGAGGAGAGGGCCATGGAAGCCTTTGCAAAGTTTCGCGGCGAGCTCAACGAGAGTGCCTACTGGAGAAGCCAGATTGACGACGACGCATTCAAGCAGCTTTCCTTGGACATGGAGCAGCAGGCTTCGGTGAGACAGTCGGACTCGGCTGTTCTGGCGAGCGAGTCCGGCCACTCTCGACACGCCTCTTCTTCTCGCCATCGAGCACTCCCCCCCACGCCTGGGCTGGCGGCTCAGGCCGCAGGCATCGAACCGGTACGAAGACCCTTTGAGAGTCGAAGTGCGTCTACGACGCGCGAGGCTGGCAGGCATCCTGTCGCGTTTGCTCACCTTCCCATCGTCGCTGAGAGCGAGGCGTCCCGCATTTCTGCGCATGAGCCTGTCTCTTGGAGGAGGGGAGACAGAGAAAGTCAATCAGCCGCAGACGCTGGCGATATCGAAGACGGCTCTTACGACGATGACCTCGATGATGACGACGACGACGACGATCCCTTCGCTGACTCGGCGGAGGCACCACCCACCTACGAAGAAGCAGGCGTCGACCGACCTCCCGAAGCCCCAGACACGATCCCCGACCATGTCCGGTTTGATGCTCCTCCGAGGGACAGCGGCATGCAGTCAACCATCAGCGATCCCAGTCTTCGCTTCTCTCCCGAGAAGTCAGCCCCCTCTGTCTCTTCTTCGACTTCCATGGCACCAAATGGGCGATCGTTGCCAGCTCCACCGACAGCCTTGGCACGCAGTGGCAGTGGCGCTTCTGGCTCGGGCTCCGGCTCAGACCCAAATGCGTCGCGTCAACAGGGCACGGTGGCGCCCACCATCTCGCAGCAACCCCTCCCGCAATCCGTCGCTCCGCCCTTGCTCGCAGCGAGAGCCAACAGTAGCCGCAGTACTACGACTGCTGAGCAAGCTAGAGCCTCGATGGACGGGCGTACCACCAGTATTCAGGGCGAGGATGTCTCTGCACGACCTGCAGGCAGCCCGTTAGAGGGTCGTAGAGCGGTCAATCCACTTCTTGACGCTATTCCTCAAGATCGCAGGGGTGGCGCTCCCTCGCTGACTCCCTCTTTAGAGTCTCAGGATCTGCGAGCTTCGGCCTCCACCTCGATGGACACGCCGGAGAGAGCCTCGTCTCTCAGTAGAAAGGTGGAGGAGGAACATACTACAACCACGATCAGCACGGCACACTCAAATGACACCGTTTCGGAATCACGACCGTCAATGTCCTCAGGGAACAGGGTCTCGACTTCTTCCGAGAGCAGGCCGTCGATGGACCGGCCATCGGTTTCGCCTTCGGCCGGATCATCCTCTGCTCCGACGACGGTACACGAGCTGCAACAGACGGCCATGAAGGGCACCGACTTTGGCTACTGCGCCGAGCCTTTTGCTCCGGACTTGCTAGCCAGCTCGGGAGAGCAGCTGTCGGAGACCGACTCAAAGCGTGCAAAAGAGCGGTTCCCCAACGTCATCCAGCTCACGCGAACACCGTCGGACGGATCGGGATTGCTGAAAGGGAAATGCACGAGCGCATACTTTGTCATTCGCGCCCCCTCGTGGAAAAGTCTGCTGAGGGCCATGGCATGGTACGGCAACACGAGGATCGAGGCGGGGCCAGAAGAGGTGGCTGATCGGCAGACCCTTCGGCTCAATGTCGAAGTGGAATTCGTTACGCCGAGCAAGACGGACTACTCCAGCACAGTCGTTGTTGGTGGTGCCGGCCGGGCTGCGCATGTCGCCATCTGTATCTCTTTGATGGATCCCAAGCCTGCTCCGACGCTGACTGGTGTCATCAAGGGCCAGTCCAGAGGCCTTGACTCGTCTTACCTAAGAAGGGGCTCAGCCAGACGTGTGATTCACGTGCCCCGACAGTCACCGGCGCTTCCGATGGGCATGGTCAAGCTAGCTCAGCACCTTCACGCTGCACATACCTTCAGCGCCGCCTGCCCTTCCTCGAGCTCAACAGCCTTGCATAGTCCCCGCGACCTGCACCATGCCGTCGAGCGACACGATGTAGGGTACGTCGCAAAGGTGCGCAAGGCTGCTGCAAAGAATCGGACGACGGCGGCTGTTGCCAGCGGTGTGCCAACACCTGGCTCAAACGAGCAAAGCGCCGAGGACTCAAATACAGGCCGAAGCAGCCGACTTCTGGCGTCCAATATGGGATTTGGCCCTCGAGGAAGCAGGGACTCAACGTATAATCACAGCACAGCCGTCGGGACTGGTGGAGACGAAGACGTTGATCCTGAGGATATCGACGCGGATGGTGTAGAAATTTTTGCTGGGGTAGGCGAAGAAGAGGCGGAGCGCAGCGGGTTCGGCAGGATGAAAGACCGCATGAAGAGAAGGCTGGGCAAGAGGGCTGGCGATGGCAACGTCGTCGACGAAGACCTCGAGAGTTGGATCAGTGAGTCACGACTTTGCTCCGCTCATATCCCAATATTTGAGAATACTGACTTTGTCTTCGCGTCCTAGCGCCGTTCGACATGACACAGCATGGCTGAGGTATGCCTGTTCTTTCATCTCACATTAAGATTGAGAGGTTGCACTCGGCCAACACTGTATATAATTGCATACACTCAACCATTTCGTTCTGATCGTGAGCACGCCATTCTAAGTTTTACGAGGGTGTCTCTGTCCCCGGCGCGAAAAAGGGCAGAAGAGCTCGCTCGGCGCAGAAGACGGATCAAAACGGGTGCATTTCGCGGGGCTTCGTCCCTGAGAGAGCATGCCGGCCCAGAAAGCCAGCCCGGGGCGCGCCGAGTAAGGGCGCCCGAGTAAAGAAAAGCAGTCTGAGCACGGACACCCTTCCTTCCCACGACGGGACACCCTTCCCTTCTGGCGCATGCATGCAAGAGACACCCTTCCTCCCCGCTGCCCGGGCCCCGCTCTCTCTCTCTCTCTCTCTCTCCCCGACTGGCTTCTGACACCCGCGGCTGCAATTCCTCGCGAATCCGCGCAACTCCGTGCAGTTCCCACCGGCCACCCTTCCTTTCT